TCCGCATTCTTTATTTATTTTTGTTCTGACCTTCGTTCCGCTTCATTTTTTATTTTGAATCATTCACCTTTTTTCAGGAAATTGCACTGTACCTTGATAAAACAAACACAGGCTTGAAAATAAACAAAATGTTTGTTTTATGCATCTTTATCTTGGAACAATTGTGTGAATGTGCTAGAAAAAACATCCTCCATCCATGACTATTATTTCGTCAAGTGAATCATGAAAAACCGGGCTTCTGTGCTCAGGGAAAGAAGGTGAATGAGCGGCTAAATGGTCACAAATGCAAACAATTGATAACACTTAAAGTAAACTGTGCTAAAACGCCGACGAATGTTCGATTTGAAACGTGAGGCAATGGTCTTCTGAACTATGAATACCGGAACATTCAAATAAAACTTGAGCGCATTTTTTTCTATGAAATATGTATATGCAATGAAGAATGGTGAAAACAAAAAGAACGCGAATATATATATATATGGAAAAATTGAAGAGTTGACTATGGTAAACGTAAAATTTATGAGCACACAATGAAATTGAGCAGAAATAAACCAACGCAAAGAAAGCGATTTGAAGACAATTAGATGATTATTTAAACAAATGTTGCGCGTCGAACAACGCCGCCAAAATCTCTTACAACGATTTTTGTGCAACACGAAGGCGACGCGACAAATTTCTATCAAGATGAACAATCTGCAGTTGTGACGGAAAATGCATACAGAAATTGCCGACTGATTTTTGAAACCGATAATCTCTGCGGAACTTGTGTTGTTTCGGGGCCCAAAACCCATGGGCGCATGAATACAAAAGTAATCTTATTAGAACATCTTTTGCTTGCGCGTTGTCAAGAGTTTGGAACACATTTTGCTGCGGAGGTAATTGGATAAACGTTGCAGATCTGAATCAAAATAAATGTTTTGTGAATTCAAATTGTTTGAAATGTAAAAATAACAAAACCAAAATTTTAAACAAAAATATTAAATGATAATCTGCTATTATTTCATTATGGTTTAATGATCGTTATATTTTTGATGTATTTTATTTTAAGGGTGTCTTATTGAGTTTTACACATTTTTGCATTTCGTCAATTATATTATAGTTTGGAACAGTGGCTTTGTTAAGCGAAGCCGAAAGTACGGAAAAAGGGAAATAAAAAAAGTGAAGTGTTGGTGACTCACAGACTACCGTATCTTCGTCGGGCTCCGCAACGGTCTCGTCACAATCGTACCTAGAACAAAAAAAAAACTAAAATTATTTAAACAAATCACTTGAGAAATGTTCACGAAAACGTGTGAAAAAGAACGAGCGCTCGCGGGATGCGGGGAGGTCCACAATGACGCTCCCGGCGATATAAAACAATGTGGAAAGAGCTGATGAGCAAATAAGTGACCATCAATTTCTCAGACTACGCACATTCTCGACTGTTCACAGAACAATGCACACAACCTGAGACGCGCACGAATTGCCTCTCCTGGTCGCTCGTTTTGAATTTGGAAAATCAGTAAGAGCGCGAAGTGCGCTCCCTCTTCCGGGTTTATCAATTGGTCACGTATGTAAAAACAATTTTTTTAGCTTTCGCACAAACCGTTAGGTATGCGAGCTTATTGTAGTTTGGGCTTGAGTGCGGCGAACTTCACATACTCGCAGAATAAGCTATGGAATATTTAAAATGTTTGCAAAGCGCCAATTATTTTAAGTGGATTGATGATTCAAGTCAAGCAACCGGACAAGAACAACTTTGTTGTGTTGGGGATCGAATTGGTGAGCATTCTCAAACCGTGTACAGATCAGAAGAGCATAATGTTTTACTAAAAAAATTCATGGCAACAATTAAGGAAATCACAAATGAAGAACCCGAAATGTAAATAAACTCTCGGCATTTTTTTTAGTTATGTCTGCTCGAAATGAAATCCCAAACAATACACTTCTAAACATTTAATGAAATTGTGTCCTCCAATTCCAATGCTCATTGTAATCAAATAAGTTGGAATTCCAATGACGACGAGCAAACTGAAAAATTATTTCTAATTGAATTTTGCTTGACAGATAACTTGTATTTTTTAATTTTCATTTATTACGATAATTTTTTTGAAATTTTGATGTTTTTTAATAAGTCGAAATAATTTTCTAATTTTCTTCGAAAATTGCGACCACTTCAAAATTCACTGCGTTTTCGAGATTTTTGCGCGCAACTGGTCCCTAACGGTTTTTTTGTTGAAAATAAAGTATATATTAATCTCCGAATTTATTGAGAACGATTTTTCAAACTTTTACTGGACTCAGAATCGAATTAGATTTTGATGAAGAAGCTGTTGATTACAAGTCTGAAATATTGAATTTACTCATTTCAATGGTATTCAATTTAGCTTCTGACAACCAGCTCATGCGCATTTTGACAGCGTTCATTTTCGCATGCCTATTTGACGAAAACCCATGTCACGCATTTTTCTCAGAAATGTCGCATTCTAGTTCCTTCAGCTTTCCGATCGACCTGTGCTCCCAAGAATCAATTCCAAAGGATCCTATGAATATGCTTCATCAAGCCAAAAAGCAGTTAGTCACTTATTTATTTTCCATCGATGAGTCCTCTCACCCTCCTCCACAACTATTCATTGCCTCGCATCATTGCCTAGTTACAAAGCATATTGTTTATTTATAATTTACTCGTTGGCATAATAAATAAGCAAAGGTCAGGTTTCTCATATAAAAACATACGAAAATAAAATATATTATTGCACACATGAATAACATTTTTTGACAAGCGACATGAAAAATAATGTGCTGAAAATAGTGGTCAAAAATAGTTTTTAATGTCAGTTTGAGTTATGTCCTCTACAACTTCCGTTTTTTTTTTCATGCGAATGTTAGAAAATATTCGATAGTTTTTATATTTTTCTAATTTCACTTAGCTTTATAAAATTTTCTTATGACCTTCTATTAGCGCAATGCAAGTGACTCGCTTGAACATCTGCAAATGCTCGAATCCAAATAATCATGTGATTTTATGTCGAACGTAACCAAGCGTGTTATGAATACACCGAATAAGAATTGATTTGCGTTGCTCATTTCTGTGAATCAGAATTTCGGAATAATTCTGAATGTGCTTAATTTCCGGAAAATTTTAATCTCGTTTGGCTACAAAAAATTTCTGCAAAAAATGAAAGTTGGATGGTACCATGTCAACGAGTAATTTCCTATTCTGACATTTGTATTTAATTAAGTTTTTTTTTAAATTGAAAAATATAATCTGAATAAAACACATTTTTAAATGTTCAGGTAGTGTATCTCATATTATGAATCAGAACTTACTCGTAATATTAAAAAAATTTATGTTCAGTATTCGAAATCCATTTAATTTCATGACGGGGATTCGAATAGGCCTTCCCATTTGATGAAATTGAATCTGAGTCGATTTATGATTCCTTGTAATCCCAATCGTCCCACTAGTCCTAGCCATAACAAAAAACGAATCTGTTTTCTTATTTTATAATTGGCCCAACTAACTTCACAATGGTTGACTAGTCGTTTGAGAATGATATCATTCGATTCAACCTACAGAGAGAAATTTTTTATTTTTTATTTCATGAAATTTCTCATTCATCCATTCTTCAGTTTTTGAAATAAAAATACGTTTCAAATATTTTGATTCGTTACTAACTATTATTTTTGATTTTTCGCCTTGTCACATAGTTTCCCATTATTCGTCAAGAGTCGCCCTAAGATGCAGGAAAACGAGCCCATTAAGACTCGCAAAGAAAAAGTTGCGGATATTACGACTATATATAATAGTTCTTCCATAAATAGACACTGTTTAGAGAAGAATTTTGTTTAAAGAAAAAAATTATCGCATCGCTTTTATATATAATTAAAAATATGTAATTCTTAACATTTCATTAAGACAAAATATTCACTAGATGCTGAAAAACATTTAAAGGTCAGATTGAAATATTAACTTCGATTTTTGAAATGGAAATCGTTTATTCATGTAACATTAAAAATGTTCTGCTCTATTTGTTGTCTTTGAAAACCGAGGCAAAATTAATTTGTCAAAAAACAAATTAATGAAAAAAGTGAGGAATTAATATAATATCTCTTAGGTTTTTTTTCATTTGCGCATTGATATTTGATGTGAACAAACTCAAATTTTTTTAAAACAAATTGCGCAAATAAGTAATCCTCTCCATTGAGTTAGTCATTGATGTACCACTGATTTTAGCTCTTGGCATTTCAGATATTATTCACTATAATCCATAAGAACACTTGAGATCGTGCCAAAATTTTTCAGCCAAGTCGACATGCTATAAGGTTCTACACCATTTCTTTGAAGGGGTGATGTTTTGTCTTTTAAAAATGTTCTGTTTTATAGCGCCTTATTTGTCTAAAAATTGGATGATGACAAGAAAAATGACATCCGTCTTCTTCAAAAAATTATTGTTATTGCCAAAATTTTTAATGCAAATGTCACGCGACCAATCCTGATTATCTAGCAATCTTTCAGTCTTTGCACTTTCATTTCTTTATTTCCTATTTTGGAAGCGTTTATGAAACGCACACTGGCCAATTTCAACAATGAGGGCAATAAAGTGGGCGTGCTCATTGCAATCCATGCGTATTTTCATCAACAAAAATAAGGATGTGATTCATAGTAGAAAGGAAATCTTATTTTCTGCCAGAGTAGCCATTTGATCAAGTTGTCGTGACAAAGTTTCATCCCAATTCGCTTCCATAGGCAACATCATTCTTCCGCCGAGCAGTAGTCTAACCATGGATGTTTTAGAATTGATTTCTACCATTCAATTTATTTAGAATGACGTATTTTTTGAATTCTTAAATCTTGATAAAAACAGATCTTCACAAAAAAATTTCAATTTCCCATTCTTCCGCGATTCTTAGCGCGAACTCAATAGAAAACAAACCCTTTCTTCATTCCTTCTTTTCATTAAATGTTGTTTTTTCGGTTTGGTGTAAACTGTTTTTCGTCTTTCAGAACTTGCGGAATCATGGGCTTAACGCTGCTCAGGTTTCTACTTGCTGCGTCATTGGTCTATGGGTGAGTGATCTCAAGTTGATTCAACTGTTCAACATGCAAATTTAAAGGTCAAGCTCGTTTGAGTTGTTGGATAAGAGGTCGTTGATTGCTAAAAAGCCGGAGTCTGGAATTGAAAGTGGTTCATGGTCGCATATAAATATTAAACTAACAATGGAATGTTTCAGTTATGAGTGATAATATCTCTGGTATGGATCAAAATAAAATGGAGAGCAAAAGATTCGAACCGTTCTCGAATGGAAATCGGTATTACGATGAAAAACGGTTCGATCCAATGATCCAAAAAAAATTCGAACCTTTTGCGGATTCAAAATTGGACATGATCAAGCGTTTCGACCCATATTCAAAACGATTTGATCCGTATTCGAAACGATTTAATCCATATGATAAGCGATTCGATCCGTTTCAAAAACGATTTGATCCGTTTCAAATGCGATTTGATCCATTCCAAAAACGCTTCGACCCATTCCACAAGCGATTCGATCCGTTCCAAAAGCGTTTCGACCCATTCGATAAGAGATTTGACCCATTCACAAAACGTTTTGACTTATTGGACATTCCAAGAAGCAACAAGCGATTTGACACTGGATTCATGCGCAACTACTGGATTCAATTGGACCAGAACAAGCGCAACACCATCGATCCGCAAGCGTTCCAAATTGGTTTTGGGAAACGATAAATTCCTCTACATTTTGTCTTTTTGACTGTTTATTATAATTACTATTTTTTCATTAAAACAGTAACAATAAACAATCGCTTGTAAAACAATGAATAGATTGAAAATAAATATTGTGAACGTTGTTTTGAGTCATTCGAAATGAAGGGCAATTGAAGACAGATTAATTGATGTAAATTTATATTTTTTATGAAAGCAGGATCTCGTTCTCTGCTTTTTTGATACTTTCAAAAGTTCATGAAAAAAAAATATATATATGGTTGGTAGGGTTTGTTGAATAATTTCATTATCTTAATTCCAATTCCGTTCGAAGTTTTGAATTTAGTGAAGCAAAATTCAGCAGTACGACTTGATATTATGCCCTTTACATAAATGATTTCATTAACCTCCCTTTGTTTTCCACTCTTTTCAGACGCAGTGTGCATTGCAGAAATTACCTGCTTCAAACTTGTTCGATAATTATATTATTGAAAACAAAATAGATAAATTTGTTTTTGAATAAATATACATAAACAAAAGTATTTAATTCAAATATGAATTATATTAATTTTCTGGTGTTTACAATTTCTGAGACTTACAAAGAGAGAAAGCTACCGATGAATGCATTTTTCCCTCAAGTTTCCCAGAAGCACAATGGAATTATTTGCGATTATATTATTGTTACAATTCGAATACGTTTAATTATAACGCTTCTGAAAACATTTTTGAAAGTATAACCAGAAATTGAATTATCCGGTTTACATTCCAATTTTTCACAAAATCTTTGTTTACTTGTATGTATATTATTCAATTTCCGATTAAGCGTAACATTGAGAAACGTGATTAATCACCTGTTCTATTTATCCACAAAAAGTATTAGAGGCAAAAATGTGCATATTTGAATAAACATTCTCACGTTTCACGACTTTCATCAACGTCAAAATTGCCTGAAATTGCGTTTTTTGTTATAAACCGCGAGCAGTGACCCAATTACAATCGCGGCAATGTTATTATTCAAGAAAAATAATTTGGCCGGTGTTTGTGGTGTTTGATGAAATTTAATTAGCTCGCTGATAAGGAATAGTAAACAATGTGCATAATTGAGACAAATTTGTTTTAGTCTTTGCTGTACTAGTAGAAATCGATGCATGCTTTCTGATAGCGAAAGAGTTCTATATTATAGTATAGTACCCGAGGTATATCCGAGACGATGTAGTATCCGAGAAGCTGTTTCACAACGCTTGTGATGATAAAAAATCGAATGACGTAATTAATTTGCCAATTTCAAATGTTTGGTGTTATTTTTCATTGGACCCTGTAAGATTCCCTAGTTCATCAATGCACTTATTCGATAGTCTTCAGTTTTCGATTTGTTCTTTTCAAAACGGCGTTGTTTCTATCGGCGTGGCTGTGGCATTCCTCCTAGGCAGGTCGATTCGACAACGCGCGAGAGAGTGTGCGCATTGCGGATGGCCGAAAATATCAGCAGAAATGTGAGCGAGGGGCGGAGCTATACCATGGATGGGGAAGGAGGTAGGTGGGTGGGACTGTAGAGGCGAGACGACCGTTGTGCATTCATTCATTCGTTGCTATCAGCCCAGCCAGCAGCGGCCGCTCCAATCAGCTACTTTATTCCATTCATATACAACGCTAGCAGTCAACAACAATGGATATAGGAACATTGAGCGTCACGCGGAGTATGTGCTATAATCCGAAATAATATGTACGATTAAAGCTTATGCTTCGTGTTACGTTCTGCTCCTACTTTTTCGAAACTAATCCGAGATTGCATCATGTCGTTTAGAACCAGTTGCAGAAAACTTGGCTGAATTCATCCAGTCATTCATTCAATGACATTAAATGATGAATGGGGCAAAAGGAGACGCCTTTTTGTAAATTAACTTCGCTTTAGGGCAATCGGCAGGCAGGAAACGGATTCTGAATGACGAACTCGATTCAAATAACGGAGAACCATGACCATTTAACGAGTGGTTTAAATGTTATTGGAGGTCGACAACGAAATTCTGAACATTTAATACAGCGGAGAAACAATTTGTTGCGACATACACCCGATTTCAATCAGACTCGATTTTATCATATTAAATATTCAAATATAACCAAGAGACATCAAAGCTGAATATCATTCGCAATTACATCTGATTATTTCCTAAATCTCTTATTCAGAGAATATTAAAGTTAGATTATGAAAAAATCCGTAAGGCATTGTTTCCAATGAGACAATTTATTGTGAAATTTCTTAAAATAATAGACAAAAAAATCAGAAAAAAAGACGAAAATTAAATATATTTAAGTTTGTGTAAAATGTTTTTGCAAATCTAATTATGAACGATATTGTGTTGGAATAGCAACAAACATCTCTCTGTATAAATAAACGAGCTCCGCGCGCCGACCGTTCTTGATTTATATCCATTTTCTCTACAATGTAACATGTGTCCAGATGATCTATTCGATAAACCATATGTTCTAAGATTGTTCCGACGTGCAAACTTCTAACTTGAATGTCCAGGTCATCTTGATTCCACACAATTCTACGACATGTATTGGTTTTTGAAACATTCTTGATCGAATGTATTTTTATTCCTCTCTCGGTTTTCGATGTCGTAAAATTGCGTGGATCGGAGAATTGTTACCGAAATATACATAAACTTAACATAAAAGCATCGATGTCGATTTCACTTATTGCGTTTAAACAATCTCCATTATATCAAGAATGGAAAGTGAAATAATAATCAATGCTCTGATTTTTTCCTCGTACACGATACGTGATAATACACACATTTAAACGTGTCTGCGTTTTGTTCTGCAATTCCGCTTTTCTTTCAAAGCCATTCTTTTGTTCGACTTTTCTATTATTGTTTGTTAGCCCATATGAGTTAACGGGTGAGAAAGTTTGTGAAATACAAAGGACGCCGAGCATTTAAAAGAGCAAATGATGAGGATAGTACTCTCTGTTTTATTGCACTTTCAAATGAATGGTGAAAGATTAGGGCACAAGTTATATACATGTATCTATCAATGTATTTCGTTGTTCAATAGTGTGCCGTATATCCGTTGTACGTTGGCGTGCCAAGGTTTCTTGACGAGTACACCGTCCCTGAAAACCATTATGCATGTCACATGTCCACCAATATTTCATTCTAACCCGCAGTATAGATTTTATCAACTCTTGGCAATCGACGAACTGAAGTCGACTCCGAGTAGTTGTCTTGAACTGTTTGCTGGGCGAAGGTCGAGTACGGTACGAAAGCATCCTGAACAAAAACATGTGAGAAATGGTTCAACTATTGTCGCAGTTTTTGTCACAATAGTTTCATGTTGCGCTATTGTTATTACTGGGTAAAACACGTTTGAAAAGAATTGTCATAACGTAACATTTAAAAAAATGAATACATTATGAATAGGAAAAATGGTTTCCGTTTCCGCAATATTGTTTAATTGCCGTTTTGAACAATTCCCAATCTCACGATTATTATAAGTATTATGATGGTTATCGATTATCTCGCAAATCTAGCAGTAGTCATCCAAAAATTGTCATTTTTCTAATCAATCTCGCATTCGCGAAGAGAAATCAATCTTCGCGTTTCTCAACATCAGACAATATCGAATGATGATAGTTTCGTGGGCGCCCACCATACAATCGCAAAATTAGCGCGAAATGTTCGCAGTTCCTGCGTTTCTTCGTTATTCGCAACCAAGTGTCACTGGCCGAGTACAAAAACTCGGGGAGGGCCCCGGACGAAATTGGACACACTGAGCGAATCGAAAGGGATGGAAAAATGTGAAAAAGACGGACAAAGCGATAGATTTAACCAAACCTTAACGGATGCATTATTTTTCTGGTAATGAGACTAACATAGTGTGGAAAGCGGGATTCCTTTGAATTGATCATTGTCATATTATGATCAGGAGACGGTTGTGTAGCGGTAGATTCCCACAACAAACGAGGTGCATGATATACGGTGGCAGCAAACTCAAAGCTAAACGTTAAAATTCCAATCAACATCAAAAGGGCTAAAATCCATTCGGACAAAGCAGCGACCACATGATTCGTATAGTACTGAAAAATTAAATAATTATATTATTAAATTAAAATGTTGAGAAATAGTCATTTTTTAAATGTAATATATTTTGAGATTGAAGGACGCTTAATTCTGCGCAAAAATAATAACGCTGGTTAAATTGGGTCATCTTTAAAAACTGGTGATTCTAATCAAAATTTGTCGTGTTTCTAACAGTGTTTCATTTAATCTGGCGAAGTAAATCAGAAAACCGTTTCAATGAAATGCATATCGTGTTGTATCAGATTATGTCATGAATTCGTTGAGACGTCCATTGAAACTGTGATTACGTGTGATTTCATCATGTTCATCAGATCGAATTGAAATCCTACTCAATCACATTTCAATGACATTGCGCTGTTTCAAGGAAGCGCCTACTTCGGTTCTGTTTACATCATCGTTGTTACGCAAGATGTCATCAGATTTGAAGCGAACAATGATGCAGTTCATGTCAACGAAACGATTGCGTTTCATTGAAACGGATGAATGCTAGCCTCCCTAATTAAATCTAATGATAAATTATATTAATGATTGCACCATGAAAGGCGGTTTCTGATGAAATGTGTAATAGAAAAAATAATCTAAAGCTGATTTCGCGGAATTATTCTTATTTTATTTGATTTTGATAAGAGTTCAGTGTTATGTTATTTTCTAAAAATACTTATTTTCGCTTTCATTGGGCAGTTTGAACATTCAATACTCTAATAATCCGGAATTTAATTTCAGCCAATTCAATAAATTATGCTATGTTCTAAGCTATATGCAATTGAATCATATTTTTCTGGCATAATACATGTTTTTCAATATTTATTGTCGGAATTTTCTAAAAAAATGTTATGGAAACCTAATTTGCTGATGTCAATTTCCGGTTTGCCACAATATAAAACTAATTATTTTCCGATGCAATTTTTTTCTGCTTAAATTTTCGTGAAATTTTAACGTTATTCCTTGAAAAATTTTCTGTTTTGTTTCATAAATTTGTCCTTCAATCAATCATTCTTATCAGTCTTGCCTAATTCGCTTCCCTCCCAGTTTTGGTGTAATTTTCTTTCTTTCTATCTCTTTCCGATTTCAATCCCTACCGGTGATGTACTATTCGGCCTTTCAATGTTGTCGCTCCAAACCTGTTTCGGTGGCAATTTTCCATCAATTCTTGTGACAAATGGTTGCACAAACAGGCAGATGATATCTGCAGTTATCTAATCATCAATTAATACCCCCTTCTCTTATTCTATCAACGCCCAACAGTAGCGATAGATAGAGGTCGAATTGAGCGGAAAATAGTAATCAATCTTACGGAAAATTAGAACAAGAGATAAGGAGAACGTAAGAAGCAAGCGGAAATTTGTCAAACGAACCGACACCATTTTTGGCCTGACATCTCAATATCAATTGGATATAATATCTTATGTTTATGTTACCGAATGCTGTAGGAAATCACAAGAAGTCCCCAGAAGTAAAGAACGAATGCAAAGAAAAACATGAACGCTCCGATTGAATGCACCGTTAGCTGTTCGCTTTCCTGCAAATATTTTGGTTTTACTCCCTATTCAATTTCAACCAAATTTTGAGAACCGTCAAAACAACTTTAGTGCGTAAACATTGATTCATATTGATAACGGTTTTTATCAATAACATTCAGCCAAACAATGAAAATTTTGATGGGCGACTAATATTTTGTTCACAATTAAATATTTTTCATGGAAATACGGTCGAATTACCGGAAAATTTGCCACCATGCAAACTCCTAATGCTGAGATCAGGCCTATAAATGTGATAAATATGCAGAAGACTTTCCAAGATCCACGGTTTGATCGATTTTGATCTATGCTTGACACAAACCAAATGTGATTGAGAGAGACAGTTATCGCCCCTGAAGAATCGAAAATCAATTTTTTTGTTTTATTCATGAATTTGCTCACAAAAGAATGCGAATATGTTCAAAAGTTGTCCGAATACCATTCTCTCGGGCCACATTGCCCCACAATCGCTGAAATTTATATTTTTCGATTTCTTTTACTCATAAAGTTGCTATGTGAAAATGATAAGTTTATTTGAAGTGGTTTTTTTTCCAATATATTTACACTGTTAGTCATTTAGCTATATGTTGAAAATCAAAGTGAAAACAGTTCCAATTTAGAAATTAATTACCAAGAATCCTTAATGAACAGTTTTTTACATTAGTTTCATATAATTTAAATTTCGAATAAGAAAACGCCTACCTGATGAAAGGTATCCAAGCATCTACGTGATCATTTCCAACAGCAATACCATATCTAAAAATTCATAATTTTGTTAGTTCGAGATCTGCCCTAATGCAAACTTCTTACCCTGCAAAAAACGCGAAAAGCGCGAATATTACCGTTAAAAATGGTAATAAACCAAGATGATGAAAAGCCATGGAGTGCCAATTGTTGCACGGTTAATCGGAAAACTCCAACGAACAAAATAGGCGTGTGCGTGAATTGTGCGATAAAATGATAAAATTCCGCAAAGAGCTGATGCCTTTAATAAGCGCACAAAAATTTGAATACCTATGCAAATAAATGATCGTGTAGGAGGCAAAAGTTTGGTTTCAAGCGTCTATTGTGATTCACACAACACACCGAAGTACTGTTGCGTTATCTTTAAATGTTTTGAAATCTTTAAAAAAATGACTGGTTCGAAATACAGTTTATTGCACAGTTGTGAACATAAAGTTACCGGTTTGAATGAATATCAACGTGATAAACCCATATATATACAATCAACCAGGCCGACAAAACAATAACAAACAATAAGAATTAATTCTTTGGATAAAAATTACAATTAATTGATCAAATCAACCATACCCATGTACAAAAACCAGAATACCTTAAAAATATGACAACCAGGATTAATGAAGTAATAACTAGAATAATACACGTATCGCTGAAAATATGGCAAAACTTTAAAAGAATAAACATCCAAACTTAACAAGCGACCTAATTTAAATGTCTAAGAACTGCTCGCTAGTATCTGAATACGAAATATGGTGAATACTGGACATTGGGGTGAAGTTTGGCATTGGTGGTAGAGGATTATAGTCAACATTTTGACTTGAAGATCCAGTGATTGTACGAGGTGTTGATGTTCTTGGCAAGTCTTCAACGGACTAAAAAAAATAGATTTGTTAAAAAAAACTGTAAATCAAATTCAATACCGCGCTGATCTTCCTACTTTTCACTCGGCGAATCTTTTTCCGGTTCGATGATTTCGGAATTTCTGTGATTGGCACAACTCCATAAGTCGAAAGACTGAAATAATATAGAAATTATTGATGAAGGCGTGTTTTCTGAAAATTTCGTTGTGTCGTCTTACTGTTACACACAATAGTGAACGATTCTTTCACTCATGAGACCAATTTTCTCAAGGATATAACGATTTTTATGGTAGGCATTTGTGCGTATTTTATGAAAAAAAACAACGATTCCACTTTGCCAATGCCATGTTCATTTTGTTGAAATTACCTTGCTGTACTTGGTGGAGGCGCATAAAATCGATGAGGCGGATGATAAATTGTCTCCACTGAAGCACACGAATTTGGAGGCGGCAGCGCAGAAACGTTCGACGAGCTATCGGCAACCGAATATGTCACGCTATCCATTTGAATTTCTTCAGTTTGATTCGGAATTTCCGGTAGAGCACGAATCAAGCGCGACGATTCGTAACCTGTCGTGGATGTTGCTCCATTATTTGCTACGTGCTCCATTATTTGCTTGTCCTTTCTTTAAATGAAAACTAAAATTGATATGAGACAAGTTTTTCATACAAACCTAGCACAACAGAAAAGTATAATGACGAAAAGTAGCAAGAAAACAATGATGAGAAGTACAAAGTAGAGGAGGTGAGGCTCACCAACGACACTAGACATACCAAGATTCAGGCATAGCTGAAATACTGTTTCTTTTTCTTAACACTACAATTTTGATTTATACCATTGTCTGCTCATCTTCTCCTCTTTCGCAATCATTGATTCTATCGCACAGAGCTGCCCTAGGTACACATTTAGAAGATGTAGAATGGCTCCAAGCACCACAATCGAAATATTCATGCGGTCGTTCGCAGCTGAAATCAATTCCTTTTACTCATTTAATGTGCGTCTTTCAACATACCGACAGTGTAATTCATCAGAAGCATCAGCACATTGAGCATACCCATCGCAAACTAATGTTCGATTAATATTGCTGAATCCATCATCGCATGGCCAAAGTTCGGAAGAATGCGACCGACACATTGCGAATTCTTCATCGCTATGATCGCTGAAAATCGAATATAATGTATGGATGAATTTGTCGATTCGTACAAGCAATCATTAATGCCGTCGCACTTCTTTCCAGCATGAATACACTGCCTTCCATTTGAGCAAGTGAATTGCCATGGTAGACACGAAACACTTGCTATGCACTGCCGTTTGCTTAAATTTCTTTCTTTCAACATCTTTAAGGAAATGTTATCATACTTGACTGAGCTTATAGCAGATCCTCTAGGACAAAGGCATTCATACTTTTCGTGAATTGGTGAATCCTTGTCCCGAACATAGCGACAAATGTCAGAGCATTGAGCAGCTCGACAAATTTTACTTTGCACATCATAATCAGCTGAAAATAATTGACATAAATTATCTCTTAAAATATTGATGAAAGTACCGAATCTAGAAATTAGTTCGGTATCTGCCAAATCGAATATCGATTCGTTCCCAGGCCAATCATACGCTTTTGATTTTTTGTCTCCGATCAAAATCACAATCAGAGATTGCTCATCAATAGGGGCGACATCATACTTTCTGCTACTCATTGGGGTTCCATAATGATGCTGAATGTTGGATTCGGCTGAAGCAATGTCTCGAGACCAAACTCCACTCGAATCCTGAAACACGTACCATGTGACGGTCAAAAGTTTTACGATACCGTGTAAAACAGTCGTGAGCTCTCCACGTTTGGATCTGCTTGCAATCGTGTATTTGGATCAATTACGTCCTTAAGCCACGTCGAACATATCTTACCATCTAGAGTGCATTTCATGATTGAGCTTTGTGTTGATTCGTGTACAGCACCATTCACATAGAAAAATGCGCTAAATTTCAATTATTGTCGTTGAGTTTTTACATTAATGTGATTTACTTTCTATTTGGATACACGGCAATCGATCTCGGTTTCGTTGGAAATGATGATTCTAGAGTTGAAGTAGATCCAGAAGAAAGTCGAGCAATGAAGACAAGACTGAGTGGATCATTCTGAAGGAAACGATTTCAAATAACAAGAAAAACACGACACTCACTTCAATTTTATAAATGACAATAAAGCCAGTAGCATTAAGATGACACGTGGCATACAAATTATTTCCGATTGAATCAACTGCTAGAGACACAAAAGAGAGGCATGCAGCTGTTTGAGCAGATACGGTGTATACCTTAATTAAATTAAATGAACAGAATTTACCAGCATATAATACCATTTTTGGTTCATCGATTTTCACTATGTTCAACACTGACGAATCTTCTTTGTCAACCCAAAACAGTACGCGATCCGATGGATGGTATGAGAAAGCAATGGGTGCATGCAAAGATTTCCGTTTGATAGGCAGACTGATGACAGGATCCTAAAAATAGACGATTTGTTAGAATAAAATACATTTTTTGTTACTTGTTTCCAAGTTAGTAGTTTTCCTGGTAACCCTTGCAAACCAATGAAGAAGAATCCAGAACTTTTTGCAGCGATTATCGTGTGAATGTACGCTGAAAACATTGGAATTGTACTAACAAATCTACAATTGTCGTACGTTTGCATTGAAGAGGGTCTAGAACCGTTGGAGTTTTGTTTATGACAAAGTGGCTGGAACACGTGCAATAATCTCTATATGGTAATTGTGTCGTGAATATTGAAAGAACTGGAGGCTCCTCTTCCGGAAGACACAAATGCTCACAATTTGCTTGATTATTATAACATTGATTAGATGTCTCTGAAATTTTTCAACGAATTTCAATTTCCTAACGATTAATGAAAATACTTGCCATATGTATCCAACCTGTAGTTGTTGAAGAAACTCGTTATGGCTTTTGTTTCCATCAAATTATCAAACTCGGTATGCATAGTCAACCCGTTGTAGTATCCGATTCTGCCGGTTCCGTTTTGATTCTCCACATAGTAGGTGTTGCCGGATTGTATAGCAGCGCCGATAGGTTTTTGGTCCTTGCCCACATAAAACATTTCACGGAAAATTCCATCACTGGTTGCCACTGTGAAAAGCCATGATTTATCGAATTCAACCCAGAAGATTTGGTTTTTTGTGACGTCAACAGTTAGTGTCAAAACATTTTCAACATTCAATATCAGATCATTTCCACCATTCATGTCGCCATTCATTGACATTCTCTAAAAATTAAAATATTAGTGTAATAACAATGATTTCTTATAATCAACCTTGATAGTGCCCGGCTTGTTGGCATCGATGAAGTATAAAACTTTTAGCCGGAGATGCAGAACAATTTGCCTTGGTTTGATTTGCTTCCACGCTAATACTTTTCGATATTTTCCCGTTTTGTCGCATACTTCAATTTGCTCATTCGCGGAATCCGACCTGAAATGTTAAAAAATAGCAATTTTCTGATAATCACAAACAATTTACCAATAAATATTCCCAGATACGTGATCCACTGCTACAGAAAAAATCTTTTTGATTCCTAGATCCTCGAGAACAATCTCGCAACTAATGATCGCCTCAATAACTCCAACAGTCGATGGTTTCGGGTATTGCGTTTTGACAATAAGAGCAGAATTGTCATAGCCGGTCCCACCCAGAAAAATTTCACGTGTAGCCTAATATGTATGCATTTCAATTATGATGACTAATAAATGTGAAACCTTGTTAACATCGAATGCTTGAATGTCTTTCAAAACATCAAGATAGTCTGATTGCAACCGTTGAATAGTTGACGAGCTTCAAAGAATGTGATAAAAGAACATTAATTTTCAATAACATAATACTTTTCGGTTGACACTATTGAAATGACTCCGTTTGTGTGAAGAACGGCTAGCATGTTATTAGGAATACTACATTTTCGAGTCACTGCATTCATGAAGTATCCATCGGCACATTGACAATTATGGATATTTCTAAAAAAAAAAGATTATGCAAAACTAGTTCCAGTTAAAATTTAATCCGCTCGGTCCTGCAAGCCAAATTCCCCTCATTCGCACGTTCAGATAATTTAATCCCAAAAAACGGTTTTTTTTTCTTTTTTTTCCAGTTCTTTAATGTATTCAAAATTTCTAACAAATTTGTTGAGTGTTTCGAAAGGACCGGAAATTGGAATATATTTGCTATATTATTTTGAAATCACTTTGGCAAGAATTCATGTGAATTAATATGTAGTAAGAATTGTTTGACACGATAAATATCAATGTATTTTGATAAATTATCAATGAGCCCATTTTCATTTGTTTCTTTTCTTTCTCTTTCTTACTTACTTCAGTCTGTTTTCAACACAAATATGTTCGCAATATCCATTTGCTCGACTGCAAGAAGTATGCCTTATAACCGACGCTTCACTGAATTCGACTGCTGTCATTCCTTTTGCCCCAAAAATTGGAGTCTCAATCAACCGGCTATGAGGCACATCTAAAATTATTTGTTTTTAATTTTTACCATATTTTTTTTTTAAATTTTTCTTACGAATATTATCAATGGATACTTGAAGAATTGACCGTCCTAGAAATGAATTAATGAACACTGTGGTCCCAACAACTTCCAACGTGCTCGGTTGAGGGAGGCGGTTCGTTTCATCGAATTCAATTCGCGAGACTGAGAAGCTTTTCAAATCCATCCACTAAAAATTAATAACATGGGGATTATTTTTTATTTAATAAATTTTACCACAAGATCAGTTGAATTTTTTTCAATCCAAAAGAGGATTTCACGATCATTGTCAATGTTTAAATCAGTTACAAAAACCCCTTTTGGGAGAGTGATCTGCAAAAAATATACACACATTTTGAATTGTTTCTTAAAAAAAAAATACTTACTAAAGTATTCAATATTCTACCATTAGAGTCAAAACGATCAATTATACTATGATCATGGCTATCATCTAAACGATATAAGTAAATTATAACCTAAAAGCTTTAATTAGAATACGTGAGACTATCAACGATCCGTCAGCTTTAACAATTGCAAACGATTTGATGTTTTGAATGTCACCGTGAATCAAAGTCTTAGAAAACAGCGATACAAGACTTGTAACCTGAAAGTTTGGGCATAAATTTGAAATCAGCATGTCTTAAATACTCCAATTCTTGATAATTTAATGTCATCAAGCCAGTACAAGTTTCCAGAATCAGAATTAATTTTTATTCTGCTAACCGTTGTTGGAATAGTTAGAATAATCTGAATAATTGCGCTTATTTAATTTGGAATTAATTCCCTAATGTATTACCTCAATATTCGTCCCATTTCTATATCCTCGTTTAACGAATCTTTTAATTTTTTGGTCCTTGGGATTGCGCTCGTCCTCAATCCAATAAACCATATTGCTTTTGCTCTCGAATTCAATATCATCAACCCTCATGACATCGTCACCATTTTCATAAAATAATGGAATCGCAACGTGATCAAATGTATCCAACGATATCATAAAGACGCCGTTGAGGGATGAGACGAACAACGCCTGAAAACATTTATAATCATAGCATATTCGTTGAACAGGTGTACTCATATCCTCGGAGCAATTTTTTTATGCCTAGCATATTGTTCAATAAAATTATAAGTGTCCGATGTACAAAGCAGAAAGCTACAAACTACATCTCAATAGCACAAACACTTTCATTAAGCCCCTTCCTTTGATATTGATCTTTTCTCGTTATTCATTGGAAATATAATTAGGCTTAATTACCTAAATAATGTTCTGGAAGTAGAAAACAATTATTGTTCTATTATTCTGGTGAGTTTTTTCCGTTTTTGCTTCATTATTATAATAACACCATTAGGCTAATTGAAAAGAGAAGCTAGTGTGCTCATTCACACTCATTTGCTTATGATATTTTCCGTTGACCAACGTTTCTGTTTCTATTCAATTTTCAGGTAATTTCAAATGCACATCCAACGCACCTTTTGAATTCCACCGTCTCGACACGTCCGTTGATCTTTCTCGAGAGCGATTCCGATTGGACAAGCGCATCGTGATGACTCACTGTTATCACTGTTTAAACAAAAATGTGAGCATTTTCCGTTTTGAACAAGACATGAGGGCGGTCCTATAAAGAATTATGAGAGTGAAGATAATTTTAAATATAAACTACCGTTAGCTCCATCGGCAAGAACCATGTTGTCGATATCATTGAACATTGTTTTTGAAATTGTTCGGTTACAATCCGCAACTTCGCAATACCAAAGATCGCTTCGAGCCGATGCAGTCCATAGCAAATGATTCTAAAATATCATGGATAATTGCTTTAAATGTTTACTTAAAAGTCAACCTCAGAAACTAAGAGGGAAATGATATTATTAACACTTGTAATGATCTCGCAGCTTGCTGAAGTGTTAACCGAGCATCCCACAATTTCATTTGAATTCGATGAGGAACGAATGAAGAATACTCGGTTGGATTGCGAATGATAGACCGGAGAATGTGATCGGTATTTTACATTCATCTGTAATTAGCTTATCAATTGTTTAAAAAATAATGATAAGACCTACCGTATAGGCATTGTTCTGATGATTGTAGCCGCTCATTGTACTTGTTTCGATGGAATTTGTCACACCGTTGAGCCAAAACATTCTTCTGAAAACGATTTTTACAAAGATATTGGTTGAACACGTGATAAATTACCCATGCTCGGGGTCTAGAATCAATGAATAGAGAAAATCCAATTTGTCATTTAAAACCACCGTGCAAACTGACGTATTGGTTATAAGGCAGGATTCTATCCTTCCTCCGCTCTCGTGATTTCCTTGCACTCCAATGTAAATCTGAATATTTTTTTACCTTAATTGATTGACGGATTTATGCTACCGTATTTGTCTTCCAGTCAAAACTCATCGTTGATGGTGGTTCAGTATTATGCTCACCGAGTTTTCCTAACGATGATGACTCTCCACTCTTTAAATTCAATGAGTATAATGTCCCATCTATAAAGTAATAGCCGATATTCTGAAATTTTGCAGAATTTTACTCGTAAATTTTATAATTAAATACCTTTCCGGTGTCAACGGTTAGTAGAGCATTCACATCTTCAACAATTGTTTCTACTAACGTGTTGGAAAATGAGTTTTTCTCTTTTTTTGGGTCGATATTCAGTAACACGAGACTTTTTGATGTGCGCGCAAATATTTTGATGCAATGTGATAAGTGTGTAAAACCTGAATTTAAATTATTTATTCGATTTATTTTTGTTAACTTACATAGTAAACTAATAATTAGAAAAGTGAACTGGAACCGGGTTAAGTGAATGTGCATTATAGCTAGTAAAATAGTGCTTCTTCCGTCGATAAGCGTTATTGCATCTGAAAGCACGGAGGAGTCTATTTGATAAACGTTCAGCACACGCGAAGCAGATGATAAAATCTTTAAACGAACAGAAGAAATATGGAAAACGACATATTGTTTTGCACTTTGAAACATCAAAGGTGCCGCCAAGGACGGTGGAGCAGATTTGCGGCGGTGAGGTATTTGGACCACATTGTGTCTTGCGAAGACCACGAAAAATAGTGTTGTACTCGAACAAAGAAAAAGATGATTAGACAAAATTGGGGAGAAAATGAATGTTTGGAAATTAATTTTGCGCTGCATTCTGCATTTGCAAATTGCCGCATTAGGCGGAGAATATATTGGGAATGGAAATTGACCAATACGAGAAATTTTCTGTTGGGGTAACATAGTGAACATAAAAAAAAAAACAAATAATAATCTTTTTTGTTTTGATATTATCTGTGAACTGACTCTTAACATAATAAAAAATTAACACATATTTGACATAAAAGTTAATATGGAACTTCTGAAGAAAGGCTGTGCTCATTTCAGATTTATTTTTCATTTTTACTATAGTCTTCGTTTCTTGAAGCATTTAGAAAAATTATTTATCGTTCATTGAAACAAGAATTTATTAAAAACCACTATAGGCATATGCAAAATAGCATTTAAACGGCACTTACTTATACATAAAAATTTTTAAAAATCATAGTTTTATTATTCAAATTAATTTTTGTCACTCCCATTTCCTTAAAAAAATGACACCTTCATCCGCGTAAAAAATAATTTCCATTTGCTAGTTGAATTGGCGAAATTGTTTTTCATATAAGCCATTATTTTTCCAGACGACTAATTACAATTTATTGACCGAAGTAAAGCGGCATGTAGTTGCGAGAAAATTGATTGCATGAGTATTTGTACATCTTTCTATTAGCGAATCCATTGTTGTATTTTTCGAATCCTCCAAAAGAACACTATAGAATCCAGCAAGTGTATGCGAAACATGCCGGGTCGAACAAAATGCAGTCTGGCTCCAATCGATTTTGTCCCCTCTCTTTTACGACGACTCTCACTAGCCGGCTAGCTCATTTGCACGGCATTCTTTGCGTGGCCCATTTTTTTTTATCTTCTCACTTTTTTGAAATATCGCCATCCATTTTTCACGCGTATTCCTTCACATTGCGTCTTCTCCCACATTTAAATAGTCTTTGTTTCAAACGAAAACGACGAATGGGAAAACGGCATAAAAAGATTTGGAGGTTTTGCAGGACGAACAAATTTTGTGAACGCAGATGAAGGGTCGATGATTAGTGTAACCGTTGCTGCACACGGCAGAACGAAACGGGTGGTTGGGGCTCATTTGAGAGTTAGTTTTTTACTCAAATTAATTAATTAATTATACCCTAATTAATTGGATTGTGACAATAATAATAATAATAATAATATTCATATTTTTAAAGGCTTATGGAAGTGCGCGACTTTCAATATGTGATTTGAAGAAAGAGCAAGTCACAACTAAAACCACTGTTGATAACCGGTAGGATAGAGGTGGAAATCGAAATTTATTTGATTTTTATAGATGGAAAGTCGTGAAATTTTTTGGAAAATTGGTTGAAGCGCTATTAGTTTTCCTTCGTTTCTGCCTCCCATTCTTATTTTCGTCGACGTCCCGTCAATTTCATGCGACAGCGTTGCCGAAACGCATTCCACAATCATTATTCGGTTTATCTCCAATCAATGTAAGAAACAGAAAAACCAATCAGAAATTATTCAAATTTAATTATAGCAACTGGACGATGAAACTTTGTTTCGGATTTTTGAACACCTTGATCCAATATCGGTTATTGCTTGTGAGATGGTTTGCCAAAGATGGAATGCTATCATCAACGATAATGTTCATTATTTACCAAAAATGCGAACAGATCAAGTAAGATAATTCTTTAATAATTAATGGAAGCCTTAAAAAATTATAATGAGAATTTTCAAAGGTTTCGGATTAATATTCCATAAGAAAATTATTTTCGGGGGAATATTTCTAGAATAAAAAAAAATTATCCACTGAAAATCTATTTACAAGAAATAAAAAAATTTATTTAAAATACAAGTATTTTAATTTTTTATGAAAAAAAGAACGAAAGCATTTTGTTACATTGACCATTTTTAAATAATTCACACCTCTTTTGTCTATAGAATTTCTAAATTCTTTATTGTTAGATCCGAGTTCTTTTTGATGAAGGAGAAGTGGTTGTGTATCCACTTGACGAAAAGAAATGCCCGACAAGATATCCGATGCCTTCTCTACAGGTAAACGCCATTGATTTCCATTCTGGATGTTGTTTTCTAGATTCTGGGTATTCGTTTGCGTCACTTGACCACACAGTCCTTGTTTGTTCGTGGCCTGATTCCTGTAGAGTCAATTCCTGTGCTCAATCTTCTCAAGAGTCTCTGCCTTTTACCACAGCAAATTTATTTCATATGGAGTAAATTTTGTCCAGATAGCATTATTTTGGTAAGCCCAATTTGATAAGATTCTTTGTTTTAACCGATTAATTGGTGAACATTGATCAAAGTAACACGTGATTTCAATTTTTCAGCTGGAAGAGTTTGTGCATCAAAATTCGGATACGGTATGCGACTTTGGACTCGAAGAATGTTCTCCAGCGCATTTGTTAACCGACAAGTTATTGGCGCCAATAGCGCACAGTAAACACAATGAAATGATAGATTGTAATCAGATCATCGAAATTTCTAGATTTGACTTCTCTTCGCCTTTGGAACAACGGAAAAGGATCTCATTACGCGATCACCGACGAAACACTTCTTGTGATGGCCGAGTAGGTGTAAAATTACATCATTTAAGGAAAGAATGTCTTCTGTGACCATGTGGGAAATTAAAGTTCACCGAATTATTTTTTTATACGATAAAAAGAAAAAAACACATTTTCAAATTTAAGAGCTGGATTTTAAGAAAATTAATTTTCTTTTTCCATTATATAATGTATCAAAATAAAAATAGTATTTAAAAAATTACGCACATATTTATAAACATATTTTAGAAATTTAATTTTCGTAATATGACGAAAGTTGAGAATTGGAAAAATTTTCGCGTTGTCAACATTTTACAAGAATGCTGTTAGTATTAAATTATTTCTAGTTCAATTGCTTCCGGAATTCCTGTGGAAACTATCGACCTTGCAACATGCATAATATCGAGCGAAATTGCTTGCAATGTAGTTGAAGCTTGGATTTCAAAGCCGACTTCAGATTTGATATTTTCTCTCAACAACTGCGGCCCGGTGGAAAGGTATGTTTACAATAGTAATACTGAGAAATCGAATAGCAAATGTATCAAATTTCATATTATATATATATATATATTTACAGATCATCGCTTCTTGAGCAGCTCGCCGAAATGAATATTTTTACGGACGCTGAGAATCGCATAAGATGCGGTGGATTCACACTCACACTTTTCTGTTCATAAAATGTTTATTGTAATTGATTAATCACAAATGATAACAAGCTATTTGATTGGTATCTAATTTCCGACAAACTGAGAGCGTAGTAACAGAAAACAACAGATAAGGTAAGTAAAGGAGTTGGAAATCACCGGCATTATGTTGATATTGATTGCGAGTATTCAAAAAAAAAAAGTCAAAAATTCAACGTTTTTTTTTTAAATTTATTTTTGGCATATTTCTGTTCGGTTGGCGGTGTCTTTTTCCGATTCTGTCATTCCCATCACTGATCCGCGATAATCGACCTTTTCACCATATCTTGAGAAGAATGTCACCTTGCATTTCATTCGATGTCCAGTTCGCTGAAACAACATATCATAAATGCTATTCACTCTGTCATTCGAACTTCATCAAAAGAATTGCACTCAAAATATGGCGGAATGTAAAGATGAAGTGAAACGGCACCATCAGAATGACTTTTGTTTTCCATTCGGTGAAGTCCCAACTTATCTGAAACCGAACTGATAACAATTTGCTTGCATCACTCCCACGTGCGCTTAAAATTTTTACCACAATGGTCACGTGTCGATTGACAAAAAATCGACAACGTGCGCGCGCGCGATAGTTTCTCTGTCTACAATGTTTCGATGATAGATTAATTGCAAATCAGTGACAAAAGCGGTTCTTGTTTGGGGAATGTGAAATTGTCTTCGGAGTTGATGGCTAAAAATGGATTGAACTACTAACCGCTCATATACGAAACACCATTCGTTTCGTAGTCGTTTTCCTCGATGGTTCGCATATGTTGGCCTTCTTCTTCAGGCCATGCGTATTTCGTTTCTGTCAATGTCCCTTCAAGCATTTTGACGAAACAATGCGCATCGGTGTGATCGTGAATGCTAAACAGTGTACGATTAGTGACCTGTTTACCACGTGGTTCGTATTAAATTATTGTAGTGATTGATAAAGAAAAGTTATTTTTGAATAGGAAAAGAAAGAGGAAATTACCTGCTGGCCATGCCTGGACCCCAACACAGAATCATCAAGTTATATTTGTCATTTCCGGTGTCTACGAGATTTCTTGTATACCTAAAACAGAGAATTGAGGATATGCAATGGTCGGAATTTACTTACTTATGTTCATCAAAGATTGCATATTTTCTCCATTCCGCAGGATTACTTTTATAGCTTTCCAAAAGCTTCATAACGACGTCAATATCAATATTGTCCTGCTCAAAGATTTCGCGGATTTTTTGAATTACTTCGGTAAGGGAGACCATTGCTTCTTTTTTCTGCATAATACCGATTAGATTGATATACAAGAAAGAAATGCAACAACCAAAAAAGCCAACGATTAAAAAAACGAATAAGCTAAACTGATAAGTGAAGAATCAATGCCTTATATCAAAGTCAGTCGCGAAAGATATGTCCTCGTCATCATCAATGGAAGTAGGCGGACTGTCGGCAGAATTGACACGGTTGTTTTGGAACTGGTGGTTGTAGGTTGGAATACTGTAGATTTCAAGACTGGGTGATTGTGGGGAAGTTCCTTTTTATAAGAGACCATGCCAATTTGGATTCGAATATAAATTGATGATGTGTATGGAACTGATCTTTCGAACAATCAGATAGTGAATGTCGTAGGGAGGAATAAAATACACTAGAAGAGCGAATTTTCAAGTTTTAACAAATTTTTTCGGATTTCACAGAACAAGGGGCGGTGAAAGATTATTGTCGGTTGCACGCAAATTTGTTCTCCGCAGATGTACAACCCGGACAGATATTCGTGATGGCCTTGAATAATGAGGCACTTTCTAACGCAATGCTCCAATATTCATATGAAACATATGTAGTTTTCGAGAAAAATGTGATATAGAACTGTCTGTTCCCCAGCATTCCAAACCAAAATTGACGTTTACTCAACGTCAACAGTTATCGTTTAAAAAAATCGTTCCGCAAAAACACCTAGACATGAAGGATTCTCACTAGTTTGAAAGAAACAGTTAATTCTATTTCCGGAAATTTTCGATTTCACATCTTCCTCGAAGTATACAGATTGATGATGTTAAAGTCTAATCTATTAATGTCACGCTGGTAACCTCTATTTGATAAGCGAAATCACTGTGAAGAAAACTAAAAAACTGCACGTAGACAATAAGAGAAAACAATGTTTCAATTCATTTTTTTTTCGCCAAATCGTAGTGATGAAGGATCTGGTTTTCATTGGGAAAACAGTTATATTGTATTTGGTCAGATTTTAGACAGATGATGAAACATCACGTGATTGTTTCGATACATTTATATTTGCCTCCATCAAATTTCTTATTCGAGAGTGGAATTTGGCAACTGTATTGAACACACAAAAAGGTGGATCAAAGTCAAAAATCTATGCGATGAATACCCGGATATTGCCAGAAGATGTACGTCATTTTCTACTCAGATTATTATCTGAGACTGAGAATTAAAAACTGTTTAAAAATGAAAAGAAAATTCATTGGCAATGAATGATGTTTCTGAATCTACGTGAGTTTACTTAAAATGTTTACCGAACAGTTGTGATTCGATAAAATGCTGTTCTTTAGGAAAAATCGCGTATTTCAAATATCTAACGTAATCAACAAAAACCAGTTGGTTGATTGCTAAAAGTTGGGTGGGTGAGTTGAGTGACCTCAAATATGATCAACATTTTTTTGAAGTCAACTTTCTGATGCCTTATTTTTTACTTTTTATGAATCATGACGGAATAAAAGGAAAAAGGATTGACTTTGACATAAATGTTTAAAAAATGTGATAAAACGATTTATGAAAAATTTAAAACGGATCATTTATATGCTAGTAATTTACCATCATATCCGCTCAGTCATCGGTTACATCATCGAATTCGCTGAGTTGCGCATAACAAGACCGGCACCTTTGCCGATGACAATCAACCGAAAATTGTCTCATATAATAATAATATAATGAATCACTGTATAATGCGTCTCAGAATTTGTAAACAACAAAGATTTTCGCAACCCAGTTTTTAATTTAGACATTTTTTTGCTGAAAATAATATAAACTACTACAATTATTATCAATTATTTTTCAAGCAAAATTGGTTTATTAAATTATTAATAAATTATTAAATCTGATTAAGTTGTTATGCGATTCCCTTGAGTTTGATATCAGACAAATAGATGCTTGCCCGTATATTTCCGCTCCAGTTCCATTCAACGGGTTCGTCAAATTCACATACTAATGTTCAGCTAGAAGAATAAGTTGAGGTGAACCTCAAACCATAGATTCGCCATCGGTTGCTATGACGACATTTTCCTAGCCAAAATCCCTCTGGCTCGATGAATGCGCGCACGCGTTTGAATTGCTGCGCGCGACGAGAAGCTTATTGGTCGCCATACGTAATCCACCGAATGTTCTCCTATCAAACATACATTTTGCGCTTTGTTCGATATAATTAGTATAGTGGGGCAGCAGGCGAATTCAGCGAGTATTTCACCGCTAGCTCGGATAAATTATGGCTGACGACGACGGCGGAATCGACGATTTGCTCGAGGTATTTAGTTGACATTTAGTATAATATCATGGGCCCTGGGCTATATGTATGATATAGGTCACTTTCATTCTTTCACTCTTGTTTATAGGGAATGGACGATTTGGACGCTGCACTATTTGGAAAAAACGCTGCTAACCGAAAACCGCAACCAAGAAATGCCTTATCATCTATGCTTGATAGGGTAAGTGATTTTATATTTCCACATATAATCATATACTCGATTTTAACTAACTATAGACGGCTCCGGCAAACAACCCTACCACTGGGAGGCGACCAATAGTTAGTTTTGCCGATTCACCATCGGCTACTGCAACTTCCCGGCCAGTGAGTTTATCTTAAATAATATATAAAAATTCAAAGTATTCACAATCGAAATTTTGTATTCCATTATTTTCCTCGTAAATAAACTAGTTTTTGAATTTTGATCATAGCTTTTTATAAATTAACATTTTCGCATGAATTGTAGAACGCTTTTATAGTTAATGTGAAAAATTGGAAATACAAATCCTATATTTCCTAAAACGCTGAAGGAATTTTTACCTTCCCAGGCTCCTTCACGATCAGCGATTGATAGTTTGTTCGGAGGACCATCAACTTCCAATGCACCTTCTTCGGCGGCAACTCCGTAGGTTACTAAGCGCATGTTCGTATATAGAAATTGACTTCAGTGCTCCACGGCAGCCACGACAGCAGACAAACTTAAGCGATTTGTTCGGCGACTCTCGACGGGAAGAGGTTGCACCTGCTGTTTCTGTTACGGCTTCTTCAAAGGTATCAACCAGCTCAAATGTTGAAACACCACCAACACCAAAAAAAGAGTTGGTGTCGTCATTGGATACGCAACGAATTCATAGGTGACATATTTAATATCTCACGGTGACACGTAATATGTCATTTCCAGGCTTGAAGCAGAAATCGAGCGTTTGAATCGTGAGTTGGACGATTTGAAGAGACGAAAGCGAGACGATGAAGAAGATCTCGAGAGGATTTGGAAAGATCGTATTGATAAAGTTAACCGCGATCATGCTGAAGAGGTTGAACAAATTAAATCTAATCAACAGTAATTTAATTAGAGTAAACGTCTTTTGATTTAATCGTAATTTAGAAAAATTCAAGCAAAATTAGAGGAAGAACATAAAACTGAACTGGAACGCTTAAAAAGCAATTATGATAGGCAATTGGAATGTTTGACGAGCACTCTAGGCGAAAATAAGTTAGTGATGTTGAGCATTACACACAAATATCATCATTGCTTACAGAAATATTATCAATGTTGTTGAAAAAGTAGACAATATCTCAACAACAATTGAGAAAATAGCTGGAGATGTTAGGTAAAAAAATAAAATTTAATTTAATGATAGATTTTCAAAGATTACAGCACCACTAGCGACAAACTGTACAGCGAAAGAGAGTTACTTTTGCGAATTAGAGAGGAAAAATTGGAAATGAAGGAGGAAAAGTAAGTAACTCGAAAACATCAGAAATTATATTTGTCAGCCTTCATTAATTCAATTAAATTATATGGTTTCAGACTTCGAGATGAAATATCCAAATTTGCTGAAGAACGAGAGAAGGTTCATGAATTGAACATTCGGCTAAATGATTTATGCAAACAACAGGAAGGATTTCACGAAACAGTAGGTTATGAAATCAAGAAACTATTTTAAACCAAATTTATAGGAAAAGTGGAAGGTTAGAGAAGAATGGAGAAAACTTCAAATTGAAAAAGAGCTCTTTCAAAAGGATCAACAATTTATTTTGAGCAACATTGAAGCGGAAAAGTCAAAAATTGAAAACAAAATGGTACAAAATATAATTAATTATTTTAATGTTGATTATTTTTTAAGAGTTCATTTTATAACGAACAACATGAACTCCTTATGAGGGTTTCAAATGAACGAAATATTCTCGAACGCGAGAAAAACGAATTCTATTCGTAAGAGTCACAAAAATCTTTTTCATAAATTAATATGACTTGTTTTAGAAAACGCAATATGGACATAAAACGTATTAAGGATGAAGCTGCATGCTTAGATGCGAAAATCCAACAAATTTTAACAGCAGAAGCACATTTTGAAGAGTTAAAAACTACGTATGACTCAAAAATGCGGCAGGTATTTGTAAAAATTAATAGTTATCGTATATACCGTCAGTTTATTTCTTTCAGCTTCAAGATCTCGAAGTGTCTCTAATGGAAGAATGTAAAGAAATGGATCGTATCCGGAATCAACTGCAAGCTTCTTCTCTGCTTACGGAGAAGTATCCAATGAGTACATCTCAAAACATTGCACACCGATTCGACCATGGTTTCGATAATGTTCCTCAGAGTGGGCAGGAAAGTAATAGAAGGTTTCTTTAACTCCGTGATTCGTCATTGACAATAATTACTTTTGTTTAGAACTGATAGTGTTCGGGTTACGCTTAGGAAAAACGCCGACTTACTCGAGAAGTATGTTGGACAGAAAGTTGCAGCAGTTGCTCCCAACCAATAACTGATCTGTGATGCTTCAAAATGTGTTCAAACGACCAAAAAATGGCAATGAAAAATCTTTATTTTAAAATCAATGTGTTAGTTTGTCACTGGGAGATGATTTACAAAAAAGCAATAAATGTTGTAAGACACGAAATGGTTTAAATGATCACATAGCTTGGTTGAATAGATACAAAGGTCAGAGGCATTCGACAATAAATAATTACCCGTTATACAGAAAACAAACAATTATAAAATACAGATTAAATCATTTGACATGAATTTTCAAATTAGCTGTACCAACCACGATACGCGCTATTGACAGCAAAGCGTTTCAGTTCACACCAGCGATGAAGATAGGTGATCTCACCATATTTAGAAATTACAACCGTGTTGAGTGCGTTTAGATCGGTGTTCTACAAATAAAATAAAATAAAGAGTTTATTAAGCGATTAATTACCTCAATAAACGGCTTGCTGTAGAAGACTGTTGGGTCTTCGAGCGAATGAATCCGCATCTCACCGTTGTTAGCAATAACCAAAGCAAACATGCCACTAGTTGAGGGTTCTGCAAAATGATAATATATTTCAATCACAAATAATATGGCAAACCATGAACTTTTTGCAGTTTAACGACCGCTCCACATTTTATGCGCAGTCCTTCAAGTTGAGTCATTTTATAACTTCCGGCCTTCACCTTTCCTGGGAAAGAATAAAAGCGGATCTGCTCTTCGGTGAAGACCACGAGCCGAGTAGTAGCAGCATTATACTAAAAGAAAAGTTCAATGGATGATTGACTATGCATTTTCTTACAAAGCCATCTTCACACGATAATTCCATGTTCTTCACTGCTTGATCTCCTTCTAGTCGAATTGATTCCACTTTTGTCACTTCGAACGTACAGTTCCTCTGACTAAATGAATTGGCTTCCGTGAGGCGATAAAATATGATTTTTCCACCATTGGTTCCAATGGCCACCAAATCGTCAAACTGAAATTGAAGCTTTAGTTCAACCAGTGAAAATTAGATAACGTTCTTACCACAGTTTTATTTGTCAACGGCATTCGCATAGTTTTGATGCATGTGACATTCTGTAGAATCGCTGAAATGCCAAGGAATACATTATATGAAAATGTTTCGCAACTACCTGTACTTGCTAGGTCTCGGCGAGCTTCAATTTGTCGTTCGACATAGTTGTAATCGTCAGAAAGTTCGCCAAAAAGCTCAGAACCCTGTCTTACTTTTCCCAACGCGCTTCGAGTGGAATTTCGAATAGTCTGAGCTTTCGGTTGATGACCGCTAGAACTTTGACCAGCTTCACTTACCGTTCTCTGAAACATTTTCATTTAAAAATAAAGTACTAAAATTCTCACATTTGGTGAGGACTGAGCAGTTGTACTCAGCGAGGACCGAGTTGTGTTTCTTGAAGTTTTCTTTCGGCGGAATGTTCTTCGTAACGACTTCTTGAACGAACGGAATCGCGACTTCCGCTCATTTGGCCTAGATTTCTTGACTAAAATCACACGATTAATGCCATTTTGAACCAATAAAATCAAACCGTCATTGTCCGGCATAGGCGAATCGACTAAATGCACAACTTGGAACAATCGGACATTCAAGAAAGCATATCCACATTCCGTTCCAATAACAAGGCATTTAAACTTGGCGTTATAGTCAATTGCATTTGTGTAGACATTGGGAATTTGTTGGAACCATTTCCTAAAGGCATATTTATTTTGAAATTTTCTAAATTAAAAAAAAAAACTAACATCAAAGGTGTATTTCCACTATTTTCGTGTGTTGGTTGATATCCAATGTTGTAGGACCTTGGAGTGTTTCGAGGTTCAATATAGCACGGATCACACGAAAGATTGGTAGTCCATTTAATTTTTTTAGGAGCCGTTGGATCAAGTGTGATCGGGGTATTATACAAATCGTAAACCAGCACGTAACCACCACGATTAACAGCCATCACAGTTCCCTTTTTTTCATCTAAATATAATTGCGCAATTGCAAGATGTAAGTCGTCTTCGAATGGGTCGAAATGTCCCACGACAGCGACAGGAACACCCGGCTCAAGCTCGGCCTCATACGCCTCTTGACCGCTTTTCTGCAAATAGTTAAAGATAGTTATTTCTTATATTTAGAATATATACTACTGTCGGTTCAATGTAACCGTCAAATTCGGATGCTGTCCGAATAATGGATATTACAAACATATGGCGACCACCAGCAGCCCACAAAATAATGTTTCCGGTTGAATGACCGGTCAAATGAATTTGCCGGTATGCAGGTCGTTCCTTGTTTGGACCAGCATTTGTACTATCGCCGCAGAAGATGGGAAGAATTCGACTTGAATAATGCATCTCCTCCCAATACCGATCGCCATTCTAAATAATAATGGAATGCAAGTTAAGATATTTGTCAGAAATTTGTCAAAACCTCAAGAATTAGCTTGAATATGTTCTCATCAATATCGGGAACTCGGATGTGGCATGTCATCGTACTGCTGTTGACACTGAAGAAGTGCATTGGACGCATAGTCTTCCAATCGCTCGTTTCCAAGTCAATCGCAATAAGCTCACTTGAAGTAACAATCACAGCGATTCCTTCGATATCTTCTTCGACTGCAAAATACAACTGTCCATATTTGTTGTGTAAAATGAATCAAACCATAATCCGCTAAAATGCCGTAGACTGCAATGATCTCGCCGGTCACTTCGAATGCCACAGCCTTGTTTGCCCTTCTGACAGTCACAACATTTCTATCATCATAATTTGCACGACCTTTTCCACCTTTATACATCACAATATCATGCTCTTTAAACTCGCTCCTGAAAAGATTCTAGGTGTTTAAATAATTCATAAAAGCATTACTTTGAGCTTGGAAAAGAAATGAAGTGAGATAGCGGCGTACAAGGGTAGGGACCAGATTGATCGATAGCCAAGTCTTCAATTTCTCTCATAAAAATTTCATCGTTTGCGCCAATCATAAATTTCCATCGAAGGTAGCGATCACTGTCAGTGATGCAGTAGACGTGTGTTCCATTAGGGTCCCAGACGAGTTGCTGCAATAACATTGATGCAATTAATTAAATACAAAGTCATGGACTTCCACGAATTGAAACATATGTTCGCATCGTTTCTAAATATTTTAATGATATTTCATTTGTTTATAATTTGGCTACATTAATACACATATGTACAAACGCAACCATTTTTCATTTGCCCAACAAAATAATCACGTTCATTCGATTAATTGTTTTCAACAATTAACCTACCCTTGTTAAACTCATGTCAGAATGTTCGAATGTGAAGACTTTTCGAATGCTGCCGTTTCGAACGAGAACGACTTTTCCTAATTCTAGAACGACAAACATGTCTCTAGTGTCTGTGGGGCGTGAGCTGACATCCATAATCTGGCAAAACTGGCCCGTCCTGTAGTAGTTTGGAATTAATTTTGCATTAAAGAGCTGTTTACCATTTGTTAAACTCTTTAGCTCCTATGAAGACTTCCGTCATCATCCTATGTTGCTCGATGCAATACAAATCGTATGCATGGGCTGAAATTTGTTAATTAATTGTGTTTGGTATATTTATTGAATTACCAAAAAATAACGTGTATGAGTCTGTAGTGGTTCTGAATACGTGGGTGATCGGCCATTTAAACATGAAGTATTCAAATGGAACATCGAACATGTTCACACGCATGAGGCAGGTTCCTGAATGTTGAATTCGTTCTGTTAGTTTCTTATACCCGTCTTATTATACCTTTTAGTTTATATTCCAATATTCCACCACCTTGACAAAGAATGAGAATCATATCTCCAGCCATAAAGTGTATCTTCTTAATGGGACCAGTGGGATCAGGCATTCCCTTGTCATAAATGCTATGCTCAATGGTAAGACCATTAGCACCATATAAAACAATATCTCCTTGTAATGTTCCAAGAATCAAAGCATGACTCAATTCGTTGTAGTCAAATGCGCAAACTTCTGAGGGGTAGCCGGTTCGATTACCCTAAAAATGAAAAATCGTTCGACTGTTGCAAAAAATGGCTCGCACCTCATCAAATCCTACGTAGTCTTCAATGTCATTAATAACCTCATCTGGCGAGAGCTTGTTGCGAATACGACGAATAATATTTTCCATGCTCTTGCTGAAAAATTAAAAAAAAATAATAATTGAAAGAAAATAAAAATGCGGCAATTTCAATAGTTACGTAAAAGGTAGTGCGCGTTCCTAAAGGACTGATTCATTTGTTTGATTTGACCAGGTTAGTCAGCAAACAAACTTTTCAATGTGACACGCTTAATAATGTTCGACAGAATGACTTATATCGGTATGCATATTTCAAGTTCTATGGTTATAAAAAAAATATCGAAATTTGCATAAATATGCATGCCAATGTTGTTATATATCCATATGAGATTTTTGTATTGCGAAATCCTTTGGCGAACCAACTTTACTTTATATGGCTAGACATATCAGAGTACGGGTAAACAACAAACGAAAAATAAAACGAAATGAGCCAAGCATTGATAACTGTCATTTATTTATCAATTTTCTCTTTGAGAAAAAAAAATCATTTTTCTGTTTAGAAATAAATTTCCTTGCAAAATTAATGGGAGAATAGGCAGGTGAACGAAAGAACCATACGCAAATCGATACATTCGCTCACCTTTTTGGCGAGTGCTTCGTGGGCAAAATCCAAAAAAATGGTTGTAATGTCGCAAAAATTTCATGATCCAATAAAATCGGCCAATTTATCTATTCGCGAAATAGAATTTATCGGCCAATAAATCGATTTTCTTCTACAGTAACCTTTTTAGTCTATTTTTGAGATAAGCATGAATTTTACATAAAATGGAAAAGATTAATTGGGAAAACACTCAACCTGCGAATCTCATAAAAAAATAAACAGGTTTTCTTTAGAGTTGTTTAATTGAAAAATAACAGTTGGCTTGCCGAAAGGTAAATCGTGGAAACGAACAAACGTCGGATTCAATTGTTGACGCCAGAACATACTAGCCGCCACCAACACAACAAACACACGAAAAGAAAATGAAAGAGAGGGAGCTAGAGTGAGGTGCAGAGAGGTTGAGTGACCTTTTGCACCACCACCACACACACACCACCACCAAAACGGCTGTTGTCGTATGGTGAATACCCCTTTTGAGAACGGTTCACTGCACCGTTGGTTGCGGCCAGTGCGCGAAACAATGCCAATGGTGAACTGTCAGCGATGGATAATAGAGCGTGTTCGCTCGCTCGTCGCGTCGCACCTGCTATAGTCGTTTGAACAAAACTGGCAAAATGCAATTTAGGATCAACATTAGTGTCTAATTTGGAAATTGATATAATCTACCTTGACACTCACATTGATTTGATTAATGAAACGAAACTCAGAAAAATTAGGGGTGAAAAAATATCTGAAAAAAGATAAGAGATTAATTGAATAATGGAGCGATTCTGTTGAAAAAAAACAATGAGAAACGTTTTTTTCATAAAGTGAAAGATATGGAAATAATTCGAAATTTAAGAAAATGTGGTTCAGGAGAACATTATTAAATTAAATTTAACTGAATGGAACTTTCACTAAATAATTAAATTGTGTGAGTTTTGTAAATTTTATTACTAACTTTCATTTACTTTTACACCGAACTTGAGCAAAATAATTAAGAAACTAATAAACCATAAATATTTCGGAAAGTGCCATTTCGATCTACATATCAATTTTTGTAACTTTATTTAATTCAATATAAAAATAGTCACATTAACCATGTAAAACTAGCCTACTTACGAGTGGAAGTGAAAACATTCAAAACAGTGGACAGGCGTATTCAAAGACAATGAAAAATCGATAATCACCAATGCACAAATAATATGTATGCGCGCAATTTATTGGGGACCCTGTGGCTTAGCAGCGCGCAAACTAAACCATCCACGCGTTTTGCACATGATTGAGTCGCGATTTGGCTGAAGGCAAAAAGAGAAAATCCGCACAAAAAGCATCGATCAAAGATTATTCAGAAAAAAACATGATGATATCTTTAGAACACAATTTTGTTGATAATTATTATCAACAGAAAGTATGCAATGATGAAGAAAAGCTATTTACAGTCGGTCGAGGTTCGAAAAATATTTGCCATAGTGGCTCAGGGCAAATAGACGTTCGTGTATGTGCCTGTTCACAAGTAAGTAAGTAATATTTAGCCAGCGCGTAATTTTACGCAAATCTACACTAAATTTGTGAAATCAAATTTTCACATAATATTTGTCTCAAACCCACAATATTCTATTAATATTTATGAATTTACTCAATATTCAATGATATAGATCAACATTTTCGGAAATTTCTGCTAAACCTAGTGCTACAATATTATAATTCTCACAGGCACATTTTTTTTCGATTGTTGTAATTATCAAGAAGTTTTTTTTTGAAAAATCCTTCGCATTTTTAAAGGTTTATAAATCATTTTTCTATCAATTTTGAATCGTTTAAAACAAAAAAAATTTATTTGATATAAAAAATATTGAAACAAATTATTAATCATTATTAAGTAGCTAGCTAACGAAGATAAAAACACACATTTGAAATAATTTTTTGTGTCAAACTCCTAGATTTCAATTCGATTAATTAGATGTAGAATAATTGGCATGAATACTGAGTATACACTCAAAGATAAACTCGGATTAAACTTCAACTTCTCCGAGTCTACGAAATCGCAAGTATTTGGCATATGAAATCTGGCATCTGATGATGGTTTTTTGAACACAGCCATCTGTTTTTAATATATTTTTCTTTTTTCATTCGCGGAACGATAGTTCGAACTTTTGATGATGCCCTGAATATCCTTGACTAATCTTTGACTATATAACTTAACAACGTCACTCGACGGAAAAGGACATTGACCAAAGGTTATTCTTTGGGCACATATACTTTTGCTCAAGGGCAAATGTTTAATTCTATAAAAGACACTTATTTGGGTATTTTTTATATTCACCCAATTTGAGCGGGAACTATTATCAGTCGAAGTGGCAATACTTGCGTGTTTGCGAGATTTTTTCCGATTATTTTTTGATTTTCGAATGATACCATTTTCTGATTTTACACTTCGCCACCTGAAATTCAAGTTTTTGAAGTGTTCGCAGTCCTATATAAACATGCGCGGCGGCCATTATCACACATTTCTAACAATGAAATCTATTATTGTTCTATTCTGTATTATTGCTGTTGGATTTGCCAGGCCTGGTGGTTATGGCCGACCGGCGTTTGGTCCAGAAATCAGTCCTATCGGAGGGGGATTCCAACAAGGAGGATTTGCTTCCCAGTCGTTCACACAAGGCAGCTCAATTAGTTCTGGAGGATTTGGAGGTGGAATTCCACCAGGTCCAGGATTTGGAGGCGGAAGTTACTACGGAAAACGTTAATTCATTTTTTTTTGTCATTTTTTGAATAAATCTTTTATAAAAGAGTATTTCAATATAACCTGTACAATAATTGTACAGCTTTCTTTTTTTTTTTGAGAAAAAATCTGCACATCAGTTTTTATGATAAGACACTACCCTTCTTTCAAAGATTTCTGCAATATTCAATCACATTTTTAACAATTTCGCACCCAGTAAAACGTGAAAAATGCGTTATTACTAAAATTCATTTCGCGTAAGCTCAAAATATGTCAAGATATAATTTTCCCTGTTTTTTAATATAGTTGTCTTTTCAAAACTTTAAGATTGATTTCTCATTGCTTTTCTTTTTATAAAATATTCAAAACGTTATGAGTCAATGAATTTTTTTAAACATTCGATGCTTTCGAAAACAATTTCGAGACGTCGCATGGAATCATTTTCAAACAATATTTGCCCATCATTAATCACAACAAACAACAAAGATGTGAATAAAAGGACGATCACTATAATTCTAGCATTGCATTCGCACAATGAAGTTGTTCCTTCTAGCCGTTTTTGCTTCATCGGCTCTTGCAAGCCTATCGGTTAGTTGCTCATAGAGATAATTTGTTATTTAAATAAAATGCTACAGGCACCACCCGAAGAAGTTGTATATCATCCAATCAATTACGAAGGTAATCAAAATCTTCCAAACTATTCGGGTTACCAAACAATTTACGAAGCAAGCTCTGACGATCGAATTACGTACGGAGTCAATAATCGTGATATGCCGTCCAATGGATATCCACATAAATATGACTCAGGACGCTATGAGAATGAAAATGGACGCTATGGAGCTGCTAACGGAAATAAACAAAATGGGTATTATTCTTCTGGAAACCCTCCTTATGATGATAATTACAGTCCAAAGCCAGGTAAAAAAAAGATTTAGAAAGTTTATATTTATGGAATATTTTTTAGACTTCCTTAAGCTTAAGAAGTTAAGACTTAGTGGCGTTCCTAATGCAGCTACAGCTAAGATTACGTAATTTAGATTCCTTACCATAATTTTTTACGTGTAACATTACTTTTCAGATATCTGACTCGCGGAAATAATAACTACGCGGTTGTGTCTTGCCCAAGAAACCCGGATACTAATGGAATGACAGCAATCGTTGTCGACGCCGATGAGAATGTGCCAAATTATCCACCAGAAACAATGCCAATTGCCCTCGGTGTTTCACCGCAAGCTCTCGTTAAGCTCGGAAAAAAGAAGTAAGGAACAGTAAAATATATCAAAACAAAATTTGGACTTTTAGATATGAATCAAAGAATATCATCGACTTCGACAAGTCCAAGTTCAAGAGGGTCGCTTGCGTCCATTTCCCCGGAAGTGAAAAATAAATATTGAAATATCTTACCTGAATAAATTATTCTTTATAATTTTGTTAATCATAAACATGATTCGAGTAGCATCACAAGAATTTTAGTCTTATGCAGATCGTATGACAATATTTAAGAATCAAAATAATTTTATACACTCATAGACCTATGCAATAATTTTTTTAAATCTTAAATAATGCAGGGTTGTAAAAATGCAGATTTAATGTAATTTTTTTTACGTTTTTTTCTAATAAAACTACATTATGTTAAAATAAACAGTTTTAACGATTGTACTTGGTAAGTTGAACGAAATTTCTTATGTCTAAAAATCAGGGATTCTATCAACTACAATAAAAATTGAATCATCGTCAAACACAGTACATTATAAAGTTTAAATAGCTGGTTTAGGAATTCCTTTTTTAACCTTTCATTAAAATTTTGCTCACACGTAAAAAAATAAAAAATATCGATTCTTTGTTATGTGAATGTTGTTTATTGAATTTATCTTTAAAGTTAAAATTTAAATTGTTTCTTAGGACACATTTCGAACTGAAATTGTTGTATCTGTCTATCTACTATCTATCATGGTGTGCACAGCCATAACCTGCAGGTCGAGATTCCTGCAAAATAAAGATATTCATACTCGGTACGGATGAGAGACAATTATACACTTTATTTTCATCGCAACGAAAGTATTAATAAGTATTACATAAGAATTAAATTGGTACGAATCTAAACATATTTCAAAATTATTCCGTTTTATTATAAAAAAAAATTTTGGATAATTCATTTATTCATATTGTTAAAGCAATCTTCAAAATTTTATTTATTTAAAACCTCAATCTGATGATTCTATTAGTTTAATAATTTTAACGACATCGAAATGTGTAAGAATCGGACATAAGCTGATAATAGAACATAATCGATATATGATATGCGATGAAGAAAAAATTGGTGCGTTCCGTCGTCAAAAAATGAAACTCTTAAAATCTTTGCCGAACAATGAAATGTTAGGTAAGATATGTGTTGAAAATCGATAATTTCCGAATAAATGAAACGGAAATTAGCACGCAATTCAGAAAAGTTAATGCGTTAATTCTCTTTTTCTATTCTTAGTAAAACAGATAAAAATTTGTAAATTTCACGTGTCAATATGAACAAATTTCAAAAATCTTCACAAATCCGTTATGACGTTCACTTGATGCGATTCAAGACATTTTGTTGTTAGTGTCAATGACACATTATGTATAATGTTGATCCAAAATTCAACACAAATTCCTTTCGCGACCGGTGAATCACAAATGACAAAATTTCCAATATTTTCGTCATTATTAAAATTAACATCAACATTTATTTCTGTATATAAGAAGCTGCTGAAAGCCGGAGACAGGACACAATTCAAAATGTTCGTCTTGGCAGCAGCGTTTTTCGTTGGTTTGACCTGTGGGCAAGTTTACGAGGTAGTTGCGATATATTTCAATTTTTACGTTGAACATTAAAGGAAAATTCGGCACAATCCTCAAATTATGGCACTTATGGTATTTCCAATGATGTAAACTGTTTTTTATGTTTAAAAAAATACAAATATATATATATATATATATTTTAGAATAATGCACCAGATATTTCTTATGGATCCCATGTAATTGTTCCGGGCAATTATCCACAAGGTAATCTACCTCCATATTTGCCCCCTTATGTACAACCGGATCATGACTATCCTGTATATAAACCAAGTGAGTAAAAGCAAACATTTTTAATCATTTATTTGTTATTCAGAATGCAAAAAACCAAAATATTATCATAAACTTGAAGGAGATACCCGACACGTCACTGTAAGGTAGAACAAATGTTGTTTGGTTCACAACAAAATGTTCTTTTTCCGATTCTACGAAAAGAAAAATAAGAACTACGCAGTTCTTAGTTGTCCAAATGACGGTAATATCTATCAAATTGTCACATATCACTATGGATATGGTGGAGACAAAGCAGAAATTAAAAATGGAGCAGTTTTGAGCGAAGGAGCAAACACTGTTTTGAGATTGAAGTGCACATCGAAGGGAAAGTATGCTTTAATCTCCAAAATCATAAGTTTTTATAATTTTATAGACTCTACGCATACAGTTTGTACAACGGAAAAAAATTCGCCGTAAAAAAAGTTGCTTGCCTCAAGACTGGTTTGTATTTTTATTATTTAAAAATCAAATTGAATTAAATTTATTTAGATCGTAAAGTTGGAGACGTGGTTGCAATAAAAGAAACTGCTCCGGCAAAATAATTTCTAATTTTTTCATTTAATAAAGGTTTATTCGGAAATATGCAATCGATGGATTTAATTAACGTCTCCCGTAGAAGCTACCGCCCCCAGCATATCCGCCTCCGCCAATTGGTGCGCCATAGCCACCGCTGCTAAACTGTTGTGATGGGAATCCGCCTTGTTGGAAGTCCATTGGTGGTCCCATATCTCCTACACCATATGGTCGGCCGTATCCGCCTGGTCTTGAGAATACAGCAGCAATAACACAGAAAATAACGATGAACAACCTCATCTTCGGAAAACCAACTTTTGTGATGATCGTACTGAATTTTTGTTTTCTTTTATACTGATGGGCGGCATTCGAAAAAAACTGGAATTATCTACTAAACAGTTCGGAGGCGGAAAAAATGTTATCATTCGGAAAATCTGATAAGCCTACCAAAATTATGATATCAGATTAACGGAAGTAAGACGAAGTAAACTTTTAATTTAGCCAATTAGGTCACGGTTCGCTGTGTACTAAGCTTTTGATAAACCAAGACCATGTATTTCGCTTACTAAATCGTGTTATCTATTAGTCACTGATACTTTTTTTTTCATACCATATTGGTCGCACATGACTATATCAAAAAAAGACGGAAGTAATCTCATGATGTTCGCTATCAGAAGGTCGTTGAATTCGAAAATACATCAAAGCGCGACAGATTCGGTACAAAATATTTATTTGATAACGTTCAGAATCATTCAATTATTTCATAAATTATCGAAAATTATTGTTTTCCGTTGCCGTTGACCGGAGTGTTGAGTGCAGCGCGCTTGTTCAAGTAGTTCTAAATTATTTCGTTTTGCACAAGGTCACGCTGAAGTGTTAATTCGGTTCACCTTGAGATTCGGGCGTGCCGCAAATCTCTCGTGGAACTTCTTGAGAGCTGGAGTCTCGTCTAAAGCAGATGGATTCAAAATGAGCATGATGTCAAGCTCTTCAAACAAAACATAGTCCGCATAGCTTTCCTGTAATTACTCGAGTGATTCATTGTGCACATTGCAGATCATACTTTGTTTCCAGCGACGAATTGCTCTCCAGACTTGAAGGTGTGAAAAAGCTTCTCAATTCTTTTCAAGAAAGTTGGAAGGGTCTCCTTGATGAACTCGTCTTTTCCAGCTTCATAATTTGTATAGATCATACGAGTGTATTGGGTATGCAAATCGCGGAGTCCCTCATGAAACATATCGATGAAAGTCGTTTCGCTCTCATTTGTGCCGTTTAATCCTAAAACAACAGAAATGAGAATAATTGAGGCGTTTGAACAACAGATTAACTTAATGAGATTAACTGAATAGCAGCTTTGAAACGAAGGTCGGTTATTAAATATTTTTACATCAAAAACAGCGAAAAATAATTGTTCCATTCACAATAAAAATTTAACAAAGTGATTTTTAATTAGTTGCATATATTTAAAATTATTCCTTTTGATTTTGATTTTAACGCATTTAATTTCACAATTTATCCAAAAGTATTCTCCATGTGATTCTAAACTTACCATGAACGCGGCCCAAATGGCGAAGAATAGTTCCTGATTGAACAATTTCTTCATCTCCCGAGAAGAGGCATGGAATTTGTCCAAAGATCATTTTTGGTTTGAGCTCGGCCCATTCTTCACGAGAAACGCGATGATCTTCAAACGGGATTTGTTTGTCGGTGAGGAGAAGGCGAATTGGCTCAGCAAGTCCTTTAAACGTTTGTGTGTTTTTTTCACGTTTTTGCTTTTTTTTCTTACCGCGGATGTCGAAATAGGTGAGTTTCAACGCCATGTGGTCCTGAAATCAAAATTATTGAATGACAAAGACTAATAAGTGCAAGAAAATTATATCAGAGCAATACGAGATACGAGAGATAAGGGGCGAGCAGAGCGCGTGGTCTTTCGTCATCATTCGATTAGACAATGATCAAACAGCAATGTCGAAGGTAGACTCGCCAGAACGCCTTATATTTATAAAGAGCAGAGAGTGTTAATTTTGGAAAGAGACGGAAAAGAAACGATTGGAATTTGGCAGCTGAGGTGCGAAATGCAATCGAGGAAGGTCAAAATCAAGGCGAGCAAATAACGTAACACATTTGAAATAATTACAATGAGGTGGGCCGCAATTCAAAATGTTGGTACTAACCCACACAATCATTTTCGAAGAGAATTTTCGAAAGAAAGAATTGTAACAAACGAGTTTCAAAGAGAGTCATAAAAGTGGCAACGTCGAAAATTTCCGAAAGTCTCACAACAAAAAAAAGAAAATCCCAAGTGAAACATTCGCAAGCACATATAGTTTCCGTAAATAATTAGGTTTTTTTTGTCACATAGAAAACATTACATACAACAAGAAATACGACTCTTAATTGTTTTACGAGAGTAACTAATGCTAGTAAGATTATTCAAAGAATTCTGATTTTTTTTTCACATATTTTTTTTTGAAAACTAATATTTAAATAATTTATTTTAAGCGTTTGAGTTTAGTACGAATTCTTGTTTTATATCAATGTTAGTTTAACAGTTTGTTTTTCATGTTCTTTTTTAGCCAATATATATTTATTTCCCATAGATCTTATATAATACATATACATAACAAACCTATTGAATCTGACTGGATTTAGGTTTTTTCCCATTTTATTTATAGACATTGTTTTTAAATGTTTTATGATTTCTTCTATTCTGATTCATATTATTTTCATCTATATGACAGCATTTGCTGGCAAAAAATGTTCGAAAAATTATGCTGTCATATATGATATTTCAATAAAACAACGATGATTATTTGGAATGCGGATGCTAATGACACTTCTATTCCTATTTGATGACTCTGGGCACATATGCATGCAAACGATGACTAATTAGACACCATAATTGAAAATTTCGGAAAATGCTATATCTCAAATTGAGCATGAGTTATTAGAACCCAGGCACATTTCCTTGAATTACAGGTGATATTAGAAAATGGCCGGTAACTAATGCACTTTGCTGAATGTCGTTTCAATGTGAAACCTATACATGACGTTTAATGTTCACTTCGACATAATAATGTAATTTTCGATGTCTTAAATATACATAATTTGTATCGACACAAGCTCATTCAGCTATACGATTTAATGGAAGATTTCATTCCAATAAATTGAAAGAAATGCATTATGCGTTTATAAGAATAACAACAGAGAGCTACGTATTCAAAAATCATTCTGTGTGTGCGTGTGGCATTTGAAAACTATTCTTTCACAGTGCTTTAGATTCAGATGATGCTAACTTTTGTATTAGTATTAATAACAATTCTAAAAAAAATGTCTACTCTCATAATTGAAAATAAGATAGTTTGTCAAGAATTATTATATTTTTTCATTTAGTTTTCGTGTTGAAAAAAAATCTAAAGTAAGTGGATGATTATGCAAATCATTGGGAACCACAACTTATTACCCCCCCCCCCATCATTTCCTGAATAATATTCGCTTCCGAATAATAAATATAATTAAATTCATTGAATTAGGTACATAGTGATCGATAAAAAATAAGAGAATGGATAAAATATCTTAAAACTAAATATAGTCGGCGTCCGGCGACTGCTGTACGCGGGTAGATTTACGGGATTGGATTGCATCTTTCGAAATGGTCTCGCAAGGACTAACTGGTTATTTCAAATTTTATGGACCGGTTCGATAATTTTTTACTCGAATGACGTGGAAATTCAAGGAAATGCCAAAATCGTCAAGAAAAATGAAGCAGTTCACGTGAAAACAGCAAAATAAGCATTGGCGAGACTTTTTCAAAGCGCATGCGCGTAAATATACCCGCGTACAACAGTCGCCGGACGCCGACTATAGATAAATCCTATAAAGTACAATTGAATTTGTAAAGTTTACGATGCGGATTTTGCCGTTTAATGGTTATTTGAAGATTTCGGAGTAGACAATTTGTTAAAACAAGATTTTTTAACAATAAGCATATGGTTTTCAGATTTTGTAAAGTGAGCTATCGGTTTTTGAAGTTTTTTGGAAAATCCAGGAAAACACATTAAAAAATTGAAAAATACTGAAGATAATATCATTAAAATACAATTAAATCTGTTGATTTTGATTAAATCAGTTTTGAGTATAACTATATACATATGTGTATATATATACTATTTAGAAGATATATATATATATATATTCATGAACTTGTCTGACCTCTCGTAATTCAAGCGTATGGCAGCTAACATTTTGCCACCCGCGGCATTTGACTCTCCGAGATGAGCATAATCTATCAGTTCCCTTCTTTTTTCTGTCTTCACAAGTTTTCCCACTTAAAAGTTTTTCATCTGATTTTTTGCTACTTTCAGAGCTCTACCCATATTTGGTTAGTAGGAAGAATTTCTGAAATGCATAGACCATTTTGTGACACACTTCTTTTCTAAAAATATATTAATGACACTGCTATGACAACCAGTTTTTTCTCATGCTGACTAACATTATTCAAAATTATGTTATCAACAAAATGCTTTCTGAATCACATCAAGAAATCCATTATTTGAGAAAAATCGAAGAAAATGAGTTTGGGGAGAGAAGTTTGTCCATTAAATCTCCCATTTGAAGAATGTGTTTTTCAATAAACTACGGTAATAAATAGGAGTTTTGAAAGCAGAACGATCTCATTAAATACATTTCATTTTGAATTCAATTCATTAAGTTATTGTCAAGAGCAAAGCTTGAGATTTTCCGACAAATATAATAGGCTCACAGCCAGCGGTTTTTTTTTTGCTGCTATGCTTGCGAAGCTTTTTCCCCATGCACACACAAATCCATAAAAAAAGAAGGCGGGTGGGGGTGGTTGAAATTGCCCATGGATGGATGAAATAAGCACAAAGAGCGGATCTTCCTTTTTTCTTCAGCTTTGTTTTTTTTCTGTTGTCATATTATTTGTTTACTTCACATTCTTCGTCTATATTTGGCAGAGTTTAGCAGTAGGACGAACCCAATAACTTTCACCCCATGAATGGTGCATGGAAAACATGATTTATTGCAAAAAAGAAGCAAGTTTGCAGCGTTCCTCTGCTTAAAGTCTAGGCCAGTTTTTGTGCTTTTGACGTCTTGTGGTTTCCTTTTATGTAAATCTTCGACCCTTTTCTACACCTTCTTTTTTTGCTTCGCTTCTCTTCGAGTGCATTCCATTTGTCCTTATTGTTCAGAGTTCGGATTTTCTTTCTTCAATGAGTTTTCAATAAGTGAACCAAAAGAGTTTTCGATTATGCTCTGTCATGAGATTTGAGATTTAAAAAAACACATAAGTTGAAAGAAAACGCTTCTCCTTTCCAAACGTTTTGAATATTGCAGTTCTTCAAATCCGACGTATAATAAAATTGCATTTTTCTACTGTATAAATTTCAAAAATCTATAAAAGGCAAAGTAATATTTCTCATCAATCATCTTTAAGACAATGGTATTCTGCATGATTCATGTGCCAAATTAACTCAATACGCAATTATCATTTCAAGAAATGCTGATTTGCAAGATTTAATTATGTTGTCCAAAAATAGAAATGAAATATCTTGTTGTTTCCATTCATTCCACTTAATGCGCATTTGCACAGATCGCTATTATCTCACTAATCTCAGTTTGTTTGTTTTCAGGAATCAGATCATCGTTCTCTCTTGTAAAAATTGGATTGAACAAAATCCAATATAACTGCGAACACAAGATCACTTTGTGAAGGAATCTTATTCTCGGAGAGTGCGTTTTGTGGTAAGTTTCGATTCCATTACATTAGTAGAAAAGCAAAATTAATTGGCCTCGACGAAATTGAGAACTTATACGCTTGGCAAGAGCAATGTCCTGAAGATATGTGAAACATTTATTAGACTTATACTCAGATTCCGTCTCATTTCCAAAAAAAAAAACGTATTTGCCAACTCTCACGGAAACTTCGAATAGACATTTCAGAGTTCTTCAACATTTGCATCGGAAATTTCGTATATTCTCTTTTATTAACGTTTTCTAATTCATAGAAATTCATAGGAAAAATCTATTAGCTTATGCAAATTTATTTCATCCCTTGACTAATTTTTTTGACATGAGAAAATATTTTCTTTTCTTATGGTATTTCCCCCCCATCCGTTTTTTTTTTTTTTCGTTTTTTCGTTTTTTTCCCCAACTTGTTAAATGCACTTCTATACAATTCAATTTCTTTCTGAAATATTTTTTTTCGGCAAAAAAAACTTCAATCGTTGGAGCTTAATTGCGAGTTACACATCACGTGTTGCATAAGAAATTCAGAGTTGTTTTGATTTGAGAACCTTACAATGTGACTTCCCGATTTGACGGTGTTAAAACCAATTGTCGTTTTCAATCTATGCAAATCTAAAAGCTATTTAATTTTCTTTTGAAATTTTTATCTTCAGTATAGGATAATTCTGAAAGTTGTAGCTTGAAGGCAGAGTTTTTATAGGGAATTTGAAATATGATCACATATGTCAAAAGTTGAAACAAAAAATGCCAGAATTAGTTCTATCAAGCTCAATTTTCAAAACTATCGAAATATCACAAAATATTTCTGATTCGCCACCAACAATTGCTTGTCTTTTACTTCCCTACCTATTCAACGAAATATATTTGTGTGTGTTCGTGCTCAACAAAAAACGATGAAGAAGAAGAAGACAAGTTGAGGGATGGAGCGGTTTGATCATTGCGGCGTAGACGTCTGAAAAACAAAGACCACGCAAGACGCCACATACTTAAAAAAAAGCAAACTCTTGCTAGAAAATGACAATCTCCCAGTTTTCACGGAGCATTAAGAGAATCATTCGGATAAAAACACTTGGCGTTTTTTCCTTTTTCATCATTTTTCTTACCGACAGCTTTTCAATCATTGTCAGAAAACATAAGAACAAAAATACATGGCTAATAACCCAAAAGTGCGCTGCAAAGAATATCAACATTCATTCAACTTTTTGTTTTTCCACAACACTTAACAGAATAAATGTCGAATAGTGAAGATATAGTAAACAAGTTTTCACTATTTTTCAGCGAATAATTTTTTTCTCGTTTATTTTCTCAATGCGACTATTTTTTCGTCCATAGCTCAAATATCTTCAAATTTCAGTAAATAAAACTTGGCTCTAATAATCTTCAAACTAAACGCTGCATTCATTTCGAATTTTCTGTTTTAACTCCAGGTAGATTGCGTCATTAATATATATTACATATGTCAAAATTTATATATGAGCTCCCTAATTAGGTGCTATGAATTTTTCAATAAAAATTGAAAAATTGAAACATTATATGCAGTTTTTTAAAAAAGTTTTTTGGCATTTTGATTCTAGACGTTTTTCCGCATACATCCATGGAAGGAAAATCGATTAACATTGAAATGTGGACAGATGTCACATTTAAATTTACTAGCTATTTGTTTATTTTAAATTTTTTTGCAATCCCCTCCCCGATAACCAAAAGATTGAGCGAAAAATCTAATATTATAAAATCCTCATTAATCTTGTATAACGCAATAGTAATAATTATGCAGCTTCTGCTAAGACGAGGATAAGTATCTGCTGTCAACTACTTACGTATACTCGTATCCCAACATTTGATGTGCTCACACTTTTTCACTTGTATATAATAAGTAGTAAATACTAAATAGGACTCTGTGCAATGGAATTGAGGCAAACTTTTAATCGCCTTCTGTTATATTTTGCCGAGCCGCGCAACATTTTAATAGCTTGTTGTAATCGATCGAAAACACGGAAATAAATTAGGAATGTGTCCGTCCCAGGCATTTAATCTACACTTTGCGAAAAAAAATTGACGTGTTTTTTTTTTCACGAGAGGATAGAACACATCGTTTACACTAATCTACGCGATGTTTCAGGCTGTTCAATATTTTTTCCAAAAAATTCCTGTCTTTATTGTTCCTCTCAGACAGCTTGATGTAACTCATTCGTCACTCCATTACTGAAAACGTGTTGTGTAACGAAACGCCTGTGAAGAACAGAAAAAAGAGAAGAGCACCGCGTTCTTAAAATATGTCTGCTTTTTTCCTACCTTAAAAAATGCTCTTTGATTGTTTTTCTAGCCGTGAGCAGATGCTTCACTGTTCAGCAAAAGGATAACCTGCAACCGTTTTGCAGCAATCAACATGATCTTTATGTGTTGCATATTGTCATATGAGAATATATGCCCTTGTGCCTCCCAATTTTCGATCTTCCATTTTAACTTCTACTAAGTAAAGTTCAATCTTTGATTGAACATTGTAAGTATGAGTCTAGAGTTTTAAAAACATTTCGATTTTGAGTGCTTGATTTCAAATATCAAATTTTCTACAAACTTTGAATTTTTAATTTATTTTTTCATTTTTTATTGATTTTAAAAATGACTTTGGGGAGTTTACAGCAAAACGATTGATTACAGCATTTTTTCGCATTTGTTCACGAATTCGCCGAAATATCTCGCTGCTCTAACGAGTGAGATGAAGCGATCCCTTTTTGTGGGCGTTATAATTGTTGTCTCCCCCTCAAACAGTTTAAACTCAAAAATATGAGTGTGAAGACGCATTCAATTGTTTTTTATTACGGCTCCCGTCATTCAGTTCACTTCAAAGAAAGAATGCGTCCAGTGTAAATTTCGGTTTTCGCGAAAAATAAAGATAATATAGACTCAATGTGTACTGGTGAGTGGTAGGTTAAAATTATTATTCCATCAATAGTCCCCAGTGGATTATAGAAACACTAGATATATGTTTATGTATATGTATAACATTCTTATGAATCATACTTGTTTTCTTCGGATGCCGAAGCCTCTAATTATTGACGTGGACCAAAAAAGAAAGAAGTGTGTTTCATAAAAAAGAAATTAATTAAACCGTTATACCAAAAATAGAATTTTAATTCAGCCACTAAGCGATTTTACCAAACGTGCTCATCATATATATCATTTATTGTAGTTGCGAAAGATGCAGGATCCTTTGAAAGGTGAATTTGTTCCCCTTCCCATTTTTCTCCATCATCTCGGAATGACGCTTTTAACCAGAGAGGGTTCATCGATCGAGTGGGAGGAGCCTGAAAGAAAAAGCTTTTTTTGAGCGCTGCGCAGCAAACACACATATTCGGACACAGAGCATTCGAGTTGTTTTTTATTTCTACCTGGCAGCGCTAATTAAGACTTTCTTCTGGTAGAATGCGTAAGAGCTACTTCACGTTCGGGAAGCCAGGTTTGTCAGAAGACGTGAACAAGTTTAAATGTAAGGAAGCGGATACAAATTTTCTAAGAAAAGGAAACAGATATCTTCAAAACCGAAAGTTCACTTCATTATTTGCTCTCCATTTCTCCTCTATTTTATTTTTTTTCCATTCGCTTAATTGTTCCGCATCCGGAAGTTGTCGAGATCTACTTGCTCTTTTATATTCTACGAAAACAGAAAATAATAACGAACTTAAAAATAAGAAGAAGATGAGGAAAAAGTGTCATGTGGCATGGATTGCTTTTCAACGCATTTCTCGTTGAAAAATGCGTTCGCATTTTGTAGAAATGGTGCCGTCACCACCAACGACGGATCGTCTCGAAATTCCTGGCAGCAAACCAAGGTTCAGTGCTGGAAGCGAGGAGTCGATTCGCCTTGGATCGCGAGTAACGTTTACCGATCAAACGGTGTCATTTGAGAATGGAGAAGTGGTATGTTCGATCTTCAAAAAAAAAACTTTTGCTGAAATTTGATAACTAGAGAGTAAATAGTAAGATTTCTATGCTAAAATAGAATACGTGCACTTTTGGAATTATTACTTGAATATCCTATTCTTCATAGCACGGTAATCTACTTCACACAAAAATGTTTGGTCCCTTTCGAGTACAAGCTTTTCCAAAGTTTAATCATAGTGGAAGCCTATTCTAGAAAGTTTACTACTTTCCATTTTTTCATTTGCTCACTAGTTTTTATGCGTTGCACTCAATCTGAGCACTAGTCGAATAGAAATATCTCCCTCATCCTATTTGAAATTAGTATTATAAGAAAGAAAAAGCTTTATTTAGTTTCATGGCATCACATTGAATTAAATAAAATTAATATAGGGTATTTTGGCAGTAGAACGGTAAATAATTAAAAATGTGTTGGGTCCCTTTCAGCTTTTATTCCGCAAAATATAGCAAAAGCTTTTATTCAGGAGAATGGCGCTCCGGTGCAATTTGCCGTCGAAAATGACAGCGATCCGTCAACTGAGCGCGAGGAATGGGCTAATAAGGTCTGAAATTTCTGAAATATCTTACAACTTCCACACATTTTTAGATGCAATTTTATATGGGAGTTGTATCCTATGCTGTCGGCCTCGGAAACGTTTGGCGATTCCCGTACCTGCTCCAGAAAAACGGCGGGGGTAATAAAATAAAACGAAATCGACATTTGAATAAAGACGAATAAAAAAAAATATAATTCGTTTTCAGGCGCATTTTTATTACCATACGTTATTATGATGGTCGGTGGTGGCTTGCCATTATTTTTGATTGAGCTCGGATTAGGACAAAGATTAAGAACAGGCCCGGTGGGATGTTGGGCGGCAATTCATCCGTTTCTTGGAGGTTCGATACTGAATTAAATCAAAGGAGGATGTGAGCACGTAATCATTTAGGCCTTGGAGTTTCTGCGGCAATTGTTTCATATTTGGTTGCACTTTACTATAATGTCATTGTTACATGGTGTTTGAACTATCTGACGATGTCATTTGCAGCGGTTTTGCCTTGGGCGGTGAGTGTTCGCAATTAGTGAAAATGAAATATGCGTCGATATTTGAAGGAATGTCCAACTGAGAATGGAAAGAAAGTTGATGAGTGCACTAAACAGTCCACACCGTCATTCTTTTGGAATCGCAAAGCTCTAGACACAACAAGGTGCGAAATGAGCTAATTACAAAATTAGCTAATTAATTTCAGCTCGATTGATGAGTTCGGAGGTTTCAATTGGCGGATCCTTTCGTATCTCGGACTTGCCTGGTCTTTGATTTATTTATGCGTTAATAAGGGAATCAAGAGCTCCGGAAATGTAGTCGACCCAGATTTGCATCTTATTCGCATTTATTTTATTCTAGGTTATGTACGTGACGGCTATATTTCCTTACATCGTCACGTTCATGTTCCTGATCAGATCGGTGACACTTGAAGGAGCTAGTGAAGGAATCGCTCACATGTTTCATCCAGATGTAACACGTTCAATAATGATTGTTGAATTTAACGCAAGAGAGAATTAAATTTCTAGAGCTGACGTTGAACTCTTCTGCATTTAGTATTAGTCGAAAAACATTAGTAACAACATCTTGCAAGATGTTGCTCATTTGAGAATGACGTGATCTTGGTTTATTGTGTTTGTGTGTGTAAAAATATTGTTTGTGTTCCTGCTTTCAATACGACACGACAATCGTTCAGATGGAAAAATTGTTGTCGCCGACGGTTTGGCTCGAAGCTGCCACTCAAATTTTCTACTCAATGGGCTTAGGATTTGGTGGTCTTATTGCGTTCGGCTCGTACAATCCTATTAAAAATGATTGCAAGAAAGATGCAATGCGACTTGCTTTGGTTAACGTTGTTACATCGATATATACCGCTGTCAATGTGTTCTGCGTCCTCGGCTTCATGGCAACCACTTCAATGCGCGAGTGTATTGAGAGGTAACGATCCACAACGTCGTTAATGCCGACGGTGCTAATTTTCTAGGGACATGCACACGATGGCCACCATATACCCGGAAATTTTCCCAACCTATGAGGACGTTCGCCAAAATTTCACCAACGAGCAATATCAAGAGTTGATTGATAACAAATTTACTGGCGATTTCACCAAAATGGCTGCACACTCGGAAATGTGCAATTTTGGCAAGACTATTGCAGAGGTTATTTGAGAGAGGAAATTGTGAGACAAAAATTTTCCAAAACTATAGGCAGCAGAGGGAACTGGCCTTGCTTTCGTCGTTTTTACAGAAGCTATTCTTCAATTCCCGATTCCCTCATTCTGGTCAATCCTTTTCTTCCTCATGCTTCTCAGTTTAGGATTGGGATCAATGTTTGGTAAGCATAGGAATACTTATGTGTCGATTCGTGTATTATCATTGTAGGAACTCTTGAGGGTGTAATTACTTCCCTCAATGATTCAAAGCTGATTACTGTCAAGAAGCCAGTGATGACTTTCATTCTCTGCCTTTCCGCTTTCATTCTTGGTCTTCCGTTTGCCACTCGAGCCGGACAAGTAATATGAAACAATTGTTCATGATTAACGTCAACTTTTCTTTCTTTCAGTATTGGGTTTCTCTTTTTGATAGTTTTGCCGGATCATATGCCCTTATGTGTGTCGCCTTCATCGAAATTATTGCTGTTGCCTACATTTACACAGAGAAAAGGTTTCAAATCAGTTACGCATAGAATCAAACTAACTATGTCATAGATTCTCTGATGACATTGAATATATGACTGGAAGCCGTCCTGGACTCTATTGGACTTTTACCTGGAAATACGCAACTCCACTAATCATGCTCATCTTGTTCGTTGCTTCTGTCGCTCAGCTCTTCTCCAAATCGGTCACTTATTTTGGATATGACGCGGAAAAAGTAAATTATTTTAACAAAGACATATCCATATTGATTTTGTTTTAGGGGAAGCAGATTGAACTCGAATATCCCGCATGGGCTATGTATATTGCCGTCACAATGGTTATGGCCGCTATTGCTCCGACTCTTGTTATTTTGTTCCTCCGTTATTTCCGAATTTGGAAGTTCGAAACTCAAGTTCCACCGGTTAGCGGAAAATCAGAGATTATTAATTAGTTCAAAATTTAGGCGGCGAAATGTCTTAATCCTACTCCATCTGCCACCATGATTAAAAATGAGCAATCATACAACAGAATCACTGAATCAAGCGTTTCGGTTTCGGAATTGGATCCTTTCACATCGACCCCAGCTCCAAGCTCGCCAAAATAAATGACATTCTCATCCATGTTTGATTAAAATTCGATTCTTGGTTGTGACTGAATAGCCCACATAATTCTTGTCCTCTAAAATAATTTTGTAAATACTCAAAATCGCATAGAGTATTTTTAGATAAGTGCAGTTCGCCCTTTCCCGTCCCAGTGAGTTCATAGAAATAAACTGAAGATTGTTTAGACACCGGTCTAAAGCCATGTGATTTTTTGTATTTTCGTTGCCCTCCTGCTCCCAGTCTTATTTTTTTGTATTTGTTTTGTTCATTTTTTTATTGCTTTACAAATGCTTGACCAAAATTGATGGCAATTCCAACCCAAATCGTTACTGCACCGTGGCTGTATGATGGAAAAAAACATTTCACATTCCCATTTCTATACTTCAGTCAGTGAAATTCTGAGCCACTTTTTTCAATCGACCAGTTTTAGTACAATAAAGTTGATAAATTGAAAAGAAGCTAATAACCATAATAGCGCAAGAAAAAAAACAATGCAAAACACAAGATAGTGTGAGCGACCGTTTGCGTGCGCGCACTGCGATACTATTGTGCGCGTTTCTCGTGTGAGCGCAAATATATTCATGCATTGGACGTCGGCGTAATATTTGCATAGCAAGTATGCCTTTGCGAACCAATATGAATCATCGATCCTACCTCCGACGTTACATATGTTTTCTCATTTAGCGGCTATATCTTCTATTTCGTTTCAATAAATTAGGTCAATAGTTGCAGGAAGGTCGAATGACTAATCGATACGATCGTGATGATCCAAGGCGACTTTATTCGCCGGTTCCGCCAGACGGAAGAACCCGAAGTAAGTCATCGAGATGAAATATACAAAGAAATTCAATGATCAATGGCTTAAATTGTTTTCCAGGGAACTACGTTAAGGCTCCTTCAACAGATATTTACACGTATACTACCGAGACTGGAAGGTAATTATCAATTGATTGATAAACCTTTCAAAAATTCGTCTTGTTTTACAGCTCTGATGATCCGGAAAAAGCTGAACGTAATTGTTCGGATTGGATGAAATATGGCATTTTCACTGCAAATATTGTTTTTTTGGTACGTTTTTTTGTAAAATTATTTCATCGACTACGATCAATCAGGTTGTTGGAGGAATATTGCTAGCTATGGGAGTGTGGCTTCGAACAGACAGTCGATTTCGGGAATTCATAAGCGAAAGATACCGTCAAGCTGTTGAAAATGCATTCTGGGAAGCGCCAACATTATTCGCTTTTTCCTATATTATCATTGTTATGGGTTGTTGCATGATTGTAATTGCGATGTTTGGTAAGGATGGAAATGTTTTTTTGGTAATTGAAAGAAAAATGTTTTAGGTTGCTGTGGTACAACCGGAAAATCTCGCTTATTCCTCATCATTTACACCATAGCAGTTTTCCTGCTTCTCATCGCTACATTGGCTTGCGGTATCTACCTTCTCTACAAAAAAGATGGAGTATTTCATATTGCTTTGTTATGATTTATTGATTATTTGTTTTGCAGATTGACGTTGAGTTGTCCGATGCCTTGAATTACATGGTTCAACATTATTATATGGGGCCTGGAGTAGTTCAGGAAGCTCTCGATCGTTTGCAGACAACATTTCGATGTTGTGGTACGTGTCATTAACGATTTTCAGAATACCACAATTCAATTTCTCAGGTAACGCAGGCTGTTCCGATTTTAGAGTCTTTCGTCAGGACATTCCGCGATCTTGCGATATTCGATGTGACGGATGCCACTATAGGTAAGCTTTATGTTTTCAAATTCGCAAAGTTCTATTTAATTGCTATTATCCGGCTTTGTTCAGTAAGAAGATTGCATTTGTTTTTTTTTTTTAATCTTTCCATGTTAAAGCAATTAAATTTAATTTGGAAACTGTCTTGATATGAAATGGCCATGTTTTCAGAATTATGGTTGCTTTGCGTATTGGATTTTCAGTGACCCTCATTGTCTTCTCTGCTGTTGTCTTGTGTCAAGTTCTTGCCATAATATTTGCGCTTTACTTTGTCTTCATGACAAAAAAAGAAGTCCGAATTGTAAGTTTTCCGTTAAAGAAGCAAACAAAGGCAATTAATTCAATAAATTTCTACATACATAGATTTTAATAGAAAATGTTCAATAGATGGAAATTTATGAATTCAGAAGCATTATGTGAAAATGTTGATTTAGTTCAAAATTATTGATATGAGAATGTTCAGAGCACTTAGTATTTTCATGTTGATTTCGTCACTGAAAATGGATAATTGTGACTGTAACACTTGATACGATTGTTCGCGTAACTTCGATTTTAAACTGCACTGTGGAATACTACGACGACCGCCACTGTCTGAAAGAATTGCGATTTAACAACAAGATAATTGCAGGTTTACGTCGAACCTCAGACGTCACGTCGAGAACCAACCGTTCTGACTCGAGATGCCCTCAGGCAACATGATTTACCCTATGGTCTTAAACAAAGCGTTGTGTCGAGAAAGAAATTTTACTATTAATTTATTTTGTCTCGTTTGTTTGTTCATTTTCGTGAAAACATTTTTCGATATTCAGGTTCTCTGCCATTCGCATTATTTTGCCATTCCCTGTGATTTCATTAACTTTTTATGTTTCTGTTCATCTCGTGCTACTGTAAATAAATTCTTGCAAGAAATTGTTTCCGTAACGATTTTATTTTAGAATTGAAACAAAAAGTTCATTACGTTTTTGTCGGAAATTGGCTTTATGGTTAGAAAATTGAAAGAATAAACCTATTACGAAACAATTGGTCGTTTCCGGTGTGCGTCGACTGAACACTATTTTATTCCATTTAGCCTTCAGATTTTTTGTCATTATGCATTTCTGAATTTCCCGTAGAATTAGTGAGAAAATTCTTCGTTTACATAATTTGGTTAATACTGTTTTATTATAACGATGCCGAGTTGATTGCGGCATTTGCGCTCTATTGAACATTTGTTTCCTCTCAGCGCCTCCGCGATATATTGCAAAAATATTTCTCACTTTCCACATGACAACACCTACAAATTCATCAAACTATATTATTTAAGGGAATGGATCCTCAGGATCTACTTTCTTCATCAACGAGGTCACCACAACGAACACGTTACTCTAGTTCTTTCTTTACTCCTCCAACGATATCATTAACAGCGCCTCATGCTAACAGGATAAATATATTATTTGAGGTTAGTTTTTTTTTATTTGAAACATAAGCTGTAAAAACATTTTTCTTTTTATTTAAACTAATTTTTCGAAATTTCTACTTGGTAGTTTCGTAATAATCGCAACTTGTTTTTCAAACTCCTATCGTTTTATCCTCGAATTCCCATGTTTTTTTGCTAAATGTAATATATTTGCCATCAAATAAACATTGAACGATATACGCTAATTATAAAATTTATTTGTTCTTCCAATGCCAACAAAAACTGGAGGAAATTAAATTTCGTCCCTTTTAATGGATGTTAATGTCGAAATAGCACATTCTCCATCCTACCTTCAATGTTCTAGGCGTTCACATTGATCTATTATTCTGCTCGTCTTTTTTTTTGAAAATTGACAAAATTATATTTCAAATGAATTTTTCTTTCCTTTCATAGAAAATTTGCAAAAAATTCTGCGTTCAAATCAGTGTACATTTTTGATAAAAAAATGCAGTACCTATCAGCAAGTGTCACCGTCGCAAAAGATACAATTTCATAACTACATTCTAGATTGTTCTATTTTTAATTGCGATTTCTTAATCATTTCTATTAGCAGTATTATCGTTTCGAGGTGAGTTAAATAATTGCGCATTATTTGTTTAAATTCAATCCTTGTTTTCAAAAAAAAAAATATATATATAGGCAGATAAAAGTACAAACCATATTTGTTATTAGGAACTTACATTATACTCATAGAATAAACCTTAAATTAAAATATTTGTTTTTAAAACTCTAATAATTCCAAAAAAAAAAAGTAAAAAGAGTAGTAATATCATCAATAATCTAGAGACTAGAGAAAATGGAATCATCTGATCAGGTGTTTTTATTTGTGTCAATGTATCAATGCACTCTAAAACATGTTATTAGATAGAAGGCTGACTCTGCTTCTTTTCGCATCCTACATTTTTAATCATATGAAGGAAAATCGTTCGAGGTTTACTCTGTGATTTTTTGTCATTTGTATTGATAATTCTTCAATGCATGTTATCTTCAGAAAAAAAATTATTCAATTAAAAATCGATATTTTATATTTTGAAGAAAATATGCCTTATAGAAAAATAAAGCTGATTTAAATAAATAAAAAACATATTTTTTGCAATTCTTCCTTTTTAACAATTTGTATATTGAGCGAAAAAAAATAGAAATCTGGAATTCTATATAAACTATATAGTGATATATGTTAGACAAAGGTATTATGATCTAATAATAGCACATGTCATGTGTCGTAAATTATGGTGTCTGCGCATATGAATCATGACTTGCAAAGTTTTCGAGTATATTGCTTACTCTTTCTGCGCTCTCATGTTGTTTCGCGTCCTTTTCGTATTTGATTACTTTTTTCTGATTTTCGTAGTATTTTTGCAATATTATTAGAAATTATTGTAGCAAAACGGATTTCCGGATAATTAGAGCGTCTTTAATGATAAAGTGACTAAAAATTTGCAAAATATCGGCATTTTGCTTCATTCAAACTAACAAATCAGTTTTTAATCAGCGTTTTACTTTTCAGACAGAAAAAAAAAATACTAGGGGTAGATGTTAATCATATTCATTATATCAAAAAATTTCCTATGTTTGTTGGATGCAATACTTGGAAAAGTGGAGCTCGCGCTTTAAAGTATTAATGATTAGTTGAGTCACGAGAATTTTTCTGCATGCTTTCATCGAGAAATTTTCTCTACCAATATCCTGCTTATAATATTTTCTTGCATTTTTGTACTTTGCCCCGTAATGTCATTTTCTGTTTTTTTTTTCTCGTCGTTTGTTTTTGCATTTTTACGCGGCTCATCAACGCATTGCCAGTGATTTTTACTTGTTTACTAATTGTCTGCGACATAACATTATACGTCAGAGTTCTTATCTATATTTACCATTAATGGTAAACGTTTTTCTAAGTTTACGCAACTACTGTTTACTCTTTGCTCTCATTGAAAAAGATAGTGATGCGTGCGTTTGCCTAGAAAAAAAAAACGTGAGCATGTGACCCTAAGTTACCGGATTCACACTGAGGCAACGTTTTTTTTTATCAAATCGCGAAATACAAATCATTTTTGATAGCAAATAAGTGATAAGCAAGCGCCTTAATTTATTGGCTTCAACATTCGGTTTGAAACTTTTCGATGGCTGACACCAGTCAATCGCGAGCTTTCTCGACTTCCTCGCAGCCCATCTTGTTCTTCGGTGTGGATAATATTTTATTCGCTTCCATCATTTGTCTATGCTGGGTTATTCGCTCAATTGCGACATCTATCTTACAACTTTCATACGAAGTGTTTCGTAACACAACCATTTCTTCGTTTTCAACCTATATCGAAATTTCTGGCAATGTGGAAGCGATTTCAATTGTTCGAAACGCCACGGTAATTTGCGTTAATCCTTAAATACCATTTACTATTTTTGTTTTAAATCAATTTCTTTATCGTAATATTGACAATTTTAGCACAGGATGAGCGACGCAAACCATCATCACCATCACGAACAAGGTTTTTCAATAGATGAATATCATAACTGAATTTAATTTTATAGATAATGAACATAATGTCAACGAAGGTGATAACAATGGACCCGCTGCGGCTAACGATGACAGATGTTAGTTGAAATAGAATAATTATTGTTGATAGAAATGAGTTATAGTTGCAGGGTTGGGCGAGCGAAACATTAGAGAAGGAATCGAGCACATCCGCCAGCGGCTCGACTCGACCAGAGAAGGACAAACGGTAGAAGCTTCAAAACGTCTTCACATTGTATTCAATTGTTGTAGTTTCAGCTCGTCAGCTTTTTTGTAAATACTCTGCCATTCGTCTTACTCTTTTCTATCAAATTCATATTCGATCACGCCGGGGACATTTTCCTCCTTGGAATTTTGATTAGCTTCTTCTTGCAAGCCGACTATCAAGTTCAAAAAGTGACTAGTGGAGGTAATTAAGAAGAATAATGCATTTTTTTTAAAGTTTTACAACATTTTGCAGCTATCACCAACAAGTATTTCATGGCTCTTTATACCATTGGATATACCTTGACTGTTTTAACCTATCTTAGCGTAGGACACGTTGAAGATTTCAACTTTCAAGATGTTTTCAGTCTTAATTTGAAGGTAGACATCGAAAGGAAAAATAAGAATACGGCAATAGCCAAAAAGAGTTCACAGTAGATATTAAAAGTTAACTTATTTATTCATGCTTCAAACATAGATGATCATTAATCGATTATACATTGTTTGATCACACTTCAAAACTTCTATAGTGTTCCTTTGTAAGGTTAGAGCTAGAAAATAACAATATCACGAGCAATATATCGTGTTGAATAGATTTACGCTAACAACTTTAAAAAATTTTTCAGTATTTTCTCAGTGGCGAATTCAACTCGCTGAGCATGATTTCAACCTTTTTTGGAATTGTTGTCATCGACACCACATTCAAGTTGATAACTGTCATTCCCAAACTCGTGGTATTTCACGCAACAATTGCCAACTTATTAATTTTGAAATTGCAGCTTGTCACATTACCTGACATGGTTATCTCTGGACCACAGAGACGCAAACTTCTTCAGTTTGTTGAGTATTGTGCCCAACTCTATCGGTGCGCTTTGCCAGTCGGCCCTTGCATTCGCTTCTTTTTGTTCGGCGGCTCCGGAGTAGGAATGTTTTCCTACATCCTTACTTTTTCCTACACTGGACTAAAGGTAGGAACCGTGTACAATTTTATGTAGGGTGATTGATTATTTTCATTATAATGCAGGTGGGCGAACTCTTCCGTTATTCTGGTTGCGTGAGGCGCACTATGAGATATTTGTTCAAGGTATGCTTTTTGTTATTTTTGGATAATCCGTTGATAATATCATTTTTCAGGAAAGCTCGTTTGGAACAACTCCACAACCGCATGATATTGAGGACGACATGTGCACCGTTTGCCACGAAAACATGACACATCCAATTATGGTAATTATTCACACACCAGTGATTCAGCGCTTGTAATGAAAGAATTCTATTTTCAGCTCGATTGCAAGCACATTTTCTGCAGAGTATGCATTGAAACCTGGCTTGACAAAAACACAACTTGCCCAATGTGTCGAGCCGTCGTGACCCAAAATGCGGTAATAAATGATAAATCAAGAATAGTAATTGATTTAGATAGTTGCAGGATAACGAGTGGAAGACTGGAATGACCAGCAAATCGATTAGATTCTTCTAAACAGTCATTATTTACGTATTCATTAAAGTTCAAAACTTTTGGCGCCATAGTAGTAGCTTTTAGTAGTATCTCGAAAGTCACTCATTCATAATTTTTCGATGTTTCATTCCAAAGAAAGTCATTGTATTATTATGTACATTCACGGAGAACCTGCCATTCCAATCACAGTATGTTAGATCTACTTTTATCTAATTATATGCAAATTGAAGACGGGTTTTGCGTATTATTTGTTTTCTTTTTACATATCTAGATTATGTCGAACTTCTTGTGTATATTCATAACCGCGTGTTACCAAGCCACGGTGTCCATTCTCAGAACATTTTTTAACTAGGCGATAATTTAGAACAATTCTTGAATGATTTAAACATTTCTTGTTCCTTAAAATTTTTTTATATATATTTGCTTTTTATGTGAAAATGATGTTTTTTTTTTCGATAAAGAATGATAAGCAACAAGAATATTTCTACGTATGAGTGTATTATCAATGCAGATTTTTCCTTCATTGCTCGAACAAAGAAGCTCGAACAGTCTTTAAATTCACAACGATAAGCAAAACGATAAATTTGGAAGGGTTAGATATAGCAATGATGATGGAAGAAAAAGCTAGTGAAACCGCCTAATTCAAAAATCAAGCATTCAATTAAAGAGTTTCATTTATTTTCGCCTGCATTTTTTTCTGAATAAATTTACTAAGAAGTGAACCAATTACGTCATGGACAAATCGCACTCTACTTTCATTTTAGTGCAATGCCACTTTTAATAACACCCGTGACATCAAGAAATTGTTTGCTTGAAAGTTCTTCCGCTGTCTAATGATGATTTTTTGCTTCTTACCAGAACTTTTGCGACAATGATATAGTTTATTGTCTTTTCAAATAGATAGTAATTACAACTCTTTACAATATATTGTTCTACTTATCCAGTTTAAATCTATATTGCTAAAATACATTTTTGTTATCACATTAAAAACTAGTGGGTGGGAATGTAATTGATGGAAATTGTGAGATAGTATCAAGTTTCAGTTGGATGTCACTGAAAATCAATTTGGTGGTGGTTTCAAAATAAAGACGTACGTGACACGAAATTCTAAAAACTATCACAACGAGCACGAGTTATTTCATTTTTAAGAAGCGTCATTTAAACGAAAGTAGTAAAGTGAGAGGGTCGCAATTGTTCACAACAGAAGTTAACATGGAATGGATAATTGAATTGAATTATAAAAATTTAGTCTTCGAGGTTTCTGAAAGCATTCTGCATGGCTTCCAAAAGATCATCATACTCCTTCTTAATCTTGGCTTCTCCGTCGGCAACGGGGTCCTATAATAAAAGAGGATTAGCGGCTTTTAGTCTTAAGAATGTTGGTGTTACCTTGAATTTCATGGCCGAAAGCTGGTAGATAAGGTCTCCCATGTGATCCTTAATGATGGCCCAGGTGATCTTGTTCTCGGACTGAGCAGTGGTTTCAACGGAATGACGGGCCAGATCGTAGAAAGCGATCATGTTCTTGAGCATACCGACGGTCTTGTAGAATGGGCAGAATCTGTCGTACTTGGTGTATCCGTTTTGCTGAAGGAAATCGTCCTGAAAAAAATTTTTGTAATGATTTTCAGAAAACTTCCGATTGTACCTTAATGATCTTGGCAACCTCAAGAGTGATCTTGTCAGACTCGGCAAGCGAGGCTTTACCGACGAGCTGCACAATCTCGGAAAGGTCTTCTTCTTCCTGAAGGATTTCCTTGCACTTGGTACGGAGAGCGATAAACTCCGGATGGTTCTTCTCGTAGAACTCTTCGAGGGCTCTCATGTACTTACTGAAAACCAGGTTATGTTTCGCTCTTTTGTTTTTATTAAGATATTTGCTCTTTTGTCTATTTTCTTTATAATTTGCCGCCCGAATGTGTCCATGCGTGTGCGAGCAGCGGCGGCTGTCACGCGCGGCACAACGTCTCCTTAGCAACCAGTCAAAATATTCGCGTCCCTCCGTTGCTCTAGAGCTCGCCGAACTCACTTTCACTGCTTGGCATCGACCCTCTCCCTTTTCTTCAAAACACACCAACTCACTATTATATTTCGAGTTCACTACTGGTTAACAACGGCCAAGATATTCGACTCTGATCCAATCTCAGAGGTGCTTTTTAATGACGTCGCGAATGCGAAGAAATTAAACCGCTACTACATTCCAACGCAGCCGATTGATTCACATATTTTCTCACGCACACCAGCCTCTTCATTTATTCAGAAGTATCATCTTCAGCCATTCGTCGATATGACGGATACATATCAGGAGCGTCCCTACCTAGGCGCGGATGAACTCAACACTATGACCATAAATAGAAATGTTGGCCTGCCAAGCCTTAAAAAAACTTGCTTCATTCAGCCAAAAAGCACAGGATTTGCGAGCCTTTTTCTTCAATTTGGACTTCTTATTGTTAGCGGTCTCACCGCCATTTTTTTCTTCTATCATGTTGGTGGTTACGAGTATATGGAATGGAATGAGAATTCGACAATTCTTCAACCAGTCCACCACTATCACGGAGACGAGTTCATCGAAACGGAAATCAGCATCCCGCTCAACAATCCCGTAATAATTGAACCAGCCACTAATGCTCCGGAGCCTGATGATTCTCTTGTCTCTACAACGAATCGTTCACTCGAATTCATCAACGCAACAATTGCAAATAATATGCGTGACGACAAAAAAAATACCGTAGTGTGATAACAATGTTTATTTTTTACTGTCGTTTTTACAGGTCGACGATGACGAAAGCATATCGAACATCATCGAAAGTTTGCTAGGAGATTCTGGCTTAGATAATGCGACTTTCGGCATTGAGCAAGTTCCTATGACAACGGTTGTTATTGCGGTAATTAATTCAAAGAAACGTATTACTCAGCTAATTCTTGAAGGGAATTGAATTTGATTGGCTAGAAGTAATTAGAATCTCTACTCTGGTGTATCTTGCAATTTGTTTGGGATGGTTTTTCACCATGTTTCTGTTCATTTGTACGATTCGATGCGAGATACTAGATACTGCTATTCTAAACTTAATCATTCTTATTACCATTGTACTATACTTGCTGGTTCACTCCGTTCTTATTGGCGCCCTACTCTTCTTCCAGGCAAACCTAATTTCTTATGACGTTTTCTAATATATATCATTTGAAGACACAAATGAGTTGGCGAACTATGGCTATCACTATTGGCTCCATCGTAATCTTATCATGCTGTGCGTTTCTCGGCAGCATTTGCGTTGCCCTGAACTTTGGTTGGGTGCGTTATATTGACTACATGCACAATACGAGAAAGGTAGCTGCATGTTGAATCATGAAACAATGTTGCTAATTTTCAGTGTATGTGCCTCGGAATGATCGTGCGACTTATCAAGCGCAACAAGCGACAAAATATGCCCGACTCGTATTCAATGCCGGAGCGACGGCCAGAGCCGACTAACAATATCCAATATGAAACCGATGTCCCGATCCAACAGTTCAGCGCGTTTTAATTCTCTAATAAATGTTTCTTTTTGTCAAATATACCTGTAAGAAATGAGCCAGTTAATAGATGGGAAATGTTTTCTCTGGGCGAGCTTCTTATCCAATCCCCAGAACACCTGGACGATACCGAGGGTTGCAGAAGTAACTGGATCAGCGAAATCTCCTCCCGGTGGGGATACGCTAAAATTTGGGTTTTACTAGAGTCCTTCTAAATGAAACTTCTTACGCTCCGACAATGGTGACAGAACCTTCACGCTCTGGGTTTCCAAGGCACTTGACCTTACCGGCACGCTCGTAGAATGAAGCGAGACGAGCAGCCAAGTAAGCTGGATATCCGGAATCGGCTGGCATTTCTCCAAGACGTCCTGAATAAGAATGTTATTGAACATATATCCCAAGTTGTGATCAACGTACCAGAAATCTCACGAAGAGCTTCGGCCCAACGAGAAGTGGAATCGGCCATCATAGCGACGTTCAGACCCATGTCACGGAAATACTCGGCAAGAGTAATACCGGTATAGATGGAAGCTTCACGAGCAGCGACAGGCATGTTTGAGGTGTTGGCGACAAGAGCGGTACGCTTCATGATGGAAGTGGTGACACCATCGACCTCCATGGTAAGCTCAGGGAAATCACGAAGTACTTCAGACATTTCGTTACCACGTTCTCCGCATCCGACGTAGATAATAGCATCAGAGTTGGAGTACTTGGAGAGAGATTGGGAAATGACAGTTTTTCCGCAACCGAAAGCTCCTGGGATGGCAGTGGTTCCTCCCTGGACGCATGGGAACAAGGCATCAAGAACGCGTTGACCGCAGAGAAGCGGGTTGTTGGCGGCGAGTTTCTCAGCGCACGGACGTGGATTACGGACAGGCCAGACCTGAAGCATACTGAACTTCTGCTTTTGGCCAGCGAACTCGATTTCGAGAAGAACATCCTCCACAGTATACTGTCCAGACGGGGCGACGTAAGTTACAGTTCCGCACGCGTTGGGTGGAAGAAGAATCTTGTGCTTGATAAGCACAGACTCGTCGACGAGACCGATCTCGTCTCCTCCGGTGACGTGGGCTCCAACACGAATGTCCTTCGACACCTTGTAGTCCCAACGAGCTTCGCGAGACAAAGCCTTGGTGGAGACTCCTGAAACAATATATTTATTTTCTGAACAAAACCTAATGCGATACCCTTTGGAATGTAGATAGAGCTCGTCATATCAGCGATATCCTTGAGAGGACGCTGGATTCCGTCGAAAATCGAACCCATGATACCTGGTCCAAGCTCAACGGAAAGTGGCTTTCCAGTACGGAGCACTGGATCTCCGATAGTAACAGACGCTAAAATGTCAAACTTATTTCAGTGTCTCCCAAATTTTCACGTACAAGTTTCCTCGTAGACTTGAATGGTAGCAAAATCTCCCTCAAGACGAATGATTTCTCCAACCAATTCTTGATGACCGACACGAACCAACTCGTACATGGCAGATCCCGCCATTTTCTCGGCAGTTACGACTAAAAAGTATTATTTCCTGATTGTATCGAAACAATTAATATTCTTACCAGGTCCGGAAACTCCATAAACGAATCCGTAGGCGGCTTCGCTCGCACCATCTCTTTGACTAGGGGCCATTATCCTGGAAAAAATGCAATAATTTTAATACGGAGCTGTTGAAATGCTAAAAATAAGCGATGAGAGCGCACAATTGTGATGAGAATGTTGTAATTTGCAAGAATATTGCACGAAATCGAAATATTTATAGAGTTACGTAACGATGAATCGCGACCAAAAGCAAAACTAGACGGAGAATCAACGATTAGAGGTTGAATAAAGACCAACAAAGGCCATCCGATCGTCGCTCGCTTCGAGACCATCATGTGCGGCGGGGCGCGCTTGTCGCATTTCCCGATAAAAATGTATGACAACAACACTCGCATACACTATTTTGTCATAATTTTTTGTTTAGTATATTAATAGTCAATAGAATACCAATTTACTTAATTATTATTAATAATTAAATTAAAAATTGTTCGTTTATCGTATTTTAATTAATTAATTTTATTTAATTTTCGTTTCTGTTCATAAACAATTTCCATGCATTTATTAATAAATAATAATACAAATGTAACTGAGTTTTTAATGCATAAAATGACTAGAAAATTAGAAACATTAATAAATTTCATTGATTCAATGTACCAAAGGTTTTGATATCAAAATACTAATAAATAAATAAATAACGAATTGCACCCTTTCAATATGATGAAAATACATAATAAAGCTGATGCTGACATAAATATATAAAAAGAATTGAAATATTAGTTTTTAGATCTGCATGAAGTTTTGGAAATCGGTGGTTTCGTCAATATAATCCGGCGCAAATCCTCTTGTATCGCAGATTGCAACTCGCATATTGTCAAGGGCCATTGCCGCTCGTTGTTCGGCTCGTTCGCTATTATGGGCAACCAGATAGAACTAAATACAATATTGAAGTATCAATTTTCATGTCGGCAAATTTACATGAGTTGTTCCTGGCGGTAGTTGTACATGAACTGTGTTCCAACGATATGCATTCTTCGAGGTGACTGATCTAAGAATGGATGGACACTGAGTGAAAGAAGAAACCGTTCGCATTGGGTTTGTGTATCTCGATCCTAAAAATGTGACATATTATGATAAAAATTATATGAATGGTACATACCTAAACATAATCGAATGGTAGTCATTTGAGATGGACGGAAGTATTGGAATAGCAGAACATTCAACGATTTTGTTGCATTGAATTTGGGAGATTCTAGAATCGCAATGTCTCCCGGGTCTAATATTGAAGAAACGAATTGGCCGTTAGTGTTTGCTGAAACTTATAAATGTTATTTCTCTTCAAATGCATCGGCGGCTCACTGGCTCGAATATCAGTTGCCCCCGTCAATGGATATCCATATCCTCGATTCCTCAAGGTCCATGGTTTTTTGGTTAAACCATGGTTCAAATAGTTGCAGGCAGTATCTGAAAATTCAAATTGATCATTGATTGCAATTAATGATTTAACCATCAAAATTGCAGTTCAATAAACTGCAGTAATCGTCTTGTCGTGGATCTGGAGTAGTGTTCACAATATTCCATGTTGATTTTCTGAAATAATTGAAATTGCCTTCTCAATAGAAAATTATTATTTTTATTACGATGAAGGTTTTCCTGATTTTGGTCGTGGTGTATATAATTCTTCTGGATAAACCGGAGCAAATGTTGTCAAAATTCGTCTAAAAATATTTTTTTTGCATTAAATTCTTGTTTACTCACGGAATAAACGGTTTTTTCTTCAAATGTGGAGGTTTTGTGTGCTTTCCAAGAATTGTTGAAGGAACTCTGGTCGTAGTCGTTGTGGTTTGAGTAGTAGTTGGTTCCTCAGTCTCCTCCTCAATTTCCTCTTCTTCTACTGATGGTGAAACTTCTTCAATTTCTGTTTCCTCTTCCTCCGTTGTTGGTTCAACAGGAGGTACTGTGGATAGAGTAGTGGTTACTCCAAGTACTAATGGCTCTTGTGTTGTTTCGTCCGAACACTCTCCAATGTATGCAATTTCATCAATCACTAGGAATCTATTTTTGAGCCCAACTTCCCATTGCGGAACTATGTTTAACTGAAATAAAAAAAAATTTCCGAAGCATTTTTTGATTTTTCCTACTGTGAATGTTTCGCTTATCGACTTGTTGATCTCGAAAATAGCTAAAGTATTCCTTTCATGTCGAACGGTTCGTGTTTGCTCAACACAATGTATGATGTCGCTTTTCTCTCCTGAACACGAACAATGAATAATCGCATATATTAACGCATACCGTAGCCCAAAGCGCATACTTGTAATAGAATATCACCGTTCGACCAATAACGAAATAGAACCTGAAACAAATATATCGAAACTTTGATAATTGTATCAATTGAAAATTACTTTTGCGGAACCAGTTTGACATTTTATTGGATCGCTTGCAAGCATTGCTGTTCCTTGAAGTACTAATGCCGCTGGATAAGTTGGAAGTAAAGTGATATCAGCAATGGAGTCTTCCAAAGATGGAATTGCTCCTTTTTCAATGATTGCCCATCTTCCAGCTTCTGGACCCCATTGGCAAGCAAACTCATTATTGAAATCGCAAAGTAGTTTTGTTGAGTCAGTAATAATTTCTCCTTCAAATATTGCCTTCGGTATGTTTTTCATTTAGTTAATTCACCTTTTCTCCTGTCAAAAAGCGGTTTAGTCCTATTTCCGAGAATCAACAGATCAAAAGGTATTTCCGTAGTGGCTGCGCTGCTAAACATTCAAATTATGGAGCGCTAAATGTCGTTAAGCACCTGCTCATTATAGTTGCACTGGTTGTTGTGGTTGTTGTCGAAGGTGTTGTCGTTGCTTCAGTGGTCGTTGTTGTAGGAGTCGTTGTCGTTTCCTCAGCTGCAACAAATTAATAACAAAGTTTTTGAAGACATAAGAATTACTGGTTGTTGTTATTGGTGCAGTGGGTTTTGTTACTTCACCGCTTGTTTTTCGCATCGTCCATGGAAGAATCTTCTTTGGCGCCGATGTTGACTGAAAGGAAACTTTGTTAGAAATTGCATTTGAGCATTTTCTATTATTCTAATAATCTATTTTACCATGAAGTCTGGTCTTCCTCGTACACCTGCTTCAATGGGATTCTGACAAATCGAAGCATCGTATCGAATGTCATCAAGAATTAATACTCCTGGATTGCTGTTGGGCGATATCATTATCTTGAAAAGAGTAAGTTTACTGTATTATGCACTCAGGAAAATACTTTGAAAGGCTTTTGCAGCTCAGGTATTTTCAATGAAACTTTTCCAGGCATCACACTTGAATTTAGCTGACCAGTGCAATTAAATTTCTGTCCTTCCAAGTCAGTCAAACAAATTTCAAGATCCGCATTTCCTGAAAACGCACATTGGTTTCTTTTCCGGATTTCGAATATTCACCAATTGCCCAATATGTGAATGAAAGATCCGCATATCCCTTTTGGCAACGAATGGCGTCAGTCATCAACGAATCAACCGGATTTCCTCGAGATTCAATCAAAACAAATGGCTCTCCTAAATGACGAATTATGGGACCTCAATGCAAATACTGGAAATACTTGGAAGTTGCATTGTTCCTGTTGCCGCTAACCATAGTAAACTATCAGGTTCGCCTCTAGCAACTCTCCAGCGATCAGCAGTGTTACCGACAGATTCCCATCTAAATATAACAGATAATACATCTCAATTCAATTATTTTCATCGTTTGAATTGCGTTTCTTTTCTCTCTAAATATCTTATCAATGACTGAAAGATAATTCCACGCCTTTTTTATCAAATATAAATCATATTTGAACGATGATTGCGTATTGTGCTTATCAAAACTTAGCAACCGGAAACCTCTTTTTTCAGTTTTCGGGGGTTGACAAAAGTTGAATGTATTTCCAACGGTATTAATTTTAGTAAATTTAAAACTGAACTCACCTGCATGGAGAGTCAAAGGAACAATCGAAAGAAAGAAGCTCGTGATTTTCTGGTAAAGATGGTAGATCTGAAGTGGTTACAAATAGACCCAACGCAACCTAGAATTATTGCAATAACATTTTATCAATTAACCTTGTTTACCTGTAAAATGCGGCTAACTAGGTTATTGGACGAATGAGCCGTCGGCCTATCCATGGAGCTGAGCGGCGATCTTAGTGTGTAGAGCTCTCTGTAAGATGAGTTGTCGAAGCGGGCAAACATATGCACTGAAGAATGACGATCTTCAAGCGGAAGCAACTTTTATATATAATGCATTCGTTTACAAATATGCATATCGGGTTTGCAAATGTTTCACAGCTTCTCGCCTGCTCTAATCTGCCGAAAAGCTTCTCAAACAATAAGAGATGTGCGTGAATGCGCGAAGAAGAAGTTTGTAGAGAAAAGTACTATACATGGGAATTTGCTTATAACTCAAACAGATTAATATTGTGCAATTCGGCGGCGTTCGAATTCCCGAAAAAGGAATAACGAAATGAACACGGGACGCATTGATGAATGGGCAACCTTTCAATGAGAGGTGATATTTAGACACGATTCATCTCGAGAGCTCAAAGTGCGAAACATCTTGAACTCAAGATTTCACGTATCAATTTGGCTTTTATCGCATTGTTCCAATCCAATTCATTTGAACAAATAACCCTATTTTGTTTATCCTTGGCCACCTGTTTTCTAAATTTGGCGATTAATTAAACATCTGAACGTTTTTTTAGATTTTTTCGTTTTCGTTCGTTTAAACGAAAAATAAATTAGAAAATGATGTAGTTTTTGAAATATTTCGAGAAAGAGGAAAACAATTGAAATACGTCGAATTAAAAACAAACAATTTAGTCTGATATATAGAAAATTATAAATATATTATTTGGATATAATTATGGCAAAAAATGAGCACATTGTAATTTATAAATTTTCATGGTTTTAGTCTGCAGATGATACTGTACATTATTTCTTTTTTTTTCATAAGAAATTTTAATTATTTACGAGCCTTTTATAGTACGTAAACACCCCGAATGTATCGTGTTTTTTTCTGTAAGGGCAATAATATTATTTAACACAAAAACGAAACGACTAAATAGTTGTTTTTAATTTTAAAAATCGAAATATTTTGAGATATTGAGCGTTTTGACCAGTCAAAAATAAGTGAATTATGTTCAGAAGAGTCGGCAACAACCACTCGATGCATTTACTCGTATTGAAGGAAAAGATAAATAAATGAAAGGGTTGGTCATTGTCGGCGAGTTTGAAATGAGCAGAAAAACATCGAAAATACATTGAATTACGAGAGTCCCATCGCCGACACAGATTTGCGCCGACAAAAAAAGATTGACTCACGCCGAGCCACTTGTAATAAGCAAACCGATACATGGCCAACATGGTCTCAAAAATCGCCTAGCTGTTTTCGTGCACTGTATTGCATGTCAATTCAAACAACAATGAAACTTAAGTCATTTAAAGAGAATAGGTGAAGGTAGTAAAAAAGGATAAACGTCGTACCTATCGAATCTTGCAAGTCCCATAGTATCTAGTTAAAAGCTATCGAATTCCAATACAGTATGCGCGCGTAGATAAAACCGTGAGCCGTTAATATTGAAAAGTGCAAATTGGAGTACTCAAGCGGTGTGAATCGAGCTTCTTATTAAAAACGAGCCGCTCATTATTTGCACATCATCTTAGAAGTGTAACGAAACTGTATACATCACACGTGGGCATTGAGATGAAAAGAAATAAGATTCAAAAATTGTTATTGGAAAAAATAACCAACCAAATATACCAGTCGTGAAAAAAAAATTGAAAATTTCATAATGCGAACCGTACTGTAAGGAAGAGTGTCCTTGAAATAGAACAAAAAATAAAATAGTTTCAGTTTCTCAGCTTAATTGATTACCTAATGGTAAAATAAACTTGTGCCTATAGAAATAAAACGGCGTCTTTTTGACTTTTGACACACCCTCGCTAGTCCTTTAATGAACGCTTCCACTTTCTATCTCGGGAAATTATCCCAGTTGGAGGCTATTTTTCTCGTTTCGGCTTGTGAAAGCCAACATTAGAAACTTTGATTACGGCTAATTTCGACGAATTCAAATCAAGAAGGGAAAACTAAAATTGCAAATTATGCTGGCGAACTGTTGGATTAAATATATAGATCGGCAACCGCCTTCAAAAACACAAATCGTGCCGATTGAATACGAGTTGTTCAAACAATCTCAATTGAATGTGTTGACCGGCAGCCACTTTTCTAAATGTCATGTAACTCGCCCACAAAATTATTGTTTTGTTATGTGTGTTCATGAGTTCTATCATGAGCATATTTGTGTTATATCTCGCATATTTGAGAGGGTGTGTGAGTGTGGCTCAACAACTCCGAAAACTTGGGCAAACAACGTGCCGCTTTTGTCAAAACCATTCTTATTTTTGTGTACTTGCGATTTTATCGTGTCCACCAAAAATGGTTTCAAGTTCTCATGCTGCATCGGAATGTGTTTTTTGTGCTCAGAACGAGTGGGTGTGATCCTCATCTTGAACTTTGAAACATATTAAACTTGAAGAGCACTTTCCAAAAAAATAGTTTTTGGTCTTACAAAATAAGTGGTTTCTTATGAAAATAACATAAACAAATGATTTCAGAAATGTAGCGATAAAGCCAAAAATGGAGACTGATAAGAAAATGAATGATTTTGAAATATACTAAATGAACGCTTTAAAATCTGTGGAAGGCAATGTGTGTAACATAGTATGACGCACGCTCAAGTGGCGATTTTCTAGAATGGCTAGGTGATTAATTAGAATGCGAATAGATATGGATGGCGTAATGGATTTTTTGGTTGAATGCGAGACAAAAAATGAATCGCCCCGATCACTGCCTGGATTGCGATGATAATGATGAAACGAGATTGAAAATCCCGAATGGCAGATGAAAACGGCTACGAGGAAGCATCGGAATGCAATAGACACAGGTTGTACCCGAAGGAGAAGTGAAACGAGGCAACCGGTTAGCTATACATAAGCTACCATCGCCTGTGGTCATTCAAAAACTATCGAAAAACTTACGCCCAAGGTATGCAAAAGCTTTACAAATAATTTCGACAGATTTTCTAAACAAACCTGCCACGATAATACTTCTTTCACTTTTTGGTAATTGAGACTTCTAAAATTTTTTAATGGAACAATGCAAATTTTCACGAATTACGAAATTTCCTCAATATGAAAATATCGAATTTATAAGAATATTTTTTTAAAAATTCCAATTGTGTTATCTTAATTTGGAAAAAAAATCTTAAATTGCTTGAAACTTATATCGATGTAGTGGGAACAACGGAAGACGACACGGATTTGAGAGGAAGGTGTCATTGATCGGAAGAGTTACCTGCATTTCAATGAGGCTTTCGAATTGCCATTTTACAGCATCTGCAAATAATCCTGAGACACGTTTTTATGCAAACCGACGAGCGATCAATAAACTTCTAAGCATATATCGTTCTAACCAATCGAGTTTTATTAATTTTTGTCATCAATCTACTGAACAAATCTAATAAGAAAAACTTTATGAAGGAGACTGTTATGTATTCCATAAATTAATATTCTTAAATAAAATTTTTTTTAAAGACAAAATATTGAATAGAACAAAAAAAATATCGTATCTGCTTAAAACGAGCGCATGGTAGTGGTTAATTTTTTAGTACTCAAAATGTACAGACAATTGTTATTTGTTAATAAGGGTCAGTATTACTTTTTTCCCTGACTGCCTTTTAAGAAAGTGTCAAACAGCGAAAATATTGAACCGATTGATGGACCACGACCACGTCTAAATTTAAGCTAATGTATAAACCGAAATACCATTTGTGCTAACTGTAAAGCTCTCGGAAGATCTTTCAAAACAACTTGTTCGAATGTGTTGTCGATTCCAACTTCATTAGCCCCTAACAATCCAGTTAATCCGCCATTTCCTTCCCATGGTGCAGGTGGTGGAGGAACATTTGATGCAGAGTCTATGTAGTAATTTCATGTTATTTAATTATTTTGCACATAGTTACCTATGATAAATCGCATAGTAAAATTGGCCGGTGCAACAACCGAGATGCTGTTCAAAAGTATTTGATTTCCTTCTGATACAATTCTCCCAGGCGCTGGATTGCAGCATTGCCTGAATCCCGTTCTTTCCAAATTTCTGGTATGTTTTATTTCCAAATAGTTTTCCGGACATGAGGATTCACACTTGTACTTTGTGTCAATGATTTCAAGATGTACTTTTCCAGACGGCGCCTGAAACTCGAAATAATTTTTTAAAAAGTCAGTTTGGTATTCTGAAATAGTTTGCGTTCCCCCTCTTTCTGTAAACCGTGGTGCAATCGTTAGGTATAGAAAAAATACAAAGCAAATAACAAATTAATATTGTTTCTACACAGCATTATTTGCTCTCAAAAGCTTATAATTTTTAATTACAAGACTCATCAATTCCAAATTGCGTCCGGTGAATTTGTTTTTATATCAACCGGTCTCAAATGATTTGAAAGTAAGATAAACCTTCACTATGGTATTTATTAGACATCTTTGAATAATACGGAATGCACACGTAATTTTTTTTCTCTTGGTTCACTTACCACTATTCTATAATGGCAATGTCCGACTTGAGTGTTGGATACTGTCGTCCAAGCGGTTGATGCGATATATTCTCCTCCACAACCCGCTGAAATATTAATTTTAAACGAAATTCACGTGAATTATTCTGCATACGCGTATTCTCGGCAATCCGCTCGCATCTCACGCCACCTAATCCGGGTGGGCATTTGCAGACATTGCAGTTTAGTGGATTTTCATATCCTCCATTTTCGCATCCCAATGGAATTTTGCAAATATCTGAAGTTTGTTATTGTCCCGATTAGTAAACGTGCTTTTTTGAAGGTTAAATTACGATTGCAATAAAGTCTGTTTGCGTGTTTGACATCGGTGAACGATAACTCTCCTCTCTGCCCAATTGTATGTTGGAATCGATGGTCCTTGAATTAGCACTATGCATTAAATTGCCGGTTCCTTCAAATTACCTTCGTCTCTATTGTCACATAGTCCCAATCATTTGTGAATGCTTGCGGTCCGTAATGCATCACCGATCCAAGATCATAAGGAACATCTGTCGTTTCTAGGTCGTTTCGTAGTTCGAAATTGCCCTGAAACACACATTTCTTTCAATTTGAGCTTATGGCACTTACTTTCGCTCCTTTCAATATCTTGTCTTCGTTCACATTAATAAATTGATTTCGATCCGGTCGGCTTTGCTCATGCCAAAATCCCAAAGCATGTCCGATTTCATGTGCCACAATACCTCCCTAGATTATTCAAAAAATTCAAATCATAAATTATTCAGCTCACCCCTTCGCACCCATAACCAATCGAAATATATTGCTTTCCACCAGTCCGACCAACATTCGAATAACATCTGTAAACTAATACGCTAGTATTGATATATGCTAAGACAATTTCTTTTGTAATAATGACATTCAAATGTAAGGACCATTGCAGTATGATATATAAATTTACCCTCCGCCTCGGAAGAATATAGCGTAATCTTTTTCGCCGTTATGCCTTTTGAAACGTATACAAGTTTCTTTTTCCCATTTCCGCATTCCTTTTCGTATAATTGCTCGCCATTCAGCTGGAATAAAACATACTATACGAAAATTTGTAAAAACAATTAACTTGAGTTATCTTTAAATTCAAATGGTACTATTGCGTTGGGCCATCTGTACTTTTGGCCTTCTATCGCGGCATTCCTTTTTATTCTCCTTGGAGTACCTAAATCGTATTACAATCTCTTATGATGAACTTTTGGATGAAAGTTTGAAAACCAGATATTCTCGATTGAAAGGCATCAATAACATCCTCCATTTGCGGTTTTGTCAACACCAAATCACTTTCAAACACCTAAAAATTTCACAAAAGCTGCCAAGGTTTTATTAGATGTTAAACTCTACCTTTGATAAAATTCGTCTATTAATTGCGTACTCAGTTTTATCAACATAGCGATATCCCATAGGCTAAATAGAAAGTTTTCATAAAATAAAATTAGTTTACTTACTCTTGCATAGTTTGATTGAGCTTTCGGCGTCAACCTATAGTTGGAAGACATTTTGAAAAAACTTTGCAGCATCGTTTGAAATTGCGTCTCATCATTTCTTAATATTAAGCTATCATGAGCATTTCTTTTCGTAAACTTACTGTGCGCTTGAAAAGGAAGGTATTAGTAAAAGTATAAACGGGATCATTCAATGCAGCCAAATGACGAAATAGGGCTTATCTCTTAGGTCTGTCTCAGTGTAACAGGTTTTGGTATTTGCAACACATAGCTTCTACCATTATTTTCATTTTATTATCTACAATACCGTGATGAAGTGGAAACTTGAAATCGCCTGCTGATTGGCAATGAATAACGAATGAACACCGTGCAGAAAATTCGAAAAACTTGGAAAATCAATTTTCTATAAGTTTGTATTTCGAATTCCAGTAGGATAATTCCCGTAGGATAAAATTTAGACTATAGGAACAAACGAAAAATCCCATTACGATATTTTTCATCAAATGAAAAGATTACGGTATAACCTCAAGAACACCCTTATTTTGGAAAAAAAAAACAAAAATTTTTTAAAATTATTTTTGTTAAGCAAGGTTGAAAATTCCTTTTTGCCTGAGAAAAACACACACAATCAGCTGTTGAGATGCCTAGAAAAACATGTTTTCGATAATGGATCTATTCAGTGAATGTAAATTAAACAAAAACGACAAATTTTCATTATGCAGCGATGTCGTTTTTGTCGCAATAAGCGCTTAATTTTACTGAGGGGTACTGTAGATCGCGGGTCGATATTTCAAAAAAATTGGCACATGCTCCTTGAATATCGATTTTTTTAAAATATTTTTTATATTAAAATTTTCGTATTTTCACTCGTTTTTCGCGGATTTTTTTAAATAATTTAAACTTTTTTTTGAGTAACACTTGGTGATATTCATAAAAACTACTAATTTGTGCATATATTTCCTTTTTGAAGCATGTCATTCGCTGAGTATGAAGGAAACGACTCTTTGGTCGAAGACGTGGTGGAGGCACATGGGCCAAGAAATTTGCCAATTGCTGAACAGCGTGAAGAAGCTAAGCGCACGAGAAGGAGAAAGCCACTTGTAGATGACGGATATGAAGCGGTGAGTATTTAAAAATGAATTGTTGGATTTTATAAATTAATTAAATTTTTTTAGTTTCCACAACACTTTATTGTGGACTTCATCAAGACCGTTGAGCAGTACCCAAGTATTTGGGACTCATCTATTAAAGAATACCACAGGAGAGAATTGAAGCTTAAGGTCTTTCAGAATATCGAAAGCATGTGCAAGAAATTTCTCCGCGCCGGAAGACCAAATGGTATTTTCAAAACCACTATCGGTAAAATTGAAGTTTTAGGTATGACGGCTTGGAAATTGTGGGATTCGATAACGCGCGATTTCAATAGACATGTGTTGCGAATCCAAAATGCTCGATCTGGAACTGGAACATTGGAATCATCATTTCCGTTTGCGGAATATTTACAGTTTTTGGATGGAGTCAGACACAAAAGACAAGTTAAAAAGTAAGTTTACCTGTTTTTTGTTAATTTTTTTTTACTACAGTGCCTTCATATGCGGTGATAAAAGTATTGAGTTGCTTGAATCGCGGGGACCCTCGGATAGTCCGAAGACTGCTAAACGAAGAAAATCAGGTTTCTAGCAATAAAAAATGGAGTTTTATGGGTATGTTTTAGACAGCGATGAGCTGATGAGTATGTTGCGCGAGACGAACAGCGAAATCAAGCAGCTGCTTAGATCGAATGATGAGGAAGCCAAGGAAACCCCCAAATGTAAATTTGACCGATTGTGCAGGGTCATGGCCAGCCACGTTGCGGATTGGCCTGAATTGGATCAAATTCAAGCCGAAGCGAAAGCGATCGCTTTCATCATGGATCTCCAACCGACGGGCAAAAGAAATGAGCAGACGACTTCTCTCAGTTTGTTGGACGAAAATTATTTTTAAGTATTTTTTTTATTATATTAACAATTAAATTTAAAAAGATAAACATTAAACATGATAAAGAAGATAATTTTTTAATGCCGTTCTTTGATCTTCGGCATCGCTGTATGGGTCTTGAAGTAAGGGAAAGTTGTGGTCAGGTGGAAGATCGGGAGGAGCACCTAGTGATATGTTATGTACAACTGAAAGTGCTACAATGAGGGCGCGCGAAGAAGACGGGTCCATATTAAGGGCTTTTTTGAAAATCTGGAATTTCGACTGCATCACACCAAAAAAATTTTCAATTTTCACCCTAGTTGCCGACATAATCTCGTTAAAACGCATGTTTTCTGGAGTCAAGGAAAGCTGCCTATAGGGTTGCATAAGAAACTTAGATAGTCCAAATCCGTTATCAGCAATTATAAATGGAGGCATTATAATGGATGAATTCGGAAGCGGGCGATATCCACCTATTGTGGCTACATTTTCGAGGAGTGCTCCCAAAGGCCCATCTCTGAACATTTGGGAGTCCGAATTTACTCCAAGCTCAGAGATTTGCAAATATATAACACGCAAGTTTGCATCACTAAAAAAAAGAGAATTAAATGAATAAAACGACTTATAATTATAATTTAACGATCCTGTATGCGCAGGATGCTCGATCTTCCAATGCTTTCCATCCAATATGGCAAAACATGGAATTCTTCGACGAGGAGTTCGATCAGAAGAGTTCATAAATCCTTCTTCCAGACGAATTAATTCTCTTCGATTTTGTGGCAATCGGATTTGTTCTCCGGCAACTTGGACGATATCCTCGATTGTATCTCTAACTAGTCGAGAAATCGTTGATTGCGAAACTCCAATTTCCTTCGCAAGAAGATTTTGGCTAATACCTATAAATTTTATAATTTTAATGCTTGTAAAAAACTAACAAACAACTAAAAAATAACCTTCTCTTGTGTATTTTAAGAAAACTGCCAATCGAATTGTCGCATTGATTCGACCTTCGTGATTTCGGCATATCTTCAGAAGTTCCATGAACGTGCTGTTAGAAACGCCGGTCACGAACTTAATTTATTCTACATTACTTATGCAGAAATTCACTTGTTTTACTTGTTTCCTTACCTCAATACCACCACAATCTACTAATCGGTTGACTTTTTCACAAAAAAGATCGAAGCTCTGTTTCTTGATCACTTCAATTGTTTCAGATGCATTCAATGCATTTTGTTTCAATATCCAAACCAAAATAATTCGTTTTTTCATAAGCAGTGCAATCTATAAATTCATTTATTTGTTTTTTGTTTAAATTGTATTTCTTACTATAGCCTTTTTCTTATTTCGTAACCTATCCAAATTAGCCATGGAACGATCTGAAATATTCAATTTCTTTAAATTAAAACAATATTCGAATAAAATCGATTCAGTTTTGGAATAGAAAAAAACGAAAACGATATGAAATAATTATATAAAAGTGTTACTCAAAAAAAAGTTTAAATTATTTAAAAAAATCCGCGAAAAACGAGTGAAAATACGAAAATTTTAATATAAAAAATATTTTAAAAAAATCGATATTCAAGGAGCATGTGCCAATTTTTTTGAAATATCGACCCGCGATCTACAGTACCCCTCAGTAAAATTAAGCGCTTATTGCGACAAAAACGACATCGCTGCATAATGAAAATTTGTCGTTTTTGTTTAATTTACATTCACTGAATAGATCCATAACAATTCTGATAAGAGTACACATCGAGATATGATAACACGATGTTTTTATCAGATATTCATTCAGAATTGCACTTATCCTTTGATGTTATTTTTCTATATTTCGCCCCAAATTAGCTTTAGTTAAAACAGGAATGGATAGTGATACAATTGCTTTTGTGAAACAAGTTAGAATCTTCACATCTAGACTAGTGCAGTCACTAGTACAGGTTAAAAATTAGATTATTAAAGATTGATGGGATTCATTTTTTCAGTCTCGACTTGGACATTTTACTCCGCAGACATGTACACCTGCAACATCTGAGCCAACTTCAGGTGTTTGGTTTGGCTGCAATATGGATGAGCTTGGAGAAGTGTCGGCTTATCTCAAAAAAGCAATCAGCGAGTAAGTTTTATAATGTCACACTTCCAATCGAACACATTTTTAGGTATCCTCCACAAGGAACCGTCGCAATCGAGTTTATTTTGTACACCTCCGACGGCCAATATATGCCTTTAGAAGCATGGTAATCTTCAAAAAAAAAGTTTTTGGTTGAATTTCGACTTTTGTTTTAAGGGTGATTGGAATTAATGAGCTGGAAATATGCGAACCATGCAATGTGGACGCATACCATCAAATGTCAACATTGTTAAGGTAGATATTATTTGAATTCCGCGATCATTTATTCAGCTTCTTCAAAATTATAGATCCGTGTCAGTTGCTGCTAGAATGACGCCAATGCACAGAATGTTCGTCAAGAAACAAGATGAGGAATCATTCATCATTCTCTACAAGGTAATTTTTAATTTTGCAAAAAAAAGTACAAATGTTTTTGATTGTCAAATTCACAGGTACATAACTCAAAAACTATTTCAAGTATGGGTCCGGGAAGTAAACAGAGAAGATTGGGTAATATTGCGGTTGCCAACGGAAATCTATATTTGGATTTACACTACCGTATGACAATGCATCTAGATTTTGAAGATCCCGACAAAATTGAGTAAGTACAATTTTCAAATTAGTGTTTGTATGAAAATCTAAATATTTAGATCTTTCAATGCATCAACAATTTCTTTGAAAGAAACAATTGCGGCAATAAAAAAAGCAAAAGTGGAGGATATGAACAGTATGTTGCACCAGACACATATAGCTTAAGATTTTTAATTACAGCTAACTCTGTAATAAACGAAGAGTTAACCGATGATGGCTCCATGGTAACACATGTATTGGCAACAATTTATTGAAATTGATTGATTTTAGAGATCCGGCTCTACTCAAAGACCCAAATTTATTTTAGGACAATCGACGTCGAGTGAAGAGTCAAAAAATTCAATTGTTCGAAATGTGTTGGATTTGGAAGAAAAACCTTTTTTAGTAATCAATATGCAAAAGAAAATATAACTCTGTCATTTATGTCAGGCTGAATTAAGGAATCATTCATTTCCATTTGTCAGTCTTCTCCACTCTGCATATTTGACCGTGGGACAAAAGGACAAGTCGCCATTTGAAATAAGTAACGTTGTTTTATTTTTAATAAGAAATTAATTCAAACTTCTTTTAGGCCACAGCACTCATAAAGAATGCTTAACTGTTGAAAAAAAGGAAATGTTATATGACACAACTAGTACATCTTCATAAATTGATGTGAGTAATATGGAAGATTTTCAGTTTCAAACAGTCACCAAAAAGATTTTAACGTCGAAAAAGAAGACATGTTAAACGGACCCACGGGTAGATTTTTTCCAAAAATTATAATATAAATAGAACATTTTCAGATAATTTAACAGCAAATAATAGTCAAGTGGAGTCTGCTGAAAATATCCAGGAAGAAGCTGCAAATGCTGCTTATTTTTGTGATGAGCCAACCACCGTGTCATTCGTAAGTTTCTAAAGCAGATTTTTCCTATCAATCATTTTTTTTCAGATATTCGCCTCACCTACTCAAGAAGATAATCATGAAATTGGAGAGTTATTGAAACAATTCAAGCTTGCTCCAGATATATTGAAGCCGACCGCATTCACGTACGACATTTGCGCTAATATTGAACAAGAGGTATCAAAATAATAAAGTAATCAGCAAAATAATAATAAAATAATTTTCAGCTGAAGCTACTTAGTTCACATAAGGATAATTTCAATTCGTTTGTTGAACATATTAATAAAATTACTGATGATTATTGAGGTCCCCTCCCAAATCATATCCATTTGCGTAGCAGTAAATAAAGTCACAAGCAGGCATCCAATGTAAATATTATATGAGAAATAAACTATAATTTTCTGTTGTTTTAAAAATTAAAAAAATATTTTGGAATTACAAAAATATATTTATATAAAATAATTTACAAAATATAAAAATATTCGAACTACATTATTGTGTTTAAGTTCAATACAAATTAGTTAATGGGTTTCGCATGATTGCTTGAAAGAAACCGACAAGAGGGTTTTATCGCGCACAGTTGATATTTAATGGTTAATTTTACCTTAAAAAATGCTTCCCTTAAGAATGTAGAATTGCAAATAAATAAATTGGTAACAAGAGTTTTTAAATTAATGCACTGTTCTAAAAAATATTAGATTTTTGCGTATTTCTGTGCTTTTGTAAAAAAAATGTTGTTGATTTGAATAATTGACCTAAAAAGTGTAGTTTAAAAAACGCTATGAAAAAGATAAGCGACAAAATATCATGAGACTCCGCTTTTACGTTTTGTAGTATGTGTGGTGTTTCAATTTTCCCTTCGTTTATGATTCATTTCCTTGAAATAGAAAAACAAGCTGATGCGTTTGTCACGTTTGCTTCGATGAATTCATTGTATTGTTTTTTTTTTCTTCAGAATTCATTCATAAAAACCAAAATTATATTGTGCTTAGGTATGTTCAACGCATCTAGAAAAACATTATTCGATAAAAATGAGCTGAGTATCATTCCTTATAATTCTCTAATTCTGTAATAATCTCTAAATTTCCCGCACTACGTTTTGTTTATGAGCACGTGACATTCGCATCAGTTTTTAAATCCGCTATAAAAGACATCGCACGTACATTGAACTTGACCTTGTCTTCATAATTATTCCTATTCTTTTAATTATTCTAACTCGAATCATACTAGGGAAATTGGTAAGATATTTAATAAATTGTTGCATTTATTCAATATTTTGAAAAGTTTCACATTAAAAACATTATTATTATATAACATACTTCGTATTTAAGATTAATACGGTTTTTTTAATTCCAATTCTGCGATATTACGAGAATAATTTAGTTATCACAATAATTTCTTTTTGCAAATGCCCGTGGGATACTTTTTTTTCTTTGCACTAACGTGTGAAATAGCCATTAGCAAAACCACATTGCCATACCTTTCTAGAATATATTTCATCATCGCTTTTATTAATTCGTAATATTTTTATTATTAATTGTAATGTCACGACAACTCTCATAAAAATTTGGAACTCGCTATACGTGCAATTCAATACACTTGACTCTCTTATGCGAAAAAGAAACAAAGAAATTTGTGTCGGCAGTCTCACATTTCCTGATTTATTGCTTATATCACTGAAACCTTTTTTTTCATTTGTATATTATTAAACCAAACTCTTTTGACTGTTAGTTTCGCACAGATGTTTCCATTTTTTTTTTCATCTGCCAACCAATTAGTCAGGCATATATCAACATTTTCTTTTCGGTTATGCATTATTTCATTCAACTTTTCTCTTGCCGTAACTCCAATCAAAATATTGCTTAGCGGCGGTGGCAGAGTCAGTGTCTGCCAGGTGTTATTGCAAAATAGAGATGCGGCACAGACGATGAGCGCGCACGCTGTGTATAATTGGTATGTAAATGCGCGTCAAGATACTGCGGACCGGGTAACAATTGTAATGTTTGCCCGGAGTTAGGTTGCGTGCTATTTTGTTGACATACATCGTTTGTTTGCAAAATTCACTTATAACACCGCAAGCTGACTCGTTTTTTTAATTTTCGCGAAATCATGAACGGTTTTAAATTTATTCTAATGATGAGCAATCAATATTATTAATTTTGACCAAGCTTAACTAATTCGTCACTTTTTTTATTTGCATTCAGTTGTTGTTCCAACAACTATTTGAATAATTCCTGATTTCGTATCATTTCAATTTTTGAACTTTTTGAACGGCTACTTTTATATCAATCTTTTGATATTGCAATAAACGCAATACGCAGCCCCATATCGTTGAAACCAGGTTTTAACCTGATATACTTATCATATTTTATTTTCCGCTACAAGAAAACCACATAAAAACCGTTTTTGTTCAGAACACATGGAGAATAAAACATCTGAAACGAGCGCATGGAATTCAACAATTGAAAGTATATCGAAGCAATTTGGAACAATATCAGCGTCAATAGTAAGTGGCGTTGCGTTATTGATTGATTTACAATTGATGAGATTAGGATCCAGAAGATACTCCAAAAAGACGACGCAGTAACAACACTACGCCCAAAAAGAATTCTACAGTTCAGAATGACTCGTGGAAAACGAAACCGAAGAGTTTTAGTGAAGAGCCAGTGCTTTTAAATGGTCTTGGGTGCGAATTAAAACTGGGAGATTAAGACATTTAATAAATTGTTCTAGGCGTCCAACTGAGCGTCTACCTCGTGAAATAAATCGATCTTTTAGTGGCTTTCAAAGGTAAAGAGAACTAAATGAAAATAATTTAAAAAAAAAACGGAAATTTGTTTAGACATTCCATGGAAACAAGAAGCTATCATCTGCGATTCAAAAGTCCTTCAGACAATGCTCACTGCAATGAGAAAATCAATTATCATCAAACGAGTCTCGTACGAAATGTAGGTGTTCGCTTACTAATTTTAGAGTCTCCGAAAAAAAAATAACATGAATTATTTTGGTGCGTATTTTGAAATATGCGTTATGCATCTTTAAATTAAGCAACTTTTCTAAAAAAAAAGCCAAATGGTATTGAATGCGATCGGTGTATTTTTTTAAATTCCGTAAAGATTTGATAAGTTATAGCAGTATTTTAAAATGTCAAGAACAAGTATTGATTGTTTTTAGAACCAAAACAGTTTGCGGAGATATTTGCGAACTCGAATTGAGGCCAAGCCGGCGACAAGAAATGTGGAAACTCAGGCGACCATTGAAAGCACCGACTCTAAGAAAGTCAATCTTAAAAGATCCCGTAATCGTTCAGAATGATTATCCTAACCTCTAAACGGCGTGTGATACATTATTTTTTTTAGTAATCCTGCTCTAGCTTTTACCGTAGAAATCACCATGTTCAAAGTTAATTGTATAACCGTAATTGATCTCGTTGTATGCTATCATTCTAGATCTCTTACACTCAACAAATTAATCACTCTTCTTGTAAATCGGGCTTAAAACTGTTCCATAATTTGTATTTTTCAGTTATTTGTATTGATTCGACACTAGCACGGGTGTATAAGTACTGGTTAACGTGATATTATCCATTCTCTATGATTGGTTTCATAAATGTTTCTTATTGTGATGAATCTCATTCACCGATCCATGTTTCTCATGCAAAATTCCCGTTTATTTTAAACTACCGAACATTGTGTATAAAGAGTCAATTAAATATTTCTTATCACAATCGTGATAAAAAAAACGGCAACCATTTGTTGTTACTAGACGCGACACTATTGATTTTTCTCTTCTAGTATGGCGTACTATATGGCAGAGGCTGACGAAAACAATCAGTTTGATGAGTTGAGATTGAATCCGAATCGAGATGTTTCTGAAGATGATTTGCGTAAGATCGGCATCGAAACCACCAAGGTATATTACACAAGTTTAATGATACATGTAAAAACAATATTTTCTAACAAATGACATGTTTAGGTTGATTTCGACGATCCGAATGTTGAGGAAAACTTAGAAAAACTTATCAAGCAATACGATATGCACCATAGAGATGAAATCCATATCAGCAAAGATACACTCCCGGATTTTGAAGCAAAGGTAAACAATGAATTTTCCTTAAATATAAATAATTAAGTCAATTGTCAGTTTTCTTGAAGAAAACTGTATTTCATAAATTGCGAAAGAGTCAGGTTCGATAATTATTATAATAATAAAAAAAATTGTGCCTGCTTTTCAGCTCAAAATCTTTTTTGATGAACATCTTCATAATGATGCTGAGTTGCGGATCATAAAGAAAGGAGTTGGTTATTTTGATGTTAGAGATGCAAATGTAATATTGCTGAATTCTTTTGTTCTTTTTTAAATTTTTTTTAATAGGAAAAATGGATACGCATTCCCGTGAAGCGTGGGGATTTCGTCTTCCTTCCAGCTGGAATCTATCATAGATTCACCCCGGATGTCAAAGTAGTTTCTTGGAGACGTTGCTTTTAATATAAATCTTCTTTTGCAGAAAGATGTAGTTGCGATTCGACTTTTCCGAAACAATCCAAAATGGGAAGCTCATAGTCGTTCTGTTGACGGCGATTTGCAAGATGAGCGCAAGCAATACCTTCAAGAAATCAAAGCTTGAATGTTTTCTATTAAAACATTATATTAGCGAAGCATTCATTAACAATTAATTGATATTTCACATAAAATACACGTGACAAAAAACCAAATGTTTGCTCTAGAAGATTATGTACAACTCCAAAAACTTATTGTCCAACAATAAATTATATTCCTATCGATCGATAGAAGAAAATATATTTAGAAAGCGTAGTCTGCAATCTTTTTGAACATCTTTTTGAATTGAGAAACCTGAAAACTTGAGATAATGATGAAATATCGAATTTTATAATACCTTATTATTATTGAATAGCTTAGCAACTGTCATTTCTAACAAAGAGCCTACTCGACGGAATCTTCTGGTAGCCTGAAATACGATACTGACGCAAGAACTCATGCATGAATTACCCCAAGTGGTAGCACGGTACTGTCCATTGTGGGATGAACTTGCATATACGAAACATTAAGAGTTAAAACGTGGTGTTTCAGTGTTCCCAATTCAATCATATTCAAACCTAAACCCGAAATTCATTAGGAAAGCGTATTCGGTTTTACCTTCATTGCTGGTGCTGAGGATTGCAACTTCTGGTGGGAACGAGTTCGGTTTCAATGTGATGAATCCGTGCATAACTCGAGTATCATCTCCGATCCATGAAATACTCCTGAAAATCGAATAATAAATGTAATCGGCAAAAAAAGTTTCTCAATGTACGTGTAATTCAAAGAAGGTGGACCGAACATGGGAACGGTCGCTGGGGCGAAATCAATGGTTTCCTCGTACTCATTATCGTAAAGATCGGTTGGGAATCGAAGACCTTTTGACGCTTGAGAGTGCCATTTTCCCAAGAAGAACTGCATTGGCTCTAAAGCCGGCGCCAATGGGATTTCAGGCGCTTCTGTAATATCATAAATAAGCATGGGAGGACAAATGAGAAACTCCAACGGTAGTTTGGATCAGGGGTACACATTTTGCATGAAACCGCGCAGTTGACGTCAAAAAAGTTGGTTTGAGTTAAAACGGTATGACATTTGTCTTCCATTGCCCATCGATCACAACTTTTGTAGATGTTACGACACTTTCCTGAAAACCATTTCATACCATTAAATGATCAATGTGGGTTTGAATAGAAACACAATTCCCGATTTCTATTATACTGTTTTAATGGTTATCCATCAATTACTTATAGTTTTATTGTTTCTTTTTTCGGTTTCGGTCGGAAAGTTTGATATCGGAAATGATGCCCATTACGCAATTAGGATTATCCAAAAACAACGATAAACAATGCCTCTGCATGTGTAATCCAGATTGTTAGGCTTATCCGCGACAATCTTCGCAGCTTATTCTTCATCTTCTTAGCCTCACTTTTCTTCCTTGAAAACTACGCAACACGATGAGGAACGCGTTCGGACACTCGAAAAAGTATGCATATGTAAATCGCTCAGCGGGAGAAGTTGCCTTAGATCAGATTTGCCATAAATTTGGATTCAAATCAAGATTGATATCAGGTAGAAAGCAACGCATCACGCAATCAAAAGGGCATATACGGTCTGTCTGTTTGTTTCAAGTTTTTTTGGCGCTCGCGGGTGAAAGAACGAATGTTACGCAACAGCAGATGAAATTAGAGAGATTGGGCAATTAGGGAAAGTGGAGAAAAATCGAACTTACTATGGCAATATCGACCCATCCATCCTTGCGAACATTGGCAGGCAAGTTTGCCAGGTATACAGGTTCCACCATTCAAGCAAGGGTTGTTTCGACACGTTTCAGCGGTGAATCGTTTGTATACCAGCTGAGCAGTTTTAGAGCCAACTGAAAATGTTCTTCAATAAAGTTGGGTGCTTAGAAATTGAATGCAATAAGGATATTTAGGATATGTCATAGCACCATTGCATATTTCAAAACCACATATCAGCTAGACTAGAAAAACTGAAAAGTCTGATAAATGTTCAGAAGCTCTTTAAGTCTCAGTTTCAATTTAAAAAAAAACAGTCTTAAAATCTGAAAAATTAGGAAATTGATAGACATACCTGGAATTACTGCTACTAGAAGAACCAGTAGAATAACATGATAAGCCAACATGATAGTCGCGACAGCTTTTCCTTTGAACAGCTGTCCTTTTTTCGTCTTGAAGATGATTGCGCCGAACGTGTGTTGACTGCGCGATCACGCACGAATATGCCTAGTAGCGCGGATCCGCCAACCGGCTCTAGGCCTCCCAAACGCTTTGTCTATCTTCCCACCTCTTTTGCCTCGATCCCTCTCTGGTTCAGACGGCAGCAGTTCTAAACAGAACGGATGGAATGTAGAAAAAATACAATACGCAACCAATAGAAATTGAATAGTGAGTGGATGACGATTTTTGACCTGGATGTCAAGTGTTTTAAGAATTATATTATAGAAACTTCAGAAATGCGCAAAAGTATAAAAAATTGGAATTTTAAAAAACTTTTTGCTTATTAAAAATACCAAATAATTAGTAAAAAAAAATTATAATGTTGAATCATTTAAATGCGGATTGATTTTAAATTTATTAACTATTTTATATTTTAACTATTAACCCAAAAATTTCAACTTGCTGATAGTGAAAAAAAACATTTTTACGTTTTTCAAGATCGCAGCTCTTATATTAACAGATTTTATATATTTTACCTCGTATTTTACTCTTATTTTACAAGGAATATAGTTTTCTATGTAATACAGTTCCTTTCTAATAATTTTGAATACGCTTTCTTACGATTTTATCATTTTTCCATTAGGACATTAAAAAATAGCTAATCTCTCTTCAAATCGCCTTCCTTTTTCTCTTGAAATACATCAGTTTTTTATTTAAAAAATTTCGAAGATATCGCAACATTGCTAAATGTAGATTATGCGATTATTCGCTTCTCCTGCTGAATCCCACACCTCCGAAAAAGAATTGCTTTTGGATTTCGTTGTAAGATGTTTTCGAAGAATTCTGTCTGACTGTGACTGCCGGCTGATATCATTCATAAATCATACCGCTTTTCTCATTGAACCTTACATAACAATTTTTCCAATTTATGACGATCATTATATGTTGATTATACCGTATATTATTCTGCACACACATTAATTGGTGGCTGATCCAATCAAGAATAACAAAACACATTGTCGGTTTCCACAACGTCACTTTTAGCGATTCGTGATTCGAGAAACTAGATATGCACGTATAAATAATTGTCGCTTTCGCTCCCCATTGTTTTCAGCAAAACGTCGAGAGAATTTTGCGAAACCCGTCTTTCAAAATCAGCGGACGTCATAAAATAATGAATGGTTGTCGATGAGGATACGTGCGCAGCAGAGAGATCCCCGAAATGAATGAATCAAATCGAATTGAATAATTGTTACACTATTTTGGTTGATGTTGGATTCTTTATTTATGTGGACACTCAAAAAAAATCGCTGTCAAATTATAGGAACTAATCACCTAGGCAGTTTATCGCCGTTTAATGCGATTTTGTCAAAATCGCCATACGTTTTGGGGCTTGCCATTGAGTTGAATTGACCTTGACGGGGTGCCGCGTTCAAAACTTGATTGATTATAAAATTCAGAACTGTGACTTCCTGAAAAAAAAACCCGAATTGACCGTCGTATAGTTCCTTGATGCAACATACGCTCGAATACTTCTGGTTCAAATCGAAAAGTCGTTTTCGTTGAAGCCTACTGGTTTGCGTCAAATCAGCTATAACCTTTTCCATTTGGGATTTCACATCAGGAAGTGATTTAATAATTGTGTTCACGTGGTCGCTTAGCCATTTGCGTGTGTAAGTTTGCTGGTCTTCCCAAGTATAATAACCTTCCTAAGTGAAATAGTCAATGCGCCATCCAATTTACTATCACCCACCAGATTATTGTTCTGTGCTGCTAGTGTTTCAACAGCACTATTTTTTTCCATCAACGTCATTTTGTTGTCATTCAGAATATTGAAATAATCTGTTTTGATATCATTAGTGGCATTTTGAAGGAATGTTGGAATATCGTCAAATACTGGAACAGTCCGTTTTGCACCGAAAGGACCATTCATGGCGATTTCTCTGCTATGCTGGCTTCAAATTATGTAATAAATTAGCATAGATAAAGCTGCTGAAACTAACCTTAAACACTGTAAAACAAACGAGGTTGTAAGAATAACCAAGAGTTTCATTTTGTTATTTTCCGTCAACCCGGACATTTGCATTTATAAGGTCATTTTTTCAAAAAGTACAAGGTTATCGCTAAATTCTAATTGAGCGAAAACAGAAAAACATCAGGCGATAATTCTTGTTCGTCAATTGCAATTATTTGTAACAAAAAGTCAAACTTCACATGTTTGTATTTTAACAAGTATTATATGTAAAAACAACGTCTTATTTTGTGTTAACTTATAATTGGAGAACACCCGATTCCTTGGATGACGACGGTGTGCTGATCACGTCTTGGCTCTCACGTTCTTCATCAAATGATTGAATATGATCCACACGTACAATTGGAATTGCCGCAGAGTTTCGGCGACTATCGAATTCGTCAGATTCATCTGAATGATTCTGCAAAATTTTGCATTCTTTTTTACGTTTCACATAATTGGACCTTTAGTTGGTGCGATGGCCGCTTGCTGTAGGTTGATGATGAATATTTTCTCTCAGACAATCTGGTTTCAAAGAACATGGCATCAATGAAAACGAATAACCTGAATATTAATCTTGCCTCTAGATATTGTCAAAAGATGCTAAATATCAAACATTACAAACCACCAGCATTCTACTAAAGCGCCAAGAAATGAACTTAAGCCGAGTACACACGCGCTTGGTTTGAGAATTCCAGTTTTAAGTGAGACTGTTGATGGGTTGCCCCACGAAAAAACAATATAAGTGTATAGTAGTAGTACTTCGACAACTGTCCACTGAAATTAATACTTCAAATTGAAGTAGCCAATATGTAAGACATTCTTCGAAAATCTGGATTTTCATAGGTTAGATGACAAACATTATTAACGTTTACTAGAAAATTGAGGACACTTATAATCTAACAAATCAAGTATATTCTCATTTAAGAAATGGAAAAAAAAACATGCCTGCCAGAGAATATGAAAAACGTATAACCGCTTCTTTTTTCTGCACCAAGCTACTAGCGTTAAAACTGAAAACATGTTGTTATTTTGCAATATTGAGAAGAAGAAACCCTTACTTAAAATTGGAATAGAGATGCTGAAAAATATTGAATACCCGATTGAAATTTGAGTTCCGTAGCCTTCGAAATAATGCGTATAGAATGTGCGACCATCTGTTATATAAAAGTCAAGAACAACCATGCTGAGAAACACTAAATATAATTAGTAGTATCAGATGAATGTAATAAGATAAACCTAATGAAAATATTTCAGCAAAACATATTAATGGGATTGCATCGTTCAGTGATATACAACCAAGACAACATTTGTGCTTGGAACATGGAGCAACAAGGAAAACCTGAAAACAAAGAAAATGTCAGGAATTTTCAATAAAACTGCACAAACTTACAAATCTATTCATGATTTTTGAATGAAATTGGGTTTGAGTTTGCAATTTCGAATTTAATTGGACAGCTCAGCTTCTCAAGGCCAATTTTTTTTTTGAAAAGAACGAGGCGCTGTTTGAAAATAACAATTATGAAAGCGTTGAAGTTTCAAAAATGTAATGAGTCTTTCAAATTGTTTCGCAGTGAAGCTGTCACAACCATTTTATATTTACATTTCTTTCGCAACCAGGAAAAGAAAATTTTCAAGAGAAAATAAACTCCATGGAAACAATTGATGTTGCTTAATCGAAAATAAATTTTCTCACAGGTCCAAGAATTTGCTACGTATATCAAAATAAGAGCGTCGGCAAAAACACCATGCATTTCCTTGGGCAATGAGAATTTCAATATTGAGCTCAGCAGCATGAAATCCAAATGTTATGTATTAAAAAAACGTTCTAACCTTGGAGAAGGATACTACGGAGAGCCTGAAGCTCTCCCATGCCGAGCCAGTTGACAATCGTGACGTTCTTTCCTCAGTTAATGGCATAAGCTGAAAGTATGTACCTCGAGTAAACTAAAAGCAATCAGTTTTGAAAATAAATCTATTTTCAATCGAAATTGGAAATAAAATAGTCTACTAAATCCATGAGGATTTCAAACAAATATTTTTTCAAATTAAAAATCAGAAATGAATCAATCGATTTCAAACGTTTTTGAACTCGAACCATGTCTTCAAATCGATTTTCTCAATCGAATTAGATAAATTGCATTTCATTTTTCTTTGGATCTGATTGATTTTCATTTACCTGGGATAGTAAAATAATGAAAAGCAAAAACTAATTATGTTTATAATTTTGAAGAAAATTATTAATGAGTGGTGATCGAATAAGCATCAAACAAAATGAATTTTGATGAGCAAAAACTTGGAATAATCGATTTTTTTCTTAATGTTGGAAATCTAAAAGAAAAAATGCAGCGACCAATCAACTTTGACAGTAGCATAGTCAAGTATACGAAAATAGACATAGTAGTATAACGAGTTGTTCAAATGTTTCTTTTTAGGGTTCATGGCAATGTTTATTAGACTCTTGCCTGTCAAGGATAATCTTCTCTTTACCGGGAAATGAAAGTTGTTTAAATAGAAATTAATTGTTGAATAGGATTTTTAAAAAAACTTGCGAAAAATAAAGTCTGATTTTACTAGGGTGATGATTAATAAACATCATTCTTTTCTAAAAACACTTTATTATAAGATTGCTGTATATTTTGCTCTTAAAATAGTATTTGGATTATCATAGATGGAATGTAATTATCTAAAATTTTGGCATAAAATTTGTGTTTTTATAAATTCTTATCGAAAGAAAATTTCGTTAATGAATGTGCATACTTTTTTGTAATTGAATTATCTCCTGATTAATTTGCAAAAAAAAACTAAAAGGACATTGAACGAGCAAACGAGTTATTTTAGGAATTTTATAAACGAACTAAGGAGTAACATTTTTTCCTGCAAATTGTTGTCCTTGAGAATTAACCCTTTATCTTTTTTTAATATCTTGAGTGTCTGAAAATGAGCAGTGAGGAGCAGCGGAAATTGAAATTGAAAAAGAAAAAACTAGAGTAGTGTTTTAAACACATTCACTGGTTGCTTTTACGTTTTAAGTGTATTTAAATATTGAAACTAGCATACCAGTGCATGTTTAAGTTTTGTTTTATCGATAATTATCTGTAGTTATTCTGATTTTCTAGAACGTTGTAATCGATTTTTTATTTTTGCGTTTTGATTTTTCAACTATATTATTTTTATAAATTAAAGAGAATGTTTTTTTCAACCGAAAACTAAACTCACAAAATTCGTTGCATTTGCATCTGGATCGATGTGTATTGACACCGAAGAATTTCTAAAATAAATTGCATCATTTTCGAATAATTTTCGCATCTCAACCTCGACGAAAATGAATTCCGAGATGATGTGAATGCTGATAAATAGTTGGTATCATTGATATTATTCATTCTTAACAGTGTACTGGAATCATATTTTGTTGCTTCGTTATCCTCTGCATTCATGCTTCAAATTATTTAATCATACGGCGGCGTTCTCAATCACATCAAGGTGGTCTGAAAAAATCTAAATTGTGTGAGAATAAAACGTTTTTTACAAGTGTTCCTCGAAAAATAACCCTAGTTGACAAAGCTTCATAGCAAAAACATTCAATTTTATCGAAGAGCAAAACAGAAATACGAAAATATGTAGTGGTTGGAGAATCTAATTTATACGAGTATTCAGCAAATTCTGAATTCTAGCCGTCACACAGAAGCGTTCAAATATGACAAAACACTTCATATTGTCCGTCATAGAATAGCTGAAAGTGGATTTCGAAAGTTCAGAAGTGGGAAGCAGACATGCAATTTTTTGGGCAACACAAGACATTGGCTTTAAACAGCATTCAGAATAAGAGATTTTTGAACACCCATTCAAATTGCAATATTTAATGCTCATAGAAACTAAAAACTGAATATATGTGTCACTATTATTCAAAATTGACTTTCTCTTTTATTCAAAAATTGTTAGGTTGCGTTGTTTTCAGCAAAAAAAGCAAGAAAAGACGTGAGAAACAAAACACCATGCGTACCTTTCGCTACTGGGGTCGCACAACAATTTAAGCATTTTTTATTGGTATCCTTTTCTCATTTTGTAGACAATAACTCGTTCGTAAGGAAAACACGTGTTTTTCTATTCGGAAAGACCAAATGGTTGGCTGTTGGAGGCCGTTCTAATTTGAAAAAACATCTTTCTTTGAGGTTTTAAAGCGCAGGTGAAAAGTGTACTGAAATTAGAAGCATAAAATTATTCAATTTTCTTGAGTAGGACATCTAATAAACACGAATGATAGCATTTTATATATCTAATTAACATCTATAACTAATAAATACCGATGATTGTACATATAATCTGTTGGATATTTTATTTTTTTCATTGAGCCTTTTTTTTCTGAGGACATAACATTAAAAATTATATCAATGAGCATTATAACCGAAATTGGCTAATGATTATAAGCAAGACCAAACGACGTCCTACCCACTCACAGAAATCGCCAGACGTCGACTATATTTGGTGCGATTAAAATAATACTTCAGACAAGCGGTAAAAACGCGTGGCGGCACTAATTTCTAATGCCTATGTATGCTTCATATGCATACTTTTCAGTAAAATTTAATTCGTCATAAAACAGTTGAAGCTCGAAGAAGAAAAACTTCGAACAGACGGATTCCGTTTTGTCGCAATTTTTCACATATTTCATTTAACAACTATTAATTTTTTTTTCAATATGATTTTCTTTAAACGTTCCTGATGAAAAAAACGAAGGAAATGAGATTGAATGCAAACCGGAACACCTTCACGTCATTTTTGAATATTTTCAATAATTGATGTTTTTTTTTTTTAAAAAAGCAAACGTTTCAAAATCAGAAGATTTTTTTCTTGACTTGACGATTTCAATTACTGCACAGATACCAAGATTTCAAAATCTCAATCACATAAACACACATTTGCACAATTTTTAATTTTTTTTACCAAATCAGTTTCAAAATTATATATAATTAGAAATGAACTACTCTTTCTTTAATAATGTTGCATAGTCTATTTTTGTTACAAAAAGGTTTCGAGAAACCAATTATTTTCATGGAATTGAATATTTTCCAGGAATAAAAATAACGATCAATTAAATAAAATAACTCGAGAAAAAAAAATCAACTCAACTTAATCCGCGAATAGAAGGTGTATATATTCGTTACTCCGTTCTATCAGCTCTTTGAGCATTTGAGCGGTCGTAGCATAAATAATGCTTACTAAAAACACCGCAGCGAATTTATAATGCAAATTGGAATAAATCGAGACTGAAGGGAAAATTACATGTAAATAATGCCTGTTTTACAATATATTGAGTCAATAAATCCACAATTTTTTCGATTTCATTCTTTGAATTTAGGCTCTTAATTGCGAATGAGTGTGAGAAAATTTATATTTTATGCAACATTCGACGCAAATCTATCAGACACTCAAACAGAACCAGCCCTACAATATATTCAACGTTTTAAAACATTTGTTTTTGAATTTCGACATTCCTAGAAACACTTTGAATTTTTAAACTTCTTTTGTGCTTTTGAGCTTTCGAGTTTGTATTGTATTCAAAACGGAACAATTTATAATAGTTCCTTTAGAAATTTTGCTGTAATTTTCATTTTCAATGAATTTTTCAACGGTCAATGCACTTTCTTCGCAATTTATTCATCATTCTTTATTTTCTTTTACTAGAGAAATTTGAGTAAAGAAAATTTAAAATTGCCTGCTTTCTTATTCCATCTTATATGAGTTGAATCAGGAAACCCTCACAATTTGCGTTTCCCGCTTCCCGTTGCTATCTCATAAATGTCCTTAGGATGAAGATACGTTTTTACTTTTCAGCCTGATGTTTGTAATAGTAGGCAATTCGAAAAAAACGGAAATTTTTAGAAATAAATAGGTCATAAAAATTACTGTAGTAGTAAATTATTTTAATTCTTCAGTACTTTTTTTCGAAATTTATAATTCTAAGAAAACCGCATAGTAAGTCTGATTATCCGGTATTGGTTTTTAAAATATGTGAAAACATATCACAAATTTTTTTTCCACACCTAATACATCTTTTAATATTTTTTGCGATATTGGATATATTCCATTAATCAACAAAAGTAAATTAGGAATATTCTCAAAATAATTATTGAATAGCTCATATTGTTCACTAGAACAAAGTTATTCTGAGATTGTTTTCGAAATATCTTACGTTATGCGTTTCCTAATTCAACACGCTTGTTTCCTTCTAGTATGTCGATTGGCATCCGTTAAGTTGTTTTCCTTGTAGGCACAATTTTTCTAGAACTAAAATTTATTATTATCAAGTTTGCGTAAATTGCCTTCATTTGGTTATATCCCCAAGAACACAATTATTTCAGCCTTTGGAGTAGAATTTTGAAATAAAATTATACTTAAAATGTTATCAACTCAAGATGTCCACAAAAATCTTCTGAAATGTAGTTTTGCAATAAACGAATCGTATTTTAACCCTTTGAAATTTTTTTTTTGAGTTTGAAACGCAATACATTATATATAGTTTGTTGTATACTATAGTACATACATATGTATTTTGAAAATTGCTTGACAATGAAATTTAATATTATGACGTTTTTTATCGGCTCTGAAACGTAAAATTGAAGCAAGAAGAAAATTGAAACACTTTCTTGAAAAAAATTGAAACACTTTCTTTATCGGCTCTGAAACGTAAAATTGAAACAAGAAGAAATAAAAACAAAATTTTCAATACTTGAACTTAATTGTTTTGAAATTTTTCATGAAATAAAAGTGAGCAGCTTGAATACATAAAATTCCAATATAAAACATTTCACCGATTTCACTGTTATTATAAAATTCTCCCTGATTCGTTTTATTAGTCATGCATTAAGCGCGGCTTTCTTATTCCAGCCAACATGAGAAAAATAATCGAATTTTGTCGTATGTCCTATCAATAGGAAGTATGTTTTATATTTCCGCGTTCGCGTACAACAACATGCATTTTAGTTGGTGTCTTTCTTTCATATTTTTTCAATATTAATGTTGTTATATGTATGATTTATGTAGTCTCCAACAGCGCGTCGAAAAAGGTTTTACGTTTCTTGCATGTTTGAATAATATTCGATTCACATCCGCACCTGTATTATTCAATTTCAAAGTGCAACTTTTTGTTTCGCTCATATATATATATAACCCAACAAACTGCTTGAAACATTCTGAGAGTATCGAAATAATTTCATTGATTTAAATTAGCATTTCATTTGGAAAATATCATGTAAAAGAAGACCAAAACTAAAATGATTGAAGCCGTTTTTGCGTATATCTGTCAAGTTTTATGCTGTGTCCATTTGAGTTTTGTCAGCGATGAGGCATACAACGACCCATAATTGTAGTTTTAGTACCTTATTGTTGAACCACTTCAAAAGTTTGCTTTTGTTCTTTTTGTTCATTATTTTTGTTTTACTGCTTCATTATTTTCCCTTTGATGTAAAACCTCTACTTCTCATGGTTAAATAAGTTTTAATATAAAACTTATATGCGCATAATAATTTAATTTAAAATGCGACAAAATATGGTAAATGATTTATTTTTTATTTTCATTTTTGATCTCATAATAATCAAATATATGTTTCTTCATAAAAATTCGGCAAACAGTTTGGAAAATTTAATTAAATGTTTTATTTGCGAGTACGAAGCTCCGAACCTGACATAAAATTAAAAGAAATTCAAATTTGAAGTATGCGTGTTGAATAGAAATGCCATTCTTTTGTTTTCAAATTCCATTAATTGGCTAATGAATTGAATGAAGCCTCTTTCCGGAACGCCATCATCGGCATTCCTTCAATCACTAATTTTTTATTGCGCCTAATTTCCCATCCAATCGTGATGTTTGGTGGTAATGGCGAGGAATTAACTTGAAAATTAGAAGAAGAAATGGGAAAGTTGTGTGTTGATTGCGTGCCTTCTGTCATTTCCAATTCTTTCCATTTTGCAGACACGCTTTTCACAACCACTCCATCAAATTTTCTCATATTTGATTATGCTCACTTTTTTATTCATTCTATTTGGTTCTAATAATTTGGTTGGCGAATTTTGGGAAATAAGAAAGAGCCAATTAAAAAAATCTGGTTTTTTCTCAATTCTACGCGGTTCAACAATATATGTTAAATGTATTGCATGGGAGAGGCAACAAATCAATGAAGCTAAAGACGTTCGCGCACTAATCAGTATTGTTTTAAAATAATGATGTCAAATAATCCTTGAAACCTTTTTATTCCTTAATTAGAAAGGTTACAAATTGAAAAATGTCACGTATTTTTTATTTCCGTCTACTATTGAGCATCATTACTTGGCTGCGGGAAGATGCTCAAGAAACTTCCTTCCAAAATTTCTTTTGGTTATAAGGCTACTTCAAAATATTTTTAGTAGTTTTCATATCCAATATTTTTGGAATTGCATACGTAGTGTGAAAAACCTGAATAAAGATCAACCTTCACGCCAAAACCCGAAAAAAACGATAAATAATTGATATAATTATAAGATTAAATTCAAAAACCATACATTGTTGTGAAGAAAATGAGGGCCCTTGATCATTAATTAGTCCCGACAAGGCGGAGGCATAACACTTTCTTTCTACATCTTTGCTGTCTTAGTCCGACCAAAAGAAAACTTCCTACAAGAATTCGTCCTAGAATGTTTATTTTCTATATTGAATCGCTCATGAGTGATGTTAACAATTATTAAAAACCTATTATTTCAAAAGTGTGATCAATGTTTCATTCCGGATCGAAATCGCAGACATTATATTTCTTTTTACATCTTTTGCAAACGTTGTCTAACGAAACTTCAAACAAGATTAATTCACAAAAGGCAATTTCGAATAAGGAAATCTATCTTGCTCAATTCAATTTTGAAGCACGAACTACGTAGCAATCAAAAAAACAACATGTAATCAAATATTGTGCTACAATTCGTGTTTTCTTTAGCTATAAAATAATTACTCAAATTATATATCTCTCATAAGCTCTGCACAATGAATGTTTTCTTTGAATCAATTCAACGAGAAAATGAGTTCATATGCGCATTATTCGAAATTCTCGTTTATTTTTACGATATGTGTAGCTCAAATATAAAAAATAACCAATTATTCTTGTTTTTGAGCAATTGCACTTTTTTCCAGCCCCAATATTTTGTGTTTACGAAGGAAATGCCCATCGCAAAGAAAATAAAGTCGCACTTGCTTTGTTTTTGCCGACAAACTCATTTTTTAAAGAGATTATTATATAATATATTGTCACTGGAGGGATGGTGGCGGTGTTTCTATTTTTTGCCGGTGTCAGTTGTGGATTGATGTTTCGCTACAAATTTGTGGAGTTTTGCTTCCTCTACGCTTTTCTGCCATCATGTCTTCTCAAGATATTTTCTAATCCCAAAGTTCTTTGCATTTTCAAATTAACAAAGGAAATGCAATGAACTGGAAGTACTTCAAAATAATCGAGAAAAGTTTTATTTCCTGGAAAATGTTTTTTTTTCTCTTCAGCGGCCTTTTTCTTCATACGCCCTTTAAATGAAGTTCTTAAATCGTTCTATAGAAGGAATATTCAATTGGAAAGTCTCTTACCTGTTAAAAACTTGATTATCGGTTCTTTGTGCTGCTAAAAAAACGTTCGACCCCAAACATCAAAAGTCTACGATTTATATTTGAATTTTCATTCATAATCGCCAATGATGAATAAATTTGGATTAAAACAGACGGTCAAGGAATTTCAAATGAATGCATCCGCTGACCAACCCTGTCATTATTGAAATTGCAAATTTCCTGTTTTTGTTTTTGTTGTGAAGGATTGGAGAAATACCCCCGGATGAAAATTCACGGATGCAAGGGGTGTCATATAAGCCTGCTTATTTGTATTTCTCTCAGTTGTATTTTGTTTGACAAGGCGAATTAATTGAAAGTAGGCGAGAAGCAAGAGAGAAACCGAGATAGCTCATGCGCATCGCGCGCGCGCTCAAAAAGAAAAATGCGACTCGATGAGAAACGTCGTTTGTATTTAAGAAGATAGACACATTTGTGCGGGAATCGAATATCAAGGTCATGGATAATTTTGTTCGTTCTTTGATTGCTTTGCATATCATCGTCATTCTTGTTGTTTGAACCTTTTCAAGCTACTCATTAGTTGAAATAAGCATATGTGTATGACTCTGCTTATACTCCATAAAATTCAATTTACAACGACTAACACTTATATATATGTATATATATATATAATAATGGGCATATTTCCGGAAGCGGAAATAATAATTTTTGCCGGTCAATTTCTTGCGATTCTTTACGATTCGTTTCATTGCATTAATCCCCCACGATCCCCGAGTAGACCGATTCATAAAACATCTGCGGGATCCATCTTTAAGGTGATTTTCTACTCAATTTATGCGTTTTTTTTTTTCATTGGCTGCTCACCTCGTGGCAGGTGGAAAATTTGACGAACCTTCTCCGCATCGTGTCTTTTGGCTTGTGAAAACGAAACCCATTTCGTTTTATTGCTATTATTATTATTTACCTCCAGTTTCGCCCGAAGCCAATTCGTTTCCATCAGTGCGTTATTTAATTTTCACTTTTCGCTTAAACATTCCGGTGTATATTTTATTTTGGTGGAAATTGCCAAGTAATACGCACATACGTATGCGCAAATTATGTGCGTATGTTTTTCTTTTTTATATTTATTATATTACCGTCTCTAGCAGGAGATTTAGAAATAAGAAATATGAAATGCATCAATAAATCATATTTTGGAGTCATTGTTAAAATATTTCCCTTCATAACAACACTAGCACAACAGTTTGTATGTTTTGACTGGCTCGGAGGAAAAAAAAACGGCTTTCATATAATTAGCTCATGAATTATTTCTAATGCTCACCGAGCTGTTTCGCCCCTTCTTTGAATAAGAAACGAGTAAGTAGGAGAGAATATTTCAATTTTGTCACATAATAGTCTTCATCGTTTTCTTTGTGGTTGTTTTTTTTTCCGTTCCTCCCAAAAAAGGAATATTCGCCAATCGACATCCTTAGCGTTTAATGAAGATGAAGGTGGACCATTTATTTTCCGATAAGACTGCCTAACATCGTTTCGCTTCTTTATTCCCTCTTTCAATTTATCTAGTCATTTTCAACGTTTTGGGCTGTTTTTAGTTCCGCAAAGAGTATCTATATAAATATATTTTATTTGAGTAGTTTCAATATGGCTGCTTTATGTGCATTTTTTGTGAAGGCCCTTTTCGCAAATTGATTTTCTTTAAAAACATGATTATCAATATTTATTAACAGTTGCAGATTTTTGAGCAATTTTTACGAAAAATGAAACTGTCCAATTAGACAGACAATCAACACAATGGTAGGATATGCAAATGAACCATATTCGGAAGAGACGACTTATGAAGAATTCCTTCCAACGTCTGTCGAGCCGGGATTAGCAGGGGTAAACTTATTTCTCGAACTTTTGCAGAACACCCACTTTAGTAAATTTGTGCATCGTTAATGATTTGTGTCAGTCTTGATGAAATTGAAAACTTGTTCTAATGAATGCCATTTGATGGAATTCAAAGATCGCAAGAACTTTTCCGGAATTGAATACTCTTCAACGACTGACTTCACTTGCAAATGACAACATGAAATTAATTTTATACAACATATTTTTGTTAGGAAGCGTGCAAAAAAAAATTCAGAAAGGAAAGATAGGTTGGAAATTAAGAAACAGAAAAAATATGTTTATATGTATATATCGCAGAAAACTCTTTTCTTTTTAATAATAATTCAGATAAGTATTTTCTATTCTTTTTGATTTATATCAGATATATTCCTTTGCAATCAAATTCTAGTAGTAAAATACAAAAATAACAAGGAAAAAATCGAACGACAATAATAGACCATTTTTTGCAATAAAAATGTAAATATATACAAGTTTTTTTTTAAATTTAGAATTGTAAAAAATGGACACTTAATGTCATTTTTTTAAAAATGTTTTGTTAAAAAAAAATAATTTTTCTAATAGGTGTATAAACCTCTTAGCTTCAATTCGCTATCCCTTATGAAAAAAGCAATAAATCTCAGTAGATTAAACATTTTGCGCGTTGTTTATGCTGGGTTTTCAATCCATGTCAGCATCCTGTTAGTCTCGCCTTATCAAGTTTCTAATCGTCTTTGCGTGCGAAAAATTTTTAAGCGCAATACAATTAAAAAATTTTTATCAATGAATGGTACCACTACCACCATCGTAGGAATTGATAAACTTTTTTGATGTTGGAGTTGATATATATGGTTATATTTATAGAAGGGTCGGGAAGATCATGCCAACTTTAAATAAAGTATTTATTAACTTTGTGGTCACTGACACAAATAAAAAAGGAGCGAAGGACGACACATTGCGTGTAACATGACATGTTAAATTTTAAGGTACCAATGTGGGCAATATGGTCATTCATCGCATGTGCGGTTTTAATCGTTGCTGTTCTTCTACTTGACTATTGCGTTATTCGTCGGAATGCTTTGGGAAATACGTGCTGTACAAGAGCTCGTCAGAAGCGCGGAACCGCGAATGCCGCTCATCAAAAGCGTTCGACAAATATGCTGCTCAATGTATGATTGGCGGCATTTGTAAATGATTTCTCATTTATTGTGTTTGTCTGTTTGTTGCTTTTCCTTCTTTCTCTTCAGCACTGGCTTTCGAATAGCAGGGCGAGCCCGTACGAGGAATTTCTCAATCTGGTAATTCTCATTATTTTGTTGCATATTCATTAACGTAATATATATTTATCTATATATATTTATCTACTGAATAATACTGTAAAATTGTTAGTTAGAAATGTATTGACTGCCATTAAGCACAATGTTTCGGTCCAGAAAATCCTCTTGCGGGCTGCTCTTTCACCATTTTTTATGAACTGTTTGCACTGGTTCACGTTAGCCAAAAGTGATGCATGAAGTTTGCCAGTACTAATCGTGTTCTGCGAAACGAGACAAAAGACATGTGATTACTGGCTATAGTTGTGCTATCTCTCAGCAACAATTGTATTACACTTATGAATTGTTAATTCTTAATCGTTTTTAATTCTCATTCCGACAGTTATTATTTTCTATTTTGTTGCTTTAATTTTTCGGTCATCTTTAAATATTTTTGTTATATTTTTCTCGTATTGGAGTGTGTGGTTTAATAATAAAATTGCATGACGCAAGTTTTTGTGAAAATTGAGAGTGCAAATATGTTCGCGTGGAATTTGATCTATCATTTTTGCAGAAGTTGAACCGGAACGCACAGCAAGGATTCGACCAAGAAGTTTAAATGCGCCCGCATATCTTCATTATTTTCTCAATCATTACAAGGGTCATTACATTTTGTCTAATTCTCTAAATCTCATTCCATTTTCATATGTTGTTTTTCTGCTTGATATGACCGTATATAAATATATAAATATATACATAATCAGGTGCCGAAGCCGAATTTTATGAGAACACCGTTTAATATTCGATCCCATATTCTATTCGTTATTAATAAATGTTTATGAATGTGGTTAATTGTCGATCAAGTCAATTGATAACACGGAAAAAATGCTGCGAGAACGAGAGAAGAGAAGGGACGCCCGAAATGCGACGACAATCCGTGTTGACATGTGCACGTCTTTTAACGCATTATGAGAGGGAGACTCCACGCTTCCTCCGCTCGTTTTTGCTCTTATAATCTTTTTTTCTCACTACTTTAATTCTAATTCGCCGAAATTTTCATGAAACGATTACACATTCAACTTTTAATGCATTCAAACTTGTTTTGCAAAATTTTATAATACGCTCATTGTTTCGCAGAAAAACATTGCATTGATTTTTTTTGGAGGCCACGTGAAACTAGGCCAAATTTACGTTGTTTCCGCAAAAAATTGTCTCGGTCTACGAATTGTGAACATTGAATGCTGCAAAAAAAACGTGGGTCGTAGGCTAGTTGTGTAATTCTGTTGTTAATTATTACACACAAAATTGTCGGAAGTCTCCGTCATTCGCGCACTCTATCCTCTCTTCCTGTTCGATGATTTTTATCAATTATTTTCCAAGACTTTAAAAGAAAATGTTCTTTGTTTGTTCTATGTTTTTAAATGGCGATTGATACGTTTTATCTTCCGTTTTTACCATGGTAACCGGCCGAAAATCGAACACTCAATAAGAGCCACTTGCTCAGCTCGTCATCCTACCTATTGAAAATTTCATTTCGTTTCAGAATGGATACAATACGAGGTAGAAGCAACAACACACATCAAATGAGTATTCAAGAATTATGCAATCATGATGATATGGCAACGTCTCTGGTTGTGGATCCAGTTCTAGGATTTAGATCGCATAAAATGAATCCAGAGTGAGTTGGTAATTTCAAAAATGACAATTTTAAATTACTAATAATATATTATCTCTTTCACATATAGTTTTAAAACATGAAAAATAATATTTTTCAAAAATCTATGAGTAATTTGAGGTTGATTGTTTGTTTGGTGTCATAATCTGAGTATTTTATATATATATATATACCCGTAATAGGAACAGTCAAACGAGGATTATGTAGATATTATTTCCTGAAATTTTTTAGAAAAAATTATTGGCGACAATTAATTATTTGTAATTTATGTAAAAACAACACAATAACTTGCAGCTTTTAATGTTTATAGAAAAAACTTTTGTAAACATAGGATCACTGAAAATAAAATGTACCTGAATCAATATAAGTTTTTTTGCAGATTCGTTGAGCCTTCGAATGATCAGAAGAAAAAATTGGCTCAGGTTCTCAAAGAGTACAATGCGCTTAACGATATCAATGAGAGCTTGATGGTATTTAAGATATTCGGAAACAAAGAACTAAAATTTTACATTCTAGAAAATGTATAATGTGGAGTTTATGAAGAATTATGTTCTCAGTCTGTCATTGACAGAAGCACGCAACTTCAAAGCACATGTTTGTCGAGAATAATGTCAATGAATAAGAAAATGTTTGTAGATTCTAAAGTTCTTCATGATTTTCAACTATCATTCGGGTTTCACAGTTCGTCCATGTTACCGATATTCCGGCGAGGGACATATTGGTGCTATGATGGTTTCGACGAAGAAATGGTTTTAATTTATTGAGTATTTATTTCATTGTTCATCGTTTGTAGGAAGAAAAAGGAGATTATCCAGCAACTCGCCGGCGTCCTTGGAGAATTGTCAGAAGCTGAAGAGGATGAGATACTGAAAAAGGATGTTAATGATTTTTCTGTTATGTATTCTACTCGGTATCATTCATTGTTATGCTGGATTATAAAAATTTTTCTTTTCAGAAAGAAACGCGCTCAGTTATGGCTAGGTCCTGCTGCATATATTAATCATGACTGCAGACCGAATTGTCGTTTTGTACCCAACGATAATACAGCAGTAGTACAGGTACTGTTGTCATCAAATCAAATCCACAAACGATATTTAATATTATAGGTTATCCGGGAAGTAAACGTTGGAGAGGAACTCACGTGCTATTACGGGGACAACTTTTTCGGCGATAATAACGAGCGATGCGAATGTACAACATGCGAAAAGTAAGCCTAAAGAGAGTTTGATTTTTAAAAAGTGAAAATTACAGAAGAAAACGAGGTGCTTTCACTGTGAAATCTAGCACACCGTCATCTAGCGATTCATCTAGAGCTTCGTCGAGTGAAGTTACTGACAATAACAGTGGAGAGGAAGAAGTAACATACAGAAACAACCATTTCGGCTATGGACTCAGAGACAAACACGCGCAGTTAGAAACCTCGCATTTAGTTTACGTTTCTTTCAAAAATACCATTTTAGATCATATCGTTATGTGACGACTCGTCGAGGTGGACTAGTTGTTGATGAGGCCAAACAAATCGAGCAGAATGAATCCGCAAAAATTATTTTTGACGAAAGTATGCATTTTATGTTAAACTAACATTAATATAATGCTTTTTAAGTTTTTGCCAATATTGAAATGCCGCAAGCTACACCAACGACATCTGGAAGAGTGGAAACTAATGAGCCGGTGGTGGAAAACAATGAGCCAGTGGTCGAAGAGAAAAGACCATGTGAAGCTGAAAAAGAGAGTGAAGAACCAATAAAGAGTCAGTTGCTATTTTAAATCTTATTTGAATTACTTTAATTCCAGAAAAACGTCGCCGCCATCGCGCGCTTTTCGTGCCAAAACCGAGAAAGAGAAAGTGGGTTGACGCGAATTCGGATACCAAAAGTACGAACAAAAAAAATGAAACTGCAAGTTTCACTTATGAAATTTTCAGCATCACGTAGAAAACTAGAATCTGACGGAATCGTGCCAACCCAAAAGTCGACGAGAACTAGAAGACGCCGTTGGATTGAGCCATCAAATAGAATCACTAGAGCTAGCGCAGCAAGAAATTTCAATATCGATAGTCTCGGATCAATTGAGGATACAGAGTTTCGGGCCATCTTTGAGATACCGGATGATAAAACAACAACAGATGCGGCTCAATCAGTGGAGGCAGCAGAAGATAATGGTGCTACAAATAAGGTTCAAGATTCAGCCGTGATGGCCTTAATGGACGGTTCTACTCAAAACGCAGTTTCATTAGACAAGGAGGACGAAACAAACGAAATTCTTACACCTCAATTAATGGACTCGGAAGATTCAATTTCGGCGGAAGTGATTCCTCATGACGACTTAGCACCTGAATTGGCTCCTCATATTGACAAATCCGAGAAGAAAACTGAAGATGATAATGTTTCTGAAGTTGAAACTCAATCAGTATACACTGCAACGGAGTTGGCAGCTGAAGTAACAAAGAATGCAAGCCAAACTGCGGAAGCTTTCGCCAATGTTTCTTCAATTGATGTTGCCTCATTCGAGGATCTATCCAGCCAGACTTCCTTTGCTAATGCACCCATCGTTCATATTCCAATCAATAATAATCCAGTCGATGCTGCTGAAGCTGTTGCCGATACGAATGATCAATCTTTTGAAAACGCTGCTTCTATTCATGAGGTGTCAATTGTTCATGCGGCAGTCGATGCTGCTGAAGCTGTTGCCGATTCGATTGATCAATCCTTTGACACCGCTGTTTTCATTCGCGAGGTTCCAATTATTCATGAGCCAGTCGATACTGCTTCAACCCGTGAGGATGCTATCAATCAAGAATTCGTTGATACGGCATCAATTAATGATTCAATCGTTGAAAATCCAGGCATTTTGGCGCCAAACAAAAATGATTCAACGGTTCAGACTTCAACTGAAGCTGCATTAAAATATGAGTGTCTTCAGTATCCATTCAATGCTGCTGCAATCAATAAGGCTCCCAAGGATCAAAATCCATTCGTTAATGTTCCAGTTGTCCAAACGCCAAATACAGTAGAAGAAGTAGTTCAAGCTTCATTTGAGTGTGTTTCAACCGGCGAGAATCCAATCGTTCATGACCAAGTCATCAAGACGCCAAACAAAGAGGATCCAATTTCTCAGGCTCCAGTCAAGGCTATATCAACTGGCGACGCTCAGGCATCCTTTGGTGATGCTTTAATCCATGAGTTTCCAATTGATCAAGCTTCAGTGGATGCTTCTGCAATCAATAATGTTCGCAATTATCACTATTCTTTTACTCATACTGCTATTTTTTCAGGATTCAATCTCTGATGTATCAATTGAGCAAGTTCCAGCTGAGACTGCTTCAATTCATGAAGATCCTAACAACCAGAAGTCATTTGAAAATATTTCAAGCACTCATACAATAATCGAAAAGAAGACAATCAGCATGGTTCCATTGGAAGAGGTTCAAATTGGTTCGGTTCCATTCGCACAAGTCCTAGCCTTTCAGGTTCCCACCGGTGAGACACAAATGGATAAGATACCGGCAGATGACTCTTTGAAAGATGAAGCTACGATAGTCCCGACAGAATTGGTAGCAGAACTTCCAGAGGTTGACGCATCTAAGGAGACAACTTCTGTTGTTGGTGCATTAGATGATACCCATCAAGCTATTGAGTGTCCTGCCCTTATGGTTTCGTCAGACGAGGCTGAAACTATTGAAGAATCTATAATCGAGCAAACGATAACCGATACTTCACTTGTTGGTGCCTTTTCTGATGAATCAAAAGAAGATGAAACGCTGAAACAACAGATCAAGGAGACCACTAAAATCACGAATATTGCAAGTGAACACGGTGTCTGTTTCGTTGTGGGACAGCGAAGAATTTCGAGACGAATGCATGGAATTGAGCCTGATCCTCCATTGGATGTCTCGCATAGAAGACGTCGTCGTGCGAAGAGAAAACATGCAGAGGGAGATGATTCAATTCATGAAGTTCAAATTGACCAAACTCCAATTGATAAGAATTCAATCGGTCCTCCTCCAATACATAAACAGAAAGCTCCAAATGATCAGTGTTCATTCACCCATGTTCTAGTTGTTCAGGTATTTGACAAAGAAGATCCTTTCGAACATAATATAATTGTTCAGGCTTCAATTCATGAGAACCCTATCAATAAAGCACAATTCGAAGAAACTCCAATTGATCAAAGTCCATTCGCTCATGTTCCAATCGTTCAGTCTTCCACCGATCAGACCTCAAAAGATGAGACACAGATTGATGCTTCGACCGATAAATCTCCAAAACAACAAATCCAAGAGGCTCCTAAAAACACAAAAATTACAAGTGAACATGGCATATGCTTTGTTGTGGGACAGCGAAGAATTTCAAGAAGAATGCACGGAATTGAGCCTGATCCTCCATTGGATGTCTCGCATAGAAGACGTCGACGGTCTAAGAAACAAATAGCAGAAGCCGATCTTTCGAAAAATGAAAACAATGATTTGCTTGTTGCAAATAATATTAATTAGAAATTATTGGCAATTATTTTGCACTTTTTTCGGATTCCTGCTGGTATAATTTAAATTTCTGACATTCATACCGCCCAGCTAATGAAATTTAACCAATTGCTCCAATTTTTTATTTAATAGCTCAATGCCTGCAATCAAATTTTTTTCTCAAACTAATTGTGTGTTATAGTACAAATTGCTTCTCATTATTTTGGTACAAAATCAAAAATACTTTATTCAATTATCTAATCGAATATTTTATTGCATCTTTCCATCGCTCATTACTTTGTCATATTCTTCCCGATTATTCACAAAATAATGCCGATTTTTTAATTATATTACCCATCGATTTCCTTCGTCATGCTTGCTTCCCAAAATGCTAAGCTTTATTTATTGCTAAGCCAAATGCTTTCCTTAATGTTTCATTATAGAATATGTTTTTGTTGTCTTTCTTGTCGAAATCACATCCAATTTTGCAAGATCTCTTTAAACCAGGAATTGATTTTTGATGAACAAGTAATAAATGGCACGAGGCAGGTGTGTTAGTTGCAATAATCAAGAAGAAACAATTTCGCACGGGAAAATTGAGCAGTTTCACAAATTCAGGTGTTCTTGCTGCCTTCACAATTTAGATATTTCTTGGCTCAAAATGTTTTTAATTTCTACGGTCGTCAACATAATCTTCGATTGGTCGTTTTCAGGAAATTGTTTTAAGAGCGTGCTTGCATGTTATGTTTTATTCCTAACCTACAATCTTTCTAGAAAACAATATTAAAGTATGAGATTTTGATTTTGAAAGAAAATTTATTGAACGATTGAGTGGTCCTGAAATACTTTAGTTCAAATGATAAGTATTATCACACATTTCTTCAAAAGGAAAAATACAACGTAAATGCAAAATGAAATGATTCGTAAATGAACAAAATGGAGACAAAAAATAGGCTGAGGTTTACCTGATATACTGGCATTAAAAGGTAATGAGTTAGCAAATCGAGATTTAAGCGACAATATATCTGTTTAATACCCACAGGATTGTGTTAAACGCGTTTTGAGTACCGGTATGACATAGAGTATCAAATAAAAGTTTGAAGGCATCGCTAAATACTAGAGTTACCAGATCAATTAGTAGATAGTCGTGAGCACTTTACAGGTTCAATTATATGACAATTTAAATTGGACAAGCTTATAATGAATTGGTAGACTTTTCACATTCCACATATTCTGGGTTGACAATATAGTCGAATCCCGTCTCGGTATGTTTGCAGATTTCATCATAAAATATGATCAAATGTTGTGTTCCAACGAAGGCTTGCGCATCGTTGAGGGTATTTGCAAGGGCGAATTTCTTCAATTGGCGGTCTTCTTTTCTCTGAAACACTATTTTCAGTGACGAGGAAAATGATCTTAAACATACAAAGACCCAAAATGCCCCAATATCTTGAGCCATTTGCCCAGAAAATCTCGAAAGAAGTAGTCGCGAAACATGGAAGACTGAAAAAAAATCGAATAGGTGGAATATTACTGATAACGAACATGTTGCATTTCCTCCAACGCCACAAAACACTGCTTCAGCGGGCACACCGGCAGCTCTTCGTTTCATTCGGAATCCATTGGTTGGCCACAATTCGAGTTCAACCTCCGCCTTAAATTGACGAAATGTTTAATAATCATCAATGATAACTATATACCTGATTTTCATTCAATTTGTTTGTTTCCATTTGTCGACCAGCGACACTTTGAGACCGTTCCAGCGGAAATTCAAGCAATATTTTTTTCTCTGAATTGATTTTAGGGTTTTGGGTAATTGAATGCGGCGGAATCGTGAACATCGGTTGTGGCGGTGGCACTTTTTGTGGTGTTGCCTGCGGAAGTGGTTTTGGAGTTGCGGCAATCACATGACCTTGAGGTGTTGAGTTTGAGACGGTTGCTTGGAAGGCTGGGGTTGCAATTGATGGAGGATGAATTGTTGGCTGAGGAACAATAGTTGGAAGGGGCGACGGCATTCCGGGTGTCATTGGCGGATTCATCATTGGCATCTGCGGCATCTTGAATGAGTTGTTTATTTGCTGTTGCCACGGAACTGCGCCAGGCATCAAATGCGGAGGTGTTTGACCATATCCATATGGAGGCATTCCCGTCAAATATGGTTGTGGAATTTGTTGGAACCCGCCAGCGAATGGATGATGGAACATTTGCTGTTGCACGAAGTTCGGGTTTTGATTTGGATGGAACATATGAGGGTGAGACAAATGCTGTGGAGGTGACTGTCCAATAACATTGTTGAATGGTATAGATGGATGCATCTCCAATCCAGTAGGGCGGGGCATTCCTGGATACACAGATGGAGATCTAGAAAAAACATTTTTTGTTGACTTTGAAAAGTATATAAGACATTAAAAAATTTACCTTGCTATCGGATTTTGCATCTGTGGTTGGAGAGGATTCGAAGAAGCAACGATAGCAGAAGCTGCCGCAGCATGAGCCTGTGCTTGTACTTGAGCGATTTTTTTCTGATGAAGTTGTTGCTGAAGCTGCTTTTGCATTTGCTGATATTGCATATGCTGTTGTTGTTGCTGCTGTTGAAGTGTTTTATGAAGCTGCTGCATCTCCTTCTGATGTTGTTGTTGCTGCAGCTTCATTTGATGTTGCTGATGAGCCAGTTGTTGTTGCAGCTGATAAAGAACTGTTTGTTGATGCTGCACTAGCTGCTGATATGGCATTTGCTGCTGCATATGCATCATATGAAGATGTTGTTGCTGTCTGACAAATTCGTTTTGAAGATGAAGCTGGCGTTGGAATTCTTCTTGTTGTTCCTGAGGAGTACGCATAGGTCTTGGAAACTGTTGCATTTGCATTTGATGATGCTGCTGTTGTTGCGTCTGTTGCTGCTGGAGCTGCTGCATCTGCATTTGATGTTCCTTGGCGATAAGATCACGTTGCTTCGTCGATTGTTGGAGTTCGACTTCCTGTTTCATAATTTGCTGTTGAAGTTGCTGTTGCTGCTGGATTTGTTGCAGATGCTGAGCCTCATGTTTTTCTTTCATTTGCTCTTGCTTCTTGCGGAACTCATTCTCAGTGATCTTCCTTTGTTCATCATATTTACATTGCAGAAGAATCTGATCATGTTGTTCCGGAGGATACTGACGAAGAAGTAGCTGTTGTGGTTTCATCTGATATTGTTGAAGAATTTGAGCAGAAGGTTGGCTCGGATTGGCAAGATGAGGGCTGGGGTACGGATTATGATGAGGATTTGAATGATGATTGTAGACGGCAAAGTTTGGCACGGCGGTGATCTTCGTTGGAGGATTCTGAAAAATCCAAATTTTAGTCACTGCATTTCTCTGTTTTTATAGTATTGACTATCTCATTGGTAAAGTAAAAGCTAAACTCTTTTACAGGTTAAGTTACACCAAAAGACAGAGGACTAATTGCAATAAATGTGAAATACAATCACAACAACGATATAAATGCTAAACGGACCATTTGAAATTGCAGTTGATGCAATGGTAATGGAGGTTGTACTATTGCCATTTGCTGAAATTGATTATTGTTTTCGTGTGGCTCACAGTTATCCTATTATTACAACACAATTTTACTCATTGTTTACATTGAAAGTGAATAAATATTTACCACATTCTGATTCTTGAGTATCTTTTTTGGTCGTCCCGCATTTGATGGCGTTCCTGCCATGATCTTAGCGGGCAGGTGAGGCTCAACGAATACCGGCCGTTTCTTGACTTGTCTACGATGCCGCAGAGTTGATAATTTCTCACCCCATTGTTTATCACGATCTGAATATAATCTGATTGTCGATTATTTCGTTTTCTTTTATTTTACATTTTTTCTTTTCTTTTTCAAGTTTCATGCATTTATACCGCTGCATTAAACTATCCGGAATTTTTGGAAGAGAAGGCAATTCTTCTGTATCAAGCTTCAGTTCTTCATCGTCATCATCGCAGCTGTCGCTGGAATATGTTATCGGGGAAAAATATTCATCTTCGCTGTCTGAAATAGGCAAATTGTTTTAAACTGTTTTGAAAAATTCGTTACCTCGATCACTATAATAAAAATCTTCATCGGATTCCTCGTCATCGTCTTCTTCGTCATTATTCTCAATTTGATCTTCATCTTTTTCATTGATTTTCTTTTCTCGTGCTATTCCAACATTCTCTTTGTCGTTAATCAATTGGTCGCTTTCTTTATCAGCGTCCTTTGAATTTGACGAAACGGTAAGAATTTGTTTTGAAGGATCCTTTGCTTCTCCTATAGCTACTGAATTTGGATGCAGAGGTGTCGGTTTTACGAGTATGGGAAATGGTCTTGTCGAGTTGTCCATGTTTCGCACCACTTCTTTCTCAACATCAGATTTGCTACCATCGGCCTCTGATGTTCCCACAAAATTTGGAACAATTTCCGCAGCATTATCCGTTTGAGCGTTTCGCAGATTATTGCTGGGATGTCCTGTGTTTATTTCTGTTGAAGAGCATTCATCAATCTGCTTCGCCACTTGATATGTAGCAGCATCAATAATGCTTTTAACAATATCTAGTGTTACAGGCGAAATTGAAGGTTCTCTGTCGTTAGATGAATTCGCGACTTTGATCGACCCGAGTTCAGTTCCTGGTAAGACCATTCCCGGAATCATCAACTTCGAAATCTGGTCCATCATGTGCTTCTTTTCCTCTTCGGCTTTTTCCTTCTCAAACTTTTCCTGATCCTTTTTCTGCATTTTCTGTAAAAAAAAACACATGTTGAAGAACAAGGCAAAAGTTAATCAAACCCGCTCTTTTTCAGCCACATCTTTCCAATTTTCTTTCATTATCGTGGTCCATTCTCTTAATTTTTTTTCGGGACAAAAAATATTCGCATCTTTCAAAAACACATCAATTTCTGCCTCTTCTTCATTCCCCATAATGGTTTCGGGGGATAGACGTCCATCACCTTCGTCGCGCCTTGCTGGCTTAGGTGAATGCTCAAGAATATCCTTAATATAAAAATTGACGGTATATGACTTTTTTGATATATACCGATTGAATGACTGGATTTTCTCCACGTTGAGCAATTTCTTTCAAAGCGAGAGTATTGTAATCTAAAATTAATTGAAAAAAATTAATTTAAGCAAAAACACGCCAACCTCGATTCAATAAATATAAAATTTCATTACGAGATGTGCCATTTTCAATGATCGCTTTGAAGTACGCACATATATCCCGATGGAGGAGAAGCTTTGCCAATTTCTTTTCTTCTTCATCTTCATTAAAATCCTCCAAATTTGCTTCCAGTTTTTCACTACTCGAAAAAGATTCATTAGACTCAACAGCTTCTCCTAAAAGATACGTAAAAAACTTCATTTTTAAAGTAAATTTACCAGAATGAATACTTTCTGATATTTCCGACAGCGATGAGCTTTCATTGGCACCTTCTTCAATCTCTTTCTCTTCCTCATCGTCCACGTCTGATTTATCGGTCTTTTGTTTTCTTTTGGAACCCGTCTCAGCCTTTGCACCTTCAGCATCACTGTCGTCTTCCTCGCTGTCTTCTCCCTCTTCATCGTCGTCTTCCTCCAAACCTTCCTCGTCAGAATCTTCCACGGTTACATCGTCTTCCTCCGAATCAAGATCAGATTCATCTTCATTATTAGCTTTCTCATCATGACTCGATTTCTTGTCAACATTTTCACTTTCAGTGTTCATTTCTTCAAAAACAGTTTTTTTCGAAGAATCATGAACGGTTGGAGATTGTTCTTGTCGTCTCATTTGAATCAATTCGTTGGAAACGAGACATTCATTTTCATCCAAGTGAACATTCGTTTTAACGGAATTCAGATTTGAATCCATTTTGATATTGACCATGCCCATAATTTCATAGTAAGATGGATCAATAACTTCTTGCTTGACGGTAACGACATTAGGTTGAGAACTAAGAACGATCGCATTGTTGAGAGCTTGCAATTTCTCCTTGCGTCTTCTTTTCTTCTCTTCTTGCTCCCAGAGATATTCAAGGACTACGAATTCAGCCTCATCGGAAACGAGTTCGGAGAAGTCTGATGACATGTCATTTCCGTCAACGATTTTGTCCGTTCCGTCAAAATTTTCATTGTAGAAATCGGGAATTCCTAAGCCTCGTCGAATTCGTTCAAGCTTCTCAATGCCTTCGATCTTATACATCAAATGCGCTACCGTCAGTTTGACATCCCATACGTCATCGCCATTAAGACCATTGAGGACTTCGACCCGAGAAAATGAGACACTATCCAATATGTCGGCAATATTTTCCTCTTCACGATATTGATTATTCCGTTTTTCCGCCTCGAAGAAATTTTCCACTAAAAAAAATAGCATATGATCAAAATTTCAAAATGGTTCATACATTCTAGCGCCTTTGATTTACAGAAACGTTTAAAACGTTTTCTTATCATTTCTTTTTGATAACTCAACAACATTACAGACATATTCGGACGGTCTTTGTTCATTTGTCGAGGCGGAAAATAATCTATAATGAACAATTAATCTATTAAAAGTAATTGAAACTAACCCAAATATTCTCCTCTGTAATTTTGTCTTTTACTACGAAAAAACGTCCGCTTTTGCAAAATTTCATCTAAGTAGCCAACAGAATCATCATCATCCTCGTCTTCAACAGCGCTTTCTTCATCGTTTTCTTCGTCATTTTCACCTTCGAAAGCGCCATCAGATGCTTCTTCTTCATCTTTCTCCTCAGCTTCTTCGACTTCTACGTTATCAACAACATTGTTCTTTTCAGTCTCATCGAGCTCATCTTCTTGATCTTTAACTTTTTCTTGCTCTTCCTCCTCCTCCTCAGCTTCTTCTTCATCCAGATATTCTTCATCCTCATACTCCTCATCTTCATAATCCTCTTCTTCCTCATAGAAGCTTTGCCGACGAATTTCCATATTATTCTTTATTCTTTCGACAGCGGATTCCTTGAGTGCTAAAACAAAAAAATTTAATTACGAAGTTTTAATAAAACTGACTTGGAATAACAATGGTATCGATTTCAGATTCAATATTCTCCTCGCGGTTTTCAGAGTCAGAATTACAACCATTCATGTCGTTATCATCTTCTGAAGATACGTTTTCCGTTTCTTCCTCATCCGGCAAGTTTTCAATATTGCTTGACTCTTCATTAGATCTTTCCTTGTTTTCTTCCAATATTCTTTCCGATCCGGAAACTGCCTTCAATAATTCGCGTTCATTGCTTGCTTTCGGATCTTGAGAATTTGATGTTGGCACATCTTTCATTTCAGAATTTGACTCTTCACCGTCTTCTTCTGTGGAAACGATGTCTTCCAAATCAAGTTCCTCTTCGGTTTCATAATGGTATTCTTCGAATCGATCATTTTTTTGGTCTTTAGCATCAGCATCATCCTCTTCATTGTTTTCCTCACTCTGGTCTTTCACATCTCCGGCTATTTCTTGTTCTTGTCCGTTCTTGTCTTCCTCATCGACATCGATTGGGACCACACAATTACTTTCTTCTTTGTCGTCTATTTTTTCCTCATCGCTATCGTTTTCGGAATCGTTTTCAACGTGACGCGGGTATTGCTCAAACTCTGCCATAACTTCCGGATCATAATCGAATTCGTTGTGTCTGCCAATTTTTTGAAGTGAGAAGAGTTCACACAAATCCTAAATTTAAAAAAAAATTAGCATGTAATCCCACAAATAAAGCGTTTCACTTACAAATCGAGGAACTGCTTGATAATTCAAATATCTATGGAAATCAATATCTTCATTATTGTCGGCATCTTCTTCGTCATCAACTTCTTCATCCGATATGTCATCAGCCAATAATTCCTTATTACTGCCACCAGATTTTTCTTCGCCTTCCTGCGGATTTTTGGGGTCCATCCCCTTATTCTGATCCACATTTTCACCCTTCTTCTTTCGAGCATCATTTTCATTATCGCCTTCTTTCTCATCTTCACTGTCAGTCTCCTTGCCAACCTCCTCATTCTCACTGTCTTCGGCGTCACTGATAATTTTTCCTTCACCATACTTCAAAATATCAATATATTCAAGATATTCTTCCATAAAGTTTTTGAAGCGGTCATCGGTTATCGCTCCAGATCTAAAGCCTGGCAGGATGAAACGCTCCAGATCGAATTGTTGGCGTTCCAACCGTTGCAAATAGTAAGCTCTCTTTTCTTCTTCTGTGCCCGTATACTCCTCATCGTCTTCATCGTCTTCATCCTCATTTTCTTCTTCTTCGTCTTCCTCGTCCTCGTCCTCTTCGCTTTCCTGTTCTTCATTTTCAACCTCATCTTGTTCTTCATCTTCACATTCCATTTCATCAATTTCAGAAGCCTCATCCTTCTCATTTCCGCTATCGATAGATTTAGACTTTTCGCGAATCGGCCTGGGCTTAACCTCATCCAGTTTCGTATTTCTTTTGGCATCAACCGATTCAACTTCTCGCTCTTTCTCCATTTCTTCATCAGCTTCGTCACCGTCTTCGTCTTCGTCCTCAATAACTTCGACATTAACCCTACGTCCTTCTTTCCGGGCAATAGATCTTGTCACTCGAGGTTTTATTGGAGAATTTTTTTGTTTGTGTATTTTAGCTTTCTCTTTTCCTTCATCATCATCTTCGTCTTCTTCGTCCTCAGTTTCATCTTCCTCTTCAACAGAAGGACTTTTCTCATTTCTTTTGTTGGATGAGACTTCATTATTAGCTTCATCCTCTTCATCTTCTTCATCCTCATTTTCTTCATCCTCTTCTTCATCTTCTTCTTCGTTTTCTTCGTCGTCTTCCATTTCGTCCTCATCATCTTCTTCATTTACACTTTCAGACAAATCGGAAGAATCACTTTCTTCATCATCACTATCGTAATCTTCTTCAACCAAGTTAGACGGATCTGGCATTTGGCTGCTACAATCTACATAATCCGCATGATCTTTGATCATATCCAGATCTATAAAAATAAAATATGTAATTGTATTGTGAATATTTCATTGCTTACAGCAGTCATAAACGCGTTGTCTCGGCCTCACGCATAAGCGCTTTTTTCGAAGGAAAAGATAAAGTTGGGAGCGATGTCGCAGAAGCTAAAATTGAATGGAATATAATTTGAACGGGATATAATATTGAAGAAAGCGCACCTTTGAGATTATAGTATCAAACCGAGGATCTTGTTTCAGTTCACGTTTCGAATTGAGATTAGAGCGGCATGCAGGACAAGTACTTCCAGCTCGCATCAGACATAGCAAAATGCATTGATCGCAAAAGCGATGACCACATTTCTGAAAAAAAATCTATGCGGATTAACGAATAGAAAAGAATATTGGTCTTTAAATCTACAATTTGTAACATTAAAAAAACGGTTATTATTGTTAACAGTTTTATTTTTTAATCAAAAACATAAGGCTAAAAATATGAAAAAAATGTTTCGCTTTTCAACTATCGCATAAAATTATATGTCCCTCGTGTTTGGAAAAATAAAAAAATCATAAACGAGATTTTCATGGAGATGCAGTAGCAACTATATATTTTTTCTAGGTTTGAAATAAAATTCGTCGATTTCACACATCAATTGAGAATTTGGAACTAAAAAATATAATTTTTTCTGTTTATGCAGAAAATTATTTCGATTAATAAAATTTTCATTTCTATAGAAAATTGATCTAGAATTCTTAGATACTTTCATAGTTTCTTTCAGTTGTAATATGACATTTTGAACTTTTTTTGGCCAAAAATAATAAAACATACCTTAGTCATCACGGAATTGGTCACAACATCATGACAAATGTCACAAGAAATATTTGGCACAATATGCTTCATGCTGGCTTCAATTCGTAGACGCTTATTCTTTTTTATTTGAGTTGTTCTTGTCTAAAACTTTTCATAATAAAGGTAATCCATAAATTTTCTTACCCTATCATAAGCATTCAGTTGTAGTTCTTTACCCTCCTGTCTTGTTGGATTCATAAGAATTTCCTCTAATTCTTCAATTTCTTCTTCTTTGGTCTTTTTCCGAACTTCTACCACCGGTTGTATAGGTTCGCCATTTTCATTTAACAATGGTTCCTAGAAAACATTTCTCTTATTTGGCAAGACTATTGAATAAATCACCTCATTCCCAAATTGACTGTTTATTTCTATATTATAAGGTGAATTTTCACCGCTGAATTCATATGGATCCTCAAGAAGATCTAAAAAAAAGATTTCTGCTGATGAAAATGCTCTATAAATAATCTTACGTTCTTCATACATCAATTCATCGGTTTCCATTGGGTCATTTAATGACAATCCGTTATTTAAAAATGTTGGATACTCGGGAGAAGCTGAGTCGGCTTTAAATAATGATGATAACTCATCACTATCTTTTCTAGACGCACGATTACTTGTAGAAGGAAAATCTGCTGCTAAAACAAATCTTTGAAATAATGAAATAGGAAAAAATAGCATACCATATGATGTAGAAGCAGTTTCAAAGGAGTGTGAATCCAATTCACGATTATTCATTGAATTGATTTGTCTTCTTTTATGTTTTGCTATTTTTTCTTCATTTTCTTCCATTTCTACACCAATATTCAGTTTTTATCACCTGAAAAAAGAAATAAATAAAATTTGACTTCGCTAATGTTTATCAAAAGATTTTAAAAAATAATAAGTTTGACATTCGATAGAAAATCAGCAAATATTGTCATTAACCATGGGAAAGTGCTCTTTGAGCAATTCAGAAAAACTCAATTTGAACGGAATCAAATGAGAAAACGAGAAAAATGGAAATTGATAAGAAACAACGGCCGCCACTTTTAAATTCACTCCCCGCTGCAAAAAATGACACAATTGTCACAGCAGAGTGACCGAAATACACCAATGGTTCCCGACCGCGGTTTAGAGACCGCAGCATCGAGGAGGCTGTGTAGTCCACACGGACTCCGAACACTCTGGGATACTTGTGTGCTTTGCATTCACAACGTGGTGCAATTCGCACCCAATATGGTGAATAAAATATGTCATATTTGTTTTGCACATTATATATTTACAAGGAAATTTGTTCTGTCGACATTCTCTAAAAATTTTGGGAATTGGGGAACCGGTTTCAATCGAGAAGAGAACGAACAGAGTGTAAAGTGGGGTTTTTTTTAAATCAATGACTTTAAAATTTATATTGCGAAGTAATAAATAATCAGACATCATTCTAATAATAAAATTATTAATTCACCAATTATTGGATACAATTAATTAAATTTACTAATTAAATTCACGCTTGTTAAATTATTCATAATTTTCAAAAAGTAGTCAAATATATTAGTATTTTTTAAAGTAAAGTTTATAATCTTTTATAAAATGATTTTCAACTAAGACAGATACATTTTTTTTTCAAAAAAATCTGTATAGTTTCAATTTAATTGAAATTTTGTTGTTTTCCGAGAAATTATTTTCGACAGGTGATTTTTGATATCGACACTGAAATACAAGCTGAATTTATTTACGAGCAGTAACGAGATAACATATTAAATACGAAACATGATAAATATTCAATGCTATTAAAATGAAATGGCATTAGAAATAATCAGAAAACATGAATTAGTTGGATTTGTAGTAAAACAACAGAAAAAAAAGTGCCACAACTAACACATCGCTATCACTAATCCAACGTAGCGGTTTCGTGCGATTTCGTATAAAGCCATGGTGTGAACATTTTCTGACTATTTTAGAGCACCACTTTATTAGCATCTCGGCATGTCATAATTTATGCATTAAATTAGTTTCTCTCAAAAAGACAACAAAAACAAAGCATCCTTCTATATTATGGTTATTTTGGCAATAAATAGCCAGCAGTTTTAACACAAAACAAATTTGAACTTTTTGAAATGGCAATGCGAATAGACCTGTTTGTTATTCAAAAAAGAATAGGTAGGTATTTGTAAGAATGAATATTCTAATAATCTAATATGCGTGACAGCGCGTTTATAGATTTTCTGGAATGTCCCATGTCTAATGTGAATATATGGAAGAGTTTTGCGAGATGAGGGGGGGGGGGTTTCCAGTGCTTTTGTAATATTAATTTAACTTTTAAGTGTTTAGAGACTCGATTTTTGCAGAAACAGTCAATTTCAAATGAAAACAATTTAGTGTTTCACATTAAAAAAGCATTTAAACAATTTTACTCAAATGGCTATTGAGAAATAAATCGATGAATATACTGGTTTTTTTCTGATGCGATAGGGTAATAACAAAACATAATAATCTGTACACATGTTTGTAAAAATATATACGAAATCGACAAGCATTTTGCGGATATGAATTTGAAAAAATTCTTAATGAGATATCTTATACTTTATACGTCTTTTTGTTTTAGTTAGACGCATAATAAATATATAATAAAATAGCGTGTATACTGCTAAGGAAATACTAAAGTGCAGGCTAACAACATGAACGGATTGCTGCACAAATTTTTTATGCCCGTCGCTTCTGCATTTTCTTTTAAAGTGATTCTTTGAAATTTTCCTGACCAAAATGAAAGAAAAAATTTAAATCAAGTCTTTTATTAGAATACGCATATTCTAATATGAGTTATGTTTCACAAACAAATATAATATTAATATTACATATTTTTTGGTAAAATGGCGGAAATTAGGTAGAGTGAGACGAACGCCCATATTTGCATTATATCTCGAAATATCTGAAATTATGTAATTCTGAGAGTGAGCGAAGATTGAAACGACTTAGGAGCAGAAGTTTCATCAAGTTCGATCAATCTTTTTTTTTTAATGTAACACTTTGAGTAATCAAATCAGCTCTGAGACGGTTGACTGCATGCAAGTTAACTAAATTCCGGATTTTAAGAATACCATTCTTCTGAACTCATCAATTCAATTTTTTATTTTTATAAATTCCACTTCCATGTCAACGCATATTAATAATCGAAGATAACAAATGTCAGTAAAAGATATAATGAGTAGATAATTCGCAGAAGTTTAACGAAATGTGTGAATTCGCACCTAAATATTCTAGAAAGGTGTGAAAATGGTAAACAATAGCTATGGCCATAAGGAAAACTGCGAAAATAAATCATAGTGCTGGAGGGAGGAAAAATCTACCGGCATAGTTTCCAAAGGCAACAGAAAAGATTACCGGCAGTAGAAAAAAAAACAATAAGTAAAATTTAAAAATTTCCAACTTTTTACGATTGATTTATTATTTCCCTTCTCTTGAAAGTGGTGCATGCAAATGAAACGACTTGTTGTGTGTTTATGCGCATAATTCCTGCTTTTGGCTAGATGAATCACCTGAAAATTTTGATTTATCCAGTGGTGATCAAAATACTAAAATACTGTGAAGCGAATATAATATACAGAAGACGTTGAGCATATCTTGTATCTAATAAGTTAGTTATTCTATCAAAGGAGAACCGTGTTCATATGCCGCGTTATCTCCAACATTTCCCGAATCATAAAATTTTCCCAAAGGCTCGCCTTCACCAGACAATTACAACCCATTCCATCATTGCTCAAATACTTGCTCACGACGTCGATTTTGGCACCTACTAGCCCGTTGGAATTAACAATGACGTATGCCGTTCGTGTATCTTTATCTCTGTAGGTCCTGTACTATTTCGCGCGCACTAGTACTACTGGGGCACCTTTGGGGATGACCCAGCTCGCGCGAATGTGCATCGTAATGTGCGTCGTCGACAGACTTAATCCCGCTGGGGCAGATGTTCATGTGATAATTGCACCCAGAGTGCCGGTACGGTATGGACGCGAATGACATAACCCAACGATTAATGCAAAACGAACCATATTATATGTACTGTCGAATTCTCAAATTGAGCCACTTATCTAGTTACTGTAGCTCTATGTTGAACATGTGCTACCGCGTGAATGATAATACTATCAGAGCTGATATGGAGCAATGATAACAGCTACAAACACAAAAGTTAAAAATGCGAATTAACTACAAAGTAGACTATTGAATACTTTATAATTAAACTGTTATATTGTAATAAATTCCAAAAATGATGATATTAAGATCAGGAGTACAAAAATTTCCTTATTACATGCGAATTAACACGCAAGTTACCAAATTATCAGAAAGTAAACATCTAATGCATATTCTGGTAGTTCAGACAATTTTACCCTTAAAAAATGGATTTTTTAAATAAGAATTAGTTACTATGACATAAAGCTTGAACGCAGAATCTTCGATTATTCGATTTTCATTATCATTCTGCTATTCTAGTTCATTTTAAACATTTATGTACCCCATAAATGCCATTTTCAATTCCTCATTCACGCAGATCCCTTACTTTGATTTCCTCATCAAATAGTAACCGAAAAGTGAAAACCTCCGCATAGACATTGGCCATCTGTCGAAATCAAGTTCATATAAATCGTTTCATTGCTGGAGGGTCATTGAAATATTTCTAACTCCTTTTCTACTATTGCTTTCCTGACCGATGCATGTTTTGTGACCTTGCCGTCTGCTAACAGCACGCCAGTTGTGAAATAGCGCATTTGTTTGAGATGGTAATGCGGCTCCTTTCTCTGAAGAATGGCGTGTGCTGGGACTGTGGATGATGTGCGTGGGTTACGCGCGCAACATGGTGCTAGAGAACGAGGAGAGGGGGGGGGCTATGACAAGGTGACGGGGTGTCCTTTTTTCCCTGGTCTGTTGCTACGACGCGCCACGCCCACCGGACCTGTGGGGTTGGTGCATCATCCTAGGGCACATTCAGTCTAGTCGGTGCCATCATGAACGTCCTAACGACTAGTAACTCTGCCATTCCAACCAATAAGTCTTCTGTTCCGAAGACTTTGTCCACCACGGACGCCCTTCTGCATCATCTCCGCGCTTTAATACCAAGCAGCGGAGAGCAGCAGGAGGTTCCGAATATTGACTTCTCGATATTCGCTTCATTGCTCAACCCTTCAGCAAAAGCCTGCTCCCTTCCAAGTCCTACAGAATCATTGGCTTCTGCTGGCAGCACTTCTAGTCAAAATTCTGGAAATGGAACGAAGCGAAGCGGCTCGCCGTTGCAATGCGATGTATCGTTCAAAAAAGCAAAGGACGAAGATGATAATTCGGATACCGAGTCTTCCGATCATGGTGGAAATGATGGAATCGATCCAAATACTATGTCGCCGCTTCAAAATATTCTAATCAAGCCGGTACACTTGATTACTCCTGATGATATCTTCATGTCGGTTCCCGGAAGACTGTCGCTGCTAACATCGACTAACCGATACAAAGTCACAATTGGAGAGGTATATTTATGTTTTTCGTATCATATGCACTTTTTTTTCAAATTCATTCTCCTCATTATTCCCAATTTCTACCATTAAATTGACCATTACAGATGTGCGCGCGGAGGTCCTCCAGACCTTATGCCCCGCGCGCGCGCACATTTGCTTCTAGCGAAAGGTTATGGGCGATGATCGGCGCCTTTTGGCGTTTTTCGTCATCGACATTCTCATTTTCTATTTCTCTCAACCAACCATTCGTTTGTAATTGCGCAATATTACTGCTCGGGCGTTACTGTCATTCAACGCCGAATGGAGCAGATGCACACCAATAGGGGTATGGTGTTGCGCGAGAGCGCACGCAGAGAGATTACGGCGTTATGTTACCAAAGAGCGAGTATGCCACATGGTGAATAATTCGGACAGAGGGCCGATCATTGGGGATATTTATTGCTTAAACAGACATATGAGAAAACGAAAGTTGAGGCATCCAAAATTTTGACGCGTACCGTATTTTCCAAAATGATTAATACTAGCGCGCGACCTTTGTCACCAGGTTTCCATACCCTTGAGGGCGCAAAGACCTCCAAAAAATGAATTGTTTCATAACTTTCACTTTTCCTAATTTATACCTTTCAGATTCAACGACGACTCGGATATCCTGAAAATCTCAACGCATCTATTCTTGGCGCCATTCTTCGTCGTGCAAAATCCAAGAATGGCGGAAAAGAGCTTAGAGCAATTTTGGAGCAACATGGAATGAATCTACCAGCTGGTAGAAGAAAATCAACGCAGATTACATTATTCACTTCCATGATTGAAGGTAACTTTACCAAAAACAGCAGAAATTTTGAAAATACAATTTGTTTAGGTGAAGCCGAGCACCTGGCTAAAGACTTTGACTATTTGTGCACCAACGAGTTTCCTGCCGAAGATCTTGCAAAACAAATGGTCATGCAGCAACCAAAGGATGAAGCATCGCTTGGAAAGAGGAAAGAAGAATTGTACACTGCTTTGTAAGCTTGTTAAAGAAATTTCCGTTAATTATTGTTTGCTTCCAGGAAAGTAATGAATGAGCTCATGCAATCGATCACTGGAAGCTCACCAATGAACAAAGTGTTTGCCGAAAAGCCGCTCACAAACTTTCAACTTCTCACTCACAACTTTGGAAATCCTGCTCTTCTCACTGCTTTTGCGACATTTAACAAGTGAGTCATGATTTCTAAAGAAAAACGTTTAAAATATTATATATTTTTTTAGATACGTGACCAGCCAATTGGAACTTTTGAACTATTCTGAAAACACTCAACCATCGGTGCCTATTCAACAGGGACGAAAGACAGTGAAAAAGTTGGAGCAAAGCGATCTTTATTATATGCCACAGGAGATGACACTTCAAAAACTATTGCAGATGTGCCAACAAAAAAATTGTATCTAACTTTCATTTGGATTGTAAACACCTTTACTAACTTTCATATTTTACTCACTATTGTTTTAAAACTATACTTTAATTGTCCTCTAAGAGATTTTATGTGGCTTGATGCCTGCCGACAAACCATTTCTTTGTATGAACTTCCAGAAGTGCCCAATTCCTCTCTCAACTGAATACGGGATGAAATGCGAGTTTAATTTTGTATGTGTATGACTCTGTATCTCATAATCCACACGTGCGTTGAACTCAGTATTGCTGAACGGTTGCAAAACGTGTCACACTGTAACCTTTCATTTTGTATTTGTTATTTCATATTGTTATTTTTATTTTTATTATTAATTCAATTGCAGCCAATAAAGTGAGAAAGATGCAATATATATTGACAAAGTTGTATTGTTGAAGTGATTTCCTAGAAATTGATGGGTTTCAGAGGGAATTATTTTAGAATGTCTATTGTTATTAACATAGTCAAAATCTGTTGGATTTGAAACAGAAAAATGAGCGCAGATGTCTTTTGGAGGAATTCATCAATCCGAGACAGTTGTCTGATTTAGTACTCAACGCGGCCTCCTGCTTCTGCTCATTTCGTGCCAGTTACCAATATTTCAAAAAATTTCTCAGAAAACTCTTATAGAAACATCATCTCTTTTTAAATAGTCGCATTACGACCCGTAGTCATTTTTTGAAATTGCGAAGACGTGAGTCATCATCGTCTTTGGGAATCTCTTCGTTGCACTAATCAAACAAACGTTGCCTGCGTCTATGTGCGAACAATGAATGCATTTAAATGCCATTTTATTGGCACCTGGTTTCAACGGGTGCATTTTTTCTAGTAGAAAGAAAATAGGTAAAATTATTTATTTGGTTTTTTTTTTTAATTTACAAAATGTGGCAATAGACAAGAGTTCATATTCATGCTTTCTAGACTCTAAATATGATAACAAGATTTGTTGAAACAAAATAAAATTATATTAAATATATGAACGGGTGGTATGTGTTTGACTGTAACCATTTTTTGAATTTAGCTGCGCTAACAACCCGTTTCGGCATGTTCTGAGACAATAATAGGTTGGACATCACCGGCTTCAGTCATTGGATTAATCTAAATAAATAATAATGAGAGGTGTGGTTTTTTTTTCAAAATTACATTCTCTACATTCTGCTCGACACCTTTTGGAAGTTGCGGAGCAGCACCTGCCTTCTCATCTATAACATCCTTCAACGCATTTGCTCTCGACGCAGCTCTTTTCGGAGTTTTTGGAGTAGTTGTACTTGACAGCTTTTCATTAAGCGTCTTTCCTTTAATTAAGACAGCTTTTGATGAATTCGCTTTTGCAGAATTGGATTTCGCCGCAGATTCATCATCTTTTGGTGTTGATTTTGAATTCGCAATTGTCTTTGTCGCAGGTGCTTTTCGAGGTCTTGGTGCTCTTCGACGGCGATCTACAACTATTTTTTGAAAATGTTGGTGCTAATCGACAGCTGCAGGCAATCTATTTTTTTTCTTCTCTTTCTCCGCGCGATTCCTAAATCAACCCGAACGAGGGACACATTTCGGAAAAAAGCGAAGCAGGTGTGATGCTAATGGGTTTTCGCTGAAGGGGTTTGTCAATGGCACGATTGCCGTTAAAATAAAACCAAAATCATATGAGAAAATAAATAGGCAGTGCAGTTATGCATGTTCTCGCAAACCCCCATCCACCACATCAAGTTTTTTTTTCATAAAAAGGGTTATACGCAAAAACAACAAAGTATTGCGAAATTAAGCTCATTATGTATAAGCTAGCCCCATAATGAGCCAAGACATCATATTTCTGCAGCTCATATATCTAATACTTTCTTATAAAAAGTCTTTTGTTAAATGGGAAAATCATTAAAACAAATAATAGTGAAGTGTATCTATGTATAAAGATAAACGTATTGTAATTAAATTAATTTTCTTAGACGAATGAAAAAATTAAAGAAATGTTTTAATAACAATTTTCTCGTTATGAAAAATAGTAGTCGGTTTGTATTTCGTTTGCATTCGCATGGAAAGTTTATCTTCTGACTAAGAACGATGACCCACATTTGCGGTTGACATTAAGAGGACCTCGAGCGCTTAGAGTGTTAGAATGTTACTTGGCAAAGTGTTACAAGTGTTATTACAGGGGTCTTGTATTAATTCATAATTATTTCTAAAAGAATCACCTTTTTGCGCACTTGAAGCCGCCAACAACTCCTTTTCACTTCGCATTTGCTCAAATATTCTGAAAAATTCAATTGATGACTAATTTGACTACGGGTTAAACGTTTCGATTCTTCGCTTAGTTTCTTCATCCTCTGGTGGTGGAGGAAGCCGCTTTTTCAGCGGTTTCGGTGCTACCAACTTCCGAATTGATTGTTTTTCTTTTAGAGCTTGCTGAAAAAAAACATTCGATTTCATCAACAAACATGAATAAAAACAAACATAGCGCTTGAATAATTCTTCATCCATCAACTCCAAACTTGGAGGTGGCTCAATTGGCGGAGAAGATTTCTCTAACACCGGAGGTTTAAAGGATTTCGCTGTTTCTTTTGGATCCGTTGAAGTGTTCATTGAATTCTTTCCTAGAGTTTGAGCAGCGCTTTTACCCGGAGCTTGCAAAATTTGTGGCGCAGTTTTAGCCTGTATTGGTTCAGAAGTTTCAATAATAACTTCTTCCTGAATGTGAGGTATAGCATCATCGTAAATCACGGCTTCCCCATGATTGTAGACCACAGCTCCTTCTTGATCAAAAACTGCGGCTTCTCCATTCTCGTAGATCACCTGTTCTTCATGATCGTAAAGAATATCTTGTTCTTGATTGTAAACTGCAGGTTGGTCGTGATCGTAAACGATAGCTTGCCCTTGATCGTATACTACGACATGTCCTTGAGCATGAGCAACTGTTTGTTCACTAACTCGTTCTACATCATTTTCTAGAAGATGCTCCGGAACCTCATTTTGGTCAATGAATTCAAATTGTTCCGCAATTTGTTCTGAATATTGCATTGGAATAAATTCAGCATTTTCTATTGGCGGCTCTCTTGAACATCGCATAAATATTTGTGAAGATTGCGAATAATTGGATTCGCTACATTGCCCTCGATACTGCTCTGAAGATTGAGCTAAAAGCTGGCCATGTTCTTGATCGGGTGCTTGAATTATGAGAGTCGGCTGTGATGGCTTGCGCATATTTTTGTGTAGTTCTTTTGGTCTTTTCGTTGTAGTTTCTACGCGCACTGGCTGCTTCATAATGTAACTTTGACTCTTCAAACGACAGGCAACGTCTTCAGCAGCACTTCCAGGAACGTATTTCTTTGTTGGCGAAATTGAAATCTTCACAATGCTGTTCTTCTGGATCATTTGAGCAACGGTGGGCATGAATACCTGAAAATTAAAACATCGAAATATTCATAAAAATTGATTTTCTAACCAATACTTGACGCGTTTCGGGACCTTCCGAGTTTTTAGATGGCTGAAAAGAAGTACAAATAAAAATTACTTTGGAAATTAAAATCTTACATGTGTAACAACATGAGTAGCTAAATATGCATCATTACTCGAAATTGCTGGTTTAAGTATTTTGGGCTGAAACTGTTCCGACGTCTCTTGTTGGTGAATTTTTGCATAATTTTGAGTTTTATGTGTCGGCATTTGTTGAAATATTTGCACCTTCTTTATCTGAACTGGTTGACGAATTAGCGCTAAATCCTGAGCTTCTTTGTTTTGTGGTTTTCTAAGCGGCTGATTTTGTTGAGTTGTTTGCATTGGTTTCGATTGTGATGATTCTGGACGTTCATAAGTACGCTGATGTGAATACATTCTGAGTTGTTGCTTGTGTTCCTCTACGGGTTCCTGTTTTTGATACGGCGGCACGAACTCTCCTTGTGTCGAAACTCTTTGTCGTTGCGGTTCATTTTCAGACGGTTGTTGCGGCTCAATTTGTGTAGGCTCCAGCGGAATTGGCAACTTCATATGATGTTGCGGGAATTTCACCAATTGTTCTTTGGGCATAAATTCGATGACCTCTTCTGGCTCTTGGAACCGCTTCGACGATCCTTGAGCAGATCCTAATCCGCCTGGTGGACTCGGTTGTGATTTGTTCAGCTCTGAGAGCAACTCAAGATCTTTTAGTGGCACAAATTTAATTCGACGTTCAACGCGAACTGGCTTTGGTGGTGGTGGCGGAGTTGGCGGTTCTGGTGGTGGAGTTGGCGGCGGTACGTCCATTATCGATATCGTAGCCGGATCAATATATGTATTTTGTTTCTTCTTCTTTGATGATTTTGGTTTAGATTCGTTACGACGTTTGGCCCGTCTGTAAGAAAAATGCATAAATCTTTAAAAGAATTTGTTCTCACCTTTGCGGAGCAGGCTTCTCTCCAATTTTCTTCTCAAGACCATGCGAATCATTTTTCACAGATGGATATTCGAAATACGGCACCATATTCGGCGGATTCACCTTCTTCTGTTGGTTGAACATGTTCTCAAGATCTGTTTTCACTGGCAAAGACGATGATTGTGATGATGATGGTGTCATCGCATCGTTAAATGGAATGTCAGTAAAAAACTCGTCTAGATTCACGAAACCTTGCATCGATGAGCCTTCGGATTGAGAATTAAATTCTGGATAATCCGAAATCGAATTCGACCTTTCAGTATTGGGACATCCATCATGTATCTTGTTTATTGGCGATTGAACCGAGCTTTCGTTATTCAGTAATTGTTCAAAAGAAAACTGTGGAGAGGCATCCGTAGATATCGAATCACGCGAATCCAAATAAATCGAATCAATGTTATCCATAAAGTTTGAATCGACATGATCAATTGGCATTGTGCTCATTGATTCCATCATGTTCTCATCAACTCCACAGTTCGTCACTGGAGCAGCAACAGATGTCAACATTGGATCGACATCGATTTCTTCGTCTAACAAGATATCTTTGTTCTTAACGTCCGTGTCCAATTTAATTATTAATTCGTCCTTGATAGAGCTCTCACAACGCTGAAATGCGTCAGCTCGCATTCCTTGGAACTTGAGAATTTTATTTGCCATCTCCGGATTTACTTTTGCCATTTGGCTAAGAACAACTTGACGCACCGTCGGTTGCTCTTGTATTGGCAATTGGTGAATCGGATCATTCTTCAGATCTTCAATTATTTTTTGGCCTGGAATCAATGTAACGCCCGAATGAACAATCCGAAATTTTGGTTGCGATGGCCCTGGTCGCGCGTTGACATGTGGTTGACTCAGAATTCTGAATAACAAAGAATTAAATCCGTTGTTTTCTTTAATATATAAACCGTGAACATTCCTGAGTCGTTCCTGTCGGAACAGCTATCGTTTTATGTCTTTCGTCAACATTTCCAGATTGGTCATTCACAGAACACTGTAACAAGAATATTGTTGTTATCTTAAATAGTTTTATAACCAAGTTCATTTGAGCTGATCCAGACATGTGTTGTTCAATAACTGGGGCCAACGGAATTTCTAACGTAGTAGGGATCTCAAATGAATCTAAAAACACGCCACAGAACAATCGACAACTGTTAATTGGTCATTTACGTTTGTCGGGACCGGCTGGTTGAGAAAGTTCCGGAAAATCCATTGAAAGTTCTTTGAATATATCATCTAACATTTCATTATTGATTTATTGATCGATCTGATTAATTACCTGCGTAATCAAGAAATTCATCGGGAAATGGGTTGGCATCGAAATAATCGGCGAATGTGCCCATACCCTCTGTAAACGTATTTCATTATAATACAAACTTAATAAGCTAACCCGCTGGGAATGTAGCTTCTATGTTATTCAAATCGGAATAGTGCCCGTCATCGGAAGACATCACGGACAGCTGAAACCTTCTTTATAGATTTATCGACATGCCACACAATTTAAGCTAAACAACGAGCGGTGTCAAGTGAAGCGTCGTTTCAAGAGTCGATACGAACGCCGCTTGTTGTATTACGCTCGCTGGTTGTGGTGGTTTCGAATGTAGAAAACGAGATGGCAGGTGTTTGCGACGAAAATTGAACGACTATAAGCATTCATTATTTCTTTCAATGACAACCAAAGAAATTGAGTAAAAACCGGAAGAAACCACCACAAGATGCGCTAAAAGCTTTCCAATTAAAAATTATTATTTTTCAATCAGTATTGTTTCATGTGCATCGCTATTATAAATAAAATCGCAGAGCCGAAATATGTGATTTTTTTAATGAAAATTCGAAAATTTCAAGAAGTTAAATTCTTTTTAAAACTATAATGATACGCCCTGCATTAAACATATATTAACCCTACATGTTCATTTATTGAATTGCAACAATAAAAGTGACCATTTTATTATTTTATTCGTTAAAAATTAATTTGATCCAACCGTCAAAAAGACGAAAACCTTTTATCAGATTTTGCGATTTTCATAAAACTGCCATCACGTGATACGACATCATAGAATATTTGATGGCAAACAAAGAAAAATGTGAGAAATTGCCTGACCCGCGTGCAATCGATAGTTGGATGAAAACTGAAGTGTCTGTGTGTGTGTGACACTGCGAATTTTTGTCCATCTTCAACAGAATGTCATTTCGTATCTCACACGCAACGTCAGATTTATACAATAGTCGGAAGTTTGGTAAAACCAACAATAAAAGACGAATTCAGAAATAAAAAATAATAATGTTTTCTTTTCTGTTGGATTGATATTTTCTCTACATTTATATTCATTTAATTTTTTGCACTATAAATGTTTAATAGCAAAAAGATTACGGAAATCAATAACAATTTCACATATATAAAAATTTTTTTCATATTAAAACGACTTACAATTTAAAAAAATCGATTTTTCCGTTTTTCCAATAAGAAAATTGTTAGTAAATTGTTAGTAGCAGAAAAAAAATTGGAAAACAGCAAACAGCGCCTTGAATGTCTTGTTCAAAGCAAGTTTACAATATCGCAAAATCTAGCAATATCTGATTTGCCTTCAAGGGCATCCTTCGGATTAAAAACGACATTGTTCAATTTAAATTTCTTCCTTACTGGAAGAAATTTTTTTATTGAATAAAAACCATTTTATTCAATTAATTGCGTTGAAAAATCAAAAACAAACGAAAACTGGCTAGCGACAAGGTGATTATTGTGATTGATATATTGTCTTCTTGTCTTGATTTTCGGAGATGTGATAAGAAGTGTGTTCAGTAATACCAACACAAAAACATTTCCTTCTTGGGATTCTCAATACAAAATTGAATATACCAGGCCTAAAAATGATTCATTAAAAACCCTCAATACATCAGACGACCTGGTTGCAGTGGAACAGTTTGCGGCCATCCTCTTTCTCTCCGTGCAGCGCGATCTTGTCCAACAACGATCAATGGAGGATCTGTGTCGGCGGGTGCAACGAGTTGCGGAGACATATTAGAACCAGGGAAGTGTAAACGATCTTCCAAAAAGTCGTTGTGAATACAAAATACCAAGCAACAGAATAGAGAAACAACTGCGAAAACGAAAATTGCAATATGAACAAGCACGTCGATCATGACTGCTTGTATGAAAATTTGCGATGTTCGTCGTGCTTTTATAGTGTTTCATTTTTCGCAGCAGCGAACCGTCACATTCATTGTATTAACGTTTCCTAAAACGCACGAAATCAAATGAATTTTTTATTATCACTATTATGCGAAAACGATGTGATTGTATTGTTCAACGAGGCACAATTTGTTTTCTACGGATATCATCACGGACAGCAGTGGGTCCACGGCAATTTGTTTTGCAGCAATTTTCTTCAACCTAATTTCGAGTTGACTGGAAATACATCACATCAAAAATCGCATATCTTGTATTCCTTCTAAAATAATAAGCATCGATTTTTGTCGGTTGAATTATTCAAGAAAACATTAATAGATCTATTCACGATTAAAAATGTTTTTAAAACCTTACAAATGTATACTGAGTGTAAAGTAATGCAAATTAAATATAATTTTTAGAATTTCAAAATGTCATATTATATGTGAGATAAGATTTTTTGTTATGCATTTTCAGTCCCCATTAAACCGCCCCCCCCCCACTGGATCAAATTTGGGTTCAACATTAAGAATTATATTAACATGAAAAATAATAAAAAGTAAAGTAGGGTTATCAAAAGAAAAGAATATTCGACGAGACCAGTTTTGGGAAATTTCGCGATTTCTGAAGATCTACCTTCATATTAATGTTTAGCAGTTATTTGTCCTAGGTAATGAATTTTACGATAAGAAAAATTTGAATATATTGAAAGAAATAAAATTTTTGAGAGATGTAAAAATCAAATCTATTATTTTAAAGGGGTTTCACAGATTTTTAATGCTTGTCTTCGTAATTCCACAAAAATTTTCACAATTTTTCTTCACATAGGTTCAAAATTGTTTTATTACATAGAGACAGTTTTAATTAACGTCATTGCACTATTTGGCTGTGACCACTTTAATTTGTAAAGTCGTTATTTTTTGGATGTGCATAGTTCACAAAAAACCCCATAAATAATTATTCAACAACTAATTGTGGGTCACACGAAAGCCGTATTAATTCGTATGGATGATGATTTTTGAACCTGTGAAGAAACTTGCATTAAAACATTCCGCTTGGACAAACAGGATGAGGAGATTGCTCAAAGAAAGCCAATTCAAGTACGATAAGTCAACATTTTCACGTGAACTTTGTTGGCTTTCGAGTAGGAAAATGCCATGGAGAATATTTCTCTCTAAATACTCATGTCAGAATAGGGCTATTTCGAACAGTTTGTGTTTGTTTTTCCACTGGAACTTGTCACGTTTTTCTCATGGGATGAAGAGAATTCTTTCTCAAATAATTGAATTTACATGCAGCTGCCAAATCTTGTAGTTTTACACTTTCACGATGCCTTCATGTAGTTATGATTTGATTTCTGTACGAAATAAGAAGAAAAAGAAGAAGCACCTGTTTTCTTAGAAAAACATGATTTTCCAAATAATTTCATATTCTTTGTTAACTCAAAGTATATGCGCAGCTCATAGTCTATATGTACTTTTCTTGTTTTTAAGCTTACAATTCTTTCACAAATCCCATTTTCTGTTGTTTTTTTTTGTACCTATTCTTTTCCGATAATATTCCGTTTTCCTATTTCGTTTTCTTTTTGTTGCATTCTCATGTAGTACGCATGCAATAATCCCTCCGTTTTTTTTTGTTTCCTTTGTGGTCGATAAACGTTTCCTTTTGGAGACTTCTCATTTTGCTCCTCGCGTGCGCGATTTTGTTATACCGCATAAAACAATGAAATATTGGTCTCCATAATGCAAAGGAATAGTGGCATGAGAAAAGCTAGTATGAAACACGCAAAAAAAAGAAAAGCAAGGTCGAATTAAAAAACAAACGGGTTGGCAAAAAATATGTTTAAAGAATGGAGAGTGTTGAGGTCCTTTAGTGCGCGAAACCGCTCTCTTGCCCGATTGCTTATCGAGCACTCCCGGCAACGCGCGTGCTCTCCTTCGACTTTATCTCTCCCCTCTAATATTCTCGTCTTTATAGTAGTGAATAGTGGATGTAATCTCTCCCACTTCTACTCATTGCCGTGACATTCAACCTTTTTCTCCAACACAACTGATAAATTTCTCATTATTTATCTATTTTATATATGCTTCTTGGGTGAGATCTGTGCAAATTCGCGCAATACCATGCAAAATTTTGAATAATTTTCTTATGCAAGTTCGATTGATAAGTTTTCTTACATACATTTGACTGAAAAAATTCAAGTATATCGAACTGTTTTGAAGTCACACAATATTTATTTAAAAAAAAAACTTACCTATGGAAAAAAACCGAAGTTTGGTAGTTCGCGAATAACAAAATTCTAAAATTTTATTAAATTTCAGTCTTGTATAATTTCTGGTTATCAAAAATTTACACGATATTCAGAGAATTAGAAACGTTTCTAGCTATTTCGCAGTTATCGCATTTTCGATGGTTGAGATCAGTAAGAACTTCCATTAGATTTGACGTTCGATTCATTGCCTTTGTTTGAATGAGATTTCTTACTATACTCTTAGTAAACCGAGTCACGCGATATTAGATCACAAAAATTGACCATTTCGTGATCTACTTATTTTCCGCATTTCTTTGTGAAAGCCGACTTAAAAGGCATAAACAAAATTAAATTAGCTAAATTTCCTCTAATTGTTTACCCATTGTTGATTATGTATGTATGTAAACCAAGTCATGGTCCTGCTTGCTAATTTTGTAAGAAAGTCAAAAAAGGTTCGTCAATTTTTGGAACACGGTTTTTTCGATAACACATTTAATAATAGTGTTTCGTGAAGGCTTGACCTGCTCAAGGAGTATAAAACAAACACCCAACACAAACAACCACGCAACAAGGTCCTGTTGTTGTTATATCTCTCTCATAAAACTGCTACTTCCCGATCATTGGTGTTATTGCCGGCTTCATTTCGCCTATTAACTGTTCTAACAAAATCGAATCAAATTAAATTGCCAATCTTTTCATAAAATGTTGCAATTTCATTTGACGAAGGAACATCGCGCATAACTCAAATTGCGCGATTTTATTATTCGATTCATCTTGGCTTTAATTTGTATTGTAAGCCATTGACAGAAAAAAAAATTGGAGGCTATTCGAATGACAAATGTTTGTTTATTCTGCGTATTATTGGATTTATTTTGCATCTGTGTTGTGTTCTTTGATTGAAGATATTATCGAGAAATATACGATCATTTCTAGTGTGTTTGCTCACTAAAGCTAGTTTGACTTTTTAATGATCTTCTGGAGTTAACAATTTTTTTGAAAATTTTGGAATTAACATTTTCATGTATCGGAAAATTTGTGACATGGGTTTTGACGAAATCTAAGAAAGACTTGATTATATTTCTCGACAACTGTTCCTAAATGTTATAAAAAGTTTTCGATTTCGTTTAATTACACATGTGCTTAAAACACTTTGATGTGTTCTCTAAATCTTTGCAAAAAAATTTTAAAATTGCAGAATTAAAAAAAAAATCATGTTTTCAGTAAATGGGTTTCCTAGACAAAAACAACGTATTCACCAAATTAGATTTATGATATCGGTTTGTTGTAACTTATTAAATGCTGAACATAAATCAGAAATTCCAGATGAAAAAATAGTACATTTGTCTTGTGGTATTAATTCAAATTTGTCCAGTCGCGTTTTGCCGTTTTTCAAGAAAACAAAACAACAACTTCAAATTGATGTTTTTAAAGCATTCGATTTCTGCAATAAAAAATGAGCGATGCGGCTTCTCTGATCATTTGAAAATGATATCAGAGAATAGTGAACATCGTGATACAGCGAGCAAACTCGCCAGAGCGTAATAACACACCATTTGATCTAAAGACAAAGTTCATTTTCGCAACATTTGTGATCCACTTCAAATGAATAATGTGCCCAAAGTACGTTACTTTCGTTTCACCGGAAAATATCCATTTTCAAAAACTCTTGTACTTAAGAAAATTTTTGCGTGCCAAATTACAGCACGCTCAAATGATATTTTCGCGTATTATAGGGAATTTTTTTTTTGCAAAATAAGGGAACTTGTGAATTACTTCCTGCGAAAAACCTTTCAAAATTACTTTTTTTTGTCTGTTTCCGACACCTTTTTTTAGTATATAAGGAACGTTCAAATGAAAAAAAAATGTTCGAGCACTAAATTGTGTTTTTGTTTTCCAATTGAATTAATTTCCTCAAATGAACCCAACTAGTTTTAATGATATATTTGACTCATGTTGCTCTGCCCTCCATGGACCTCATTACTTTTTATAACCGCGTCCCGGAAAAGACAGAGACAATTCCTCCGTACATCTCATTTTCCGTCTTATTATTTATCGAGGTCCAACGACTCAAGTGCCCAAGCAAATGTTGGATTTATGTCGGTAAGGAACACACACACATGTGTGTGTGTGTGCACTCGAATGTTGCCAAATGCCAGATTGTGAAATTCGATAACACATCGTTGGCTTCTGGGAGATTTCGAGAAAATTTCACCGACCTGATATTTTCATTACTCGAAGTGTTTGAGTGAAAAATGAGCCAATTAAATGAACCCTATATTTTTGAGTTCGTACCATTTCGAAAATGAAAATAATTCTCGCGCAGTTGCCTAGAATTGAATTATTCACAAACGTTTCGTATTGAATTTTGCGCATGTTCCTTCATTCTATTCATTTGTTTTCACATTTTCGACTCATTCATGTCACTTGTGAATTTCAATTTCCTCTCTTTTTTTTCCACAATGTCTGTTTTGTCGAATTGAGACGAAAATTGCTCATTTAATTGTTCATTTAATCAATGGATCGCGAAGAAGAAAAATGTGAAAAATGAAGGAATGAGGAGATGGCGAATAAACGGAATGCTGCCAAACATAATGAAATAAGGGTTTGCATAGCACCTGTCAAATTATGTAAATCAACCGAGTCGAAATTTCAGAAGCGAATTCCGCCAATATATAACAAATAGGCTTGTCTTCGCTTGTTTTCCTCAAAAATAGCATCTCATGTTTGGCCACTTTTCACGCTCCACCCACCAACCATTTTGTCTTCTCATTTTCCAACAACTATGCATGTATGATTAAACGGAACTCATTCTCAATTAAAAAAAATGTTGGGAGCAATATTATTATTATCATTTCTATTCGCTCACTATCCGTTTCCATTGCATCTGCTCTAACGGATCGCAAGAATATATTTTTTTTACTTCCTATACTTTTCTTTGCTCTCTGTGATTCATAATTTTTCGGTCTGCCGTCACTGAGATTTCCATCAAATTTGATGTGAATGCTCTTCAGTGATCGCGGAGACAAGGAAAAAAAGATATTGGGCAACACAATCGTGGTCTTTTTGTAAAGTAGTAAAGATTCTGAAATGCATTGCATGTAGAGAAACAAAGATGAGATTGTTTTGAGGTTGACGGTGAACTACGCGATGGATCTCATTGACAAAACGGTCGAGCTCCGAGGAAGCCAGGTGCTCAACATGAACTCCTATAAAGCGATCGTCTACCAGCGTCGGTTTATGGCATTTGCAACGTTGCTTGCATGGGTGAGTCTCTTATTTATTTGATAATCAACCCATAAGTTAATTTCCTTATTAGCTGTGGAAAATATTCAAGTGAATTTACAAAAACAAATTGTATTAATTGTTTAAAAACACCAACTGCGCTAAAAATTTTTATCTGGAAACAATGCAATACATGGTAGTTAGTTCACTTTTGAAACATTTTCGGTTAATCAAATTCACAATTAAAGTTCGTTTTGAATTTAAAAAAATCAAAAAGCTCTAAAATTCAAAACAGTAATTCATCAAAAATCAATGAGATTTCCCTAATTTGATTAAATTTACTATTAGATATATACATTTTAAGAAAACTCAATATGATATAAATACATTGATCTTGATGAAAAATTGGTAAAATACAAAATTGAATAGAAACAAAATAGAGTCAATTGTATCTCCAGATAATCCAATAAAACGTTTCAATTATATTTCAGATTGGTGTTGTAATGCTGATTGTTGCGCTTGCCACAACGCATTGGGCTACCATTGACTTCCAGAATTCGGATTTCGATCAAGTACAAGTCGATTTAGGAGTTTGGGGAGAATGGCGTACGAAAACCAACACGCGCGGCCAAACTATTGGTTAATTTTTCTTATAATCAATTTCTTGAACTAACGACCTACTTTGAAACACACACACATACACTAATGAATGTCTAATTAGCATTTTTAGCATTTTCTGAGTTAATTACATGTTTCCGCTGAGTTGACTACATGTCTTTTTTAAAAAATTGATCCAGTTGTGTGCAAAACGTCGACCAATTGAAAATATTTAATAGAAACACTTTATTGCATCCAGATGTGTAAGCAGATAAATGATTTTTGCATTTCAGTTGAATGGATCCCACACTTTCCATCACCACCGGAGCACGTTTTGCGGCTTTCTCATACGAGTTTAAAACGTATGTTCAATGAAAATGATCGGGGGAAGATAAATAATGCAAATATTTCATATTGTAAATTGAAATTTAATTATTCAGATTATTATCGTTCTCAAGCAGCCATGGGCGTTATCTCAATGATCCTTCTCTTGAGCACCAATCTCCTGGCAATCTATACCTTCTACCATCATCGTTATATGTTCAAACGTGTTGTCGCTTGTCTTTATATTGTAATTGGTAAGTTTCATCTCAACATTTAGCAACGATTAAGAGTGTGATATAACGAAAAAAAAAGATAGCAGTTGGTCATTTGTCATTTTTTTTTCTTCTACGAGACTTTCGAAACTTTTGTTATGAGTTAAACGCTGTATCATAATATCGCAAGTCTGTTGGGACTTCAAAAATATGTCGATTCTTGGCTTTGAAGTTGTCGAAAAAAGAAACAATGCTAGAGAGTAGAATTCTTTTTTTTTTTTGTTACAGCTATGGTCATCTATGCAACCATTGAAATTCTCTCGAATAGCATTGATGAGTGGGACCTTCGAAAACGACAGGTGTTCCGAACTAAATTCAACATTTATGATTGAATTATTTAAGGAAGAGGATGAAACCGATTATGAGACCGAAAAGAAAATGGGCTATTCCACAAGACTTGCACAGTGTGTTATTGGGATCTGCGTATTCGCTGCATTCTGTTTCGCCATCGGATCCCATAAACAAAAAGGAGATGCTGCAGCAACCGCCGAGCTCGAAATTGAAGACAGAGAATACCATATTGGACGATAAATACTAAAATTGCCTTATTCCGTTCATAAACCATCCACAATTCATTCCTAAATATGATATGATGACATGTATCACCTTATCATATATTGACACTACTGATAACTTTTCTTCAATATTCCTTTTTTCATATGTCGGTTTTTGGATTAATACCCATTCAAGTCTATGTTCTATGTATTTATAGAAAAACGCAATATTTCAAAAACCGCGTGATGAGACGTTTGATCGATGTTCGTTCTCTTTCCTCTTCATCTCTCAACAAATGAGTTATTAATTATTATGTGCCTTTCTCTACATATTCTCCCCCCCCCCCCCCAACTTTATTTTGACCTTATGAGTTTATCATAACAACAAAGCTTCTTCACTATACAAACCAAAATATGTATATTTGTGATCAAATGCATAAAAGTAGGAAATTAGAATTTGTATTTTTTCTGAAGTGTAATAATTATTATAAGTTGATAAAATAATTAAATTTAACAGAAAACAAAAATTTTAACTAACAGTTAAATGAATTGAAATTCATGAGGAAACATTGCGGAAGTTTTTCCAAAACTGGTTCTGACTTTGTTGTTTCAGAAAACATTCACACTCGTTCTCAAAAATTACCATTCTAAATGTCGCAGATTTCATCTTTTCAGCATATATATTATATTTGTATATATATATATATATTATATTAGCAGGTATTTGTATTCACTAAAATATCTTAAAACTCAAAAAATGGTTTAATTGCTATTTATGAGAATTTTCTTTTGATTTTCATTTTCTATTCACTATAGAAATAGGGTCATCTCGATGCAAACATTATTATTCGATCCCTTTCGGAAACAAAAATTTGATATTGTTGCGTGCTTGCAAGGGGTGACAACAGCGGTTTTAATTGAAAATTCTGACATCTTTTCGGAAATGTTTACCAAGTTTATTTAATTAAAATTCACATCACCTGAGCATATTCCTATTTTTAGAAATAATCGAAACACACATGTGAACTGAATTCTTCATTTTGAAAAAAAAATGATATCTCGTTGATTTCTTGATCTTTAGACCTGCACGTTGTGAAGTTTTAAGTTGATAAAATGCTCCACTTAGACTACGGAAAAAATGAACTTCGAACTACATTGAACTGCACTACATTTACCCTAATTTCAGAACATGGGTTTTTTCAAGAAGGTGATCACTTTCATTAAAAACCTAAGGATCACTGTGGAGCCTTTGATACTCATTCTTGCAGCATGCAATACTGCCATGTAAGTGTTTACATACATTCTTTTAGTGTACTGTGAATTAAATTGGAATGTATACTAAAGAGCAAACACTGGAAATGAGAAAAAAAATGGGAATGAAATGAGAAAAGCGTTCAGAAAGAGGCTTCTTGAGAAACGAAAACAAATGGAAATTTCGGAAAAATAAATTCGCTATAAAATTAATTCTAGCTTACAGTTCTAGCTTACAGTGGAATTGTATCCCCTGGATTGAAGCAGGCCAAAATGGTACGTACTTATCCAGCACCGCCAGATCTTCATGGCAAAGCTCTTGCCAAATATTACAACAAAAAAATGGTTATGTGGGATAATTACTACGAATATGTTAATTTACCTATTGCATGCGTATTTGGTGTTGTTTATGGTTTGGTTAGAAATTTTTTTTGAAAATATCACCAATATGAAATTTACAGGAGCATATAGTGATCATCGTGGCAGAAAACTTCCATTACTGATTGGTATCGTTAGTGTTCTTGTCTCCAATCTTAGTATGTCCCCAATATTTTCGCAGTGATACAATTATTTTAGTGAATTTTTTAATGTATAATGAAAAAACTGACCTATCTTTGCATTATACCTATGCAACAGCTGCGGTTGCTGGTATCCTCGGCGATTTCCTTCTAACTATGAGCTGTGTTAATGCTTATGTTGCTGACGAATTTGAAGACAAAATACAGGTTCTGAAGAATTAGCAAAAATTATATTAATATATTTATTTAAGCTCTCCTACCGTATGGTAGTCGTTTCAATTCTTTTCAGTTTCGGTTCTTTTCTTTCATCACGATTTGTTCGTCACTTGATCGACTGGACTTCAAAACCAGTTGTAATGCTTATTGCTGAAGGTGGCAATATTTTTCTTTGCACATTTCATAAATCATAATGTGTATGTAGGTGGATATTTGCTTAGTTTCGTGTTGGCTTTGATCATTCTTCGACAAAAACCACCGCGAGATCGAAACGCGTTGATAAAATATGAGGATAACACCAGCGATGTATCTCAACTACCAATTGAAACGGAAGAGTTCGATAGTAATATTTCGATGATCCATTATACACAAAATTTGTAGGAGTTTGGCTGTTTTGATCAAACGTTCATTTTTGTCTCTTTACGATTCTGCAAAAATATTTGTTGCGCCTCGGGATGGGCACGGCCGTCTGTTCCTTTATCTCTGCTTCGGAGCCAATTTCTTGGATCAATTTGTCTGGGGAGAGGAAAAAGGTGATTTGCAAATTATTTATTGCTGACGATGATATTATCCCAAAAAGCTCTAAGGATTACTTGGTACGTATGTTAGACTGCCACCGTTTAATTGGAATACAAAAACGTACGCCAGTTATAGATCATGGCGACCAATTGTTCGTAAGTAATGAGAGGTAATATATTACAAAAATATTAGTTCAGAGATCGCTGGAATGACAATTGGCGTCACGTTTTTTAAGAGATTGTGTAAGCTCCGCGATACCGTGATAATTGTGTTTGCCATTTTAAGCATGGCGGGATGTGTGCTAATGATTGGACTGGCTCAGGTATAGAATCAAATAGATTATTAAGAAATCTCCTATCATCTCCTCTTAAGCTTTAATGATTAATCCAGAACTATTGGTTATTTGGTTGAAAGCATACATTGATGACATGCATATGCATTTGAAGACGTATGCACTTTCAGTAGATTAATTGATGCATTGAAATTCTTGTGAGGAATTGCTCCCAATAAATGTTGAATAGATCGAGAATCGCTGATTAGTCTTTACGAAATAAAGTTGAATATTTGGCTTATGGAAAAAACAACCATTTCTTGAATTGATAGCGAAACTCGAATGAATGTAGACTTCCTCGGTGGAATTGTTCGTTAAGCGAAAAATCAAAATTAATATCCCCGATTGAAACGATAAGCATAGCGGATTGCTTTAACGTGGTTCGCGGAAATTGTGACGCAAATCGAATTTCCCTTATTTTTATAATTATCTCGCCCAACGTTTGAAACGAAAATTGTGGTGACATTTAAAAAGAAAAATCATGAAAATAAAGTTTGAAACGAATCCCTGGGAACATTTTTTTTCAATTATTTCAGGCCTCATGGATGATATTCGCGAGTTTGGCCCCCGGAAGTTTGCATGGATTGCTGAACCCGATGTCCTACACATTTCTTTCTTGTATTGTTGAAACCGATGAGGTTGTTTGTGCAAAAATGACGAATTATACATGCATATTTGACAGATTGGAAAAGTCTACGCAGTGAGCTCAATTGCCCAGAAGCTAGCAGGAATTGCTCAAAGTCTTGTATTGCAGAACATTTATATTATAACCGTTGACTGGTATCAAGTGAGTGGTTAATAGGAAAATGCAGAGAAAATAAGAAAAAAAAAGATAAATTTAATGCAAAAAAACGAAAAAAAAAAAGATTTTTCCATTTTTTAATTTTTTTTCTACATTTGCCCTTAAACGATTTATTGTTTTTTATGTTCACAATAATTTTATTTCAGGGCTTCGTTTGGCTTCTTATGGCTCTTATCGCTTTTATTGCCGCTGGCGTGTACTCTGTCGTTCACATTGTTGCAAAAAAAGAAAATATTGGCTCATGAATGAACTCAAAATAAAGAATTGTTAGAGTGTGTTTGAAATACCCAAAAAAAAGATCCAGAGAAGAGATTTTTTATTTATTGAGAAGGAGACTCGAAAGGCGGCAAAGTTGCAGTGCGAAATGTCGTCACGGTGTGTGCACTGACCCCGTTTCGCCTACACGTGCAATGCATATTCGCGTTTTCATTTAGTTTTCTAAGCTCATTCGATTGATATAAGATGATTTTTGGTCATTTTGATTCAGTTATTTGATTAATCCCATTTTGCATGAGACAAGTTTTATCGAATTTTGCTTTTCAACGTGTCGCCAACAAAAATTGTCGCGGACGCGTTAATGAAACGACGCAAAACATTTCGTATGGTGTCGTGATATCAATCACTTTTTGTTGTATGGTCGTGTCAAGCAACGCACCTTTTCTTTGGGAAAGAGCATTGCATTGCTGCCCTCTGAACAACTTTTCACTTTTCACATGATTACGTTGTCTCTCATGCACAATTTCCAACTACTTCATTTACTTTTTTTTATTCATTCTGTTCTTTGCGTGATTCTTTTCTTTCGACCTCCTTTCACCCTTTTATGGCATCCATTCGGTTCGAAATAAAAAGAGGTCGTTTGAAATGATAGCGTTTTGCCACGATAAATGATTTGCGGAAAATGTTCATCATTTTCCATCTGCAAACTTTGAACATATTTGAGTGACATAATGTTAACGTAACATTATCTAGAATCAAATTATATGATTTATAATCTTCTAATCACCGGATAATAATATGCAACAGAAAGAAACAGCCCGTATTTTGCTTTTTTTCTTCGTGTCATCTCTGTTCGCAGCAAGTAGGGAGGGCGCAGAACGTGGCGAGAGGCCAGTCAAGAGCGGCAGAGCTCAGAGCCCGCCCACAAATCAAGCGTTTTTTTGCGGTTTGTACCACAGCGGAGCAACGAATCCAATTCGTTCGCTCCTTCCTTCCTTCTTTCCTGCGTGCCTACGCGCCTCCCCCATTTTCACACCTCATTCTAATATTCTCGCGGGGTCAAATATGGGTCGCAAGTTCCGGACAATCTGCCGGTCATTAGTCCACAGTGCATCGTTCGTTCGCAAAGCGAAAGCATCACGTTCCAGACAACGTAGACTTCGAGCAGGAATGGCCGAGTCCGGCGGAGTTGAAAAAAAACGGGGAAAACAACCACTCAATTCGCGGCTATCAATCGATCGCAGCGCAATTTTTAAGCTAATCGAAGAGGTCAGTTCGATTTTCATACGTTTGCATGCGCGAATCGGCGTTTTTTTTTTCAAAGAATAAGAACCAAATAATCATCAAGAATTCATAGATTACTTCCGATACAGCATGTGCCCTTAATTGAAAGCGAATTCGAATTCAAAGGTTTTTTTTCGCTATGGAATTAGCGTGGGCACATGCAGTTTGTAGCCTACATACTATTTCTTGTATTTGCACTTTGCGTATCCGGAAATTGCGTGTTTAATTTGCGGAATACTAGTGTGAAATATGCAAAATAGGGGGGAGCTGTAATATCATGAATATATGTTTTCATTTCAGTTGTGTGCTGACAATGCGGCACATTTTGCGAAAGCGTTGGAATCGACTTCCGGATTATACAGTGAGCGAATGCCGGCGGTCTATCGTAATCTGCAGGAATCGATTGCACAATTGAAAGGTGATTTGATGAAACGCGTAGGTGTTGGGAATCAATTTAATTGATCTAGAAAACATCAAGGCTCTGCAAACGCTTGCTCCAAAATATGATTATGATGAAAAAACGCCGGGAAACGGATACAGGTATGAATTGTACAATTTATTTACTTGTGTGGGGGGAATGGGAGGTGATGCCGCTGACGCACCATGGTTTGCCCGAACAAATTCATGCCACTTTCTATTAGTAAAGAGGGGGGGGGGGTTGGGGTTAGAGAAAATCGTAAGCATACATGTTTTCATTATAAAACTGCACATGACCAAAAAGAAACCAATAATATAAAATGCTACAAATTATTTTCAGATCGCTAGTTTGCATTTGCGACACAACCCTTCTTCACATCGTTTCCCTGCAAAAATCAGTCATTGAGCAACGCGGGTCGTTCGTGTTCCGTTTATCGCACTTTTGCAAAGAGCTCGAATCATATGCGGCCGTTGTCGATTATTTGAATCATGCGATCCCAATTGTAAATTTTTGCGGCACTTCTATTTTCATTCATCTATTCTTTCATTCGCAAACAATGTTTTTCAGTGTGTCGAGAGTGAAAAAATCACCAATGGGTCCTTATTTCCGCCGCTCGACGGCGACTACGACAATTATCAAAAAGTGCTACACGAGCTCGAAAAAATGGACTCTTCCGTGTTTTTTGGAAGACCTCTGGGATTTCAGGTACGAGGGCAAAGTGCATTTCTAGCAGATTGAAATTGTTTTTCTGTTTACAGTTTTCGCCTTCGATTAACAAAATTTTCCGCGTTATCGGCATCGTGCTCGCTACATACAGTCTGTCATGGGAGAAGGGTCACGGTCCAATTGGATCGCTTATCAATACTGGCCGCTTCTTTCTGAGTCCCGAGCAGCGAGCATCGAGAATCATCAAAGTAATCAACAGAATGGGAAATAGCGATTCATTAAAAATAATGATGTCTTCAGGTTACTAAGGAAGCAGATATTGATTTTTGCAAAGGATTCTGGAATCTCTCAGAGCTCAGTAACGTAATCTATAATTAAACACGAGAAGAAGCCATAATTTAATGCCTTTAGAATATGCCGAAATTCTTTTGTCCAAACATGGCTTTGAACGAATTACGAGAGATCCCACTTAACGGGCCAATTCACATGGAAGGGTGCAATGGAAACACGGTGTTGGTCATGGAACCATCGGCGCATACTGGTCCAAGACCAGTGCAATATCGGGTTCTCTCGGCGGTACATAGGCAAAACATGGTTTGATATACATTGAAAATAATACAAATTTATTTAATTTTTGCAGTCTTCCTCTCCGCTCTCCACTACACACCCTCCCTCAAAATATTTAATTTTTCATTGTCATGGAGGTGGCTATGTGGCAACTTCGAGCAAATCTCACGAGGTGTTTCATTTTAAATTTAGCCCAACAATTTTATAATATAATTTTAGACATATCTCCGCCAGTGGGCAAAGGCGTTGAATTGTCCAGTGGTCTCTGTGGAATATTCATTGGCACCGGAAAATCCGTTTCCAAGACCTACGGAAGAAGTGCTTTTTGCTTACTCTTGGATTATAAACAATCCGGCGGCAGTTGGTACGGTTCTGTTTCTTTCTATTTCGTGCGTATTTTTTTTTCGTGTTGCACACACAGATATGCTCAATAACAATTATGAACGTTTGAAGGTTGGACAGGCGAGAAAATTGTAATGATTGGCGACTCCGCGGGCGGAAACCTAATTATGTCTGTAAATATCAGATTGATTCAATTAAACATCAAACGAAAGCCGGATGGCCTGATACTGTGCTACACACCATTTTTGTTCCAGGTATCAAATTTAAATACCCAAAATCGAGGGATTAATTGATTTAGTATCTGCTGTCTCCTTCGAGAATGATGAGTGCTATGGACCCATTACTTCACATGGGTGTCGTTCTTCGTTGTGTTGTTGCATACACTGGAGGATATAGCGCGCAACTCAACAATAACAAGATCAAGAGCTCTTCATCCAACTTGCAAATTCAGGAGGGTTCCTCGACACATCGTTCACTTCAGGAATATGTCAATGAAGTTCAAAAGACCAAAGTGGATTTCTCGGTTGGTGGAGAAGAACACTTGAAGCTAATTCGCGTTTTCTTATAGGGCGGATCTCAGTCAATTGTCTCTTTGGTTCAAAAAGGTCATGATAGTATTTCATACCCGCATTCCAAAGGAAAATCGTACTATAAAAAAGAGAATGGTGAAGGGAAGGAAGATGACGAGGAGTCAAGTCCAGCGACAAAAACTGAATTATCCGAAGAAAGTGATGATGATGCCTTCGAAACAACAAGCGTTGCCAGTTGTCATGTAGACGCCGATCCTTTTCATATCCAGCTGAACTCAACAATTTATGACGGTCATTTGGTGGAGTTCCTTAGTCATCATCCGATCACTAAGAAGTAAGTGTTCCTGGTTGGATAATGTGCGAATGTGTTTCAAACGTAAAAACCGAGACCAATTGACTTACATGTTATTGTGTGGCCAATTATTTTTTTTCGTTTCATGTTAAACCACATTTGGTTTTAATTTCAGCGCTCTCAATATTGGTGATGACGACCTGGATGACGACGACATTGAATTGATGGAAAAAGAACAAGTTGAACAAGGAGTCGAAGCCACGTATGTTCCCTTTTTTGGACACCTTCAATTTGTTCGAAAGAGCGCCGAGCCGCGCACTAATTATGTGGCAAAAACGACAAACGTTTTTTTTTCTAGAGAAATAATGACGATTGATGAGGAGAATGAAGATGTCGACGAGGAGAAAAAAGAAGAAACTGCCTCTGCTCATAAAACATCCGTTAGCGACTCGATAACGAAGCGCCCGCGATTTTTGCAATTATTGAGCACGGTGACTTCTCGTGAAAAGGACACCCCTCAGACAGCGCCGTCGACACCGGCTCATGTTCCAGCCAAACAACTCGTTAGTAGCAATTCCATGAATGGCTTCCATTCATCAAACCCGGTAATTTATTATATGACAATTTCATGAGAATGCGAAAAAAAAACAACCGAAAAGTGCCAATTACGATTGAAAAATTGTAAACCAATTTCGAAAATTGAGAATAAACCCGACTATTATAAGAAGTAAATGTTGAAAATATTTTAGATCTATAAGCGATCTCTATCGCAAAGTTTGGCCGACACTGCTGCTTCAACTGCGGCTTATGCATTTGACAATCTTCAAGAATGGCTTGAAAGACCGAAAGAGAGAACAAAACTTGATCGAGCTGCATCTAGAAAAGATGACTCCGACAATGAGTCTGTTGAAGAACCGAGACCATCTCATTTGCTGGAACTGATCAATAGCTCAACTGTTCCGCGAGATCCTCTCATTTCACCAATGTATGCTGATGATGAGACTCTTCAGCTGCTTCCACCATGTTACTTTTTGGTATGAACATATAGAAATAGAAAAATTATATATATATAATTCCATAATTTTTAGGCGTGCCATATGGATCCACTACTTGATGACACCATAGCGTTTGCCAAGAAAATGCGAGATGCTGGTGGAAAAGTGGCATCGGTTGACATTCTATCCTCGGTTCCGCATGGATTCCTAAACTTTACTCTTATTTCTCCAGAATGCAAGCGAAGCGGAAAAGTTTGTATAAATCGCCTTAAAGAGGCATTGGGCATCCCAGTAGATACTGAATCGTTGTAAATTTCTGGTTACTCATTTTTTTGTATATGGACGGTGCATTGTTAACGGATTTCTTTTAAATATTGCTTTTACGAGATGATTATTTAAATCAGTTTATGGACCACTTCTGCATTCTTTATTATTTCTAACATGAGTTGTATGTTATGAACCGCTAAGTTCCTCGTGTCATCATACTTTCCAAATTCCTTCTTGTCGATGTATATTTCCCACCTCCAAGGCTTTTCCTGACATAAAGGATGCCATATTTTGAATAGTAAATCACGGATAACATTTTGGATTTTTCTATTTATTTTATCTTATGAATCATGCATTCAAATGGATTATAACGTCAAAAAAAAGAGGACGATACGAGATTCTCAATGCAGACAGAAAATACGGCGCCAGTGAATAATCCGATCATCAAACAGCACGCTGAAAGTTGAGCAGCAAAACGAGAATGGTGCATGTCAACTACTCTGAAAGTGGTAAATTTGAACAATTTCAAACCAATCTCGGGCTACTTTGGGCAATAAGACATCGCGAGAGAGCTGAGGTAGCCATGTGTGAATGACATTGCAATTACCGCAAAAACGTAAACTTCTGTTGCTTAAATTATGCAATTAACGATTTTACTATTTTGAAAAGGAAATAAACATACAATGGATAATGACGGGAAAAGTTCTGGTATCTGGACGATAATTGCAGAAAAAGAAGATTGGCACGAAAAGTGCTCGAGCTACAACAGCATATACCATATTTTTGGCCGATGGCTGTAAAAAACGTTGATCAAAATTCGTGAACATCGGTTAATATTTTACCCAGTGAACTTTGGAAGCGGCAATGGCTCCAATTGTGGCAAACAAGTTAAACGCAACGAATGTGGTGATGAGAGTGAACACTTCATCGATGGCTTCGTCGGATAACAGTTCTGAAATTGAATAATTATCAATATCAATTTTCTCAGTTTTCCAACATTCAATGGTTTTTTCGATTACACCGGACCCTGTTCGTTTTGTGGCTGTCATTACAACTGGAAATACCGTAAGAGTGATAGCAAACGTGAACCAGACATTAAAAAGTTGACCAAAGCACTGAAATTGAAAATTTTGCTAGCATACAACTATTTGTTTCTATTCACCGCTTTGAACGTTTCCCATAAAATTGGCAGCGACGGCTTATGAGTCTCAGCTTTCATTCGAATTTCGATTCCCTTTTCATGGTAGAAGTGATAAAACTCCTGGAAATCTCATTAAATATATGCACACATTCTATCATTTATTTGTTTGCCTGTTTGGTGATTGTGAGCAAAGCCAATCCACACATTATCAAAATTGTCAGTGAAATGCTAAAATAGATAATAGCGGTGAGCTTGACATCCTCTTTCATCACTAAAATTTCAAACCCCAATTAGTCTACATTCCATTTATTATAAACTGACATAGGGTCACTGCAAGTTTGAGGAATGAAATCATTAATCCGCACATGTTGTTTCCAATGAGCACACCACTCGTGTATTTGTGAGGAAAGTCAGCAAAAACCCCAAAAACGGAATTCTCGTAAAGACCGTTACTGAAGTTGATGAACATCACAATGAGCAAGGTTATCCAGAAAAACCAGGTCATCCCTATTTTGATAATATGATTAGGTTCGCATTTACAAAAATGAATAGCACCTCCAATGGATGGATCGACGAACAGAACCAGAAGAAGAACCGCGCCCACATTGAATATATTAAAGCACACTGGAGCAAACACGCGATAAATCAATGGACCTCTAAAAATGCAATCAAGCTTATTTGATTATGTTTGCAAATATTGATATTTAAAATTAGAGAGCAAGTCCCTTCGAGTTTTTTTTTTCAGACAAAACTACTTACCCAATGATGAGGAACAAGTTGATTACATTTATCGTTGCATTAGGAAGTTGGGACGAAACAGTGAGAAGACTCATAAACTTTTCGGAATACCACGTCTCATTACCATCAATTTTAAACCAATAGTTGACGTAATACTAAACTATTTACATCAAAATCATCAATTAACTCTGACGATTTAACCTCTGGTGCAATTGTTATAAACATATTCCAAGGCATCAGAACACCAAACCCAACAAGCATGACTAGTATAAAAACGATGTTGCACTGAAAATTTAATTTATTGATTTTTAATCATTGATTAATTACTTACCCGATCATTGGGAACATATTCGTTATCCGGGTTATCATTTTCAAAACGATTTGAGTATACCATTGCCTGCAAAAAAAATTGAAACAAATGGCTATCGAATTAAAATGGCCAGTGAGCGCCAAGAAGAGATACCCTTCGTTGGCTCGATTTTTCGCGCGCAACGAATAGATCTAAACATGTTTCGGCCGGAGTGTCGTTGTTTTATTTTTGTTTTCAAAAATATTTATCCTGTTTTTTTGTTGTTTTTCTCTCGTTCTTAAGCATTTTTATTGTTTTTTCTTTGATTTAATATTAATAAATATTTTTTTAGAAGAATGGACGATTCTCGCAAAAAATGGAGCAATAAAAGGCGAAATTGCAGATGTTTCGAAGACCACAAAAGAATTTTTGAAAAAGTGAACTGAAGGCACTGGTGTGATCATTGAATATGATATTGGTATGCTCCTTATGTTATTGTCTAATTCAAAATGCGTTACGTTACAGAGCCCGTATCGGTTGCATTCATCTAATATGAATGATGTTCTAGACATAATTTCAGTAAACCATGCTGGAAAATGTGTAAGAACAAAGTTTTTCCTCTGCAAATTATGTAAAAAGGTATTATCATGCTAGAGAACCCGATACCTTCAAGGGCGAGAATCCGCGCGGAAATGGAAACCCGTATGAATTCGATGATTGGAATGTAGAGGAACATGTAAATTTCAGAAAATAAAAAATGCAAAATTGTTTTTTAGATCCGGAAATCTTTCCAATCATTGAGCGCTTCAGTTTTTATTGATTTCGGAAAAATAAACATGATATACAGCGATTAAAATGCTTATTCCTCACTGATGAAGTGAATGGCCCCATGGAATGCAAAAGGAACGTTATGCCGATCGCAGCAAAAATTGTGACGGAAGGAGGAAAAAATGGAGAAAAAGTAATTAGTTTTCATAAAAGTAAAAATTCATTGTTTTTTTAGATTGTTTCTTTAGTATCGGAATTTTTTCCCAATTACGGAATTACAAACTTCGATGCGAAGAAAACAATTCTCGTCGCTGATGGTGCGAAAAATATGATGACTGCCGGAAATGCATATATTTTGATTGGAAGTATAGCTGTAGAAAGTTTTTCAGAAGGATCACATAGGAATTCATTATTCGCTTCCATATTATATAGCAATTCTAATAAAATACCAAGCTATATATACTGATACGGCAAATCTGGAAGTATATTTTCAATGCTATAATTAAACTATGTACATTTTATTTCAGGAACTAAAAACAATTGCTCGTAGTGCATTCGAATCTTGTTACAAGAACAATTCAAATTATAGTGCGCTACACTTTGCGGCTACGTTTTTATCGCCAATCAGCGTCAATATGGATATTTTACAAAAAAAAGGATGATCTTAATGTAATTTACATATTTTAAATAATACTAATAGAAAAAATTTCAGCTGCCTTGGTCTGAAGAGCAGGAAACTAGGAATTACATTATATCCATGCACAAGACATGTTTCGCATCAAATAATGATGATAACTGATGTTATTTGCGAATGTGCATTATGATAATCGGATTGTAGTAAGATATCTATTAGTTTTTTTTTGAAAATCCCTGCATATCAATAATGTTTCGAGGATTGCCAACCAATATCAATCGATCTTCGTGCACACACTTGTTAACCAGAAGGCACTAACCAAATGACGGATAATGTGACAAATGAGAGCAAGCCGCTTTGTAATTGGTTGCTTCGTAATTTGTCAGTCATCATTTACCCTGTGGTTGGCAAATGGCTTCTCAAAACTTCGCCGGGTTTTTTTTTCTGCTGATTATCGACAATGACAAACGAGCGGTTCACTCAACAACAAAACGTGTAAAGAGGGCTCAAAACGAAGCTTTCACAAAGCATAAAGAATCCTACTGTAATTGAACGATTGAAAAATTGAATTCGCAGCTAATTGAGAATCCATTGAGTGGGCATCAAATAAATTAATTCGTAACGCCGAATTCTTATATAATCCTTCATCCAATAACATTTTTTTTCATTAATCCATTAAAAAATAATTGTTGACTTAATATTCTTGATTCCTCATTAAAAAACAGAATATTTACATTTATTGAATGGATTGAGGTCAGTTTTATCTAGAAGCGGCCAAAACCAATCTATGCGATGTGTAAAACATAAAACGCGCACCCTTCCGAAACAATTTAAGTTATTTAAATATACATTTGTTCAGTCGTCTACAAACTACAGACAAAATGTATTTCAAAATTCGTTGTTTATTTTCAACTTAATTATTTACAAAAGCTTTTTCTGATCACTCAAAATTTAATTTTATATCTTTTTTTCTGTTCCTTGTGGCTCCTAAGAATTTTCTCACCAAACGCCGCACTTTGGCATCTAATCAAAAACGCAATAAACAGACCTACCGTAAATGAGTTCGATTCGACTTCGCATTCGGCGTGATCAAAAGCCGGCAGCTGTTATAATGTTAGGCTTGCGCTATGTATTACTCAGACGAGTTTCCCATAGTCGTTTATCCAAATGTTGTGCTCTTCACCCCATAACCACACTCATTGGTCATCCGGTGCGGTTGGTTGAGGAGGCGCAATTCAAAAAAATCGCATTTCTTTAGTCAATCATCACACATTCAATAAACGAGCTTTCCTCTCTTTGAGCTCATCCTCATCCCATTTCTCATCTTCGAGATTCAGAACAGCCGGAAGCTAACCAATTACAGTACCCTGTTCGAGATTCTCATATCAATGGGTGAACGCATGTCTGCGTTTGCGATGCTCAAGAGCATTTGAAATCGAACAAATAATTTCTCAAGGGCATTTCTTTTAATGAAAATCTTGATGCATTAGCTGAAGGAAGCGAATCTTGTCATAATGATTTGATTAGAAATTCAACATATGCAAAATATTGGGGGGGGGGGGTGAAGGCAAATTTTCCGAGTGCGCAATAAAATTGTTGCCCTCCTCCGTCGACACATCTGATGATCCCATCCGTCTGCTTTCAATCATCATTATGATTTTGTTGCAATGCGCACAAAAAGCATTGTTCGTCATTTATTGAAGTCTCAACACATCAATATATATATATATATATATATATATATATATATATATATATATATATATATATATATATATATATATATATATATATATATATATATATATATATATATATATATATATATATATATATATATATATATATGTACTATATGAATTATAGGAAAAGATGAGTCCAACCGGAAATTAATAAGCGTCAAGAGCAACACTTAAAAGGGATAATTATTATGTATTAGAAGTACTAATCAGGGAATTAATGCATGAATAATTATCATAGATTTTATGAAGAAAAAAACGGGGAAAATGAATTGATTATCACCGGAAAACTTGAAGATTTGTGCGTTTCGATATTATCAAAGGATACAAATTTCCGGTTACAAAGATTATTACGCAAGCGGTTAATTTATGTATCTACATCATTTGCCCGCACATCAGATTAGGATATTTTTAGAGGTTCGACAACCCCAAATTAGGAGAAGCTTGAATTTAGGAGTAACCCAATTTTTGTTGCATTAGAAGGGTGTTCAGGTTGTATAGCGCGAAGGGTACGGAAACCGCTGCTGACGTTGACAGTGGCGAAGACATCATTCGTTGATTTATCGGTTGGAGAAGCGACGGAATAAGCTGAAAAATGGATTTTGAATTATTTCTTTGAAGACAGGTCGTTACCAATGGATTGATAGCGGAACCATTGCTAGAAGACGGGCTTTCCTTCGATGTTGTTTGCTCATCAGAAGACGGCGGAGTTGGTGGTGAATTGGCGTCAAGTCCTGGGTTATGCTTTTTCCATTTGGTGCGCCGATTTTGGAACCAAATCTTGACTTGTGTTTCGCTCAAACGCAATTGCATTGCAAGGTTGAGGCGCTCGCAAACGCTCAAGTAACGAGACGTCTGAAAAATTGTTGTTTACATCTCTCAAAATTTTAAGGCGATTATACCTTGAACTTGTTTTCAAGAGCAACTAATTGCTCATAAGTGAATGCAGTTCTAGACCGTCTTGTCTTAAGAGGTTTTGTAGCAGGTTTTGATTCTAGAAAATCAACATTAATATAATTTTATACAGGCAAATGTGTACCAGTATTTTCATGTGCTGGCTTCGAAGTATCATTGATCAACTCCGCTGAGAGTAAATCTTCGACACGAAATCCGCTCATGATTTGCTCTAAAACCGAAATGTTAATGCAAATGTTTCCATTTTAAATAATGAGGTGTTAGTTTTGCATAATGAATTTGGGTTTTGGAGGTATGAGCGCTTCTCTCAATCGTGTTGAAAGAAAACATTGAAACGAGCAAATGTAACAAGTGGAAGATTAATTGAGATTGATCTGCTATGACATCAATCCGTGGCGGTAAAAGATGAGTCGAGAAATACGATGAGTTGATTGAACAAGTGGAGGAGACTGGGAACAATGGGGCGGAGTCGCGGCGAGCATTTTGATTGGGTGAGAAGATCCGCCGACAATTTCAACCACCTTGATTCACTTTTCCAATTCTACACGATCTTACCTCCACCTTACCTATATATTTATGTATAATGAATGACGTTTTCGTTCTTCCTCTCATCAACTAATATATTTATGCACCTGCCTAATATATTTAATATACTTCTTCATGTGAATTTAATTGAAAAGGAAGGGTTAGAGATAAATTTTCGGTTTTTAATAGTAATTTAATGGTTTCATGCAATAAAATTTTAAAAAGATGAAGCAAAAACTATTGAGAAAGCCGCATAAATTCAATGTTTTCACATTCAGTGGGCGTGTGTAACTGATATTCATATAATTTCAACATGTTTCATGAAAAGACAAAAATCAAATCAGCGAATAGCTAACAATGAAAAAAAAATTAATACGGCAGAAACTGCTCCGAAGCGAGCGATTTGACTGCGATGTATAGTTTATTAATAAAAATACGTCCACTAAAAGAGTGGAATAATCGTAGGCTTATGAAAATCCGAGCTTTGCTGATTCAAGACAACTTATCATCTTCAAGTGTTAACTTCACTCTAATTAAAATAGTGTATAATCGGATACCTTGGCTTAAAAGGGGATTTGTATGTTTTCCATTGGCTTCGAAACGTGTTGGTATTATCAATAAACTTGTATAAAATGTGGGCTTATAAATTCTCAATATTTTTTGACGAACTCACCCAACTATTATCTACCAAAAGAAGTGTTGGATAAAATAAAACTTTCAAATAACAAATGTTGAATTCTAAACATACAAATTTAGCCTCGATAATATGTACATTATGTGAAACCACATCTAACAATTTGAGTTAATCATATGTGTTGAACCAAACCTATTTGGGTTCATAACCTATACTTATGGTGAAAATTAATTCTCGAAATTCAATTAAATAACACAATTTTGTCTGTTGTTTGATTTCATTTATTGAAAATATAGTAATTTTATATTACTCAATTATTTTTGCACCTGCCATATTCATCGTATTTCCTATGTCTTTTTTCGAGCCTAAACAAGATTTTCGATGTCGATGTGCTATTAAAGGGCATGATTATATATGTTGAGATGTGCTTTGCTGTTGCACGAAACTTTTCGATGATTTACAAGAAACCTAGGCGCTAATATATTTTGGCCTTAACAGCCAGACTTGTGGGGAAAGTCGAATTGGACTCTTGGGAAAGTAACATTTTTCAGACCGACATTAATCATTTATTTTACTATGGGAATATGAAAGTTGCTTTAAAACAATGATTATTGGTCCAACTCCTTTTTGAAACATAATTCACTCTAAAGCAGACTACATAAAATTGAGTGATACTTTCGATTTGTTTTTATGAAATTTATAAGTTTAAATGTTGACGCATATAACACAATCATAATTTGATAAATCACTCAATAAAAATTTACCCCCCCCACCCCATATTTTATCAATAGTAAAAATCAAATAAATTATATAATCAAGAATAATGTGATTTTCGTTTATTTCTGTTTCAATATGTAATTTTCTCTTATTTAACGGATTTGCGTAAATCTCAAAGATTATTTTATATATTTTATTTTATAACATGCCTTAATAAAGAAATGCTATATAATTATATTTTGAGTTCACATTCACACCTTAGCATCAATAATCGTAATGTTTGTTTAATTAATCGTTTGTTTTTTCAAAGTATATGTGCATGTGCATGCCTAATGAACTTACCCATTTGCTTGTTGTAGTGCAGAATTTGCTGCAAGACGGTTGATTCCGAGCCAATAGGCATACTATAGCTGATGTTGCTACTGCTGCCGTTGAACATTTTCAAATGAATAATGCTGAACTTTTTTTGTTTATGTAGGCACAAACGTTGAATTCAAAACATGTTTAGTTGATTAATTATAAATAAAACCTGAAAGGAAGGAAATGAGACTGGAAAAAATACACAAGTGATTGACGTCGAAAATGAATTTAAAACACAAACATGAATAGATTTTTTAGGCGTGTAAAATGCACATAAATTAGTTGTATTGCTGTGTCTAATTTCCGCTTAACAAAATGTTTTTTTTTGACCCAAATGTTGAAATGTCGCGGAAACGCGTGCATAAAACGATCGTGAGAAGAAAAAATGAACTAATTATCACCACATGACACGCATAATTATGACTATTTTTGTTTCGATTTTCGCACAGATGTTAATCGGTAATGGCGACGAATAGAGAGAGACATTTGACTACTATACGACTTTTTATATTTACTGCGTAATTAATATTACTCATTTGGTTTAACATATCCAATTGAATGAGCATTATCATGGGATATACTAATCTAAAGAGTTGAATAGAAAAAATAATTAGACACTTAAACTGGGAAGTCGGTGAGATCGCTAAGGAAGAAGTCGTGCTTGAAGATGTTGAATGTTTTCGAAACCTGGCTGTCTTCCCGTTTTCGTTCCGTAATTTCCTGAAAAATCAAAATATTCTAAATAAATATAGAACGGGTGCAATTGGTTTACATCAACAGCCGACGCGATGCTGCTCAACTTTGTAATTCTTCCAGCATAATTGGGATTCAAATTGTCATATTGAACTGAGTAATAAGTATGCAATTCTTCAGCTAATCGGATTTCCACTTTATCCGCAATAGCCTTTGTAGCATCTGAGATTCCGGGTAGATCTCAAAATGAATTGCATTACTTTATTTGTCTGAAGCAGAAATGGACATACTAGAAACACTCCACATGATGCTCATCATCATGTACATAAGCTCATATTCGGTTGGTTGCAATTTCTTGAATGGATTGATAAAAATTAGCCGCACTTTATCCATACTGCCTTTAAGAAAACTGAAAAAAATGTTGTAATTTGAATTGTATGTTTAATTCAAACTTTTTGACTTGTGTGGCGTCCATATCACTAAAGTTTTCGAGTTTGACAACCGAAATTCCAAAATTAATAACTTGGCCATTCAATGTCACTCCTCTTTCATCGTTCAAATTGTAACCAAGTCTTTGACATGTCGCAAAACACCGGTCAAGTTCATAAAATCGCGTCCAAAAGTGTTTGAAGATAATCCACTGCAATTATGTTCGCATTACCCTCAATACAATTGTACTCTTTTGGTCACCTTCTGATCTTTAGGTAGCTGCGCAAAAACGCCAATAGACATACAAAATCGTGCGATATGCTCGATTTCAATATAGTGATTTTTCATGAACAAATCCATATCCAATGGCATGTTTTCAATGAGCTAAATTCTTTTTTAATAAAAAAATAATTGATGACTATTTACTTCATCTTGTTGAGGCCACATCTTGTTGTGCTTTTGGTACGCTAAAAGTGCCTGCTGGCATAGGGAAAGTGGTATTTGAGGTAGATCAATGAATGAATCCGGTGGCTGTAATTTGTTTAATTATAATTTTTAGATATAGACACCGACTTGGCTAAAGAGGTTGTCTATCGCCGGCGTTAAATAGTTTTGAACATTAACATGAAGATCTTGAGTTGCTTGTTGAGCAGCCATTGCAAATGTTTGGCTTCCTTCGCTATTTATTGGTGGAGACGGGTTAAATTGAGTCGGCGCTGTTGTAATTGGCGGAATATTTGGTATATACATTGATGAAGAAGATTGTTCTTCAAAAGTTGACAGGTCAGTATAAGTGTACTCGTTATGTTGCGTCGGGTACGTATTCGGCGTTGACATTGGCATTACAGCTCTCCCAACCTGCAAACAAAAAAATGATAACGACGCAATTCATTTCAGAATTCAAGCTATTTACCTCCTCGATCACAGTATGATGAAATGAAATATTTGGTTGATTCAAGTCGCCGTTTGGCTGATATACGTTATCAATATTTTGTGATTGCGAAATGTTTGGAGCCAGTATGAAAGGTGGAACGGGTCGATAAGAATATGATTCTGTCGATGAGTGTGGGGAATTACCAATGCTATCAGTTTCGGCTCCGGATGAGTCCTTCTCGATTTCCGATTTTCCTTGAACCACTAAATTACAAATCAACCGTATTGATTCAGTTATATAAATAATTTCATACTATCTTTGCGCATTCCAACTCGAAGGCATTTCTCAAATCGGCAGTATCGACAGGAATATCGTTTATCTGAAAATAAATCGGATATAATTTTGTTACAGAATTCAGCAAAAAATTGATTTTCAATTGTTTTTCGCACACATGAGTTTTTCAATAGAATTCATAAAGTGCATGTGTGTTATCTAATCATTTGCACACTATAATAAGAGTTGGTTAAACAGATATGCATATTTATTAGGGCAAGTATGAAAACTTACTAAGAGACACTTCACACTTTTTCAGGAACCGGCATTTGTATTTGAGGTCCATTGTAAGAGTTCGTCGAAAGAAAGCAGCACATGCCCGACAACATCGTATTCCAAAGTGTTGTCCATGAGCTTCAGTTTCGCAAACCAGACACAGCATTACAAAGAAATGACTTCTAAATATCTGAAATATGAAGTATTAAGAATTAATTGTCGAATCAAAGTTTAAAATGAAGAAATTGAAGGCAAGAAAAGGCTTGCAGGTGGAAAATTGTCTGCTCCATGTTAATCCAGTCAATTCATAAAAGAAATATTTCCTTTCTGTATTAATAATAACTGAAAGTTCAGGAAAATCAAAAGCAATTTTTGGGTTTGGGGCTTCGAATCCAGTCACTATGGAAACCACGAAATACTTCAAGGAGTCGCGAAATACGTCCTTTTGTCAAAAGAAAAGCGTCCGCTTGGGAAATTTGAATTTCCACGGTTACTTGCATGCCCAGGAAATGAATATTACAAAAAGTTGATAAAGCACTAAATAGTGAAAAATTAGATAACTTATTTTCATGTTATAATATTTTCCTATAAAATTTTATTGCAAATTTTAATATGATGAACTAATGTTAAGAAGTCCGCCATAAATGGAAACATAGGGATTCTTATAGTATAGCGCAAGTTATACAAATTTTAACGATTATGAACGCAAAATCAAATTGTTTTTAATTTAGTTCAACGCAGTCTAGCAATTCGAATAAATTGGGTAATTTTCATTGATTATATTTTTCTTCGATAAATTAGTGACTACGCGAACCAGGAAAATTTGAATCACAAAAAAAATAGATTGCAAGGAATGATTATCTAACTGTCTTCCAATTCGTCATTCAAATCTAGTGCACAAATACTTAATGTTCTTCTTGTTCTATTTACATTAGTTGATACAACTTTGCAATTCAATAATTGATGCATAGACATCAATTGGGCATATTTTACAAATATTAGTTCCGCAAATGTTTAGAAAGAGTTCAAAAATCGTTTTCAATTTCATAGACAAACGCGTGTAGTATTTGAGAACAACGGGAAGATCACAGCTTTCGAAAACCCATCGAACTTTTTGACAAGAATTGGAAAAAAACAAAGCTGCTTGAGAGGGCAATCGCGAGAAACCATTAATTGATGCAATTTGTCTTGTGACTGTGACTAGCGAAACGGACAAGACACATAGCGACGAGTGCCATGTCAGGAATGATCAGGTTTCCTTGTGAAAAAATGGGTACGTTAGAGGCCAAAATTCGAAAGAAAATATTTGATCTAGATGAACCAGTATCTCAATATGTATGCGTTGGTTTATATAAAATATATGTTGGCAATGATCTGATTGTAGTTAATCATAGAAGTAGTTGAATCAAATAATATAAAATTACGATACTATTTTCCTAATACTATATTCATATAAATGTAGAAATGCTCGATAAAAATTCAAGATCCAAAGTTCGAAAAAATACATACGAGAAATGTTTGCACGCACTATTCTCTACTATCTCTTCGAAACACTCTGCTGAAGAAATTCGCAATGTGTATACTTTATTTTGTTCTCATTCGTTCCCAACCAAAGTAGATAATGTTTGATCGCGGAGGTCTCACTATGAAATTTCTAAATAAAACTTGAAAATATAAATAAAGTTAACACGAGATCAAAAACCAAATCAAGACAATTGTGCCAATGCTACATTAAAATGTGATTTGATAGATTGAAACGACAAGAAAGAGCGAAAGTGGGAAGGTAATCAAGATGTGATAAGGCAAACATGACGACACGAATATATACATACATAGACATTATTGCTAAAATCAGAAAACGAGCGAGTTTGACAAAACGGTTATGATGAAATTCGCGAGAGTAAAAATCGACGGGAGTGTCTGTATTTTTTTTTTGTTCTCGACAATGTGGACTGTGTCGCAAATTTCGGAGTGCGCAACCTCTCTTCGTCGAAACACAATGTTTCTGCGTACTACAATCGCCGATTTCTCTGCGTAGATTTTGCGATTGGCAAACAATCGACGAGTGGTGTCACAGCGTTTAATAATGGGCAGAAATTTTTATCGCGCAACAATATTTCAGTTGCTAGTAAAGATCGAATAGATGCGTGATATATGCGAATTGAAATTAATATTTTCGCGGAGAAATATTTACCTAACAATATCGAATTACATGATGTGAGTGGATCGATGATTTCGTTATAAACATTTGATTCAGAGTAATACATCAATATTCTAGAATCTCCATGGCATTACATTTTGATGGTGTATTGTAAATTACACGAGTGTTTTTTTTGCAATTTTTGAAATAAAAATATTGTTTCATGAAGTATAATTTGGTATATAATAATATAATAATTTTTTAATCTTGAACACGTCTGAAAATCTGCAAATTTCGTTAAAAATTGATTCAATTATATTTGAACATATATATGAGAGACTCAGAGATTCAGAGATTCACAGCATTTGTTTTTCAACTATTTCGCAATTTATTTCGGAGAGAGCGAAAACCAGAGATAATGTTTGAATTTGAAAATAGACAATGAAAAACCGGCAAACAAAACAAAACTTGAAAAAGACAGAGGAAATCATCAACTTTCAATTGTTCGCTAGGCGCTTGCAATCACAATTCGATCAAATCATCAAAAATCCTTCTTTGATTTTTCCTTAGTTTTTAGATTTATGCAAAAAGATTATAGTTGTATTAACAATCTTCACACCATTCCGCCAAACGTTGCACATTGAGAATATTTATCGTCTGCATTTGTACAACAATCCGAGAGGCTCGCGCACTCATTTTAACCGGACTAACCCAAATAACTCAGTCACGCTCTTGTTTGTTCCTTGTCTTTCACATACACCTTCTAATTCTTTTGTCTCAGTTATTATGTATAATTACAGGAGACATGCAAAATGAGGAAGACGAGAATATAGTTGTAGTGAGAACCTCGACACCGGTAAAAAAGGGATAATGAATTCATGAATAATAATTGTTAGCGCATTTGTAGATTATTCCATCAAGGATTAGGCCGGATCATGATATAAATTTTGTGAAGAAGGTTGCTTTCGGTGAGTTTTTTATATGCTAATCCATAGTTACAAAGTTACACTAGGCGTTGGGCACTTTTACAACGATTTGTGCGCTAGTATGTGGTTCACATATTTAATGATATATATGGAAAAAGTTTTAAAATTTCGAAGCAGCCGAGCTGGAATGCTGATGTTGGTCGGTCAGGTACGGATAATTAATTTATCGAATTCTTTGTATGAGAGAAAGGGGAAACTGGATAAGTTACACAAACCGTTTAATTAAATTAGCAATCTGCGATTGGTTATTGTTGGTTTACAAACAATTTCGAAGTGAATGATTAAAAAAATGCAGGGTTCAAAAATCTCACTGATTTGAAACTATACACATTAAATTATCAACGACTACTATTTCTAATGATTCTATTATAATATAAATGATGTTTTTTTTATTCAATATATAATCAGACAACTAATTTACAGGTGACTGATGCTATATCAACACCGCTCGTTGGTATATTCAGCGATTCAAACATTCTTCCCGAATGCTTCGAAAAAATTGGAAGGCGGCTTTCATGGCACATTATCGGTAAAATTAATAGGTTTTATTAGTTTAAATAAGCGTAAACATTTTAGGAACTGTTTTTGTAACGCTCTCCTTCCCATTTATTTTTAATAAATGTATGGTTTGCACCGGAGAAACGTCAGAATGGTATAAAGTGTTGTGGTTCATTCCGTTCATAATGGTGTTTCAATTCGGATGGGCTTCTGTTCAGGTAAATTTATAATCTTATTTACTTTCAAAGTTCTCGTTTTATAGATCTCTCACCTTGCGCTTATTCCGGAACTTTCTTCAATTCCTTCAAGTCGAAGCACTATGAACTCTTTGAGGTATCGCGTTCTAATGCTCAAAACTATCGAATAACCGTTTCAGATATGGATTTAGCGTTATAGCAAATCTTGCGGTTTTCTTTGCATTAGCTTGGCTGCTTTCTGAATCAACTGGTCATTCTTCAATTGGCCCTTGGGACTTTCAACATTTTAAGTTAAGTAACTAATAATATCAAATTTTATTACAGTCATATATTACAGATAGCCGGATGGTTGGTTGTTGGTCTCGGAATTTTTGTTAGTTCAATCTTCTACGCCTTTACAAGAGAGCCCACAAATCAGCGCAGAATGAGGTAATACTGAATTAGGACGGAAATATTTGAATACCACAATTTTCAGTCGCCTCAACTCGTTTTCATCTGAAGCAAGTGAGCTGGTCCGTATGCATTGGACAAGTTGGTTTGGACACTTGCAGTTCTATCAAGTGAATGAAAAAGAAAAAAAATAGCAATCACAAATTTTAGATCGCGCTTCTTTACATGCTCTCTCGGCTTTACATCAACATTTCACAAGTGTATTTTCCATTTTACATAACACTTACTCAAAATTTTGACAAAGTTTAAATTAAAAGGAAATAATAATCAAATAATCAAGAATTCTAACTACAGAAGTATGTCGCGATTCTTCCAATGGTTTCCTATTTGTCATCATTCTCGGTGTCAATTATTACTAGTCATCCATTAATAAGTAAAATTTCAAAAAAAGTATCAGGCAAATTAATTTTCCTTAAAGAGACGAGATTTATTTGCAGATTTTATTCATATTCGGTCTTGTTGTGGGGATATTAGCATGCATCTCAATGCTTTATGAACTTCCTGGTTGGAAAATCTACGTGTTGGCTGTTGGAATTGGAATAGCGCAGGCGATTTTACTAATAACCTCACTGTCGATTACAGCAGATCTAATTAACAAAAACACTGTACGTAATAGAATTTCAAAAAATCAAATTAATGAAAACGTTTAGGAGAGTGGTGCTTTTGTATATGGCGCAATGAGCTTCATGGATAAACTGGCTAATGGAATAGCATACCAGTTAATTGAAATTTGGAATCCAACATGCGAGTTAGTTTTAAACATAAAATCGTTTACGTCTAATGAAAATCTTGCAGCGCTTTAAAACCGCATCTTGCTTGCACTCGTTTCTATAGAAAAGTGATGGTATTTGTGCCGGGCGCATGTTTAATCTTGGCCCTATTAATAATGCTGTCATTGATTCCTTTCACAATTGGGCATAGATCGAGGAGAAGAATTCAAGGTACTTATAATGAGCGAAGTTGAAAGATATGCTTGACAAACATTACTTGTCAAATATGAAAATTTCGAATTAATTTGCCATGATGATGTCAAACATTAGCCATTTTTGCATATATTAATATTTGAGCAAACCATGCTGCTATGTGAATAAATTAGCAGCTTCTCAGAAAATGAAAAATGAAAGAATTTCAATTCAATTGTTCTTATGATTTGTGCACAAAGCATACGACTTAACAGCAAATCATAAAATCTGCATTTCATTGCCGCTTTTAGAATTTTTAAATGGTCAAATGGACCTAATAATGCAAAAACGAAAACAAAAAGATTTGATATCTTGCAAATATTCCACAAATATTAATTTACAAGAATAGCATAATTAAGATAAGCAAATGTCCCTTTAAGAAAATGAAATTTATTTATTAATATGAATTTCAGACGACGAACAAGCAATTCTTGAGGATGACGAAGATTATGCCTAAAGAATGAATGTTTAGAATATCCAACAAAATTCCAAAATTGTATGTATATTGAATTTACTCTGTTTGCAGCACTTTCTGTTGCCAACTGGTTAGCATATTAATTGTATTTATTTAATTTATTATCTGTGATATCTCGTCGCTCATGTGAATAAAAAAAAAGCTCGGTGAAATCACTTCGCTTCAATAAATCATGTGATTTTATCAATGGCGAACAGAAAATCAACAAAAAATACGGGCGTACAAACTCGACTCAATTTTTGATTATTATTATTAGCTACACGTAATGAATAGAGACAATGCGCGCAAAGATGAAGACTACAAAGTGATGTGGATGTAGAAAACATTGATAAGAGGGCGTGTGATTAGGTACGCCGAGAACTGTTCACTAGTCCTCATTCATTTTTCAATGCCTTATTGCCTGCATTCGTTGATTGTCTGATAATTGAACGAGTGATTGCTCGACTGTTGATCTTTACATGTATCACCTGATTTGTAGAATTGCTTTATTGCATTTAGATTTTTTAACCAATTGCCGATTTAAAAAATGGGAAACCTGTCTAAGTTGGCGATTGCGCTAGGACAGCCAGTCCTACATGCGAATTGCTATGAAACAATTCATACGTGGAATCCCGATTGTTATGGAGCAATATGGGTAAGATTTTTTATTGCATTAAATGCAGAACACTTAGAATTGCAGAACGCCATTCCAAATGGGGTGCGATTTTCGTTCAGGACCTATGCTACATTTTATTTGGTAAGCTTTTCATCTCAAATTAAAACCTTAAAAAATCATTTAAACTTTCAGGTAACAAACATTATTCAAAAGCGGGGAAGACTAGATAAAGTCAAATGGGACAAGTTTATAAAAGATGTAGTGCGTTCTTCGCTGTTTTTGACAACTAATATGATATTTTTTCTATTTATTTTGTGCAAATTGAGGTAACAAAAAACTTACAATTTCATTTTCATTTGAAATTTCAGGCAACTCCTTGGGTTTTTTACACCGGTTTCACTTGGATTACTTTCGAGTATTGCTGCTTCAGGAATTGCAATTTTTGTCGAGAAGAAAACTCGTAGACCGGCATTAGCATTATATTTGACCAATTTGGTATGAACATATTATTTGATCCACGAAAAAATAATGCAATTAATTTCACAATATTGTGAAAATCATATTAATCTAGCATTCAAATCATATCATTTCAGGCTTCTGAAACTTTTTATCGTCATTTAACACTTCATGGTAAAGCACCACATTTCAAATATGGCGAATGTGTGCCATTTGGAATTGGCTTGATGATATTTTCATTTCTTCAAGCATCTGGGCGATTGCCGAAGTCTTTCAATGGATTCATGAAGTAATTTTCAGCAATTTTCTAAAATTATACTTGATTTTCAGTATTATTTTGAAATCAAATATCTCCGAAAACATTGTAAACACTAAAAATTTGCCGAATGATTTCAAAGAATTTTTGGAAAAACTTCGAGCTGATTATGACAAAACCGTTTACTGCCAACATCCTCATTCTTGTATCAGTCAATCCGTCGAGGTATTTCAAGAATAATTATGAGATGAATGTAAAAATAATATTAAGAGCTTCGGAAAGAACTTTTCCACCGGACTTATCATTAGCACAGCGCTTCATTTCGTCAAAAATGGCACAAGAATAATTTCAAATCCATTAAAAGTTATTTCTACAATTATATCGAAAAACAATATGCGACTGCCGTTGTTTGCGGGACTTCTTCCTCTTCTTTTCAATGTAGAGCCACATCGTTTAAAACAGTTTTTAAAAAGCACAATTTTAAGGCCTCTCGATGTCTGATGAATCGGCATACAATGATCCCAAACACAATGAACAATACGATATCAGCTGGAATCGCCTCGTTGGCAATGATTGCTTTCCCAAATGTTAGTATCGCTATGTATTTTCTTTGGAAAGCCATTGAGGTAAATACAGCTAGCATGTTTTCTTCGAGAATTCAGTTTTTAGACGGTCTATTTCCATTTAGTTAATAATGGCTACATCCCAAAAATAAAAAATGGAGAAGCTTATTTATACGCAGTCATGACAGGATACGTGTTATGGAATTGTATTATTGAACCAAGTGCCATTCGAAAAGGCTATTTAGGATTTCTTCAATCGCTTGTTGGTGGAAGGTGAGTACTTCATTACTATTTTCAAATGATCCTACTGATCAAATTCGATTCGGAATAGTCAGAAGTGGAATAAATCCAAGTAACATTAATATTTATTATTATACAAGTTGTCAAATTGGAATGATTATTCCAAGTGTAGTTCTTAACAAAAACATTAGTGATAAATGCTGAAGACTGTTTGATAAGCAAAAGTTTTAAAAGTCAAACAGGATTGAAACCAACTGAAAAAAATCACGGTTTCGTCTGGCTGATAATGACGACTTGAGTTCGAAAAAATTCACGTGAACAATTAATGTTATTGAAATTGAAACGGTGGGAAGAGAAAGAATATAACTTTTTTTGTGTGATCGTTGTCAATGACGAGACTATTTATCAAAGGGAGCGGGGATAAATTGGACCTAAACTATTCTAACTATCAAAAATTATCTGCTCTTAACAATGAATATCAGTAAGACGTAATGAAAAATCAAAAATTGTTACATTGCCGCACTCATATGTCTTTACAACCAACGTTTCAAATTGATATAAATTTCAGATTGAATAACTTCAATCGTCGTCTCTATGACCATTTCGGGTATTTCCATCGCGACATTTGCGATGGAATGCCGTTGCTCGATACCCGTTATGTGACTATTAATCCGTTGCTTTATCAACCTCTTGTCAAATGATTTTCAACGTGTTCATTAAACAACATCATAACAACGCCTTTATTTTCGGAGCATACCAAATCGATGAAATGAGAGAAATAAAATACAATTTATATTATTAGCATTATACACGAGAACTGAGAGCGAACCGAAAATGTGCGGATGTCGAATAAATATCAATGGATTCGGTTTTTGATTCATTTCTCATCAAATAGAACTAAGAAATTGCGATCGCCGTGCGTAATCGGGATGCAGTGACTTGGTGATGTAGTCGATTACTTGTTGCCGGCGAATTGCAGCTTCTGAATAGTTGTCAGAATGTCGTGAATATGATCGATTTGACCAGACCGACCGAAGCGCACTGAACACATTACATATACAAAGCAATATAAAATCAAAAGAAGTAAGAAGTGATCACAACTTGCGACAAATCATCAGAAACGTACCAAATGGTTGTGGTGCTCCGTTGCGTTTTCCTTGGTATTGGCTTTCTGGTGAAAAGTCCTCATCCATGGATGATCGTTTGCCAAATCTAGGAATTCGAATTAGATCTAAGCTGGAAAATTGTTTTGTTTATAGGTACCGAACGAGGGCGTTTCTCATTCCACCGCTTGCTCTTCCAAAGCGTACAAGGGCATTTCTCATGGCGCGCTTTTCAGTTCTGAAATGAATGGTATTTCCATGCTCCTTCTGAACATCGACTAACGTGACATCATCATATGCCTGCGTGAATACGGCTGCAACGCAAAGCGAAGCGAGCAAGAAAACGTGAATCGCAGTGTTAGCCATGGTATACCGTAGGACTGGGGGATAAACTCCGAAACGAATTGGAGCTATGCGCAAAAATGAAAAGAGGCGTCGAGAATGAGCCGTTTTATACCTGCAACGAGTGCCATCATCAGACCGCCTGCAGCAATCTCGATATTTTCATCAATTTATTAAAAATGAGCAAATTGCGAATTCGAGCAAATAACCCGCGGCAAAATGGCGCGTCGTATTTTTATCGTGTTATGAATTTCGAATCATGCCGAAAAAAAAAACTCCCGACAAACTCGAATCTTATTTTCGAAAACAATTTAAAAGAACGCAGATGATGTCACAAATGAAGCGCGAACCCATATTGGAAAGGGCCACAAAATTGGAGTGAATGCATTTCAAGTTTCAGTAAAACAGAAATTTTGTGTTCCATTGAAGCGTCGCAATTATCAAAGAAAGTCCGAAATGAATAGGATACCCTGAAAATATCTAAAAAGAAAGTATGAAATTAAAAAAAAAGGCTGTGAAAATGATATTGTGCTTTTGAATGGAATTCGAACATCTTTAACAAAAAATTCATTTAAATTCCTGCTTCAATCAAAGCTTTTTTCATAAGTTCAAACAAGATAGAAATTTTTTTACGATCCAGTGACTTTTCACAAACAGAAAAGTACATAGTCTGAAATTTGAACATGAACATAAAGCCTCCAGCAGGCCAATAAAAATTTCATTCTCAATAGGGGTTAGACTTATTGAGGATTTTGCTTTGACGAATTGTCAGACTCGTCTTGAATGGGAACTGTTTTTAATAGCATGTTTTATAGCAACATATTTTAATGTTGACTGTTTCGATGAGATTTTATATACTGTTAGATATAGATTTTGGAAAACATTTTGTTTGTTTTGTTTCAAAACTATAAACATTAAAACTCAAAATGAATCTTGCCCTAAATAGAGGTTCTTGAACAGTCTAAAATTTCATTGAACACTAAACATGCTAGTAAAACTATGTGCTAAGAATATTATAAACATACATCTGTTGGGTCATTGTGTGGTTTGAGATTCAAGAACCGATGATAGTGGGCGCATCCTCAGGGACTTCTAGTATGACGTGCCTTGTGAAACAAATCACTAAATTTGTGCATAGACAAAAATAACCCAAAAACCAGTACTTATAGGAAAAAAAAACTTTAAAAAATTAATCATCTTAAAACGGATGTAATACTTAGAGACTACTTCACATTGGCCGGAAATGGAATTGAAAGTATTTCAAAACTGAGCAAAATGAAGAAAACGTCGAAAAAAACCATCAATTATTGGCACAGCTTCACTATGAGTTATCTTTTTTTGCCCGCCTAGAGAATACAATTAATTTTAAAAGGACAGGCCATAAATTAATAAAATGGACGCAAAACCATATTTCATTTCTGTCTGTATTCTGAAAATATGCACTCGATTTTAATGAAAACCCGGTTTATTTCAGAAATAATTATGGATAAAAAATGAACAAGACATCCAAAAGAAATGTAAAGCGGTAGTTTTAAAGAATGAAATTTGTGCAAATTATTCAATTTTGGACCGCGATAATTAGAAACCGAAATGACGGATTAGTTGCAAAATTTCAAAGACATTAAAACCATATTGGTGAATGCATTCAAATAAATAAGGGAATTAAGGAATGGACGTAGTTTAGTTAATATTCTAATGTGTTTTATAAAGCTTTTGTTACTTAAGAATGGAAAGAATTTGGGAGTTTGAAGTCATTGGGGGATATGCACGAAACGGCCGAGGATGCTCTTTCTGGTGTGCATTCTCAGTTACTCATATTCACAAACAATTGAAACATCTGAAAAGGAGATGGGGCGGGTTTTTAGCGAATCATGTCAAGTTGACTCTCGGATGCCAACGCCGAAGTTCTGCCGAGTCGACAGAACGTCCAAAGCGTGGGCGGACGAATGAATCCATCTGAGCGAGCACGTTGTCGACGCGAAATCCGCCATCTCTGTATTGCCGTCGACGTTTGTGCCTGGAAATACTGAAGTTTGGTACACAATGACGTTGATGTACATTTTTCAATGTTTGAGATTTATGGATACTCAGTCCCGCTAGTCATTTTTCACATTTTAAATGTTTTAGTCTATAACAGCAGACACCGAAAGTTATGACCGAGCTTTGCAAGAAATCAATTACAAAAATCAAAATCTTGCATATAAGAATGTTTAAGTTAAAAACGATGGGTTTTAGATTTGTACGCTTGAAATTATGTTTCGAAAATTCCTTAATATGTTTTTTTTGCATTTAAATACAACACTGTAATATTGTTAATCAACGATATTCTCGAACTTTTTTTATTTTAATTACACACTCTCGAGAATTCCTATATATTTGCTTACTGATCGCTAGAAAAAATCCATGTACATACAAGTAAGCCAGATAATTAAATAACTAATTAAAAGTGCGTTTTTCATTCTTGGCGATGAATTTTAGAATGAACAGAAATTTGGAAGCCAAACATCGTCTTTTAATTGTAAATTTTTGAATACAACATAGTTGTGGCATTTTTTATATTACAACAGAGAAAGATGGATTTCAAGATCTGTTTGAGTGTTTCATCGCACGTTTATATACATACATATATTACATATATAATATGCTGCTCTTTATTTTTGAAGACACTTCACTCAAGTTTTCGTATCTATGAATAATCTTTGAAGTTGTCGCGAAAGAATGAATCCTACAACCAAACATCAAAAAAATAATTCTCCTTAGGGAAGGAATCTATGTAAATTTAATGTTGTCCTTCTTTCGGAGGATGAGAGAGTTTCAATTTATTTTTTGTTTGCATGTTTTGTGTTGGTCGAACACCAAAATGAAATTAACGAACCTGTGCCTTCGCGACCTGTGCCGATGCGCCGCATATTTCCAATCATGCATCGTTCGCTTGTGTAGACGATCAATACGTCCACCTTTGCGCACCAGGAATCTGAAAATTAAAATCGTTTTACAACCAGATTTTACGAGCTCCGGTCTATCAATAGGCACCCCATAATGTTTTTTTTCAACCTCCCGAAAGTCATAAAATGGGTCGCTTTTAATTGCCTAACATCAGAAAAAAAAAACACGTTCATTTGATTCGAACTCACTTTTCTCGCGCAAACGCCATTTCCAACAGTAAAATGACAAGGAGGAAAATTGAAATGTATCGTATCCTGAGAACCATTTTATTATTCTGAAATTGAATTAACAATGAGTTCTATAAAATTACATTGCGCTAATACAAACTAAACGAAGCGTATAAAAATCCATACAAATGTTTGAAAAGTGGTTGGACTGAAACTCAATTTATTGACGATCTGCTAACGAGTTAAACTGAAAATGAGGCGGGGCAACAGAAGAGAATGCTAGAATTATAGTTTCCAAACGGTATCAATACCAATTAGAAACACTTTTTGTTCAAGCTGCTAATTTTGTAATTTTTTATATTGAAAGAGGTTTTTAGAAGCTATACTAACTGTATATATATATATATATATATATATTCATACTTATTTAAATGAATGTCATTTCGAAATAAAATGAGTTGAGTCATTGAAGGCGGCAAGCGACCGGAATGACAGGTGTACGGTATATTTCTATAAAATGGGCGGGATTGTGAAATCATCGATGACAAGTGGAAGCACGGAATGACATATTACTGTAGATTTCAAACGAATAAATGAGTCACATTGGAAGCATTCTTATCATTCCAGACAACTGAGTTCTAGAATATTAAGTTGTGTTTAAATAAGAAATGATCCATGTATGAGGATTGTTTGGAATCATGAGAAGTTTATATGCAGTTAATTCTTGAACAGCAGTGATTAATAATAACTAGTCGCATTAGCCGATGAATACAAAATACCGAAAAGGGTGTGGTCAGACAACATTCACGCAAAAGCAAAAAATGGGCGAGGCATGCAAGCAGCAACAGCAGCAATAACAGCCTCGAGATGATGACAGAACTAAATTGAATGACAAGACAGACGCTGCCAACCTCAGGTGTTTTTTGAGGTTTTGAATTATCCATTCTTAAGCCAGCAGGTGTCTGAGTCAAAATGGATGATGACGACAAAATTGGTGGTGAGAGGGGGGAGGGAGGAGGGAAGACTCGCGAGAAGGTGAATGACTCATTTGAACCATTATTGTAAGAGTGTTCCGAATCCCGCGCGATGGGTGCGGTCGAGGCGAAAGCCCGCATGGGTTGAGAAAAGCGGCAGTTCTGCAAAAAAAAGGAAATGACGCGATAATGAGTTTTGTCATCGACCGGCATTTTGGGCTTGAGAATGTAATGGACAGGTGCCTCATAAACCTACATTGAAACAAATAATGAAGTGATTCGACTGCGCAGGTGGGACGAGATCATGTTTAACCGTCAATGTGTCAGACATCAGATTTACATTACTGAGAGGTAAATGTAAATATCGGCAGGTTTGTAAGAGATCCTGAGCGAAGTGCAACTTGAAAAACAAAGAAATCAGAATTGGCCAAATTGAAAATGAAGAAGTATTTTGTAGTCTTTTCACAGTCTATTTATTTAGCGGATATGTACTGAGAAAATTCGTCATTCAAATACTAATGATGTATCAGTGTCGCCTATTGATATATGTCTTGTAGCCGAATTTCTATTTTGTGAATATGTGGTTGAAGCTGAGACCAAAAGAAAGGAAAATAATGCAAAAAAAGTGTTTGTTGTAATTTTAAGAATTTAAATTCTGAACGATTATAACCGATGCACTACGGTGTTGCTACTAGTATAAACAAGCCAATTCGTAGCATATTTTCTGAAAAAAAAAACAGTTTAAAACACAAAAAGCCGGAAACGGTTAATTTACTGATCCGAGTTTTAAATGAAAGTTCAAAATTTAGAACCTTCTGTTCCACGGAATCTTTGCAAAATCTCGTAATTGAAAAACTCACCTCAGTCGTTCTACCAATCTATGAGAATTGTTAGAAATTTACTATCATAATCATAAACGTAATAAAAAAGTATAGTTGCAAATTACACTTTTTTGCAATGGTCATTTCACATTCGATGCGAACAATTGAGATCGCGCACGGGTATGTTCTCGACAAATTTTTTTTGGTGTCACTCAAAAATTTGATAGATTCTCGAGCGAATTTCTCACGTTCGATTGTGTTTCTGGCATAGCACTTCACTCCATCCCCCCTAACGATCTGCACAGTTGACAATTGATTTTGCAAAAGCGGGAAAAAAAAACTGGCGACAATGAAGCAACAATCTCCGTGTGTAGCGGCGTGTAATATGCGAGTGAGTGGTATGATTGATGTCGTTTAAAACGATATGTGATCTGCAGCAAAAAAAAAAACAACGCTGAAAAACTGCATGCATATGCAAAACACGGTCTGAATTCAAGCGTATGAATTGATACATATTCGGGTGTGAAGCCCACCCTGCCCGAGAGCCTTTTTGCGACTGTGCGCCATCAACCGGATTGTGAATAAGTGTTGCGTAATATTTGTCACACCTTTGCTTTGCTTTCAATGCCAATGGAATTAGATTCGCTATTATGGCCGGTGGGAATGAATGTTTGGGATTAAATGTGAGAGGGCAAGAAATTGAAAGTCGAAAAAGACGCGTAGATCAAATTCTGTGTTGATGAACTATGTGTTGTATTAATGTAATGGTTCAATTAAGTTTACACTGGCAAGAAAAGCCGCAAGAATGTAATGCAATTTGAGGAATACATAAATTAACGGGATCTCGAATAATGATATATTAAATTAATGTTTGATGGAATCACTGTCAGAAAGTAATCAAAATAATGTTGCAGGAAATGAGTGTCTAGTATGCAAATGATGTTATGACGTATAGAAGGACTGATTCACGAAAACTCGTTATAGAAGAAATACATGGTCCATAAAAAATTAGGCGTTACTGTAAAATTATTTTTTCTTGTTTCAAACTGCAAAATTTTTGATATTGAAAAGGTATTTGAAATTTGTTGGTACAAGAACTAGATAATAGTTTGCAGAAATCTTAGCCAAGACAAAAAAAAATTTCTCAGATTCAATTTCACGACAATGCCAATAAAATTTTGCAAACGGCGAGCGATAGATTGGAAACGTTCAAAATGAAACATGTATGCACAACTCGGACAAAAAACGACCTCGCCCCATGGCGCATTTTACCAATTTCCGGTAATACCGGGCATGAGGGTTGTTTCTTCAGAAAAATATTACACCCGAACGTTTTCATTTATTTTTTTTTCGTCCGAAGATTGACGATAAGCGGAACAATAGGATTTGAATTAGTGTTGATTTATTGCATACGCTTTACGGAAAGTGTAAAATTTAGCTAAATAAGGCGGACGCAATCAACAGGTCATTCTCAAGTTCGAAAGTCACACTGACCACAATTAATTGACCACCCCTTGACCGGCCACACCGGAAGTGTGAAATTTGATACCGCCTTGAAAGAAATTGCTGCAAATGAAGCGGTAAGGGGGATAATTGAAACGGTAGTCAGAGATAATCAGGATGAGTCACACATTGAGATCCGTTGCAAAACCTGTTAGCTTTTAGCAACGGGATATGGTTTATTTTCTTTTAATTGTTCGCTATATGTATAGTAATTAGTGTTATTAACAGAAAACAACAAAATTATGTCATTGACTTTAATAATCATCGAATCAAATTTCGAAGCGATTTGCAAAAACCGGATAATCAGAATGAATCCGAGAAATGGATTGTTGCATAAGTCGAAAATAATTATCATCTCGCCGAGTGATGGCCTCGATAATGCAAGGATTAAATGAAGAACGTTTCATTTATAGAACACTTCTGGTTCTATCCATGAATCATTATTAAATTTATGATATTACATTCGCAAAGAAACGAGCACCCTGCGCCGATTTACAGTGAGTTAGCTTCGCAGGTCTCCAGAGTACGGTATCCGAATTCTCTTTGTTTAAATTCGAATTTGAATTACCGCTTCGAAGAAATGCGATAATCTACAATTATGCAAGGCCCTCGTTTTTTTACGAAGGTAGTATCAAAAAAATGAAGCTTACAACAACAATTGAATATTTCGTCCAGAAAGTTTTGCAATTATAAAAAAATTACGTAGAAAAAATAGCTGCTAATGAGGAAACAATCAAGTTCATCGCAAAGCAAATTATAACTTTGTCTTAGAAAGGCATGCTCGCCGCTAATATTTATTTTGAACATTTTGTTACTATTTATCTGTCATAAAAAAACCAAAAAACCAAAATCTATATAATAGAGCGTTGCTTTTAGATCCACTATTAGAAGTAATAATTAGACGTGTCAGTCGTTTCTCAATCACAATATTAGTCAATATAAAGACTGTCATGTTTGATATACATTTACCTAAACCGTGACTTCTTTCAAACAAGAACAGATGTGCATTTACGTCTCCAATGGTTACTGATTTATCACGTCAACGAGTTAATAAAATACCAATTAAAATAGCAACAATGTCAAACCAATCTTTGTCACTTGAATATTCACGCATTCGAATAATTTTTACTCTTGTATTTTTTTTGATAAAAGTAATTTATTTTATTGAAATTGTATTTGATACGATCAAATATTGATGGAAATTAAGCAATTTCGAATTTATCACGGGAAATTGGCTTATCACAAACGAAAATTCCAAACCCGGTAGGAAAAGAATTTGATTCGAAATTGAACAGAAAGTGGTACCTCGTTCATTATAAAGTGAGAATTTGATACATGATGGCAGCAAATTGTTACATGTATAATTTAAATTGAATGTGATAAATGGCTAGGATCGTGAAGGTGATCGAATTGATATGGGATGCAACAGAATTTTTGGCTTAAAAGCTTGCTAGTATTATTCAACGATTGTTGTGGCGGTTTTCTTTTTCAAATGAAACCTAATAGACCATGGTGTCGGGAGAAACATCCGAGGATAGTCTCTGAAATAACCAATGTTGATTCATATGAATATAATTGAGTACTTTAGCAAGTTTCAAAGCGATGTCTTGGCTGCATTCGTTTGGTGAATTCTTTGATTCTTCAGATTCGTCGGGTTTCTTTATTTCCTTGTAGGAAATAGCAGCGATATAGAGCAAAACAGCGCATGTAGACTTGACAATTACCGCTGAAACGCTATTGTTCTTCAATTTTTTTTAATTTTTTAATATACTGAAGAAGAAAAACGAAAATCCAAGATTTTTTGAATCGTAATATTGACATTTGCTTCCGTCGCAATCCTTTTGCCAATAAAGGCAATTTTGATCAATGATTATTCCAAATAGTACGGCACCAGGTATACTTCCTAAATTTTATTGTTATGAAATTGAATCCCTCAACTTTTTCTTTTACCCAAAATGCGCATCCAAAGCCATCCATAGCATAGGAAATGATCCCGATGTTCGTGATGAACCACTCTAAATTCAAATTTAATTTATTCGAAGTGGTTAGAATTTGAATTACCGAACGGATGCGCTTTGAAGGATCGGGCCAGTGACAAAGATTGAAAATGCCATTATACAGAACATTGTGAAGAAAATGGCCTGTGATTGAAATTATATATAAAAAATTTGAAGAAATTTTAATTACCATTTTCAAAGTGCAGCTGCTTTTACAGAAGCCTTTTTCAACAAATCCATTCTTGGAAGCACATGCGCAATTCGTCCAGTTGGAAGCACCAAATTTAACATTCTGAAATTCAAAGAATACAACGTAATACAACAGATACTAACTTCTCCATCGGCGCATCCTGCATGGCACGGCGATAAGAAACTGAGTTGTATATCTGTGGCACAAACGGGATTGAATAGTTCATCACAATGACATCCTGCGCTGCATGTATTTTTAATATCATTCTTTGACAATCTGCAAAGACTTATTAAATGCAAATATTTGATAGTTTTGGTTTTACATGCTCTCATTTACATTAACGTGCATTAAATTTGGTGAGCTACATTGTAGCAGAAGGCACGAACTACAAAAACCAGCAAAAATTGTGAAGCAAATGACGGTGTATACCGAATGCCTTAAAACTGTTTTGTGAATGTATTTTTTTGAATCGCATAATACTTAAACTGATTGTTGAACCGTTTTGACAAGTATCCTCCAATAAAATTAGCAAAAACACCAACTGGTACCACCATAGCCCCTACAAAACGAGTTGTGATTATATTTGAAAGTCGTTTCGAAATACCGGTTATAGCGCTTGAAGCTCCACTTGAAAACGAGAACAGGGTCTCGATTAGTTTTGGCACAAAAGTGATGTAGCCATTCATAAGCATTGATTCCAATGTTTGCATAAGGACTAGGCACATAATAGTGCGGTTGCAGAGGAACATCTGAATGCTTTATTAATTTTGAAATGGTTGGAGGGATACCGCAAAAATCTTAAAAAATTCATATTTATGGTTCGAGAAATCTTGATTCAACGAGGCGTCAGTTCTTTGCACATCCTTCACTTTTCTCTTATCAGTATCTAAAACAAAGCCCTTTTAAACTAACTGATGAATAAAAAAACCTTTAAGTTTTTGTGGAAACATGGTTAGTGGTAAGGCAGTAAAAAGACTAAACACGCCACAAACAAGGAATCCAAGCCACCATGCACCAATCCATCGCGGATCATTCTGGTTTTCAATTCCCATACTGAAATGAACCACATCAATTTCGGTTGCTATCCAATTTCTCACTCAGTTGGTCTCGTTCTCCAGAAATCTCCCCATGTCCAGAGAGACATTCCGCCTAGGATAAATGCGACAGCGGGTCCGATTGTTGTAGCAGACATATAAATAGCTGAAACAGATGATAATGAGAATAATACAAGTGCTAATTGATTACCCATGTTTCGGCCGGTTCGAGCATGCCCGTCGAATTCGTCAATGCATGAAAACCCATATGTGAAGAGCGGACTTGCTCCAATTCCAGTGAAAGCTTGCGATAATAGTAAAAGTAAAAATGATCTGAATTTTACTGTTTTTCTCATGTGTAGTAAAATATTTAATATACGGCGAAAGATAGTTCCATATTGATTCCTCTTTCAGAGCACAATTGGCAACTCGTTTCGGATCGCAGACTTCTTTCTTCAAAGCTGTGGCTGTGTATTTTCCCGCAATGATTTCGGGTAACAGAATGAGCAAAGACCCAATTCCGACAAATATCATTCCCCATCCAATGCATCGTACTTTTATTACTGAAAATTGTCGAGTTAGTTATTACTTTTATATAAAATAAAAAAAACCTCGTTTTGCGTATAAAGCTAGTGGAAGTAGGCCCGCTGTTACGAAAACATCGTAAGTGGCAGCGAAAATTCCCGATTGAGTTGATGTCAAGTCAAACCTTAATGATTTAAATATAAAACTTTTAACATTGTCAAAGTCTTTGCGGAAAATTTCAAAAAAAAATCGGGACCGTAAATCGACATTTATGCAAATGACTTGAGTAGTAAAATAAGGCGATTCTTTTTTTGATATTGTTGCTTTCGAGTCCATTTTTTTGTCTTTATAGTTTTATGTGAAGTTTTGCCTCTTCAAAATATAATATTATTTGAGTAGTTCTTTTTTCTATATTTGGCATCGTCGAACCGTGCGCATTGCAAAACCAACGTTGCGTGATGTTGAAATGTACAATGATTTGTGAATTATTTTTTGCCGAAAAAATGCATTCATTCATGAATTTCTGTTGTTACCTTTTCTCAATTGAACTAATACTAGTAGAAATGAGGCCGTTCACAATGGCACCTTGAAAGAATCCATTTAAAGAGAGAATTATCATAAATGGAATGAAGGAAGCCAAGAACTGAAGACTTTTTGGGTGAAACCTGCAACCAAGAAATATACGATTTGACGAAAAATAAAATAAAAATATCTCACCACGAGAATCCAAACAGATAGGTTTTCTCATTTTTCTTCGGGGTGTCACCCATCTGAAATAATATATAATAATATAAAGTGTAAACGACATATAAGGACGTTTTTAATTAAATGTTTAGCGTTGATAATTAAAATAAATATAATTCCTAATAAAACAAAACAAATGTATTGTTAAAATTGAAACAAAATTTCACTGCAAGTCGCAAAACATTGAAGTCCATCGTTTCTATATAATTTTTGCGATATATTTGCTTTCGCCAAAATAAAAACAACCACCTAACAACAAAAATGCAAACGGAAACTCGAATAATGGCAATTCAACCTCACTCTAAAACACGCTAAACGAAATGTGGTGCTTCACAAATTCTGCACCGCAAAATAATTTCAGTTAACTGTATGCATATTAATTGGAAGGAAGAGAGGTCGAGACAGACGAAAGTTGAAGGATTAATGAAGAATGAGGCGGCGAAGAATCGAGGGTAATAGTGTATGGAACCGGAAAGATCGCTTTCATATCCGATTCAGCGAGTATATAACGCGACTGTTACTCAAAACACAAGTCGCCTGCCAGAAGAAAACGCATTTATCTTGTTCATTGGTCTCTCGGTCATTTCCTGTGGTTGCGAGCAGCAAAGCCCGTATTTAATAAATTATACTACATACAATAATTCAGCAAAAACAAAAATTTTTCGAACAACAACAACAACAAAAAAACCAACATAGAAAAAAAGCATGCAAAGCGAAAATAAGGAAGAAGAGAAAAAGAGAGAAAAATGCACAAGAAAAGATTTGTGCCGCTAAAGAGATAAAGTTTTGGAAATAGTCGCGTCAAATATTCTGAAACCTTTTTGTTAAAAGCCAACTTGCACTTTAATGATTTTTTGAATATTTGCAAAATTTGACTTGCAACTTTCTTTCTTCCTCATTGCCCGAAAAAAAGAATGAAATTAATTGAATTGTCAAAAGGAAAATAATTAGGTCAAGTATGCATGAAACTAATTGGAATGGCATGCAAACCCCAACATTATAGCCTCTTCAACGTCAAGTTGCAAAAAAACTCAAAATGAAATTAGGAAACGAAATGAAGAAGAAAAATGATGTTGTTTCTTCTTGATAACAGTAAGAGCTTTTCTAGTAAAGAATAGAATTGCGGGAAATGATAGCAATAATTGAAGACTATGATCCATTCACTTGATCTATCGACCAAACATCGATAACGACCATGTTGGCGAAAAACCATTTTTCTCGAAATGGAGGTGAATGAATTGCTCCTTTACCAAAACCGTACAGAACAAAATAAAAAAAAGTGGAAGCTCATTTTTTCTATGATAATTCCTAATACGGTATCACACCCAATTGCGCAACCACAGCTTTTTCGGCAAATCGATTAGTTAATTGATGAAATGTTTCACAAAATAAATCAGACAAGCATTCGAAAATCATGATGCTGAAATGACGTTATTGAATGTTTTATTTGGTTTATGCTTTTTTTCTTATTCACAAGATTCCTCATTTGTAAATATTATGATAAATGGATGAAAATAAAATAACATTTCATAGAAATATTTACATTCTTTCGTAATTGAAACAATATTGAATTTTCACTGATTGTCGAAATAGAAAAATGAAAAAAATGAGTTACACGGAGATATTTGTAATTTTGAATTTGAAAAACTCACAAATTTGAACTATAGAATTTGATGTGATTCGCTGCTGAAAGACATGATTTTAAATTAGTAATCAATCTTGCCTAAATATAGTTCTGGCGTAATCGATGAACCAGTAGGCACAGATCTCAACAAACACAAATTGAACATTTTATATACAAAATTTTTTTGTACCCAATCAGAAAATAAACATAGAGCGCAATTTGATCCTTTTTTATTAAATCATCAATGGCGGCTCTTTTCAAAAATATATATATATATATTAAAAATATAATTGAAATCAAATTCGAACGATCATAGATGAAATGCGCACGGTAAAAGAACAAAAGATATCCAATAAGATTTTTGTGTGGATATTAATATGTTCCTATAATGAGGAAAAGACGCCAGGAATTTCTGGAATTTGCTAGATTTATTGTCTTCATTTTTAAATGCAATGAAAGTGCAACTATTAAAATTTGAAATAGAAAATTGTTTGTGGAGAGTTGCGATGAATGCTATGTTAAACTAGCGTGACACAAATCGTCGAAAATTTGAAAAAAAAAAGAAGAGAGAGTTACCTTTACACAGACAGTAAAAATTGCCGCAGGAGGGCGATAACATCAATTGTTTGGAATTATAAATTTGTTATAGTTTATTTATACGGTGAGAGAAAATTGATTCGCTGCAAGATACATTTGAATACCCATCCATTCGTGACCTAGATGAAAGCGATTTTGTTGGCGTTCGATCCGACATTTCAATTCTCTCCACAAAACCAGACATTTGCGCAGAATTAGCGGGCGATTTTAATTCCATGATTTTAAGTAATACAAATGAAGAATTTTCACCCACCAGGCCGCTTCCAAATGTTTATATTATTAAACTGTATGGTGTAATGTTGCTGTTTTAAGTGTATTTTTATGAAACGAGAAATTATTTCTATATGAAACGTTTCATTCACAAAATTCAAACAAGCATTTGGAATTTGTCGAGTTGGCCAAATTGTCCATAACTGTAAACTCTATAAACAATGGCAGAGGCAAGACAATATTTGAAGCAATTTTAGCAATAAGTTAAATTAAATTTAAAGAAATAACAACAATAGAAACTTTTCGGCAACTTATAAGTAGAAAAACAATAACCATGATATAATAAAGAAAATATCACATTTTTGATTCACAAACAATTTGATGGAACTCAATAAATATTTCAAAATATCAACCCCGGAAACCTAACTATTTTGGTTCTATTAAACAATTTAATTATCTTTCTTTGCATTTTTGTTCTTCTCCCGATTGCATTTAGAAATTTCATCAAAATCTTCACGGACATCATCAAGAACTCCCTCGTTAATTGAGTCATAGGCGATCTGAAGCTCATAGATCGTTTATTTCTTCGAAAACTTCCCTGCCCTCCTACCTTAAATAAAATGTAAGCCCAGAACAAGTTCAGAATCAGAAGGGCTGACAGCAATATCATGATGAGTCTTGGCGCAATTGGTTGCTGAGAAAAGTTGATCCATGAGTAGTCCGTCTCAAAGTCAAAACTATTTTCAATAGATAGTTGAGTGTTAAAACCTGAATGAGAGCTGGAGCATCAAACCAGACCGAGTGCATAATCCAGAATGGATAATAGATAAGTCTTGTCATGACCCAAACGCTCAAAACAGCAAGAAACGTGACAGCAAGAGCGTTATCCCATCCTTCATATCGAAACAGTTTTCCCAAATCACTGAAAATAATAAAAAATTTCATCAGTTTTTTGTAATAAAAACATACATGAGGATATCAACGGCATCGTGGCTGACCAAGACAAGGGTCCCAACGCGAACCATATTCATTACATAGGAAACGTTGATGAGAATCAATGTAATGCAATGATGGAACAACATTTGAAAGAAGTCGCTTCGTTTGGCATCGAGGAATAAAATTCTGAAAATTCATATTTTAACTTCAAGAATAATATTGTCTGGAGGATACCCAAAAATAAGAGACATGTAGAATCCTCCTTGGATCCAGTAATACCAAGCAATAGCTTTTGGGATTGGATGAAATGGCCAATTTCTCCAACATTCTTTCATATCATTCCAGTGTGATTCGTGGGATACCAAATATAATCTGTAATTACACAGTTTCCCACCATTTTTTTTTTTCGAAAAAATGATACCCAATTGAAAACGACAGCAAATAGTAATGACATCTCATTGCACATTCAGCCATTCTTGAGTACTTTTTTTCCCGGTCGAGAATTTCTTCTGAAAAATCAAATCTCATTTTAAATTTTTTAATAATCTTTTTTTGTTTTCAAATGTCTTTATTTGCACTTATAGTAAAAGCTTTTCCAAGCACTCTGAAATTGTTTAGTTGCCGTATGAAATTTTTGAATTAATATATAACCATTTCATTTTTGCCAAAAATTTTAAGTGGCGCCTCTCTTGTTTTCAATGACACATTCTCATCCCCTTCAAAATGAAATTTCTTATTTTTTTTTCAATTGAAAAAATGTCATATAACAAAGATATTTTTTTGAAATCTCTTGAAAGCGGTTTTAATGTCTACCAATTTCGTGACGATCAAAAAACAGTGTCACATGGTTATCTCGTGTTCCACTTTACACTTTTTTTGTTGGACTTCTAATCAGCATTCTCACTTTCTGTGAAGATTTCCACCGAACTGAGCAAACAAAACGGTGTTATCAAGAAAATTTTTTGTTTGCCGAGATGAGACATTGTTTATTTATTTTTTTTGTTCAAAATTAGATTAGGTTAATAAATGCTTTAAACCAACAAAAAACTGCTTACGTCGCGTTTCCGGTTGATTTTTGCGGCTAAGAAAGTAGGCGAGTGGAATGAATATGTAATTTTCAAATATCAACCGATATATCTGCAATTTTCAATATAATTATTTTTTATAATTAATAAATTGTTTACAATTAGTGAAACTCCAGTTAGAAGTGTCATTGTTAAATGATTCGTGGTCGGATAAATACCCCCATTCGGATCCGTTTTGTTTTGTAAATCTTCCCATTGCACACCGCTCGGTAGCCAATATTTTGCTTTAAAAACCCAAGACATCGCTGAAAATTCGAATTGATCAATGTTTTATTGGAGAATAATAAGCCGAAACGAAATGTCAAGCAAAACCAGTTACTCATGAATGCATAACGATAAACAATATTTGAACAGCATGGGTAACAGTAAAACCTTGTCCACGACGCTAGATTGTCCGCGGAGCGAGTTTCCAACTTGATCATGCGAGATAACAGTAGTTTTCTGTTCTCCGATCGGATAACACTCGTTTATGAAATAGCGTCTAGTTGGCCTGATAACGGGCGGATGAATAGAAAAACGAGAAAGTGTTGCGAGAAATTGAAATTGCATAGTTTCGGCGATTGAAAGATAAAAGAATAGCGAGAGAATGAATGCGAACGAACAAAAAATAATGGATTATGAGAAAAATGGCCGATGGAATGAGGTGGCGTGATGATGATCGTAGTGTCAACAGAAAAAAGTATGACTTACATTGATGAGATTTGCATATTATATTCGATGTGCCTCAATTAATTCATTCACCAACATGTCACTCATTGGTAAATACGGCTGTTGGCAGGTTACTCAAGCCTGTTCAAGCGTCAAATTTGATTTTCTTGTATGACAGAAAAAACACTACTTGTTTATTTCGAGAATATTCGTTAAAATTTTCTTCGCGTTTTACTCATATCCGGTTAGAAAGTGAAAGCAAATTTTACGTTGTTTTTCTTCAGAAAAAGCGGAAATACTCGTCAAAAAATTAAATTAACAACATTTTTCCTTTTTTTTTTCTATTCAGAACGCAAAATTCACGAAGGGAACAAAAATTGGAAGTAATTTCAACTGGCTGTTGGAGTATGAAGAGTAATATAATTGGCCCCATGAGCCCAGCAAATGTCATCTTTTATTTTGGCGGATGGCGCAACGCTCTTTGCGAAAGGCAATGGTCCCCACTATCAAATAACGCGATGAAAAGTACGAAAAAAGAAGGAAAGAGAGGGAGTTGAGGGAAATGCAACAATGCTGACGCATTGTTTGTAGCGAAGGAAACATTCAGAGAAAACATCGATCTTGTGAAAATGAATTGTCTCAACAGCTGAATGTCACGAAAAAAATTTTAATAAAATGCGAACTCACCATCTGCCGGGTGCATTTGAGAATGGATGAATGCAAACAAATCATTTGGAACTGGCCATTTAAAGGAAAAAAAGAGTTCGGCAAATGCGAGGAAGTACACAGGAGAAAAATGTTGCTACAATTACTTGAAAAACACGGATAAAGCCGCAAATTCCATTACATTTTGTTGACCTTCTATAGCATCATTTATGTTATGAAGAGTAGGCAATTTTTTTGAATCATTTTTCTGTTTGGACAATTATTTTCTTTGTTTTATACCACAAATTATGAAAATTAAAAATTGTCAAATTAAAAAGAGCTGATTAAACCATTGCTGAAAATTCGGTTGTGGGTATCATAATCATGGTGTTAGATAAGAACCCGCTAATTTCTATTTACCGTAGTCAGTAGGCTAATTTGTTATGAAACAACGATTCTTTTCCTCCCGTTAACATGAAATAATATTTCTTATTGTCCACTTTTCTCGCCTAATAGATGGACATCATATTATGTAATACACTAAAAAAGAAAGGATATTTGAGTTTCTTTCAAGTTCATTATTTATTTTAATATTTACATGTTGCATAGAACTTTTCACTTTTTTTTATAAATTTTCACAAAACTACCCCGAAAAATTTGAAATAGCATAATTTTACAAACTTAAAGCGTTATCTTACCCATATCAATTTTCATCCAAATTGTATGAAAAATTTCAATTTTTAAGCCATTTTCGGAAGGTCCCCTATTGAACATACTTTTTAAAGTTGTTTATTTCCAAATTTGTAAATATCAATCTGGCGTTAGGTGTTTCGCCAATATGTTACGATATTTCACAATGTGAGTTCTAATTGGATTGAACATCTGTAATGGAAACAAACAAAACACGTAATCAACGAAATTTGACAAATATCGAGAAGTAAAGCGCACTTAGGAACATGAAAAAAAAGCAACTTCAGTTATTCGTTCAACTCAAATAAGTTTCAATTCACATTTGAGAATTCTAAGCAATCTGAATATTGATTAGGAGGGAGGAATAAATAGCAACGACGGGAGTGGTACTGAGATATTAATCATGAAAATGAAAGTTCGTGAGGCAAGTAGCAAAGAGAAAAAATTAATAATAGTGAATGCTGTTCAAAATAAAACAATGTAATAATTAGTATCGGCGGTCCGTTGTGATTTGTTGTGTGTGGCTGGATTCGAATAGTTGGTAACTTGGTGCATACGTCCGTGGCACTGCCTCTCCGCGCGCCCTTCAAACGTATTTGGTTTTATATGCATATGAAATGAATGTCGAACATGATGTTGATTGATTTGCCTAACATGAAAATGTATCGTTTCCATAGAATAGTTAAATCCCATCAATTATTCCTTATATTTTTCGGTGAGTTTTACAATATTATTATAACAATCAGGATATTATTTCTATAAAAATATGATAATTAAAATTATTACATGAATCGTTTTTTTATATTTATGATTGCACAAATATCCATTAACACTATTTTGCGTTTAAAGAGATAATAAAAAATTTAAATTTAAAGAATGGGTTTAGATTATACATATAGTTGGCGTCCGACGACTGCTGTACGCGCAAGGACTAACTGGTTATTTCAAATTTTATCGACCGGTTCGATAATTTTTTAATCGAATGACGTGGAAATTCAAGGAATTGCCAAAATCGTCAAGTAAAATGAAGCAGTTCACGTGAAAACAGCAAAATAAGCTTTCACGCGTGGCGAGACCTTTTCAAGGCTCATGCGCGTAAATCTACCCGTTTACAGCAGTCGCCGGACGCCGACTATATGTATACCGAAAATTATAAACTGTTTGAAAAAAACTTTATTTAACAAATCAGAAGTTTCATTCCTTTTTAAATCTGTGCATATAGTTTGATTAAAATATAGTCTGCGATTGAATCGATAATGTTTTGAACATTATTTGATATTCCAAACACATTCACAAAAGTAATTTATATGCAACGTTAATATGCAAATGGCTATAGTATTTTGCATCATCATCATCGTTATGCTCGTAATTTATATGTTAAAATATTCAGAATTCAAAATCGATATTATTCAAAAACGTTTTATGTACGTTAAAAGATGCGAGGAAATTTTTGGTGCTTTTAAAGTTGCCTCGGGAAGTGAAACACTTCGAGTGTATGGCCTCTGTTGGGCAACTGCTCGGTCAACCGTATGTAAATAAAATAAGTAAAAAGACGCGCTATTTTAAATCAAAAATATTAGATCAAGTTGAAAGTTCATAAATTTTGTTTGGCTCAGAAGCAGAACATTCAATGATGCTATGTCTGCTTATAATAGAATTAAAACAACATACCTTGAGAGAGTATTGTCGTAACCAATCAAAATCCCATCAGAATTTCTTATCAGATCCTGTAATTTCGCTAATAGTCGTATCGATATTTGTTACCTCGTGCAATACAATTTATTATTTATGGGTTGCAAATGCTTTGTTAGTAGATAAAATGCAAATCATATGATATTATATACATAACAGAGAGCTGTTTAGAATGTTGTAACCGATTGATTCCAATCCTAAAAATCAAATAAAAAACCAATGAAAGGCATCATGCGTAGTTGGAGCCATTCCGGCCGATATCAACACTGACATTGAAACCCTTGACTGGTTGGATCTCGACGGTTTCGTTCATTCCGTGAAGTCCAACAAATATCTTATAAATCCATGCTCCAATGACAGCACCGATAAGGGCACCGACAATCGGAATCCAGAAATAATATCCATGGGCACTGGAAAAGAATATAGGTATATGCATACGTGTCCCTGCTGATACCTGAAAACTTCCCATCCATATCCAGCGCACAGGCAGAAAACACGTGGTCCGAAGTCTCTTGCTGGGTTGATGGCGAATCCACCGTTAGCACCATAGGTCATGGCAACCTAGACAACAAGATTAACTACAATTGTAGCTTTGCGATCGCTACCATTGACATAATACTTCCGGCAAGAATTGGAACAGCCCCATCTGGAATCTTGTGTCGTTTGTCTGTGATGAGACAGACCAATCCCGAAAGCATCGCAGTTCCAATGATCTGAATTTTTAGTTGTTATTGTTTCTTGCTAATCTCTTTTTGTGTTCTGCAAAAGCTCGAACATCATGTCGATAATTGTTTCGTTCGACGATCTAATCATTCTAATTTGATAAATAACCATCGAAAACGAACTGTTTGATCTTTTGAAGACAGGCAACAAACGATGATTGAAAGAGATAAGCTTTTTTTCTTACCTGGTCGAGAAGACTTCCCCATGTTGACATGTGATCTGGCGGGAAGGTTGTGAAGAGTCCTGCGGTTCCTTGACTGCCAGTCACTTGACGGAATCCACCGTCGAGTTTCCACAAGTCATCTGAGAAATGATTGAATGAAATTTGAAAAAAAAAAAAAACATTGACTTTGTTTTTGGTGTCTTGCGGCGAACAGAAGTAAGCGAGTTTTTGCGATTTAAGGTACGCTCATTAAAAATGGTCAACACTAAGTCTACACTGGTTTCTTCCTGTCTGTCTCTCTTCAACAGTTTGCCACCGACGAAATTTTTTGTATCTTTTTTTTAAATACCGTGATGTCCAAAGTAGGAGACAGCGGCTCCAAGGAAAGCACCGATAAACTGCACAATTGAGTATGGAATAATCTTCCATGCTGGCAAGTTTCCGAGAATGCACTGGGCTACAGATATGGCCGGATTGAGATGAGCACCTGAAACATTTGCCTATTAAAAAAACGCAGACAGGTTTTCCATAGTTCAAACCAATTTCGAGAATATTCTATAGTTGTTATTGTGTACATTTATATAATTGGTTTTTGACCAACCTGAAACGCTGGCAGCTAGGAAAACCGCGAACATGAAACCGATTCCCCATGCGATGTGGCATGATGTTGAATTGCCACCAACTGCAACAGCAGCTTGGATGTTAGCAGAGTTACCGATAAGCTGGAAAGTTATGTGTAAATTATGAATGAAACGTATATATATAGTTTTTTCATACACACCAAGAGGAAGAAGGTTCCAATACATTCTGCGAGAAGCTCACGAGCGAATTGTTGATCCTCAATTCTCAATGCTTTAGCGACCTTGTCCTGTAACACTCCCATGTGCTGAAAAAAATATTTTGTTGAATAACATTAAAACAACCGCAGAACGAAGAACAAGGATTCCGCGGCGAATTTAAATAGGCAACGACGAATTCGTCGGTCATTGAAGGCGGAGTCTCGAAATACCGATCGAGGCGAAACGCAAAACGCGGCAATTTCGCCGAAAGAATTATGGTAATGATAATATAGCGTAGGCATGGCGGTTTGTACCGAAATTTTGTGAATAATACAACTGGAATTTTTCCATAATCGAGCCGTTTCAAAGTTTTTACGGTAATGGAAAAAAATAATAGTGAATCACAATGAATAATGTGGCGAGGCACACCCAAATTCTGAGGACGCCAGTACCCATTAACAGTAACTGCAAAAATGGAAAAGAAGACGTTTGAAGCGGATATTTATGTGGTGAAATTGATATCAATTGAATTCTTGAACTCTGGTGTCTATTCTATTCGACAGCGTGAAAAACCCCGCATGATTTTCAAAAGTTGTTACCGATATACGACAATTCATCAACTATTTCTCGGTGGACTATCACGAGATTCGACATTTCATTATAGCGGGAAAAATTGCAAAGTTTCGAGGAAAAATAAGCATTGATGTTAAATTAGATTCTGTTTGACCAATTGAATTTCATTGAGGTCATCTCAAATCGTGAAGTTAGAATAACTAACTTAAAAAAAAGCTGTTTGAACCTGATTGCAAGTAATTCGGTTTTTGATCTCCTGAACGAACCTGAAAACAGGCATTGAACAATTATTCGAAATTACACTTCCATAATTGGGGTTTGATCAACGAATATTGTCAACTAAATAGATTTATATATTTTAGAATTAATTTTGTTTGTTTTGTTTAAAAAAACTTCTGTGGTTGTCGGGAATATCGGTTAATTCTATAACTTATCATTTATTTTCATATTTTTAAATATTATTTTAAAGTTTTTATACAGAAATGAAAAGTGCAGTATTCTGTTTAGTCAATAAAGCCTTTCTAATAAAATGTTTCATTTCGCAAAGTTGTTCCAAGATTATAGCAGAAAGGTTCACGTTGTGAAAATATTTTATTATCTTTATCTAAAATTTCCAGCATTTTTCAATCGCTTGAACAGAAACTAAGAAAAGGAAATGTAAAAATGAGGTACGAAGACAAATTTTTTGTAAAGTACCCGAATTTAGAGAAGTAAGTGGTTGAAGATAGTTTTTTCGTAGTTCGAAAAAAGAACACCAGAAACGTCTCCATTTTTCTTGTATTTTAGATACTCAAAAACACATACGGAACCTGAAATCCACTTTGTGTTTCTTTCAAGGACGTCATTCTCAATGTTGCTTCAAAACAAATTCAAATTTCATTGGTGTAGAAGAAATTTTAAAAGTATGTGCCAGTAAACAACACATAAAATCTACCTCAAACTTAATGCGATTGTTTTTTTTTGGAAATTCTCGTTTTTTTCTTCATTTTTGACTATCTTTAGTGTATCAAATTAGCGTTCCGGGTTCATTTTGCCAAAAACTTTCGTTATACTGAAAGAGAGATTGCTTTGAAACTGTCACGTAGACAACGGGTGACCGAGAGAAACAGATACACAAGTTCCTTCAAAAGATTGATTAATGGTTTTCGAAAGTTTCGTTTCATCGTCAAAATTGGATTTTAAAAGTTCACTATCATGATTTGAGTGAATGAGAAGAAATCTAAGAGATATTCTTGTGTGTTGTGAATTTTAAAGGTAAACGGAAAAATCATGACTATGAAACCATCAACCCGAGAGAAAGATCTCAGAATTAAATATATCAACCGAAAATGATATGAATTATATTTTCACACAACTGTACTGGAATGGTATATATTTAGTTTATATTATTATTTATATATATATAAGTATATTGATTTATTTATATAGTTAATAAAATTAGAAAAATATGAGAGCACTATGTAGCAAATGTAATAAGAGTATGTTTTAATAGTCAACTGAATTTTAATTCTTCACTATTTCCTGGTCGAAAACTACGTTATTTTTCACGGTCAATACTCATTGCGCAAGTGAAAATTCACTTTCAAACAGGAAGTAATCAATGAAATTGGTATGAGGAACTTTATCATACAATTTTTGCTTAATCTTCAAATTGTTAGTTTCAGAATAAAGAAAATATTCAGTGAAATTACAAATTGATGAATAATATAGCTTGTCTGAGAAGAGATATAAAAAGCTCCATATTCTTCAATAAGTTTTTGAAGTGGAAGACTGTATTTAGATTTTGCCTGACGATGATGATTCGTCGAGTTTCTAAGTTAAATAAGCATCGAAATACTTTATAAATCTACACGAATTGCAAATAGGAATAAGACGATAATACATGGATAAATTAAACTGTCCGACGATAATATGAATCTATTTCGTTGTAAAAGTGAGATCATTTAAGTGGTTATCGACCATTTTTTCAAAACAATTTTTTCAATATTATTGTCAAATTTGGAACAAGCATTGAATCGATTTCATAGAATTTGCAACAGAGTGAACGCCACGGAAATTAAGTTACTGTACTCGAAAGAATCGAAACTTGCCGTTTTCAACATTGAAGAACAATCATCGAAAATAGTCAACATCGTTGTTTGTGCTTATTTATTCACATTAAACATATCTCACTTTTTCAAACTACAAAAATTTTCATCCCTTCAAGGAAAACAAATGTTTTTTTTTGTTTTATAATTTATATTTCTGCATTTTATGTTTCATTTTCTCTAATATTTGGTACATTGATTAATTAATTATCACATATCATTTAGTTTTTTCTGTATTGTATCAAATAAACTAAACATATTTTTCTTGTGCTTTCTATTGTTTATTTCGCATAATGAAATCAAATTTCAACTTTACTAATTTCAGTGAATAACACGCTTTTTTTAAATTTAAAAACAATTATTTAAATATATTGTTAACAGGGCTCTTCCTTTAACAAAACTTGTTTCCACGAGTTATAAAATATTTATAACGTTATAGCTATCTTCATTTTTCTCGTCATTCACATTCCGATTACTCATTGTGTTTTATTTTTAATCGATCTATATGAGTCAGTCTGGAGAAACACATTTTTGGTCCGCAAATGTGCGTGCCGATGTTTGCACACCAATTCATTATTAACCGCTTGCGCGAGCTCCGTCTTCTTTGTCTCACTGAACATTTATTGTTAATGCTCTTCCAAAATCTTGTCGATGCTCTTTTGATAAAATTCGATTTTTTTCAGATATGGGATTAGCAGAAATAAACAGAAAATTGGCCATTATTGGCGATTTCTTTTTAAATTGGGGCGGATCGATGATTGTGGTTTGTTATTTATTTTCAACTGATTTTTTCAAAGTCTTTTATTTTCAGAGTTTAATGATTGCTAGTATATACTACTCTTGTGTTCACGTTATAGCCGATATGGTGATGCTTAATTATAGCTGTTTAATAATTGTATTTATTCCAGATGTACACAGAAAAGGAAATCGAAGTATTAACAATAGTAGCGAACGTCATTGTCATTCAAATTATTATCAATTTAATTTGTTTTATATATTATTCAAAGTACGGATAGATATTGATTCTTTAAAATGTAATTTGTAAATTTTCAGGTATAATAGCGTGACATATTGGCATCGTAGATCATGCGTTGCTGATTTAAGATCATATGCTGAAGAAGCTGAAGGTAAGTTTATGTTTATTATTTTAACCCATCAATTATGTGAATTTAGAACAGGAAGTTTTCGAATTTGTCACTGGACAGCCGACAGTTGAAGAACACCTTAGTTATATTCCAACAGATGAAAGTGGAAGCAAATTTTGTATCACCTGCAATCGGCAAGCTCCGCAAAGGTATGCAAACTTATTAATCCATATACTATCTGAATAAAAAGCGAATCAAACCATTTGGATTTATGTACATTGTCTAAAAATTTAAAGCCTTTTCAGATTCGAAATTTTTATTAATATGAAACTAAACTTAATCGAATTAGATAAAGTAAATAGTATTTAATTTCAGGAGTCATCATTGCCCACTTTGCAAGATGTGTGTTCTGCGAAAAGATCATCATTGTTTTGTAACCGGTGCTTGTGTTGGACTAGGAAACCAGAGATATTTTATGGTTTTCCTATTTTGGTGCTCACTTGGGATTCTAATCGCCGTTCCACATCTTTGGTTCTACATGAACGAAGAAATCGCATATTGGTATGTTCCATTCGCTTAACATACCATAATGCGATTCTATTGAGCATTCTAGGTACCCATATGGATTTCTCAATTTTGTTGGACCCGTTGCGGTGGTCAAATGGATGCTTGGATATTCACCATTTTCTCATGCAGTTATGTCCACAATATTCTCATTTTCAATTGCCGCTTTAATAACTGCAGGCGGATTTTTAGGAATGCAGGTAAGGTTTAAAAATCAACAAGTTAGTTTCTACCCATATTGTGTGCATAAAACGCTTTTTCGCAAGTGTTGGTTCACATGGTTTTCTAAAGAGAGAGAGAGAGGGAGAGAAAAGCAGAGAAACAATTGCGACCCAAGATTTCTTAAAATAATTTTTGTCATATAATAAAACTTTAAACAAACAATAAACGTTTCAAGATAAAAGAACACTCACGTTCTTTAGAACTCGCCTTGTGCAAATAATATGTAACCCGAATTTTTTATCAAAAGCTAGAAAACTGATAATTTTTTCCCTTCCGCATAAAAGAAGAAGCAATTTACAGCACTTGAGTGCCCAATTATTGTTTACATATGTCGTAATGTTAAATTTCAACAATTAATAAATCGCATGACAAATTATCAAGAACGGGCAATCATCGATAATGATTGATAACATAATTAAAGTGATTATAGGAAATCATCAGAAATTTGCTGGATCGTGACTGTAAAAGAAATATTTCAGTTGTATTATACGGTTCATGGCTACACCATGTATGAGTATCACAATTTGACGGTTCGTGCAACATTTAACGGCGACGGGTAAACTCAACACAATATATTAAAAACACATCATCGTACTTCTTTTTCAGCGAAAATACTGGGGAACGATTTCGCCTTGTTTTTGGCAAAAACTGGTTTCTCAATTTTCTGTTCCCTCAGCCGTGGAATATGCCGATCCTAACACCAGCAATATCCGATAGTCTCTTCCGTGTGCGAAGCAAAGTCTTGTGATAACGTGCACGAACTAAATCTGCAAAAAAGTCGATCAATCAACGAGGTCATGGAAGCATCTCATTACGTTGTCATTAATATTCATATAAATGTATTTATTGAACAAAATCGATAAACATCAGTCATACTTGAATACACCAGAATGTGACACATCGTAATGTAACTTAGAAAAAGAGCAAATTCGAATCACAATTATATAACACAACCAGTGCGATTTCAGTAGAATGGTTGAATGAGTGGGGTATGTGGGGGAGGAAAGCAATAAAATTTATATCAATAAAACATTTTTTGAAAATAACAAACAACGAGGAGCAATTTTAATTTTTCCACACCAGAAAAAACTTAAGCATTACATTTTTAACAACAACTCACTTACCATTATTACAAGCAAAAAGTTTATGTACTAGTTTCAACAGACCCGTAAGCAGCTGATGGCGGAGGCATAGCTATAACAGTTGGTCGCGGGGGTTCTTCATGATTAGCACTTCTAGATGGCGAGTCGGCAGATGTTGGTTGTTTGGTGATCGTGTCGTCGTCATCATCGCCAGCTGCCTCAGCATCGGAGTCATGCTCATCCGCCGGTTTGTATTTGCCACAGCAGAAATTGCAGCAGCATTGGCAGCAACACATGCATCCGCAGCAGCAGAAGAAGAAACCGCAAGTAAGAAGGCCGAATGCAAAGAATGTCCATTTGAACCATGGCTTCAACATATACTGAAGAACCTTTTCATCTTCTCCGAACTGCTCCATCAACTTGAGGCCAGTTTCACCCAGTTCATCGTAGACTCTACGCTTGTTGGGATTTGAGAGTATGGCATTAGCGTAGTTTATTTCTTTGAATTTTTCAGTCTTTTCCAAGTCGCCGTCCAAGTTTTTATCCGGATGATACTTAAGAGCAAGCTTGCGGTATGCCCTGAAATGAAAAACAATGAGCTTCTATAAAAGGAACATATTTTTCGATGCTCGCCGGTTTTCATATTAGTCCAACGTCGGCAATAAATGTATTTCAATAAATATGTATCAATAAGAAAATATGTATCAATATTAATGTGTCAATAAATGTATGTAATGTATAAATGGACGTTGGAAGAAAATGATTGATATTGTTTTCACGTTCAAAAGATACTTGGTGACTCATGTCAATTTTTGGTGTACTGTAAAATAAAAAACCAGTAGCAAAAAATTGGCGAGCCATCGGTTTCTTTGGAATAGTTGAACAAATATTCAAAATTCTATAACTAACATTTAAAATCTTATAAACTATTTCATAATCACGCTTCGATGTTCCCATAAAACGTAAAAAAAAATAAACTTTGGTGATAAAAATACCACAAATGTTTCAACTCACTTCTTTATTTCATCGTCGGACGCCGTTTTCTGGATTCCCAATACATTATACAGATGCTGTCCTTTTTTGGAATCTATATTTGATGCCGTTTCTTGGGCATTGTGACGCCCTTCTTCCGCAGCGCGTGACTCGTCACCGGCCATCTGAAGAAAGCGCGTTGCTATCAAAAACACCGGAAGTTCAATACGATTAAAAATAACGGAATGTTGTTGAAATATCGTTTATGCGGATTATTATGAAGTAATCTATATGTAAAACGATTGTTTCATCGAGGTGCACTCATGACAACCAAAAACGAAGAGAGGAAAAACGATAAAAACGGCGTTGAACAGCATGTTTGCAGAGAATTGGTTCGATTTGCTTTGTGACACTCATTGTGTTGAACCGCAAGCGCGCTCCATTGTGAATGGTCCTACACCGGCGTCTTTCCAACGCTCAACACGTATAACCCATGTTACCGTATATTTTCGTTTTGAAATCGGCGTTGCCTAAACATTTTTGCGTATTTTTTCTTTTTTTTGGATGATTTTGAAGTTTTCACATCAACCTTAATTATTTCGCAATTTTTTTTTCAGAATACACGCTTCATGGTATGTTCACCATTTGGAAAGCATCAACGATAATTTTGATAGGACAATGCTATTCACAATTCGTCGCACCTCCTACACGACCGATCAATTTATGGGATCCATTTGGTGAATCGACAACAGAAGAACCTCCCCATCAGGTAAATTTGTTCAATTTTGTCAAAAATTAGGCAAATCTTTTAGGGTTTGAATAAAGATGAAGTAGTGGTTCGCCTTCCTCTTGGAGATATCGTTGGAAAGGAAGTGAAACTTGAAAATTTACCTTGGACTGCAAACAAGGACCCTACAGAAGAACTGCCAAAGGATGGGACGCATTTCGATCCAAATCCTCTTTTGGCAAATAACACCGTCACCGTTTTTACATTCTTGGGTGTTCCTTACGCAGAACCACCAACATCACAAAGAAGATTTAAGGTAATTCTTTATAAAAAATTATTTATACCTCAAACCACATTCATTGTAGCCACCACAACAATTAACAGCATTTCCTGGAAAACAACCGTTTTTGGCATTTAATTTTGCAGCCACCTGCGCTCAAGATGTTGAAAAGCGACCGGTTCCGGTTGTGGATCACGCTTATCCATTTATTGTCGACGAGGATTGTCTGTATTTAAATATTTTCTCACCAGATGTAAGAAATTTGGATATTTCGGCTTGATCTAAATCGCCTATTTTAGATATCCAGAAATTCGCGTGTTCAGTATCCCGTGCTTGTATTTTTCCATGGTGGAAATTTCCAGACGGGATCTGCAAATGAATGGCCAGCTCATGGACTTGCTTCCAGAGGAATGGTCGTAGTTACAGTTAACTATCGGCTTGGAGCGTTCGGGTTCATGAGTATGGGAGATTCCGACACTGGCAATTACGGAATTCAAGATCAGAAACTTGCCTTAGAGTTTGTTCGAGATCATATAGCTTCTTTTGGAGGAGATCCACAAGCAGTAACCGTTGTTGGACATGATGCAGGCGCAGCTTCCATTGGATATCATATGCTCTCGCCATTTTCTCGTCATCTCTTCCGATCTGCCGCGATGATGTCTGGTGCTGAAGTTTCCTATCATTCATACATCGGAAAACCCGCTCTGGCATTCAACAACACAATCAAGCTTGGTAGATACTTAGGATGCTCACAGAGCGAACCGCAACATGTTTGGGATTGTATTCTGACAAGATCTACAAACGATATTGTCTATGCCACGCAGACGATTCCTGTCGAGTAAGTGAGTTTTATTATTGGCCTTTTGAAAATTTGCATTTTTCAGATTCAACAGATATTTATTTATGCCAACTGTTGATGGCAGATATCTTCCAGGGAATCCGTACTGGATTCTATTGAACGCTCCAACCGGCGACACCTCTGTTATGAGTCCAGTACCACTGTTGATAGGAATGAATGCTCAAGATGGAAGTGAAGTTGTTTTAGAAGATCGGCGAATGGGAGAATTCAGTCAGTTCGAACTAATTGACCAGGAATACATGAAAAGCTTCACATTGGAATACTGCTTCCGGCATAATTACACAATGAATCGTGAAGCGACTGCTGCTGCTATCTTATCGAAATACACTTTCTGGCCGGATCGAGCCGACGTCTGGGCTATTCGGGAAAACTTTGTGCAGCTTGCGACTGATGCTTACTATACCGCCCCAATGCAGCTATCAGCGCATCTTCATTCCGCTTCTGGATCTCGAGTTTTTCAATACGTCAACAATTACAACTTCAGTAAACAACATCCAGAGATGGAGTACGTTCCTGATTGGATGGGTGTCTGTCGTGAATGCGATCTTTATCTTCTCTTCGGTTACCCATTCCTTCCTGACGAGTTGAGACCCATGGCCCTAAAAGGAATCAATTTTACTGAAATTGATAGAAATGCCAGCAGAACTTTCTCGAATATTTTTAGACGATTCACATTATACCAGTAAGAGTTACTAATAATCGTATTCCTTTAATTCATGACAACTTCAGAAATCCGAACTTCCTCTATGATGGAAGCTGGGATGCTTACGAACCGCGCCGACATTGGTACATGAACTTCAATTATACAACGAAAGACGATTGGAAAATACCCGGAACGAAAGGGAGGGATTATCGCTACGAAGATGTCGCATTCTGGAATGAATATATTCCATCGTTGGTGAACTACATGACGACCACGTTCTCGCCGGAAAACGTTGCTTATCGACGAGAGATAACAGTGTTTATGTGGGTTACTGGAGTAAATGTGATGATTATTTGCCTGCTCATCGTTCTGGCTGGTGCCTTCGGTTATATGGTGTTTGGTAATCGCGAAGAAGATCGGAAAATTGAGCGAGAATGCAACCAACTGGTTGAATATCGTGATACGTTCAATTCCGACGCTACAATGTCTGAACGAACAAGATCTCCAAGATCAAGGCTTACTAATTTATAAGTCACATATCCTTTGTCATTCTGTATTTATATTGTACATTCTTTTCAATCACTTACATATATTGTACGAGTTTCCACTAGATCTCATTTCATCTGCTTTAATATCAAAACCAAAGCCTTAAACGTGAATCTCACGATCTTAATAAAGTGTCAAATTTTTGTTTCCTGCCCAATAGTTTCATTCTTGTTAAATCCGGTTTCGAACCGCTTGATACCTTCTTTATTTTTGTATATTTAATACTATTCTCAATTTGTTTTTTAAGGGTAAGAAATGGCACCAACAAAGGCTGCTCCAGCGAAAGGTAAGGTCGCAAAGGCCATTGACAGCAAGAAGAAGGTCGTAAAGGGAGGAAATACTCAACATAAGAAGAAGATCCGCACGTCGGTTCACTTCCGTCGCCCGAAGACCCTTCGTCTTTCTCGCGCCCCACGGTAAAAAAAGGAGAATATAAATAGAAAAATCTTATTCTTTTACAGCTTCCCACGCAAGTCGGCTCCAGCCAAGAACAAGATGGATGCTTTCAAGGTCATTCAGCACCCATTGACGACTGAATCCGCCATGAAAAAGATTGAGGATCACAACACTCTTGTGTTCATCGTTGACGTCAACGCCAACAAGAACCAGATCAAGCAAGCCGTCAACAAGCTCTACAACGTCAAGGCCCTTAAGGTTTGTATCAATCTACGACGAAAGACACTGGCTTTGTATGCCCGGTAAAAAGCGATATGCTGTTTATCGGTTGATTGAAAGCCAAAAGCAATTGCAAGGCAATACAAACAATCATTAAATGTTTTATGATTGTCCTTGCCTCTTGAAACAAATATAATTGAATCAAATATGTTTTTAAACTCACTCATTTCAGGTCAACACCTTGATCACCCCACTTCAACAGAAGAAGGCCTACGTCCGCTTGGGAGCTGAGTACGACGCTCTCGACGTCGCCAACAAGATCGGTGTTATCTAAATTCTCTATCTTCGTTGTTATTTGTTTCAAAATGAATATTCTGTTACAAACAATCACGTTTTATCTTCTTTATCTAAAAAGGGAGGGTGCAATCGCGTAGCCGAAGCTAGCCGTAAGATGAAAATAACTTCGAACGATTGATTGGAAAATAACAAAAAAATAAGAAAAGAGAGATATGAGAGGAACGTTTGACTAATCCCGCACTATTCCACGCTACAAAGAAAAAATATAAAGCTCATAAAGCTTTTGGTTATACAAATTATTATTGTTGCATAGAAAAAAAAACGAAGGTAAAGGAGAATAGGAAAAATGAAGAATGGCAAGAAATACGTTATAAATGTCGAATTAGTTTTTCTTCGATGGAAGGGACATTATTTAGAAATTCGAAATTGGGGTTTACAGCAATTTTTGAAGTGTTGTACGGAGAAAAAAACAAATATCAATTTCGAGCAAAAATATGCTGAAAATCATATTCGTTTTCAACTAGATTCAACTACATGTCAAAAAACGAAAGAGTAATAGCGCAACAATTTATTCACTGTACGGCGGTGGTGGATCCCTCATCAGAGCGATGATTAAATCTTCCTCGTGAGTTGTTCTTGGTCTGAAACTAATAAGTTATTGTGTTAGTGGTCGTTTACGCGTTTCATACCTCTTGTTGCGCATTAACAAACGTGTTAGGCTTCTTTCCAATTGGCGATCACGAATGACAGCGATTAAGGGGTTAGCGACACAGTGGACGGAGAATGCGGCAACTTCAATTCCCATAATTGAGTTGTACTGTTGGTCCTGAAACGATTAGTGTGTTCTTAAAATGAATGTTTTATTGATTTATTACTTTTTCACGGTTTTCCCAAGCAACCATCATGAAAATGATTATAAACGACAACCCATTGAGCAAAAGCCACAGTGAAGCTGTGGCGCAGTCCTTACGAAGACGGGTAACGTTTGCATTTATCTGAAAAATGTTCACAATTGTTTGAAAATCTAATTCGATTTTGTTCGAACTTCAGGACTCATTCTTTGGGCAATAATGAGTTGAATGAGGTTGAGTGGGTGAATGATGAGGTTCAAGCAGAGGAAAACGGATAATAGGGCAAGATGGAATGGAACCGCAAGGACGAATGATCGCGAAAGGCGAATCAGGAAGAAGTCGGACAAAAGGAGCAGAATGACCAAAAGCCAGGTAGAACAAATCAAGCGAGATATTTGCGATCTGAAATGACATAAACGCTTTTCTGTGAATTTGCTGAACGACGATTGTTTCAATATGTATATCAAATTTTTATTATGATTTTAACACTTCTTTTCATGCTAGAAAAATATTGCAATAGTAAACAAATGAATTCATTTTCAAATTTTTTTCGTATTCAATTTTCATTTATTTAGATACCATATTCTACCAAAAATAACTTTTATTAGTATTCAACTTACTACGAATTAATTTGTTTCAAATTTAATAATTCTAAATTTCACAATTGAAATGCATATCTTTTGCGATTTATGATGTATTGCGTTTCGGTTTTATATTAAATTATGAAACCAAAGACGATTACGTGTTCGGAAGCTTTTAGGGCCCCATTCGACATTTGAAGAAATCTAATTAAATTTATTCGTTTTGTGCATGCCATTTCTCATTGCAAAAATATTCTTGAATGATAATGGATGCTTCTCATTTATTACGATTCGATTCTCCATCATATTCATATTTCACAAGGAAAAATATACTAGCTTTTACGTAGCCAATGAGACACTAATGAAAATCTCAAGAGACATCTTCACTCGAGTCCATTGACTTGCGAATGTCACATTCAGATGAGCAAACGCGCACACTTTTTTTTTGCTGCTATTTCCCTTCACTGATGACGTACTTCAAACACTTTCAACGAATTAGTCAAATGGAAAACGAAATGGTTTTGTGTACCTGGAGAGGTGATAATTGTGGCGGGCCAATGCGTGCACGAAGCCAATCGTCAACAATGTCAACAGACTAATTGTCGAGTTTAGAAGGATGGCGGTAGTGAGCGCCGGAAAACGCTCCAATTCCACAAACGATCTCGATTTCATATCCGGAAACTAAAACAAAACAAATTCTTAAAATCTGTATAGTTGCACTCAAATCTAACCCCAACAACCCCAACAGCCAATTGATCTTTAAAAGGGGGACATAGTCGGAGAACGTGAGAATTCTGTCCCCCAACTCAATTTGTCACAAGAAACATTTTTTTCGCTCAAGCTTCTACGAAAATTGCCTGAGGAAATTGTTACAGGATTTCCTTTCTTTCCACACGCTCACCACTTTCTCAGACGCATTCATGCAAGACAAAATTCAAGCTATATTCAGTTAATGATGAGTAAGTAAAGATCTTGGGCATGTTTTTATATACTTTTTTATTTCACAAAAAAAACTAATTTCTGATCACTTCCAGGTTCATGCTTTTGTCTGAAAATGCTTTATGCACAACAAATCGGTCTCATTATTAATGTGTATCTTAATTTGGCAGGTGCTTGACAGAAATGACTGCCCATTTTTTGAGAAGAAACGAACAAATTGACGATCATACCTGCTTCATGACAGCTTGTTGACAAGACGATTCCAAGCATTGCGTTGGATTCAAGGAAGAGAATATCGTCACAATAGCAGTGATGCTATTACAGACCCAGAGACTTGTTGAGAGCAAATGAAGACTGGTGTGGAGACGACGTTCCGATGCAATCGAAATCAATACTAGGAGATTGAAACCTAGTTGCAGAATGGCTAGAACGAAGTTCAGGGATGAGGTCCATAGCCACATCGGCACCTTAATTATAGATTTTAGTACGTATAATAGACAAGCTATACGATGAACGGATGTGTAGCGATTCGAATGTTGGGATGTTGGTAGAATACTAATCTCAGCATAGAACAAAACTGACAATGGTTTGAGCTAAGCCGACGACATAATTAACGTACTGAAAGGTACATATTTATTCCCACAAGCCGGGCGACTATGGTGGAATGTACCACTATGATGTCAATTTTCCCACGGAAATGTATTTCTGAGGTTGTCAGTCATTCAAAAAAATGAACACTTGAAAAAAGAGAAAAAGAAGAGAATGAAGAAAAATTGAATTGAGGAGGTTTTGGATGCACTAAAAGAGTGATGTCTTTGCGATAATTGAACTCAAAACCAAACGCTTGCGTTTTTTTTAATGCTATTTTTGCTTGAATGTGTGCTTGTTGAACAAATTCGAACTAACTCGACTGGTTTTTCCTCCAAGTAACCTTTCTCCATGAAAAGATGTCGAGAAAAGGAAAGAAAGAAGGAGAGAAGTGCCGAGCAAAATAAACGACATCTACAGCGACACAACGCAACGACAACGAAGTAAAATAGGAGAAAAAAATGCGGAATAAAAAGAACCGCCCAGTCTGCGTTTCCATGTACGATTCTCGCTTCTCTAATGTTCCTTTTCGACTCATAAGCCATTTTATTTCCTCAAAAAAGCTTCCTAGAATTGATTATGCATTTATCGAAGCATAAGATTGTTTGTGCATTTTTTTTGGGTTGCAAATCTCAAGAGCCGTTCCATCACCGTCACCGTTGTCGATATGCTCCGTGTCTAACAAATAGAGAAGAAATAAGTCTTCGAAGATGAATACTGTTTATAGCAAAATCGAAAAAGCGGAAATCCGATTTTTTTTAATTAGTATGATTGTTTTGTCATTATGACGAGAAACAAGTAAGTACAGCACGTTGCATGACAAAGTTGTAGGAAATTGTCGAACGAACCTGGAAAGAAAGTGATGGATGGCAAAAAAAATATATGCATGCATTCATACTTCACGAGTGCAAAATTCAATAACGTCGTTTTCAATGAATCATTAGGCAGAAAAAAAAGAATGGCAAAGTGAATTGATGTTCTCTTCTCCGGAAATGCTCATCTTTTACTAGTCTCTCTAAAAAAAACCGAATTGCAAAAAAAGTCCAACAGATTAAAATGAAAAAATTCTCCATTTCCTGATTAAAAATAAAAAATGTTTGAAAAATCTGAAGAAATTTCATTACGGTACAATTAAAACGAGTAATTTCTTGGTTTCATTTCCATTTTTTTTCACGTATCAATCGAATGAAGCATTTTATATATGTCGTGTTTTTCCCTCCATTTGTAAAAAACAAGCATGTCGAGAAATTGTGCATTCGTGATGTGCAAAAATCTTCAACTAGTTGGAAAACTCAACAAACACTCGACAAACGTCGCCGAAATCTTTGACGTAAAGTAGAGGAGCGACGTTTGCATTAAAAGTTGAATATTTTTGACGGAAAGAAGAAGAAGAAAAAAGTTTACCAAACGCATGCATGAAAACTAAATGAGCCAAACGAAAATCCTCAAAAAAAAATGACGCTCATTTTTTTCGGAAGACAAATATTTAAAATGCCAATTTGTCTTAAACAGAATGACGCTAGTTTAATAAACCATGAAAAAAAATAACAAGGTGATACGAAAAATAATTTTTGGGGTGGAAAATAAGCAACGAATGAGGCATACGGAACGTACTAGAACTGATAGTGTTCAATGTTTATTTGGTTTTGACGGAAATGTTTTGGGAAAATTGAGAACATTGCTTATGCGCCATTGATATATTAAAATTTGCAGATTTCTCTGAAAACTAGCTTATTAGAAAAATCGTCACAAAATGGGATTTTGAGCATAGAATACATTTTTGAACGTGATTAAGGGAATGTGAAAAAAGTCTATGAGATTAAAATCAACTGGAAAAATGGGAAAATGAGCAGATGTTTATGTATGACTGAATTATTCCGGGAATTTTTATCTTGAAGAAAATCGAAGGAAAAAAAAAAGAAGAAGTCCTTGGTTCATTGAAATCAAAAGCCCGCCCTCTTGTGTGTTTGAAGAGAGTAGATTCAATTAAACCAAATTCCGAACAATGCAATGAAGCAAAAAGTGCCTTTGGCTGATTCATGAAAACGCATTTTTGTGAGCTGAGAGAAATCAAAAAAGTGGTTTTTCTCATTCAAAATGCCTTACTTCCTTTTGTGGAAACGTGTTAGATGGGATTAGATTTGTGACGCAGGATAAATAGTTGTGGAATATTGTAAATTGAGTGTTAGTTAAGAGAAAACAAGTTGTGTTCGCAAAATGAACGAAAATGAAAATAACATATTTGAATGTATTAATATATATATATATATATATATATATATATATATATATATATATATATATATATATATATATATATATATATATATATTTTAGGTTACATTTTAAAAAACTTTTAATTCATTAATATTCATTAATTTGTTGTTTTTCTTTAGCTAAATAAATATACTGAACTGAGTTAGCATAAATGAAGAAATAAAGGTGTCAAAGTAGCTATACAACAACAAAAACAACTCAAATCTTGAAAACAAGCAGGTCAAAGCGTGTGAAATATAACCTTTTGCTAGAAAGAAAATAAAAGTTATTGTTGTTAGACGCGCGCCGAGATTCAACCCAACCTTAGAGAGAATGACTAAGCGTTTTTTTTCTTATGTAAATTAGTTTCGTTTGTGAGCCACATAGCCACCGTATACTTGAAAAACTAAACAGATGAAAACGACAAATTGCTCGAATATTCAAGAAAATTCACATTTGCTGGAGAGAAAAAAAACAATGAATACTTCCAATACTGCAAATAGTGTTCACTTTTCTAACTCCATTTGAACCTTAGAGAACATCATTTTAGAATTTGATCGAAATCGTATCACTGCTTTCCTCAATTATGAATGCATAATAATCAAAGTTGCATTTGGTAAATAGATATCAAACAATGGAAAAAAAACTCGATATTATTGGGTGATTCCATTAATGATTTTAATGGTTTTAATTTGAAGTTCATGTAGTTCATATCCACAGAAATTGATCATTCGTAAATTCCATAAGAAAATTAAAAATGATTAATTAATACTGACAAGTTTGCTTTCGTTAATTAACACCAAAAATTAATGCGATGTCTTCTAATACTACCTTATGTTTAATTCTATAAATAATGAATGAAAATGCGTCAACGAAAAAACAACGATGTGAATCGGATGTCTTAAAGGTTTTCATTGTACCAATGAAGACATAATCAGGTCAAGAAGATTAAAAACGTTGAAACGAATTAGCATTTCGAATCCTTTGAGAAAAAAGGTATATTTGTACAATATTAAAACCAACTCTATTGGTTGGCCTCAAATTTTGAAGAACGGCGCACTCCAAATTACTAATTCATTTTATTGTAGCAAACTTGACGAATGGTTCAAAATTGAATTAGAAACCACTCGAGTTGGAATAACAAACACCTTTTTGTTGTCGAGTTCTTGCACACGCATATTACTTTATACATTCATCAAATAGCAAAAAAACGCAGACTTTCTGCTTTTCATCATTTCACAATGTTGTCATTTCCAATAAAGATTGGAGAAATTAGAATGAAGTGGTTCTACACCCCAAGATTTGAAAAATGCATATAAACCTTCAATTTCAATTTATCGTTCAGCTCATTTCAAACATAATCGTGAATTGGTCTTTTTTGTCTTTAAATTAATAGGTTTTGCAGTTAATTACCATTGTGTAATAGCTAGGCGTTATATGATATATAATTAAACTAGTAGCTTGCTGCCTTTTTTCCTTGTCAATTTTCTATCCATTCTCATAATTAAATTTTGTTCCTATATATTTACTCTTCCAGAGTTTATTGATGTACAACGAATGTATTCTTATATTACTGTATAGTCTAGTTAAAACCGTTATCAATGTGCCCGAATTACGGTCATGGGCAGAGAACCGATTTATCAGGTGAGATAAATCTTTTTTAATTAATTCATCTTTCGAAAAAAAATGAATATGAAGTTTTATAAATTATATAAATAACGTATAATTTTGTAAAGCAAAAACAATGTAAAATTAAAAAAAGAAATTGGTTATACTTTAGTATTACTCGAAGACCACAAAAGATTTTATATTCAACCAAAAAGGCAGAAGCGGAATGTTGAAATATAGAGAGCAAACGGTAAAAAATAACCGATCGCCTTTTATTTTACTATTTATCAAGCAAAAATTTGTATATTCTGAAAAAGATGTTAGTAATTTGCTTCTGAAAATGATTCTAAGCATTTCTAGTTTTCATACTAGAAACAGAAACAATTTCAGTAAAGCTTCAAGATTATCATTTTTTAAAATTTTAATGATATTTTCCGGAATTCTGTGAAACTCGAAAGAAACGTCACCATTCGTAAATTTTGAACACGAAATTCGAAGGAATACGTGACTTACTCTGAAAAATTTCACTTCCATGACGGCGATGTGTGAAATACCAGTGATTAACAATATGTCGAATGCATGTGTGCGTCGCACAAGTGGTAGATTTCGCAAAGCCACTGATCTGAAGTAGTCACGCTTGATATACCGAATTTTGAAAAGCACTAAAATCGAAATATCTACAAAAACGTGGAAGTAAAGTAAATTCGATTTTAATCATTTGACTTTTCAGTTGCGTGTATTGCCTTAACTACGAGAAGCCCCATATAATTCTCAACGCGTGTAGCGCGCGGAACCCATTGTATTGCACAGGAAATAGCTGTTTTATGAGTTTGAATACAATACGAAATCGAAAAAATGTTCATCAATAATTATTTGTAGGAATCGATAAAAAAAATGTAGGAATGTATACAAGTGGATGTCTGAATTTGACAATAGAACAAATGGCAAGGATTGCTGAAGTGCGCAAAAAGTGAGATTTGAAAAAAAAAATGAAAAAGAAAAATCAAAAATTCTTTGTGAAAGTTTGGAAAAAAATATAAGTGTGTTCAAAGCGATTTTCATTTGTTGAAAGAGGGCATGCTCGCACATTTACATTTATAGAAAATTTAATCAACATTGGGTTTTAAATTTTTTTTCAATTTCCAGATCACCAGAAAAAGGAAATTCCAACAGCACATTGCTTTGCGAGGTTTCATAAGATATGTTATTAAACATGAGTCATGAATTTCAGCTAACTGATAATAGTTCTACTTGTGTTTGCTCAAATGAGCATAATTGCAATTCGCTAAACTCAAATTTCGAATTCAGGTACACAGTTTAAGCAATTCTAGTGAGGAATATTCAGAGAATTTATTTAGTGAATACACAAATACGCAATTCTTCACAAGTTTTGATTTTGAACAAGACAGCTTCATCAACTTTTACATTCCACATGAATATCGTAAAATTCTCAAGGCTAGAAGTCAGATGAATCGAGCTATTGTGAAATCGGATCGTGGAATAATTAATATGCCTTCATTGTTATACCTTTTACTATTATTTATAATAAAATAGTTTGTTGGTTGGGGTCATAGTTACTTTAGAAGTCGTTGGAAAATGAGCAATGAGCTTCTATTGTCTAGAACAATTGGTTTCCACAGCGCCTCGTAGGCATTTTTAAAATTAGGAACATTGATTTTTTGTTACGTTTTGCCGTTTTTTGAAATTAATCGATTTTTTGTTTGCAACAACTGTCTAAAAACAACGAAACAAAACATTTTCAGCCCAAACACGGTTTACTACATATTAATGTATGAATTTATGATGAAATAACAATTAATAGAAATTTAGGAAATCAAAATATGAATTATGAGAAAAAAAACCTGGCAGTAGCCAATCAGCCTAAAACCTTTAGAATTTATGAGTAATCTTGTCAAACAGCAATTTAGATCCTAAAACCCTCTAATTTTCACATATTTTCTTGTTATTTATATTTTTGTCGAAAAACAACATTTTTCATTCTGGAAAAAGAAAATTTGAATATAAATGTTTTATTAGCTTAACATAAGCTAGATTGCCTTATAAAAATATATTATTAGGAGCAAATGAAACAATTATATTTGGAATGACTACATACAAATAAGCAAAAGGATTCTCAATTTATATACATATGGGTTGAGGTTTTTATTAGAGAGAAAACTGCACATCTTTAAACGAATAAAGCATAAATAGTTAATTATTGTTTTTTTCGAGTAACGAATCCTACAAAATCATTTTAGGCATTAATTATTTAAAGAAACATTTTCCTTGTTGCTTAAATTGATTGATGTTTGAAAGCTATATCCTAAGTTACAGAAAAAGCTTCGTTCCCATGAATTTTCTAATATGGATGTAGTAATATTTTTAAAAGAGAAAATGGATGCGAAAAATTGTGGGTAAAAATCAATGGATCAGTGGATGTGGAATGTTCCTGTCTTTTCGTTTCTAATTGTTTTCTTAATCTTCAGTATCACATTAGATACGTCGACTGCAACGACCAGAAACCATTACAGCATGATGCGATAGTCTAACATTAGATAAAATAAAAGGCATTCGATTTTCAGAAGTTCAAATTGAAACGGAAAGAATGTTCATAATGATACGTTTAATTTGAAAAAAAAATAGCAATAATATAATAAAATTTGTTAATTTAGATTTTTGGAATCACCTTCCAACAGTTTATGGAAAATTTTTTGGAGGCCGGCCAATTCGAAAGATATGTATGGGCACATTCAAAGCGGCGCCGCTCGCGAAACAAAGAAAAATTGGAAAAAAGAAAAGCGGAACTGGAAAACATTGGTTTGAATTTCGAATATAACGCAAAACATTTTGGTTTGAATTCAGAGATCGAACCCATTGAAGATATTCAAAAGCCGCAAGTATTCTGGCCAGGCGAATTTGAGAATCAACTCAAATCGAAACGCGCGCCGCGTGATCGCTCATCAACGCCGAGCTCATTAAAATCTTTGAACATTGAAACACCATCATCACAAAGAAACTCTGTAACGACATTGTGAGTTTTTGAATAGAAAATTGTTGCGTGCCGCAAAAGATTATTTGAACCAAACTTAAGAACGTATTCAATTCTTTGTCTCTCTTTTTTTTTGGAAAATGGGAATGATTTGTGAACGCTTTGACGGCAATCTTTTTTCAGAAGCACCGTTGAAGAAAGTGGCGAAACAGTGAGTAACGTTAGCGAGAAAGTTCCAAAACAAAGACGGCAAGAAGAAAAAATTGGCGAACACGAACAAGACAACCATTCATCACCAGAGAACACGGAGACATCGGGATACTATTTGGATGAATACCTAGACACGCCGATTCTGGCAAAAGCAGCAAACAATGGGTTCCTACTAGCAACTAGTAGTTTGATATCGCCACAAGAACCAGAAAATGACTAGCCTTATGATAATTTTTGTTTCTTGTTTTGTTTGATAACGTGTATGTAATATCCAAAACACATATTCTCACGGTTTCTGTATATTACCCGAGTGAAATTAATCAAATATATACACTGTTTTTTTTTTTTCAACTTTTCATTGATGTATTTTTATCCACAGGATTGTGAGAAAGTTTAGTTTAACATGAACTACTAATGAGATATCAAAACAGCTGAAAAAAAAAACGAATTATTTTTTATAAATTGCTACTGGATAACTTTCTTATTTCCGACAGAGTAAACTTATCATCCATTTAATAGACGAAAAACCATGCATACTAGCGTTGATGAATTATACGTTGTTTCGCTTTCATTAGATTCAGAATGGTCAAGAATCGAAACCGAATTAGCAAGTGTGAACACATTTATTTTTATTAGTATGTGAAGTGTCGTTTAGTTTTCTGTGGAACTCATGTCAGGTTTTAAAACGGGTTCGCAATTTTTAGGACGTGAGGATTTCAAAATTGCTCAAAAGTTTAAAAAAAAAAGTCGTTAGGATGATTTTCAAAATTTATATGACTACCTAATTTTATTTCAATTGTTTCTGTATGCGTGAGTTTAACGGCTTTGCATGCCGCTAATGTTGAATTGAAGCTTCATCCATTTTCGCTTCACAGAATTAATTTAAACATTTCAAACCAAGCCAATAGGCTACGTGAATTAAAAAGCATGTTATTGATGTGCTCCACGATTTTGTTTACATTTCAAATGAGATGATCCATCCAGCCGTATTTTCTTCTTGACACTTTGAATTATGAAGCCGCTGCATTTTATTTTTGGCACAATTTTCTATTTCTGTTCAAGTCGAGCAATGTTCAATGTTACTTTCGACACGTCGTTAAGCCTTAATATGTTGCAGATAAGAATAATATTCTCACGATCTCTGTTGCTTTATGAAGTCGAATTTCAATTTTCGTCTGACAAACAATATGGGGTGAGAAGGACAACTCTTGTCAAGGAAAAATGAATTCAATTGAATGTTTTGACAAGAAACTTTCAAAATGTTATCTTGAATGTCATCAACGAAAATTGCGAATACGTTATCGACAAATACCTATCTTTCATGTAATAACTGAAACAGAAAATGTTTTTTAAAATTTTCTTTTGTTCTAAGCAAACTTTTTTCTTTATTTGCATATTTGCAATCGATATGCAATTGCCTAGTAAAAAGCAGCTAACTTGGAGGGAATTTTAAAAAACGTGTTGAATGCGCAGAAAGGCTATTGAAAACCTATTCATTACCTAGTGCATACATACACGCTAGACATTTGTATATGTACATATATATATGTATATTGGCTTTTCGGCGATTTTAGGATCTAGCAACTTATTGCCTAATTATGACCCCACCTCTTTATCAAACAGGTGTTTTCTTTTCGCCTCCATCAAGGTCATTTCCTCTCGTGTTAATAGTTTGAACAAGAAAGTACGGTATATAAAATATAAGACATCAATCACAATGTTGCTCTTTTTCGTAGCGTTCCTCTTTTTTATCTCTGTAATGGATCTCAGTTCTTTTTTCAAGCTTATCCTCACTCCTTCTTTCATATGAGCATATTTTTTCACTTTATGCTACTTTATTTATTTACTCCTTGGACACCGCATATAATTGATTAGTTATGTTCTTTACACAACAAAGTTAGAACATGAGAATGCTATAATCTCATACTTTTATAAGCCCAAAACTTTATCTTATTGACATTTTTTAATATCATAATAACTTTGCTTTTTTCAAGGTTTAAAAAACAAGTGCTTATATTAAAAATAGAATAATATTCTACAAGGTTGAACACAAAAACTTTTCAAAAGAAATGCTTTACGATTCTATGAAACTTTATTATCAGCTCGCCTTGTCGTGTCATAAACGGAATTTTCAACAATCAAATACGTTTTTTTCTAAAAAAAAATAGATTGAAAGCTGATGTTTGTCATAAAAAGTGATTATACTCATAATATTCCTCTTAAGTTAATGTTTTTTATTTGTATTAAAGTAATAATTTCTTCTACAAAAAGTTCATAACTTTAATTACAATATGCAAATGAGGGTGTTTTATGCAAACAATCGTGAATTGAATTTAGAATGAGTGTATTCCACTTTCACCTTATTTTGCAGAACCATTCAAGAACTCTAACATAAATGTTAAGTTGCGCAAAATTCTTACTTTCTGTATCTCCTAGATTGGAGACTGTGTTCTCAGATACAGTAATGTTCTTCACAAGCATCGGGCACACATAAATGAGGCCAGGCGCTGTTGCCATTTCCATTCATTTACATCTCTCGTTTCTATTATCTCTTTTCATTCGCGACTCTAAACTGATAGACTTGGCGATATTTCATCTGTCACTAGTATTTTCCTCAACATGTAAGAGATAACATGATTGAAATGATGATAAATGGACAAACTACCCAGTCTCAAACGGTTGCTTAATTTTTAGAAATATTTCCATTTGAAAAAAAAAATGATGCGCATCGCTCGAGATTGTTATCATCACAACACCTGCCAGTGGTGCGCCGATTGTTTTGCGACCATATAATAATGCATACGACTATTTCATGCGAGTAATCATATAGCCCCCATTTCTTTCTCTGATTTCTCATCCACGTTTGCGGCTCTTGTGAGGCAATACGAGAGACAGTGAGGGCAGACGGAGAGATTTTCGAATTGCCGCCTGCCCTCGCCATTTCGCTCTGAGAGACACCATCTGGGTATGTTGCTAGCCTTTGTGAGGACGCAACGCGTGCCGCGTCGCGGTCAGCGAGGGCCGCATTTTTATACTGTACCGCTTACCATATCCCTTAGCTAAAATAGCGGGAAATTAAGTTTTTGAATTTCTTTTTTCATTTCTCCAATTTTTTTCACTTTTCGTTCAGTTCTTCGAATTTCTTTTGCATTCACGAACATTTTCGTGTATCATTCGCCTATTTTTTCAACGATTGACATATTTTCGAATATCAATTCAAGTAATTTTTTGAGGCTTAACTGCCAATCAAACGTTGCGACAGGAATAAATATGATGATGAATCATGGCGTCGATCAGCCCGTAAATTTAGCACCTTATTTATGATTGCCAACGCATGATTTTCAGGTGTTTCATCACGGGCATATGGAGGAAGAGATGCTTATGGAAGAACATGACTACGGATCGGTAAATTTAATTTCTATTTTTCAAAAATCAAATTATTTTAGTTCCACATGCCGATGCATTACACAGAGGAGGACGAGCTTGCTGATGGAATGATTCCACCAAGAGCAGTTCACCAATGCAACGTTTGCAACAAAATTTTTGTGTCTTTCAAAGGTAATAATTTAAGCTAGTCAACATTCATTGACAAATGTCAAACGTCATTGTTTAGGTTTACAACAACATGCCGTGATACATACGGACCAAAAGCCATATCAATGCGATATATGTGCCAAATCTTTTCGTTTCAAATCTAACCTTTTTGAACATCGCTCTGTGCATACGGGTTTCACGCCTCACGCTTGCCCTTACTGCGGAAAAACCTGCAGGTGATTTTTTTTTACTAGATTATCTTACATAACTCAGCTATTTATGAATATCACTATGAGAATGTGGTACCTTCATGAATACACACATTAACACGTAAATTACTCTTTTTTTTTTTTGAGCTCTGAGGATTCTTGCATAATTTTTAAGATCTACAACGGAATGTAACGCTTGAGATATGACGCTTTCGAAAACCATTAAGCGTAAAGTGATGTGAAATTAATAATATCAGAAGAATAAGTTATTTAATCAAGTGCAATATCATAATTTAACGAATTGCACTGATATAATCAAAAGAAAGTGACAAAATTACGAGAAACAATAAGATTTGTGAAGTCAATTTGTATTTCGAGAAACAAGAAAGGAAATATTCCTTTAATTTTTTCATAACGCCAAGCAAAATTCGAAAATGTAATATTAATTATATAGCATTAATTTTTAAGCATTTTTTTTCTAAGAATTGGGCAATAATTTTACTAAAAATAAGTGTGCATTACTTCTGAAATTGATTTTTTGGTTTCAATGAATAGATATGGAGCTTAGTTTTGGAAATTTTCTAGTTTTTCGAAAAAAAAAAAACGTACTTCGCAAATTTACCTGTGCTCGTTTTAATCTATTAAGATTCAAATAAACAAATTTTCAGGTTAAAAGGAAACCTTAAGAAACATTTGAGGACGCATGTCACTACAAAAGAGGAACTTGAAGCTGCTTGGCGACCATTTGCAAGGTAAGCAGAATAACGCTATTTTCGAAAAATCATCGGATTCTTCAGCAATCGGAGGCCGCCGGCTGATATACCAGAAGACGCAATAATAGTTCGAGGAACAGGTGGCCCATATTATACTCCAGTTCCTAGACCACGAAAGAAGTATTTCTGTTTGACTTTTTCTTCCAAAAAATAATGCTAAACATTTTTAGGAAGTTAGGTCTTGGTCCTGCTCCCGACTTTTGGGTTGAACGGATAAAACGAGGAGAAATTTTACCTGAGATGGATATTGTTGAGAAAATACGGAGATTTGAGGACAACATATTCAACACAATATCAACAGCGAACAATGTATTTGAAGCTGCACGATCTATAGCCTTTGAAACGTTCGTATTTCACTGTCTAAAAATTTCAATGAATGTTGAATTTGTAATTTAAGGTTTGAGTGTCCGGTGTGTAAAGCGAATTTCTTGTCGATTCATGACTGTATGGCGCATTACAAATTTGACCATGTCAATTTACCGCCCGAAGATCTTTTCTGCGAGGTGAAAATTATGAAATACAAAAAATATTGTTTCAATGACCACATTTGCAGAAGTGTTTCCGTGGATTCGCCGACCTCCCAAGTTTACAACAACATAAAAGTTATCATGTTCGTGTTCGGAATATGTTGAACAGAGGAGTAGTTTCGGTACGTTCATTACTGAGTCGGTATTTAGAATAAGACAATTTTTTAGACTGCTGAACCTCAAATACTTATACCAACTCAGGAGGAGATTACTAACGTTTTGAACGATCCGATGATACATGAACCACAATCACAATATTTGCTTATGGATCCAATGAAATACTCAATAGAACCGGTTGATAAATTCTAGTCATAAATTTTTGGAACAATTAAAATTATTTAAAATTTTCCATATTCTTATATACACATAACATATACAACGTTTGTTCATCCATTTATTTCCTTTAGTTGTCTCACTGGTTGGAATCAGACTTCTATAATTTTTATTTTAAGTATTATATAGATTAAGTCACTCAGAGCTCACAAATGTAGATTGATGTTTTGATTTACCAACCATCTCATCAAACATCAAGAACATACCAAACCATCCGGTATTTTTCAAACCAACACTAATGTTCGCCTTTAAAAACTGATTCTCTGATATAGAAGATCTCATCATTTTTTGTTGTACTGCGGAAGCTTCAAAATCGATATGTATCAAATTTTGAACTGTTTTTCATCATGCACCAAATCGGGTGTTCTTTCGTTTTGAAAAACTTTGTAGAAACTTTTGTTGACTTGGCTATCAATTTTCATTTATCAATTACTAGTCGCTGTATTGTTTTGACCTGTTAGGATCTTATTCAGTTCCCAAGTTTGACATTTACAATTATTATGAAATTATTGTTTGTCTCTTGTTTTGTGTCATTAACGTTTAAATTGACAAATTAAACCCTTATGACGGTTTTTATCGATAAATACTTTTTACACAATCGGGTTAAGTTACATTGAGAATTAGGCATCATCTGGTTTTTTTTTTTTGCAAAATGAGAAAACTGGGACAGGAATCACATTTCGAAAGGCCTATTCATCAACTTCTGGATTCGAACGCTTTTCGATTAAATCTACCGCGGTTTCGGTTCTCTTTGTGCACTTAATCTACGCAGTAATCCTTGTGGTGTGTAATATAATGACAACCCGACACACTTTCATTAATCTTGTGCAAATGAGGTCCATTACTATTGTGGTGCTATTTAAGTGAGAGAAATTTAATTTTTTTTGCAAACTATATGTATTACCAATTCAAAAAAATATGACAATTTGGAACAAGGGAAAACTCGAGAGATTACAATCTGTTACAAACAAGTTACGTCCAGGATTTGGATTTGATTGAATTTCTCGATAAAATAGGGTATTTAAACCATTTCATTGTATCCTGAATCAATTCTTGGCTAGATCTTACTGAAAATGGGTCTCAAAAATTGTGATTCATCTTCTTCAACGCTATCCTACGCTGTTATTCTCTCGGGATGCTCGTTTCTTCTCATGATCACCTCAATTCCAATAATTTTTCTAACCATAACAGGAATGGCTGGCGAGTTGGAAGTGGCGCGTAATAGGTTTGAAGAAACTTCGAACTCACTTTGGAAAGAACTTGTTGTCAATGAACAACAAAAACGTGTAACGAGACAATCATGTAAGTATAAAGCCGTCATAACCATTTGAAATTTAAAATTTTAAGACAAAGAAGGAGAAGGTCCATATGGTGATGTAGCTGGAGCTGGATCAGTTGATAGTTCGTGCCCAGCGGGGCCAAAAGGACAACCTGGAACACCGGGTGAACCGGGAAAAGATGGAGAGAATGGAGAACCAGGAAAAGATGGAACACCCGGAAACAATCAAGCAGGCGATTCGGCACCACAAAATTTGTGCACGCCCTGTCCTCCCGGCCCGCCTGGTGTTGCGGGATACAAAGGAAAACGTGGCCCGCGTGGAGAGAAAGGCGAGAAAGGACCGAACGGTAATCCAGGAAGAGACGGTGCTCCAGGCGACGAGGGACCAGAAGGAGATCATGGACATCCAGGAGCAATGGGACCGCCAGGAGAAAAAGGACCTGCTGGAGCCGATGGAAAAGGATTCATTAAAGGTCCACCAGGACCAAAAGGAGAACCAGGAATGGTTGGATTGCCAGGAGATGAAGGTCTTCCAGGAGATCGTGGAGAAGACGGAACTCCGGGATCGCGAGGAGAGCCAGGACCACAAGGCACTCCAGGAGAAAAAGGTCCTGATGGATTCCCCGGATTGCCTGGAAACCCAGGAACATATGGAAATGACGCCAACTATTGTCCATGCCCATCCAGAAAGGGTGATGCTGTTGCTGACGTTAAAGGGAATGGTGGATATCCAGAGAATGAAGCTGACGTTAAAGGTGAAGGTGGCTACCCAGAAAAGGTCGGATATGCTGAAAAGACTCAAAGTGAATTTGAAGGAGCAGCCGCCGTGAGATAACCATTTTTATCGAAGAAAAATTATTTTTTGAATTTCAGGGTGACGGCGAAATCCCACCACCGCCAAGTTTTGACGGCGTCTCTGCTCCTGCCTATCCAACTTCGAATCGAGCTCGCTTTCAGGCGAAGCAGCGTGCAGCGGCTAATATCCAGCGAGCTTAACTTGATAATATATCTCAATAAATATTCTTTAATTATTTCTTTGAGTATCGACGTAAAACGTAAAGATATTATTGCTCAAAATACTACAGCGGAGTGTAGGGATGAAAAAGGAACTGAACACTTAAAAAGGAAGCTAATACTGAACACTTAAAGACGGAGCTAATATAGACTCTTCTTGGACACCCATTTTTTTTTGCTATAATGTTCTTGAGACTTCCCATTATGTACATTCAGAATTTTAACATCTAAAATAATTATTTTTTTTTTTGATTTTATAATTGAAGCTCGATCTACTAATGTAGAAATGAGCAATAATTTATATTTCTAAATTCCTAGGAGTTTCATATTTTTCATTAGATATTTCTCGGATGTGCGTCAATGTTATGCAGATGTGTGGTAATATCCATTCAACATGTGTTGACCTCGCTCATCGTATAATAATTATCTAATGTTGCACACATCTATTTATATTTTTATTGTAAGTTTGTCAGCTTTTGCATTGGACCACCGAAAACGAATTAAATGCTTTGTGCATCGAAACCAAATTTGACGTCTCCATCCAACTTTATTTAATACTCTCACGAAACCGGATTTATTTGTCGCCAACGATGGCTAATCATTCTTCGCATTTCCGCTGTGATTCCCTTAATCTTTGCCGCGTTTCTTTTTCTATCTGCTGTTTGTATTCGGGCACAATAGGAAAAAACGGCGAAACGAGCGAAAACACTCGAAGAATCGTTCTATGAGAGTTCGACAAAGTTACAATTGGTGATGGCCGAAACGCATATGAAGGATTAGTATGTATGCGCATCATAGACTTGTTATGTGTATTTTTTTTTGTCGAGCAACAAACTCGATGCTTTTGGGATGGATATGAAGAAGCCCAAAACGAGCTCCAAGCCTTTTGAATTCGAGAAGAGTTGATGCACATTTCTTTCCTTTGGGACATACTCCATTCTTCTAGAATCCACTTGCTCCCATCCCTTACCAGTTTTCTATCATTATCCAAGTGTGAATTTGCAACCTACCCAAATTTCATCATATGCACACAATTTTTTTTTCTTTTCGTCGGCTTCTCATTTTTTTTTGTCGTCTTTCCGGCCTACCGCGAAGTATTTTTGGCACTCAAGGGAGTTTCAAACATTTGACGCGTAGTGTCCTCCAAACATTTTTACGTGATGTTTGTTTTTTTTTCCTCTAAAGGAACCGCGTCAAAACAGCGATATAACGTCGCTGTCGGGGAACATGTTTTTTTGTCATTTCGGTCAAACGTGTTGTCTCAAATTTCAAGCTCCACCAGCAGGCCCGACTCATCCGCTCCGTCGTTGAAGAGTATTACGTATTTTTTCTACGATTAACGAACCACACATTCATTGATCGCATCTAATCAGTCCACTAACAAAAAAATCGTGAGTGTGGGTTATGCTGGGTGCATTGCAAAGGAAAAAAAATGTGTCCGAATAGATTTCCGTTATATGGATGATTTACCTACTTTGGTCTTTCCGAGTTGTATCTCCCCCCCATAATTTGAAATAGGCATTTGGGTATTTGGACCTTCATTTTTCTTGTAGAAATAAAATAAATGCTCTTTAATAATCTTTAATGTGACCCAGATTTCTCAAGGACTACAAATGTTTTTTTACTTGTTTATACTTTTAACCAGTGAGAGTTCAACTTCATGTTTCAAGTACCTCCAACGCGTTTCTGCTTTTGGTAGAAAGAAATGCGATCAATTTTGCGGCGCATATACAAATCATAATTCAGGGTCGTAAAAACTTGGAGCAAACCAAACCAATTTTCCAGATTTTTTTCTCATTATTTCTTTTTTACGGATCAAAAAGTCGCTAACAAATAGCTCCAAATTTCAATTCGATTTCGCCAATTGGCAGCTTTTGCCGATCCAGTTGAAGCATTAGCAAATCTAATTCTGATGAGTAGAGAGTTCCGTTGCGCATCTGTCACATCCTTTTTTCTAATATTTCTTTTTCGAATGAGCACGTTTTTTTCTTCACTTATTGCTTACAAAATATCATGAATTTCTTAAAGTAAAGCGGAATTCGAATCTAATCTTGAATATTCATAACAAATCTCCCCCCCCCTTCCCACTAAGAAACCTTAGCTTCACATTTATTTATTTTTCAAACGTCCTGGTGCGATAATTACTAGTTATTTTTCCATGGTTACCAAAATAAATGTCACTGTTATGTGTGTTATAAATATGTATCTTGCCAGAATTGTTTTATTTCCTAATAAATAGGGCCGTCAAGTCAATGTAATGCTTATATGTATTTGTATTTGCGCAAGATTAATGAAAACCGTTGCTCTACCAACCACATTTATGTGTGCGTTTAAAATTCATTGAACAATAATACACGCGGTTTGACATTTCTAATGCAAATCAAATTTGTGTTGTTTTTTGTTCTGTCTAGCTTTCAAAATGGACAAACGCACCCGTCATCTTAAATTTTATGTGATTCGTATTGTTTGCAAGAACTTGAGTTCGTCAAACCGACATTGAAAAATTCATATAAGCATTCGTTTTTTTTTTATTATTTCATCTGTGAAGGTTCCATTTTCATTGAAATGCTTTTCACTCAAAAAATTTTACAAACACTGTAGTATATTCATGATCATTTTCCAAAAAGTTCAGTTACCTGCCCAAGAGAGCAATTAGGGCTGCAATGGATTATGTCGTAGGCAATGCGACAAACACACGCCTCAGTTAACATCCAAACGAGTACAGGAAAGGGAGCAATCTATTCTTTTTGCGGGTTCAAACAAAATTATCTGAAGGCCTCCTTCGAAAAATTGAACTTTTCTATTGTGTCGAAACAAACGTTGCCTTTTACCAAATTTTCAAAAATGAATATACATATTTACATATAAATTTTAATTCAAGTTTTAATTTCAGGATAAAACTGTGCTTTCTTATTCCAATCAATTTCATTTTTCTACTGTTTCCGACAACAACCTCTAAGAAATTCAAGGACAATGAAACGTGATACTTTTCATTGGAACTATTGAATTTCAAATCAGGAAATGGGCAATTGGATAGTTTTATAATAATTATTTATTTTATATGTAAAAAAAATTTTTTAATATAAAGTGCATATTTTAATTTCTAGTTTCAACTTTGAAAAGGTAAATTCTTGACGCGAATGAATTATTTCATAGTTAGAATGATTAAAATGAGGCACTTTGAGTTGTTGTTTAACTCTCGCAAAACGTGTTCTAGTTTTTCCTCTGAAGACCCCTTTGATATGTAACCACTTCGCTTTGTTTTCAATGAGGTTTGCTGTGCGTGATGCCTAGAAAATTTGATTAGTTCGGTTTTGGTGCTCTTTTTAATGTCAAACGTTTTCTGAAGTGAATTTAACCTTTTTTTCTGCGGTTTTCCGTTGTTCAACGACAAACCCGGCAATTGTTTTCCTCCCGTCCCGTTTTTCCTTACGCGATTTTCACGCCATCTACTTCTTTTGTCTTCACATGTTGACTGACTAGTAAGCTTTTCTAAAATGAGCCTTTCATATATTTTTGAACCCGAAGAAACTCACTTCAACTTTATTTTCTGCCATTCTTTTCCCCCAACTTTAACCGTTTTATCATTGAACATTTTCAAATTTTTTTCCACAATTCTTGTATTTTTGCTTTTATCCACTATATACATACAGCTAGATTATCAAATTGATGTGCTTCTTGAATTTCCGTGCTATTTTCATTTTAATCAATTTGCTAATCCAGTGACGTTTTAATCCTCTTGCTTTTCCTTCAACGACATGTCTAATTTGCACCTTCACACGTTTTCATGGCAAAAATGGAAATTTATGGATCATCTGTTTGCGACGACCGTTTTTCTATTCTGCCCTTCTATTCTTTTTAAATAATCTTTTTAGGTTGCTAGTTGAAGCATCGAAAAAATAATTTTCAAACGCATTCAATTTGAATTAGAAGTGACGCATCTTGAAGTGAAATGTGTCCTTGTTTTTTTGCACCTTTTAATTACACATTCTTTTTGTCGAATTTAAAGGGTTATCTGCAAACAAAATAGTGAAGCGTTATCCGATCCTTAGAGCCACTCCGGTGAAGATTTTTCCGCCGTTTGTAGAGGCACGTGTTGGGAGCAATAGAGAATGAGAGAGTCGAAAAACAGGCAGATTCCATTTCATGTTGGGATCTTCATGTCTTCTCACGATCTTAATTTTCCACTGACGTTTAAACTAATGCAAATATTGGAGTTTTTTGCAATGTCCCTAATAAAAAAAGAAATTATAAGCAATTTCACGTATTCTAAACTTTCGCCTTCATTAATATTCAATCTGAAAGTAAATAATATTACTTTACATTCTTGTTTATGGTAAAACATTTATGAATATGAAAAAAAAAACTTCGTTTCATTGGCTCTCTTTAAGAAATATTCCTCTCCTTTCTAACTCCCATCGTCAATCCTTGCGATAAATCAACTAGATAATCTTTTTTCTGCTTTGAAGATTTATTGCGTTTTATCACAAGGATATAATGTTCTTCTTAGTTGGCAAAGAAAAAAAGCGCCAATAATAATTCTAGGCTTCTCTTGGTGCCTCCGTCGAGTAACCAAACTGCAATTGTTATATTTTTCAAGTTTTACTCAAAGAAAAGAATGGTTGGTTATTAGTTTAAAAACCCTCATTCGGATAATAGGAAACGCTTTTTATGAAAATTTGTTTCGAAAATTTTTAACCTTCTGGATGAACTTTTATGAAAGATTTTTGAAATGAGTACCCTCGACTGTGTTTTTAATATCAGAAATTTAAAATTGATGGCAATGCGACTTGAATATGAAGTAGCCATAAAACGGAATGGTAGATGAAACAAACCATCTTGAAACAATTTCTCATGTCTTCATTTTTCTTTTCAAAATGTGTGTTTTGTTCCCTTTAAGTTTGCAGCTAATCGAAAATTGAAAAATGCTTCACTCAAATTATCAATCAAATGTTTTATGGATATGTCATGTTTTCGAGAGGAATTCCGATTAAACGGATAGAAATGGACAAAAATATTAATCAGAAAAGCGGAAACTAGCGGAAATTAGACAATATGCACAAATTTAATGAGTTGCGGATCCGAAATCGTTATGTGTATTGCCTTTTCTCTCATGGCATGCCGTCTGTCCGTTTCTTGTCGCGCTTCACCGGCTTCTGCTTCCAATGCTTGAATTAGAAACAACTCTTCTCTTGTTCGAGCAGAACCACTTTTTCGCAAACATCTTCTTTTTTCTTAGCTGCCAACGCACGTATGTATGTAAGTCTCCAGAAAATGATACACTAGTTTGTACTAATCCCAAAGGTAGTCGCAGATTTAATTCTCATTATCTATTTGGCGAGAATTCGGAGTAATACGGCAATGCAACGTCAGGTTCTCATTGATTGTATCCCTTCACATTTTTATTAAAGCTAATTGTATACAACAGTTTGATTAATTTTCAAAATGAGTCATTTTGCATTTAATTTTCAAAAATTGCATTTTAAAATTATTAATTAACGAAATCGATAATACTTCATAACATTATTTCTATTTGATGGCAGATGTTTTAAGTTTGCGATTTCAGCAAAGTAAACGTATTTTGATATGACCAATCTTCTATAATTATAGCTTTAAAAAATTTTTCTAATATTGGAAGCTTATAGCAATCATCTATTTAAAAATTAATTTATTTTTCAATTAATTTCAGCTTTGTGATTTTTTTTGAACCACTATAAAAATGATGTCAAGATTTTGGGACTACCTATTTTTAATATTCTTATGAATTTTCAAAAAAAAGCCTATGAATCATTTCAATTAATTTTTTAAATCTCAAAATTTTCGTAATTTGAATATCTAGCGTGATTCAGTTTCCAATAATGTTTCGTTTGGACATCCAACTTTGATATTGAATCCACTAATATATTTATTAGAACATATCACAGTATATGTTTTATTGAAGCCTCAGGATATTTTCTTTAGAAGTTTGATAAGCTTAAGCTTAGATTTTCTTCATGACGCATAAATATGCAGCACATCATTTGCTTAAAATTTATTTAACATCAATCCGCTTATTCCTGTGAATTTCCGTCTCGACTTTTATCATTTTTCGTCGAGCACATAACTGCGCAAATCATTTGCATCCATATTTGTCGGCGCTCATCGAAAATTCCATTCAGGTAATGCGAACTAGCAGGAACATTTCGAGAAGGCCAATTTTCTTCAAATTATGAAAACCGGCGAGCAGGAAACGATAGTTTTATGAAGTAGAGTAGTTTGAACTTGAATTCGCCTCCATTTTACTTCACCGCCGATATTCATTTTGTGTTCGGCTCGTAAAACGTGTTATATGAGGTAGCTGGTGTATGTTTTTTGCGCTAATTTTTTCTCTGTCTTCAATTTCTCAGCGGTTGCTGCACACCGTAAGCTGTTGTTCACATTAATTTGCAATGCATTCGCACATGTTGAAGTGTCAGCATATAAATCTTTTTGTAGAACGTCTTAATGGCGCGTTGCTCAGAGCAATGTTCTTCTCATCAGTTCGTACAATCAAATTCCATCTCTCTACATCCATCAAAATAAAACATTCACATTTTTAGAAATATCAAAAATAAATCAATTTTCTGATTATATTTCATCTAAATAAGTTTGTTATTTTTTTTGTTCACAATACTTCTAATTATTGTTTTCTGAAATTCGATGATAGAAAATTGTACTGTTCCTATTTTATGCTTCTCAACTTTTCAAGCCCCTCAATTTTAAATTTACTTATTTAATTGCACGTTTTCAAAACGACGTCGTTTTGGTTTCACATCAGCTCTTTCTTCAGATGGTGCGTATTGCAATTTTGACAATTTTCGCTTTTTTGTTGATTGTGCCAACAGCTACTCGCAGCACTCTGCACAAAACTCATCATGATGGCTCATTTGTTCATACTTTTGATACAAAAGAAATGTGTAAGGCGAGGTATAGAGAAGTGATTAATTCTTAAATAAAACATTGAATTATTTCAGATGTCGTATTAGCTGCAGCCAGCAGCAATCACAAGACTTGAACATGCTTCGATGGTATTGCCCATCTAAGGTTTCAGTTTCCTAGAGCACATAGCAATTATCTATGAATTTCCAGGAAGAGGACAACAGTCAAATTGAAGAAGAGGAAAGTAGCTCATTTGGCAGCAAAATGCTCATTATTGTTCCATGTGTCATCTTCGGATCTCTTCTATTCCTCTTCTTTTGTGTATCAGCGATGCAAAGATTCTGTAGAAGCGATTATTGAAATCGGTCATGTGGCCATTACGCCCAAAACATATTGTTCGCCGAGCGACTTCGGTGAAATCATTAATTGATGTCGAAAGGACCTCATGACCATTTCGGGTTCTTTCTTTCTTTTTTATATGAGAAATATCTTGACGACGGAATTTGGTAGTACAAATTTATGCGTTCATTACATCAGTCTTCTTTTAATAATGCAGATTTTATTTAAATTTATTTATCGTATTTCCTATCGTCGAAACTCTCGTCATTTCCTCTTAATAATTTTCATTATATCTGTTCGTGAGATGCAGTTGTATCAACGTCGTCTAATTCTTTTTGGTATTTTTCACGTCTCAATTCATTTTTTAAAAGATTGTTTTCTGTGATCGTTCTATGGGTTTCGAATAAATATGTTTCGAAAAATAATTATTTTATTTTAACAATCCTGAATGCAGTGTACCGACAAGTAATCAATAAATAGGATTTCTTTTATTTACTAGCCTTCTTCTGCGTGAAATTTCCCGAAAATCACAACGAAGTCATAATATGAACAAGTTATGATGTTATATTTCATAGGTATCCAAAACTATTCAAATTGATAAAAGGTTATCAAACGAAATATAAAAACCAATCTGTGAGATCTTCTAGCAAAATTTGAACCATCTAGAAACGTCAATTTTTGTAGCTGCCATCACGCATTTTTTGCCATTTTAATGATTTTTTCTCAAATATCCCTATCAACTATAATTTTTGAAAATGGCAATTTCCACTGTTATAATATGTATGTATCGAATTCAATGAAAAGTGATACAATTTTTTATTAAAGTACATTTTAGTAGATTAAAGGGCAATTCAACCGCTTAATGTTTTTCTGATTTTTATCGAATTGGAGCTAAACTTTCTCATATGAAATCTATATATATATATAAATATAGTTTATCAAAAAAATATCCTATAAGAATTTGCAGAAATTTTCATTTCCTGATGAAACGTCAACGCAAGAAAAATTATTTAAAAATAGATTTAATCAGGTGATGACAATTTTTCTTTCATATTTACTCACGAAATTAAGCCTTTTATGGAAGATCCCAAATTTAGAAAATGCGTTGAAATGCCTCCAGCAATCCAATAAAATAAGAGAGGTTCCCACGTCAAGGTTCCAATTCCGGCCGTCTTGAATCCATTTGAGAATATCTAATTCATCTTGCGCGTTTCAATCTCGCCTAGTTCCATTTTATTTTTGCTTTTGGTGGCATGGAAGTCGTGTCGAATTACAATATAGATAGTTCGTCTTTTCAAATGTTATTTTACGAATTCTTTTACTAGAAAATGATTCACTAAAGATTGTGTAATTTACACTTTGAGACCACGGCCCCATACGGAGGAGATAATGTGTAATCTGCATAGATAAGCGGAAATTGATAACAAATCGCAACATTTATTTTCTCGCGTTCGTAGACATAAACAGTTCAAAGTCCAAAAACCAAATGAGCCACCCAAAATATGCCAGGATACTTGTTCTTGACATATATACATCTCTCATTTCCTTTTCTCAAATTCCATCGATACAGTTGTGTTAGGAAATTTAAAACATTTTCTTTATCTTATACCGCCAATTGTCTTTTTTTGTTATCTTGTGTATTTAGTTTTGGATATGACCTGCCAAAAAACAAGCGACAACAACAATCCGAGGTGTTTTTGTCTTGCACAACACTACATGTGCACACTGCCCTCTGTTTATTTCTTGTGTGGATTTAATGCCGCGTTTTCGGATATTTTTTTTTGCTAAATTCGCGTTGTTTGCCGTTTCTCGCGTTCATTTAAACAACCAATTTTGCAGGCATGAAAAAAGTCGCAAACTTGCCGGAAGATCCGTCTCAATGGAGCTGTAAAGACGTTGGTAATTGGCTGAAAAGTATCGGATTGGATAAATATTCGGATTTGTTCGAGAAACAACATAAAGTAAGCTCTTAATGTGTTGTTTTTTAATTCAAAAATGTTGAAGATCGATGGCGAAATACTATTATCTTTGAAAGATAACGATTTGAAAGACCCACCGGTCTCAATTAATTGCCTTGGTGATGTGAAGAAGATTATTTTTTCCATTGACGAGCTTTCCTCAGATGTTTTTGAAAGAGAGAAACAAAATGTTCTGCGAAAGCGGCAATTTAACAAAGTAACGCGTTCAAAACCAAATTCTTGGAAGTAAATAGCCAAAATTTCAGAATGAGCGTCTATTAGTTCAATATAATGAGCAAAATCGGTTATCAATCTCGGGTGAAGACATTGTAACCACTACTAGAAAATCAGAAGTGGTTAGCGATCAAGATAGTTTAATGGACACGCTGGCCAAGTCATTAGACGGTACCACGACAGTTCAGCTAATTTCAAGAGAGGAGGTATGAGATTCTACGCACAGTTCCGCTCAAATGTTGCAAAAATTTGATTTTATCGGGCACAGATTTCTTCAAATTGTTTGAATCTTAGTCACAATTATTAGACAAAAAATGATTATGCAATTTGTTTAAAACAATAAATCGATTAGAAACTTGAAATTTTTTGAACGGCTTTGTTTTCAAGATTTTCAACTCTTATTCGAAACCATTTTTCTCGACTCCTTCTTAATTTAAATATATTTTTGTGTTCATATGTTTTTTTTCAGGCTATGTTTTTTTTCAGCTTACTTTAAACTTTACAATAAATGTATACCTTCTAGCGCATTTTAATTAATGATTTCCATATATGCTCCAATCTAAAAGAAAAAACGCACGGCTAGTCGTAGCGAATAAAAATATTCTCAGTTTTGAGTCATTACTACAATTCAAAACATTGCATTTTTGCCTCAAGTGATGAATGTAAATTGACTGATTAATTTCATAAATTTTCTTATTTGTATGTAGTAAAAATTTTCATGTTGGGTGGTCCAAACGAATTGTTACGCAATACAATGTGTGGAACTAATATTGCTTATAATCGTAACAACAATTGCAGCTTATTCGAAAAGTGGAAAGTCCTGACACTCCTTCCAAATCTGTAGCAAAACTTCTTTTGGCATTTCTCTATTGTTCTACATCTTTTCTAGTCACTGCTTTTGTCATGGTTCTTGTCCATGATCGTGTTCCAGGTATACATTTGAACATCGAGTCATCATATGCCAATTTTTGCAGACACGAAAATGTATCCACCGCTTCCGGACATTGTGCTCGATAACGTACCCCACATATCATGGGCGTTTGATATGTGTGAGGCGATTGGACTTGTCCTGGCTTCCATCTGGTTCACAATTTTATTCTTTCATCAGGAAAGGTAAACCCAATTAAAAGAGAGAGCACATTTTTTTTTTAAATTAACAAACACCACATTTTTTTAACGATACGCTAATTACTTCAGGGTTGTGATTGCCCGTCGTATGTTTTCATTACTTGGCACTGTTTTCCTTTTGCGGTGTTTCACCATGCTAATAACCTCATTATCCGTCCCAGGAAATCATTTGCACTGCGAAGCTAGAGTAACTACTAACATTAACAAACCCGAATGAATGAGATATTATAGCCAAATACGACGCTTGGAGAGAAATTGAAACTAGCGTTTCATATTTGGTCAAATTTGGGAATGTCGCTCCATGGCGTGAGAAGCTGCGGAGATTACATGTTCAGTGGACACACAACAGTTATCACAATGATTAGCCACTTTATCACTGAATGTAATATTTTATTTAAATATTTAAAAAATACAATTTTAAAGACACACCGTTGGATTGGAGCGGGCTTCACTCAATCACTTGGGTTCTCAATTCATTCGCTATTTTCCTAATTCTCGCAGCCCATGAGCATTACAGCATTGACGTCTTCATCGGTAAAAACAAATAAAAAAAGCATAAAGCTCAGTTATCTATTTCAGCATTTTATATCAGCTCTAGAATGTTTCTTTACTACCACGCTTATGCATACAATCATGCTAACATTACAGCTAGTGATGACAGAATGAGAATTTGGTTCCCATTAGGATGGTTCTTCGAATATGGATCAATTGGAAAGGTGAAATAGCTTCGAATTCCTAAAGGAATAATGTTTTTATAGGTAGAAAACCGATATAGTATGCCATTTACTATTCGTATTCCCGGATTATTTCATCGATCTCAACCAACTGTTAAAAAACATGAAAAGTCGCAGAAGAAGAAACAATCAAAAGTAGCTGGAAAGTCGAAAAAGCATTAGAAGTGATGCATGAGATTCCCAACAGATCCCCTTTATTTAATGATAACATTACAAAATAACGCGGGTCATATCGCGAATCTTTAACTATTTATGGGTACCAACAATCAACCATCCCATACCCTAACTTCATTGTCATAATCTGCATTGATGCAATCCTGTGAACGTACAATAAATTCGAATGCTTCATATAAATAAATAGGCAATATTTAAGATGAAAACAATTGAGAATGTTAGAAGAACAATGTCAGATAATGGAATAAGGAAAAAACACTTATCGAATCTATAAAATATTGAAAGAATATGGGATAGATGTGTTTGTTTTTAATTAAAATGATTTAAGTGATAGTTTCAAATTTTGTATGACTTATGTGAAAAAAATTAAACGAATGAAATTTCAAAACCGATTTCTAATTTTTCGTCGTTTAACGCAAGAGAATTGAATAATTGGAGATCGGTAACATAAAATGTTACAAGATTTAACCTTGGATACGCGCCGCTGACAAATGTTGTTTGACATAGTATTCAATGGTGCGTAAGAGTCCGCTGCTGAATGGAGTTGTGCATTTCCAGCCCATTGCTTTGTGAATTTTCGAGAAATCGATGTAATAACGACGATCGTGGTAGGGACGGTCCGGAATTGGAGTGAAAGTTGGTGGGGTTGGCTCTCTAAATAAACGTTCAATATAATTGATGTCTCGATCACTTTAAGCAGGGAATATCACAGAATCAAACGCATCAAAACTAATTTACTTAATCATAAGCCCGAATTCTAGCTAAAAGCGTTATTCTCGTAAATCTTACCGAGTAGACCAATAGTTGTATTAAAAACTATTGGTTACATGAAGGGGAAAAATATTTGTTGACAATTTATTTTAATGCGGAATCAAAATTGACATTCACGTCTTTCATGACCTATTCTAGTTTCCACAGAAAAATGGCATACGGAAACAATGCATTTCTCATTCGGTTAATTTGAAATCTCATACGTTATTGCACTTTGTACGTACCAGAATTGTATATCAATAGGAGTTTTAGAAATGTCATACCATATTTGGTCAGATTTAGAAAAAGTTGTTGAAATACTCTTTCTGGTACATGTTTTTATAACATTTATGTTTAAATAGGAATTAATATCAATTGTCGTGCTTTTTTGATCAATTAATAAGAAATGGACTGAAATTTCATCAACACTGACTAACTAGAAATTAGCATGTTTGGAATTTGGTTTACGTCCAGGGTGTCAATTCTAGGTGTGTATTAGTCATTATTAACCAAGTTAATTTTTACGAATACATGATATTTTAACAAGAAATTTTGTGATTTTTCATAAATTATGTAATTATGTGAAAAAAAAAACAACGAAATGTTGCGTTGTTACTTCAGTTTAAAATTTCAGACAAAAATTGATGAAATCGACAAATTTTGAAAATGCTGTCAGAAATTCCGAGCTGCTCATGATAATTTCGTCGAATGGAAACGATCTCGAAATCAGTATTGCTTTTCTATTTAAAATTATGGTTCAAGAGTTAAATTAACATTTATATTTTCCATATCTTCCTGCATATAGCATTCACACGGTGTATAGAGTGTCTGCTGCCTCTCAGTCATTGTGCACTCTCAAGCAGACTCGCCTCCTCTCGTTAGCACCCACACACTATTCCGACAAGGGCACACAGAGCTCATATCAATGAGCAGCGTTTTTTCGTGAGCACCAACCTGTTCATGAGCTTGTTAACGGTAGCATGAATCATCTTGGTCAATTCAATATTGGTCATTTCAAACTCGGTTCCAATATTGTAGATTTGACCTAATTCTCCATCGATTGCAACTCGAGAAATGGCTTCCGAACAGTCTTCAACAAACATCCAACTTCTAAAAGAAGAAAAACTTTTTTTTGTATTCGAAAATAAGAAAAAATACCTGGAATGAAGTCCATCTCCCATTAAAGGATATGGTTTTCCATCAAGAGCCAATTTTGTGAATTTCGGAATCAGTTTGGTATGAATTTGTCGTGGTCCATAGACGTTGTTCATTCGCACCATAACGTATGGAAGTTTGTAAGAATGCTTAAAATGCATTTTCTAATCACAATCCTTAACACTTCAAATCCTACCCAGTAGGATCTAATAATCATTTCACAAGCAGCTTTGCTAGCAGCATATGGATTAGTCGGATTTGGAAGAGAAGCATCTTCCGATTTTGGGGTGGTATCACCGAACGAGTCTCCGTAAACCTCATCTGAAATAATTTGAAATAATCTTCTTGTCGTTTTTCAACAAATGTAGAAGTTTCGAAAGGGACGTGGAAAACTAATATACATCTCTTTGCGCCGATAGAGAAAAATATTTAAGAATTAGAAAATTTAATGAAAATTGAGAATACTTTCAACAATAGACAGAAATATTATACTATTGAATATCTTCTCTTGGCAAGAAATCTCAGTTCAAAAAATAATTATAAAATTTTTGGTAGATTAATCATGCAATATAAATGAACAAACGTTCGCATTTGAATCTCATATTAATTTCCAATTTCAAATTTTCTTTTCAATTACAAATAAATCAAAATATAAACGCGATGTTTAAATTTAAACAAGAAACATCACACCCTCTCAGGTAAATCGAATAAAATATTTTGAGATTCATTGAGAAACTAACGTGTCTCTATAATATTTTAGATATTTCTCAATGAACTTTAGAAATAATTTTAAGATTTTAGAATTTATTGAGATAATTTAGAAATTGCTCAATAAATTTTAGAAAACCTTATAAGACTTTAAAAAGTATTTTTAAGTTTAGTGATTCTCAATAAGTTTTAGAAAGTATCAATAAACATTAGAATTTCTCAAAATATTTTAGAGTTTATTATTGAATATTTGATTCTCAAAATATTTTATTTGATTTGCCTGAGCTAGATCTGTCTCACACAATAGTTTTTCAAATTTATTCAAAAACGAGTAAAGGATTAGAATCATCGGAAAATGATCATAATTTCCTCCATTACTCGTTCAAAAAAAACAAATTTTTAAAATGTATTTTTCTGATGGTTTTGGAATGTGTATTTTAGTACTAACTGACCTGTGCTGATATGAACGAGTCTCTTGACCCCTTTGTAGCTACGGTTAACAATGCTTTCAAGAAGTGTAGTGGTAGAAATAATGTTGTCTTGAATTGTCCCAATGCGATCGCTGTAGGATTCGTCGACATGTGTGATGGCGGCGAAGTGAATGACCATATCAACCTGCAAATCAATGTCAGTCTTGTATCAACCTGAGACAAACGTCTTCCGCAAAGGTATCAAATTAAAATGTACTTTATTCGATTCGAGAGTGTTGTCTAGCGTTTCTTGATCTTCCAACTTGGCCTCGACAAAAGTGTAACGTCCCGATTCGCGAATTTCCTCAAGAACATGGAAAGGAGAAGCACCGTAAGCGAGTTTGTCATAATTAATAATCCTTAAATTAATGAGCAAATGAAAATGGACATTCTTGAAACATCTTACTTGGTATTGCGCCATTTGTTATAAATGAAATTGATAAAGTTTGAGCCGATGAAACCGCAACCACCAGTTATGAGAACACAAGTGGGCTCTTCCATTGACAACTCCATTGCGTGCCGCCTAAATCAACTCATGAGAAGCTATTCGGAAAGACGCATGATTGTGTAACTAGCGGATGAAAATGATAAAGAATGAAGGGGTTGCTATCGCGCCATCCCTCCTGAATATTTTCAAATGGCAATGACCGTCAGACTATGATGATAAGGGGCAATGAAGATGATCTAGAGAAAATGAATGCATAGAGATGAAGCGAGAAGAAATAAACTTGTTCTATTAATGCCGATACATATTCTATGTTACCCAACCACGTTATAAACTTAATGAAATGGGAAGAAAATAACGAAATTTATGTGATGGGAGAAATATATCCGAATTAATGAAATAGTAATTCATCTAAAGCTTAATCAGATAGATTTTGGAAAGCGGGTTACGGCGAGACTAAATTAGGTTGGTTGGAAGCGCACCGACTCGATCATGGCAGTATTCAAATTCGCGGAACATTTTATACTCACGAAAGACCAAAACATCAATTGATGGAAACGAGAAATAATCGCACTGAAGCTGAACTTTTGATTTTAATATGATTCTCGATCGCGATCGCAAATGTTCCAAATAAACCGCTTTTCTGCCATTTGAAACGAATAAATTGCGCACATGTTTAAAAAAAGAACCAAGAAAACAACAAGACTTTTGAAAAGAAAATAACATATCACTTGAGATGAAAATGGGGTCAACACTTTCACCTTTGGCATATCACTCGCACATACTCTCATCTCAATGCGTTCTGTCAATAAAATCACGGTAAGTTATCAAAAATATAATATTTTATTAGCATTTCAACTGTTTTCTGACGTTATCCGTTACTTCGAATATGCTCCCATGTCCCGGCACGATCCAATTAACAATGCACCCAAACTTTCTTCGTGAATCTCTTTGAGCTAATATGTCGGATGATAGTGGCTGCCACATCATATGATGATCAATATCTTCCATTCGCATAAACAGATCACCTGAATGAATCAGATAATTGTAAATCACCGCAATTTTTAATTTTTGACCTGCGACAAGAACGTCTCCAAAATCTTTTGCACCGCGTACAATTGCTGCGATATCGTCCGATGTGTGACCGCGCGCTTTCACAAGCATCACATTTTCAGTTAGACTTAAACTATCATTCTGAAATTCAAATGTCTCATATAGTTGAAAATATTCGTTCACCTCAAACAATGCAGTCAGATTAAATTTAGTACGTTGATGCGAGTACCAACTATGATAGTGGGTCGCATCGGGAAAATCGTGAATTCCACCGGTATGATCTGGATGTCCATGCGTTGTAACAACGATATCAATATCAGCTGGAGATAAGTCATATTTTTCGAGCCCTTAAACAAGACATAATTTTATCAAAAATCAATTATACTATACTTTTCAATAAATTTGTTCTTGAGTTAATATCGGTTCCAAGACCGGTATCAACAAGTATATTGGTTCCACCATCTTGTATTAAAGTTATACTTGCGATAAAAATGTATTGCCCATCGGAAGTTTGCTCAGCGGATCCCTACAATAATACTGTGGTTCACTTCTTTTTCAAATCTTCCCTTGCTACATTTCTTAATACATGTACTTGAGGTAGTCTTTCATTTTTAGATTCCTCTAGTTTTTTGAGAATCGCTGTCAATTCTGCGCTCAACTTTTTCATTTTCGCTTCATATGGATCTTCGGATTCCTCGAGATCATCGCTCACATCTGAAAACAATAATACAAGCGCTGATTCAGGTTTTTTCTCTAGTCTGCCGTTGAATGCAGAAACATTTGGTCAACGCAAAAACTTGTCCTTGCTGTTCGTATGCCGATTGTGAGTGCACAATGCCTTTCTTTGCGTTTCTCATAAATGCGCTGGAAACGCAACCCGTGCGAAAGGCATAGGCGGGGCGATACGTAAGAAGCAAGTTTCTGGCAAAAGCGAGTTTTGATTATCTAACGCAAAATGGGAGAAAATGCGGATCGCGTCAATTAGAGTAGACGCCGAATGACACCGTTTATTGGATAATGAGAATGATCGATTTGTGAACATAGGAAAAAAAAGACTCTTACGTTCTCGAGATCGCGGCGGTTCTGCAAATCGCTGCATCGGTGTCCATTTGCTTCCGTTTTTCTAAATAGATGTGGCGTGATTAAACAGATTTGAAAAAAATCTTGATTAATATTAGTGGATAAAAATTTTCTCATAAAGTGTTCTTTGATCATTTCTTAAATAGTTAAACAATTGTGTTCTCAATGATCCGGACATATACAAAAAGAATGTTTTTGCTCATGCCTTTCACGGATTTCTTTTTAAGATAAGATTGAAAACAGGAATTCATTAGATGGATTCAAAAGAGCGAATTTTTGTTTCCTAGACATGAAAATCAATCAGGAAGATCTATGCGATAAGTGTAATTATCTCGGGATTCAATCGAACACATGCAACAACCTCGCTCACCGATCCAACATCGAGTGTTACTTGCTGATCTCGCTGTTCACTCGATGAGGTGATCACTTCAACAGGCAGCTGCCGTCTTGGACTTGAGGTAGTTTTTCTTGGTTCCTTTTTTTTCGACTTTGGCTTTTTGGTAGATTTCGTTCGCAAATCACTTTTCATTTTTCTAGTCCTTCGATCAATAAACATCTACATAATAATGAATGATTATCTATAAAATGTTGGTGTTTTAACCTGTATTACGTTCGCTAATTTTTGATAGTCCTTCTTCGAAGTTTGCGGTTCAGGCGTTGATCTGTTTTTTGAAACGGGACGAATGATTTGGGTTATAGGCTGAGGAGGCTTGGCAGGAAGTGTGATAGTGTCCTTCTAAACAACGAAGTGTTATTTCAATTAACAAATAATGCGTACAGATAAAATACCACCTTGAGGTATCATTGGATTTGTCAGGTCAATCATTCCTATATGAGAGGAAGATTCACCAAGTTCGGGCTCATCATCTAAGCTGTCAAGCGGAATTCTTTCAACGATGGGTCTACCGCGTCCACGAACAAAGTCGCGGAGTACCTTGATTTCCCATTCGTCAAGTTGGTTTAAAGCTTCTTTCGAAATCACTTAAGTTTCAGTGAATGGGAAAAATACTAAAGAGCGACTTACAGTATTCATTAGGTTCTAACGTTTCGATAGTACTAGCAAATATGATACAACTAATTAAAATAATCCGCATTTCATGTTTTTTTGGCCAAGAACATTAAACGCACAAATTAAATCGTAGGATGAGGTAAATGGGTTTCACCCTCAAACGGATGACCTCAATTGAAATCCGCGGATGTTCTTCACTCACTTTTTCTCGAATCTCTTTTATTGTTCATTTTATTTGTGATGCGTTCGATTGGTTAAATATTTATTGGGATTAATAATTACAATGAAGATTTCGAGTTTTGGGTTAATTGATTTTTCGATGAATAACAATTTTAGTAATTATTCAAGCTCCACCTCATCGACTAGCTTTTGGAAGATAATGTCGCAAGCAGAATTGAAGACATACTCGATATTTTGAGTGTCTGTGGCTACAGTGAAATGAGAATAGATGGTCTGACTCTCATCACAACCCTATGAAAATAAAATGTTACAAAAAATTAAAAATTAATGAAACCTTTCGGAAAAGGCTCTCGACGTACTCGCATACCGAGCTGGGCTCATTGTTATCTGAAATTACAAACTGTTTAAGTAATACATTACCGATTTGAAATACTTTGGAGCCAATTTTCATATCCCATGAAATAATCTGAAAACTCGGTCGTTCTCAGCTTCTCTTGCAATACATCTTTTTTGTTGAGAAACAACATGAATGATGATTTATGAAGGAAGTTGTTCTGTTTGACCGATTTAAACAACTCAACGCTGTCAGTAAGTTTGTTGATCATCTGAATCGCTTTTTTTTTTCATTTAAAAATAATTAATTAAATTTTATTACTCTTGGAAGGCGATCTTCGCTCTTTGATACCGCACGAACCAAAATTCTGTTCTCGACCTTATTTGGAACCGTCTCCCACTGAAAAACAATGTTTCGTAATTAAGAAAAATATTCGTTCTGCTCAAACCGAAACAACAACACTTGGAAAGCTCGATTCTGATACTTCGGTTTTAGTTTGCTACAAATAAAAATAAGACATTCTGCGAATTTTTAAACATACAGAAGAAAATTTCGGTTCTTCCTCAACAAATTGATCGAAGCAAGCCAAAGAAGCGACAAACATCACAGCGGTGACGCCTTCGAAGAAGTGAATCCACTTGCGACGTTCAGTACGTTGGCCGCCAACATCAATAAGACTGAAATGCAAATTTATTCTCACCGTTCATTTGATACTTTTTTTCACCGAATAACATATTTACGATAGTCGAAGCAGATCTCATGAACTCCTAAAGTCGTTACCCTCATATTCACAATGTCAACATCGGTTGGCATGTAGTTCGGGAGCAAAATGCGTGGAAGCTCTCCGAAAAAGCTAAAAGATTTATTAGGTTTAAAATATAAAAAATGAGTTTGTTACTAAAAAATGTTATCCGGGACACCAGCGAAAGCACGATAACGGCGGAAAAACTCTCGAATACTTGGGTAAAATCTGAAAAATTGTAATTGATGTATAAAGTCAGGCACTGAAATCGATACCGAACAGTGTTGATCACATTGATCTCATCAACTTCAGTCATCACTTCAATTCTCGAAGAATTTTGAGCAAAAAGAAAAAGGATTTTCTAGAAGTTGAACAATTTAATATGAAAAATAATCTCGATCATTGAACCTTTTCGCTTTCATCAATTTCGATGTCGCTGTCTTCGGAGAGCAAATAATTGCTGATTTGTTTGAAGGCATCCACTATGTTCCAGCGAATTTGGAATATTGCACTGATGCGCTCGGTATCATTAAATCCTTCGGTATGAATGATTCTGACATTTATTTTTGTATTTTCAAAATTATTTTTTCAACAATTTACCTCATTTGCTTTACAATTGTACTTTTTCCTGAGTCAGAAGTGCCGAGTAGCAAGAATTTCAACTTACGCCGCTGCTCAACTTCTTCCTTCTTGATCTGAACGTCGATGAGCTTCGACACCTCATTGTCAGCTTGTTTACACACGATAGTACCCATTTTGAATGTTGTTGAACACTATCGTTTAGGAAATCTTAAAACATTAGAGCGTAAATCTCCAATTGTGCAAACGCATTTTGCGCAAAAAGACTTATATCAAATGAAAAACACACATTCTCTCCTATATTTCTGGTGTTCGTAGTATTCAGGCGATGAAAAAAAAACAAACTGTGAGGAAAATTGCAAGTTTAGATTCTCAATGAGAAAGTTTCACATTAATTTTCATCGATATTTTTGTAGCGTTTAATTAATAAGTGCCACTAATAAATGAATCATAGGATTTCAGACAACAATATAATTTTTTGATATAAGTTTCTTATAAATGTTTTTTTTTTTGAAAATGACTAACACAAAGTACAACTAAGGTACAATTCGTTTTGAATAGCGTATGTGATATTTATATGTATAGTTAAGAAATACAGTGCCGCTCGAACTGAATCTTAATCACTCAAAAACCCATAAATGTTTTAAACTATTACTTTTTATTAACTAATCGTTCGGTTGAAAATAGAGATAGTTGTTAGATCATATTAGAAACTTCTACTAATTTTAAATGACAAGGCTCGATATTGTTCTCTCACGTGAACAATATTTATTTTACATTCTACCGCCAATTTTTTCAAGAAATTGGAAAGAAACGAAGCTACAGTGAAATGAGGCGTTGATAAGAATGAGCTCAAATAAGAGAAAGAAGCCAAGAAAATGGGCGGAGTGTGTCGATGCTCAAGCGGGTTTCAGCACAATGCGCACTCCAATTATCTTTTTAGATACAATCGAGGATAACAGAGAATTTGATATATGGCAATGATGTGGACTACTGTAATTTTTCCATACAGACAATATAGATGGAAATGAAAAATATAAATAATCCTTGAAGAAATCTGCGAGCTGCTGATAATGGAATGTTGGAAGGTATTTTTGTAGTAACATTTGTGGTGTGTCTATGAGAATTCTTGTGAGAATTCTTGAGAACAACGTCCCAACATGGATATCGGAAATCGTTAGCAAAATTGTTTTGTTTAAAGCTTTAGTTAAACATTAATTAACCGACGATTCGAGTTTTGAAAGACAAAAACAGGATGAGTGCGCATTATTGGGCACACTTTGATGGAGAAAAATTAATATTTTGGTAAACAAGTTCGCGGATGTTAATTGAATGAAAAAATCATTGATCTTAATGTTTAGTTGAAAATTATTATTATTAGTTTCAGACTGATGTCTATAAATGTTTCATCTCATAGACTACATTGTTATTTGATTTCTGTCCTTCATGCGTAAGCAGTTATACTACAATATGGTTTTAGCGAAAATACAAAGAAAAATACATGTCACATCATGGTTGTTTTAAAGAAAAAATGATGTGAGATGATAATAATATTGACTTGGAGCATATAAAAATATTACCTACAAATTCTAAATTTAGCTTTTTGAATATTTATATTGACGCTCCTGATCTTGTATGGAATAACTCTTAGAGAATGATTGCTGAAAAATAATTTTTAAAAATATCATAGAAACCGAGCAGAAAACCAGAATTTCTAGATTATTTCGCTTCAGAGAAAACAAAGTCTGAGCATCATCATTTCGGTGTTGTCACCAAGAATAAATTGCAAAGACCACAATGTGATTTCCAACGTTCGTCTACAATTTTGAATATACATATTTATGCCTTATGTTTTAAGTAACGGGAAAAAGTGAGAATTTCAAAATTTGCCGAATCAGATTTTAGCGAAATTGAAATAACTGTTGTTTAGCATCACTTTTAAACCAATAGACAGGAATTGAAAATATTTTTTTCTGATTTTTTTGTAAATTTCTTCCGATTACAATCTATGGTCTACTAAAAATTATTCATTTCGGTTCGAATCAAGATTGGCTGCAATTAACAAGTATAATTAATATTCCTGGAATTTGCAAAAATTTGGTTTTGCAAATATTGCAAAATTAATTGATTCCTTGTAATGAATACTCATATATTTCTAATTTTTCTGCTCGAATCTTATAGAAAAGAGAATTAGTCGGTTTCGTGTTTGCGATAATAGAAAAAAACGTGTACTGCTCATTTCTGGACTCGAGACCCCCACTCTAAAAATTAAGCTTTGCATTGTTTTTAATACAAATTGAATAATCGTGCTACCGTAGATTAATTTCTTAACAACATTTTCTATACAATTTTTGTTGTTTTGTTGTAGTATGATAACAAGAAGCACATAATGATTGTTTCCTGTGCGAAAACCAATTTTATAACAATTGTTATTTGATATGAAATCAACCAATAGAACCATAAAGCGTTTGTGAATGCTTCGGGTGCAAGGATGTGCTAAAGCTTGGTGTTGTTAAATCATGGTAATAAGGGTAGAAAATCTGGAGGAAAATAGCAACAAATTGGATTCCATGAAATTGTTAAAACAACAAAAATTGCTTAATTAACCGGAGAGAACAAATAGAGAAAACAAGTTGTGATTACCTGTTATAATTTTGGTCACAATAGGATTTCACACAAAAATAGAACGGAAAAGCTATGAGAAAATTTTTAAATACAATATAGGTGTAGAAATGGATAACCATCGAATGCAAGCGTGAGATGCATAAAATAGTGGAAAACTGTAACTAGTAAGGTCTACCGTAAGATATGATTCGTCGACTAGGGGCTTTTAATTGACAGCGCCGCCCGTATGCTGTTCATAATCGGATAAACACAAAACATTTGAAAACGAAAAACGAAAATGTGGCAAGTTGATGTGGCCGTATTTGGAAAAAATTACACCATTAGTAGAAAATTGGCAACGAGGAACAAAGTTGAAACCTAACTAGCATAAAATGCAATTTTAATATTTTCACTTAATAATTATGTTCTGGTTTTTCTTCGGGCTCAAGCTCTTTTCGATCAACCAAACTTGCCTCCAATGCTGCATCAATCTATAAAAATTGAATAATAAACAATTCAATTGAAATTAAATACTACTTGGGGCGCATCTGTATCATCGTTCAAAACTGATCCGTAGAACATCAGGGCGCACGTGAGTATCGCCATGGCGAGTGCTTGTCCAATTATAGAAAAGGTCATAAAAAGGTGGGCAAGAAGCTGATTCGAGTAGAGAAGGCAATTATTATTCTAAAACGGTTGGTAGAACTAAATTTCGAAAAAAAAATATTACAGTGCTATTTCCACAGGAATCCGTTTGATATTTGATGCAAGAAACGTCAAACATCCACCCGAACAAGACAGGAGCTGGAATGGTTCCGATCATCCGAATAAGTATCCATTGAATTCCCAAAGCAAATGATCGCTCGTTATAGTCAACAGTTCTAGAATCAGTCATTAAAATTGTTTTCAAGGTTTTAAAGAACCTCAAGATAACTGAGACGACAGGGACTGCCACAGCAAATGTGCAGAATGACAATGGAGCAAAAAGCATAAGGAATCCGAGAAGGCCAGTACATTTCGTTTCACATGAACCTTTCTTGACGGTTTTCATTTTCAATGTGTTGTTTACGCCTACACAATTGCATTGTGTATACGTCTGAAACCAATTTATTCTGATTTTCAAATTGATGAATCATTCGAACTTTTCTCGTTGGCGAGTATGGTTCCGCACATGCTGCGAAGCAAGGCGAATAGAACGTAAGTTGAGTATTGTCATCAAATTCTGCACAAACTGGTCTGAAAATATTGGAATTGTTACAATGCTGCCCAAATAGATGATTCACCGATATTCTTCTGGATCGCATTGACAATGGCTGTTGCATTTCGCCATCAATGAAAGTTCCCCATTTTCTGTCAGATTCTTGAACGGATCGTTTCTGAAATTGAATCAGGTCAGCGAAATGTCAGATATAATCTATGCTTACTCCATATCCGGATAATTATAATCGACACCAACGAGGGGGTCATGAGGACAATAGATCAAGTACATGGGAGTTAACATCAGTGATAATAAGAGAAGAGCAATTGCGAATTTCAACATTTTGACACTGTTGAGTCGGAAATAGTTCACAATATAGCCTGTAACCATGCATCCAAAACCAGCCATGGGTACCATAATGGATCCTATAAATATTAATTAACCATCGACGTTGACACTATAATAATAGTTACCAATGAGCACGTTTGCTTTACTTGGAGCCACACCGAACTGACGCTCCAAATACTTTGACATAAATGAAGATGCTCCAGTGACGACTAAACTATCAATAGCCATCGCAAGAGTGATGATCATAAATGGTCCATTTGTGAGGATTCGGTAGATAGCAATTGGAATGTGGCGAACATCTAACCAAATTTTGTACCAAATGGGTCCTTTTCCTCGAGCTGGAATTGAGGAATACAGCAGAGAAGCTTGCTCTAAAATGGAAAAAAATTGTTTATAATCTAAATTAAAAACATCTTTACCAGGAATTGGAGCATCCCCATTAATTGCAGCAGTTTTATTAGTTACTGGGAGCCCACAACATTCTGGAGTTCTCCTTCTGTTTGAAAGTGCTGCTTCCTGGAGACGAGTTCTGAAGGCCTCTCGGTAAAATTTATGGTTATAGGAAAGAACGCACCTATGCCATTTCAAAGAAATTGGTAAAACCTTAGGAAGAGACATGAGCGGCCCAACGGCTAGGAATCCAAAGAAGGATGCAAAAATGAAGCTGAGCCACCAAGCTCCAACCCATGTTGGATCAGTTTCGCCAGAGCTCACCCTGCAAAAAAATGATAAAGTCTCAAACGATTATTCAAAATCACTTCAAAATTTGCTCAGGAGGAAGATGCCAGAAATCGGTGTGATATTTTAGGAATGCTCCTGCCATAAGAAATCCGGCAGCAGGTCCGAATACAGCAAATGAGTAGAAAATTCCAACAAATAAAGACGACAAAGCAGGCCCAACATTTTCATCGAGATATGAGACACCAATTGTAAACAATGGAGTTGCTCCAATACCGTGAAGGAAGTGTGCCAGACAGAACAGTCTGAAATACCAGTTGTTGTTTGACGACGGCTGAAATGATATTGATAGTGACGGCAGCATGACAAATTCTGTACCGAAACATGGCTCTCCAATTTACATTGAGTAACCGCAAGGGCTTCAGGAGCTGTTGTTTCATTTGAGAAGACTGCAAAAAAATCGTTTTGTGAACAATTGTTGGCATTCAATAATTATTAAGGGGTCACATATGGAACCAATTGCAAACATTTCTTAGAAACATACAATTCTCAATCGAGCACGTTCCTGAGGAGATGTTAGGCTGCGATGTCGAATAACTATCCGATAGCACATGTGGTGCGGAGAAAATCATTGAGCCCGACGCCATCAAGGCGAGACCAGCGGCCAGAACGGCGGGCTTACTGTGGCGACCTCCAAAGTAAGAGACCGGAATACAGAAAAGGACATATCCAAAATCGTAGAACTGAAATACTACGGGTTTTATATGGATTCATAAAATATACCCACCTGGACAACTCGTCCCATATGGCTTGTACTGAATTGAAAACGACGTTCAATTGAGGATATCGCCGAAGGAACCAAACCGTTTACTACCATTCCCTAAAAAATCGAATTCTATACATGAATAATCAATAATTTTGATAAGATTGACCAACCTGCATTGTGCAATACCAACAAAGAAGGATCAGCATCCAAATTCGATTTCCGAGAAATTGAATCCATCTCGGCCTCCAGGAGCCAATCCCGCAAAGGGATTCCTGGACAAGATTGTCCATTTCTCTTTCGATTAATTCGTGCTGCTGAGCCTGAAATCGAGAGACAACTAGAGGAAATGAGTATGGAATAGAGAGGATGAATGGTTTTAATCGATGACGCTTCTTGATTTTTAATGATGACAAATTCAAACATCTCTCGAAATGTTTCTCGAAACACACGAAAAACAGAAGACAAAGAAAAATATGAAACAAAAAAGGAAATACAACAAATCGCCGCATAAAATTGATTGGAAGAATAATATGAATTTTCTGAGAATTCTTTTGGCAATTGCAAAAATGGCAAATCGGGGATCATAAAATACATATTTTTGGGAAGTGAAATATCTTAAATGAACTCTTAAAAATACCAATTGACATCATCAAAAAACTGCTAAACTTATGCTAAACATGGATACGTGCTTTTTAGGGAAGCAGGAAATGGTCCCACGACGATTTTGTGCGTTTTCTGGATTAAACTTAACGTCAGTTGTTTTTATTTTGTTTCTACTACAGGAAAAAAAATAATAATATGCACAAAGTCTCAAAAAATATTTTTGAATACTGTTTTTTTCGTTTTTATTAAATTTTAAAACAGGTAAAAAATGTGAAAAAAAACGTGTCCACACTCTGGTAGTTGTATAAACATTAATATTTTTATGCGTCATCGATTGAATAAAAATTGGAAAGAGCGATCGGTTTAAAAATGTTTAGATCTCATGACTCACTGGCAATCGAATTTCTTTATTTCGTCGAGGAGGCCGCTCCATATGTCGCGGTGGGACGCCTTGCGATGCCTGCCGCATGTGACTCCTGGAAGTGTGGAAGATTTTGATGTCAGTATGACTGATGAATATTGATGATTGAAATGGTGATTCTCTTTTTTTTTCAGATTTTTTGCAAAAATTATGATGTGTTCTTTTCTATTCAACAAAGTTATTGTTCGTCGAGAATCAAAATGACTACATTATCACCATTTTCAGAAATGAGCTCAAAATTTTCATAATTTTCAATATTTTTACATTTAACAACCAAAAACCGATATGCAATTTCTGGTCGTTGTTCTCTTATTTATAGAAGTTCCAATCATCAGAAATTAAATGATTACCGTAATTTATTTTTCAAATCTATTTACACTTTATGAATTCTTTTGCTTCATAGATTTTTGAACATTATTTGCAATTGGTTTGCAATTTTTATATATAATTTAATATGGTGATATATCATAAGATTGCGGAAGTCAATCTTTACTTATGGCTCATTTCATATGTACATATTGGCTCTTAATGTGTTCTTCGAATGGACTTTGGAAATTTCTTAGAAAAAATTTTTAAAATTTGATTTTCTTTTTAATTCAGGCGAAAAAAAACTTTGCGAATGAACCGTTCTTTTATTTTTGTTGATTTCAAGTGAATTTATTTGGAAAACAAATTAATAGTTACAAAACTTACCATTTACTCCTAGGCTGATGTGAAAAGTTATTTGAACCTAAATCACCGGGACATGATCGTGTTTCGGCATCTTCCGAACATCCGATTGAGGAATCGTTTTCAGCACCCATTATGATATTGTGGATTGCAACTTTTTACCACATCTGCAATGCAATGAAGCTATATTTGACAAATCGTAAAATAAATATTCAATAGAATAGAATAATGAGCTCCAGATATGTGAAAACCAGAACTATTTCAATGTTCCATGCATTTGGGAGAAAAAGGCAGGAGATATGGTGGAGCGAGAGGCAAGTAAAAGTGGATTGTAAAATAGCTCAGAGGAATTGGCAAAATAGCAAAACAAAAAGTGCAGCTTTCAAGAAAAGAGCCTCGTTTTTTTTTAAGAAGTTTGTCGAGATACTTTTTTGAGCTTCATAGATTTGTTGTGAATTGATAAACAAACAGAAAAAACGCTGGCAATGTGATGTAGAAAAATAGAAACAGTGTTTTAGATTTTTAAGTAAAGATGGGGCTTGACACACAGAAAAAACAACAATATATGATCGAGGAGAAGTATCAAGTTTCCAAGTGAAAAAAAAAAACGAAAGCAAACATTGATACAGGAAAACTTGTCTGCAGACGCTTGAGAAAGAACGGTTAATATGATTTTGACACAGTTTGACTTTGAGAAGGAAGTTCTTCTTAATGAACGTTTGTTTTAAGATGTTGTTTTTCTCGTTGGGGACATATTTGGCGAAGTTTCCTCGTTGCCCAATTAGGAAATCCTCTCGACTTACTCATATTTCGGGTGTCGAATAAGTGAAAATAACAAACAAACAAGAATAAATAAGAAGTGAGGATTAAAACATACCAAACATGACTACATAAATGTACAATATTACGTGCTAAACGACTAGATTTATCCAGTTGAAAAAAAAATCCGCAAATTCTACATACTTGTTATTAAATATTTATGAAGCAGTTAATATTTAATTAATATGAAAGATCTTTGAGACTGACCCCCGATTTGCATATATTTTGCATATAATTTCTGAGTTTAACAATGAATGTCTGAAGGTACTATATATAGTATTAATGAAATTTGTGTTTCTAAAATTATATTTATCAATTAAATAATTACAGTGTAAATCAGCCGGATATTCACGTGCAGTTTCACGTTTATTCACTTAAACGATTTTCACAAATGTTTAAGTTTACTCAAATCATAACATATTTAGGACTATCATTTAGAAAAAAAAACAATAAAAATGTCTTGAACTGAAAAAAAAACTATCGAAAAAAAAGTTGAAGTCAACGCAAACCAAATTCAAAAATTACTCTCGGTGGGATGAGTTGCGAAAATGCAATCTCCTTCATCCCATTTTCTTCTCATCTGTCTCATATTTTTGGCAACACAACAGCAGTAGACTCCTCCCACACAGAAAATTTGCCTCGAAGATTCCTCAAGAGCGTGAAAAAAAACTGAGACATACAAGAGTGTTAGAGCACATCAGAGTGATGAGAAAAAAAAGAAGTGCCAAAAAGCCGTGATTAAACTTGCGGGCAAACTTTTGCGCGTTTTGTATGGATATAAAACACGTCAATCCGTCCGATTTCATTTTTTTCTTTGCTTGAAGTGACTCTTTTGTGACAAGAATGTTTCGCTGCACTTCGGATGTCTTTGGTTTGGTTGGCGGCAAAAAAAAAGAAAATATTAAGACTTGATTCTTTCAAGATTATATAACTTTTTAAAAGATAGCAAAGATGAGTGAAAGTTTATTAGATCCTGAACTTCTAATTGCCATCGAGAAAAACAAGCCAAATACACTAGAAATGCCGTCTGATGCAAAATAATTGGGTAGCTTGCGAAAATGGCAGCCAAGTATTCATCATTATTAATTTTTTGGAAAAAAATTCACAGAATACGTTTTATTGCAATAAATTTGCTTGAGATATATAACGCGCCAATTTGATCTAATTTACGAAACTAAAAAATAATTGGGCACAATTTGAGAGGAAATATACTAGTGTAGTACACGCTCTATATACACAATTTCTTGGAAAGTGGGTTTATTATTTCTCAACCTTCGAATGCTTCCGTAGGCCAACCCAAAAAAAAACATAAGGAAGAAAGCACGACCGGTGCGAGAAAATTCTAGTGACCGAAATTCGAAAGGTCCGAAAATTGAATTTGGAATGTCGTCGTGTTCGTCGCTTGTTATTTTCGCGCTCCGTGCATTTTTAAAAATAAGGTTTTGAGACCGTAGAGCAAATGAACAGAAATAGCAAAAAATAACTTGAATAGGAATTTTAAAAGTCATGTTAATTTCGAGAAACATCATATTTCATGGACTACTTAGATCTGTGCTGAAAATATTACAGAAAGAGATTCACAATATTGTAAAAAAAAGCTTACTGTGACCACTGCGAATTTTCCACTTACGCCAATCAATAAAGGCAAAAGAACACATGTGTATGAAAACATGGGTTTTCATCTGGTTTCGATTTGAAAGTGAGTAGTTTGTGAAAAAAAAACACCCGATGGTTTGAAACGATCTTCATCCAATGTGATTTTTGAACATCTGGATGACATTTCAATTTTACATGTAAATTTCGGATGCGTGTTTTTTCACAACGAAAAATCCAATAATTGCTACCTTTCTTCAATTCCTAGACATGGAAGACAACAAAACAGACATAAGGTTCCTCTCTGGCTAATAGAAATTCAATTTCGATTAAACGAGAGGATAAAGTGTATTGAAAAATAGGTTTTGCAGAATTTTTTGCACTTTGCAAGAAAGATGAAAGTCGATAAAAACAACACTCCAAGAAAACAAAATCAAAAAGCGTTTCTAGTGGAAAAAAAAAGAAAAGAGCGAGAGAAATGCGCAATGTTTCCTCAATTTCACGAATCACTACTACTATTACGGCGACATAGTACCTTCGTTCACATTTTCAAAATGAATTGGGTTCGTTGCACAATGATCGACTCGGTTGTTCCGCACGCGCACCGCCGGCAAATGGTCATTTTCTCAATAAATTGCCACTGCCGGCGTAGTCTTGATGGGGTCTTTGCGCCCCTATTAAACTGTGATTGCAACGAACAAAACGTAGTAATCAAGTTGCGAATCAAAATATTTGAATATTTTGTAACAGGGTTAAGTCTAAAATCTTGCAAATTGTAAAGCAAAAAGTCTACAGCATTTAAAAATTGTTGATATTAAATAAATAAGAGTCAATAACGAAAAAAAACTGCAAGTATATAAATTCTCGAAACGATAAAAAATTGACAAAGTAAAAAAAATGAACACAAAAAAGTGACAAATGTTCAACAATTGAATTGATCAAACATCAAAAATTGAGGAAAAAAGCGATGGTCTTAAATTCATGACTTTTTATGCTATGACATGTAGGTCACTTTTAAAATCTACACTTCTCTATCTTTAGTTGATCTTTGAAAATGTCCCAATTGATGTTGAAGCAAATCAGAAAGATTTGTGACCATGAGAAAAGAGTATTGTCAATTTTTATACCAAAACCATAAATAGTATACTGCATAAAGGAATCGCGTTAAGAAATAAAAGTTGTATAGCTCTGAATACTCGCTGAAAAAGAACAATGATTCAATGAATGACTCTTGGATGGGAAAACATGAAAAAAAGAATGTTGGATTCCCCAACATGCCATTACCTTAATTACGTGAATGTATCTTCTATTTATGCGAAATTGGAACAGAAATTTTTTTCGCAATTCAATACACATTTTATAAACTCAATGATGCGAGCGGGGCGTTAAAATCATTTGACATACAGAAACCTGATAGATTGAATGAGGCGAGTACGAAATTATACCTCTCACGCAGCCATGTTTTATTTTATTCCATTGTATGATTTATGTCACCTGGCTTTCGTGCGTTTTTTTTCCTGCGCCTTAATGATAAAACATCGCGCTAATTGACTTTTGACACATTTGTCACCTTAAATTTCCGGAGAGAGACTTTGTAAATACATTGAAATAGAGAATCAAAGATTACAAAATGGAAAACGAAATCAACAAGGGTTCAACAGACATTGACGTTTGGCAATCAGGCAATAAACTTCCTTTATAGTAAATAATAGAGACAAAACAATAATCAAGATAAATCTTGTTATCTGCTGTTTGGCTTGCAGACGGCATATATTTACAATTCATGATAGCATTAAAACTAACAGTGTGGCTGAAAAATATTGAAATATCGAACAAAAAAAGACAATGTGACCTTGAGCAAAACATCTTACTACGAATCCCTAATTAAACGGGCAACCAGTTTTACTATGATATAATAAAAATTGTGAACAATTTCAAGTTTCGTTCTGGCCCGTTTTGTTATTTTATGTAATAGATACTGAAATTCCAGTTTTAACAACCTTGTTTTTAATGTACCACTAATCGTGGTTTTTTCTTTGAACGATTTACTCAGTGGAGGTTTAGGATCTCGTTCAGAAATTGAATTTAAAAACATATTTTTCTAGCGAAAATTAAAAGAAAAACGATAATTTAAGATTGATAGATCTTTGAAGACATTAGCTTTCTTATGATCCCATTCTTCTCGAATAACAATGTATCGTAAATATTATTTTCAACATTTTTTTTTGTGTGAGGTCGCTCATATTTCGATGAACAACCAGACCAGCAGAAGAGCATATTTAATTATTTTCGACGAAGATAATAATAATTAAAAGATGCCATAAATAGATGTAATTGATATTCGTCTTCCAGCGACTATTGTACGCCGGTACATTCATCGAATGTGTTTTTCAAAATGATCTCTGGTTTTCTCGCATTCTAAAATTCATTTCGATAATTTTAATTTCAAAATTAATTTGCAAGAAAAAAACACCGTAAATCAACCCGCGTAGGTCATGTGCTGGGAACCGACACTTTGTATGTAGCTATCGATTGCAAAATAGCGAATTTGCAAAGAAAATTGGTTGCAATTGAGTTACTAGTGGCAAAGTGGTTCAAATTGTTGTTTGAACAGGCATCGATGGCTGAAAACCAAACACCTCTGCATTCATGTATTTTCAATTAGTTCTCTCAATTTAGTTTGAAGTTGAAAAACGATATTCTTTAGTGGAAAAAAAATAAT